CTGACGAACCACGAAACTATAACCATCTTTTCTCAGGAATCCCACAAGGGCAACGCCCACTCCTCCCTTTGAAGAATCCGAACAACATCTGAGAAGCCAAAATTCCCCTTCTACCAACCGCACCCATAAATAACTGAACATCTGCGTCAGTCGAAGCCTCAAGCATTACTCAGCAAAAAAAACTGAAGTTGTCATTTCTATATCTGTGCACTGCACTGAAAGCAATCCTCGCCGTCAATTCATACACAGTGGGGATCCATGTCATACACACATATACCCCTCAGGAGATAAGAAACCACAAACAAATTAGCCATTCGAAACAGCACGCTGGTAACTGCTTCGATCCTAACACATTGCAAGTACGATTACAGACAGGGGACCATCGGAGGTGCTCAATTTACTCGGTCAAATATAAAACCACAGTGGAACTATGAGGCCAGTTCAATTCCAACATCATTCGCCAAGGTTGAAAGCAGAGCGAGAATGTCCAGGGTCTGAAGTTTGCAAACATCTCAGTGCCACATCAGAGGACCACATGCAGGCCTACGTTTTCTTGTGTTGAAGATCATGATCACAGTTCGTCTGGAGTGTGTTGTTGACGGACGCGTATGATCACAAATACTTCTACGTCTGTGCACCATTTGGTATGTTCTTACTGCAGTCGCGAATGTTTTAAAGCTGCGCCTTTCTAACAAGGTCACCATCATCCAAGATTTAATTTCGTTTTTGGAATCTATTGTCGCGTCCAAAGCTCCCCGAAAGGTGAGTAATTAATGAAACATCGTGGTTAGACTAAGTGTTGTACATAATTTCATTTGGCATCCATTCTAAGTTGTTACCAATGAAACAAATTGAATTTAGAGCGGCTTTTAAAACCAAGGCGACCCAAAGTGTCACTTCCTTTCATGCATCTCTGCAATTCTTGCAAATGTTTCACAAATAACATAATTTGTTAATACCTTTTGCTCAAAAGCACTTTTGTTCTTTATGTTTTGGATGAAAACTCGTAGAAGCCTTGTGTGAATCTATAGTTCCCGTCAATGCATTGTACACATATTCCCATTAGTTTATATTTCTAGTTGAGTATGCAATGCAGTCTAGAACTCATCGGCTTAACATTCACTACCGATAATTGCTTGAGAGGTATGTTAATCTGATATATAAATATTGCAGTGCTTCTGAATATCTAGGTCCCTTTGAGAGAAAGCGTACCGAAAGATTTACGAAGTATTGTTGACTTTCCAGGGACGGGAGTGAATCTTAGATTTGTGCTCAGTCCCTCGTACGTCCTTTTTCTGGATAGTCCTGCACTCAATGTCTAGTATCTGGTGTCTCGGCTTCCTCAAAACGTGACGACAAACCTTGTTTAAAACGTTACCCTCATACCAACATTAATCAGAGGATTTCGGAAGGCTAGGGTTAAAACAAACTTTGCTAGGCCTACGTTATTCAGGAACTCTGCAGCTGAGCTGATCTTATTTCCACACGTATTCGGCTGATCGCATTCTACGCGTATTTTGTGTCCGGGACAATGACGGCTTTCAGATTAACTTGATATGAATATCAATATTCATAGAGGTCGTGACCTTGCCGGGATAAGCGCGTACATTATAAACTCGATACCAATATCAGTCTTTTGGTTCATTAGTTCAACACTGTGGTCGGTGAAATAGTTGAGGGCAGATTTTTCCCATTTCTCGGTGGAGAAATATTAACAGAGGTAACCAACATAAGCAAAACAATGTATCAATGATTGACATGATTGAAGAAGAAAAACAGTAATCGTGCGAATGCACGTTTTGTCAGCTGGAAATGGCATTCTTTAGTGTGTTTGGATTGGACGCATGAATCCGTGCGTCTGCGTTCGAGAAAAAAATCTGACACCATCACAAACCCTCCAAGTTCCAGCGTAGGCGACAAGTGCCCCGATAGCTTGGAGGTAAGTTGTTCCATCTCCCGCGACAAGATATGTTTTTTTTATATCCGTTGATCGAATCGGGTTGTTTTTGTGTTCTGGTTACACAGGTGTTTGAATGTGGTTTCGTATCTGTGTGTGTGTTCGACTCGAGGCGCCGGCGCGCCGTGGATCCATATTGCTATCGTATGACGATAACTCGGTTGACATGAACAGGCCTCAAGTGTTCAGGCGAGATTCGTTTATGAGTGGTCCGAAAACCAACGAAGATAACTTGTCAATACCACATACATCTTGTTAAATTTAATTCCAATAATTGTTCGCTCTCTTGATTTTATTCGAAAGGTTTTGAAATAATTGGTGTGTAATCGATGTGCAAGGAGTTTTGATACACAGTGAACCATGATGATGTGTTGCACTGTCCACTTTGCAGCAATTTTTTTTTTTCAGGTGAAGTATTTAGAAATGCGGATTTTCAATGCATCATGGAGCTTGGAGAAAATGGATTACTGTATGTTTCTGCCTGGAGGTATGAAGGGGAAAATATTCTAAGCGTCAGGCTTAACTTCCATGATGAATTCATCAAATGCACCGCTGCCTTTTTATTCATTTCACATTGTTGTATTTGAATGTGCTATGAACTTAGGGTTACATGTCTGTGGTATTGTAAAGGGTCTCGGTAATAAGCACTGAGCGGAAAATAGAAGCAATTTAGGAATTGTCAGGCACAACACCCGAGGCTGCAACCGATATTATTGTCTTTGTATCAGAGGTTCCCAGCATGTCATACGTCACCCATTCATTTTGTGTTGAACTGACAGTTCTCCCTATCCACGCCATGGGTTCTTTATTCAATGATTAATTTGTGGCATTGTTCATAGACAATGCATATCAAAACTCACTTCAATACCCGGCCTACCGGATTGGTATTAAAGTTATAACATTATTGCACAGAGTTTGAATCTTTGTTGTTTTCTGCGGTGTCGTGAACTCCACAAATAGGTCACCCTAGGCTACTGACTATTTATTCACAGCTGTAATCGTAGCGCATTCTTCTCAATCTTTGAATGGCCAGCCTGGGTACACACAAATACACAAAGCTCAGACTTTTTGGTGTCGGTAATATAACCGTCGTGCATTAATCATGGTATTGAAACTGGAGGTTGCTTGATAAAAGACTAGTGATTATTATGGAATCTTTTACTTGAAACGATGTAGGCCTATACCTACCAAAGTATCAAATTGTTCATAGAGTCGAGCTGATGTCTCGATCGGCCTGGCCTTCAACTTCTTCAATCGAGATACGGGGCCTAGACTCGATATTTGAGGAAGTGAACTAAAAATAATAATAAAAGGGAGCACCACTGTTGTGAGAATATACTAGTTGATACGTTTTATTAGTCGCAGAGGGTCAACCATCATCTAGCTCTGTCACTAAAGAATAAGACTTGTATAAAGCTCACCTTGGCCCAAAAGTTTAGATCAGATGACTACTTGGACCCCTCAGATCAAATTGGTCAGGGACTACCTTATAACTACGATTGCCTAGTTTGATTCAATTTTAGGGGTGGGGAAAGGGGCGGAGAAATGGTAAACTTGGTGATGCTTCTCTTAGCTCGCACAGTAGATCGATATCCTCTGTTCATCATGCTCCATCATTTTGACCTCATCCATGCCTGCATCTCTTCTTCTCGTTAGGTGTCCGTGACATGCAAAACATGTCATGTCCAATCAGACAAAACCATAACATCTCAACGCTAAACAGCAGGTATATCAACACAGCCTGGGGCCCACGAAATCAGATCCGCAAGATACATCCTTGATTCTTTGTGTCGTCAGATAAAACTCTAGCAAACTCGTCGTCGATGATGCTAGGTTAGTCGGACTTAATATCGAACACTGAATTAAAAATTGGGGGGTGTAGACAGGGTGACATTGTTCCGACACTTACACTAATACATCATACTTGAGAGTCGGGCAATTTATTCAACGTTCAGAGGAACGGGGCATGGAGAGGAACATCTCTTTTAGTCAACATCTTGGTCTTTTTGTGAGGTTTTTCCCTCACTGATTATAAACTGGTACCCCTGATGCCGTGGTTGGTCTTTATATGCTGGCAGTCACTATGGCTACGTCAGGAACTTGTCAAAGATGGCGTCAGCTGTGCATTGATACCTTGACAACCCAATATACAGAAAATATATGCTTCTTTATTGCCCTAGCTTTAAAGGTATATCCAATACTTTCCATCCATGCCCTTGTGTTTCCCTGTTTCCCGATAGCAATATCAGTGTGTATAACTGACGCGACCTGACACAAAACAGGTCAAAGCTAACCCGGTGTAACTCTACCGCGGTCTATTTTGGGTTCTGGTTCTGGTTTCTGACGGCTCAGGTAGACTCGGTGACTGAGCAAGCCAGACCCACACCGACGAATCATCAATTGTTGTCATCGTTAGCGGTGGTAGCTCTTGAACTTAGACTTGGCGATGTTTTGGTTCTACCGACACTTAGTGATCTATAGTTGTCTCAGCTTTTTGACGATTCTCCAACGCACAGTCGATCGGCATCTTAGCTGGCGTCATTTCTGCACGATTGACATCGTTTTGCGTCAGTATAGCTCTAACTTTAATATTTGCAGTATTTAATTCTCGCAAGAATCTCCAATCCTGAAGCTGTAGAAACGGTGAATATATCATTGTGTGAGAGGGGGTTCTGTCTGGTAAGATGAGTTAAATCCCATTTGTTTTAAACGAAGAATGTTGATCTTCAAATCAGGAATTTCGTCGGAGAGTTATCAAAAATCTGAGCTGTCGCGTAGTCGCACTGTACGGAAGCATAACTCCGTAGTGCAGAGTCTTTGCTCTTTCTTGGTTGATAATCTCTTAACAGGTTTGCTTTTTACACTTTTTGGTTTGAATATTAACAACAAAAGAAACATGGTATAAAACAAGAATGTTGTTTTATCTTTTTTTTCACAGTTTGTAAAACGTGAGTTCTCATTCGCAAAGACCAAGTGAGCGCATAGGTACTAGGTCCTCAATCTTTTAATTCCATCTATCTTTTTCTCGTTCCTGTTCTCACAGATTCCGGAAGTGCTTGCCTGTTCTTTCTCTCGGATTTTGACAAGGACATCGGATGTTTTGAGATCATCAACCATCTGTGGTCTTTCTGAAACTCTCGTGGCTGTTCCCCACCTGCGCACCCTGGATCTATGGGTGTTTAGGTCGCCAAGGTCCGCCGAGCCTGCGCTGCATTTCACCCGTCAGTTGGACCGTGCGTGTCGCTTCGACATCTGAGGTATGTGGGGGAGAAAAGATTACTTTAGCTCAATCCCTTCCTTAGGGCTGGCTTTAAAAAGAAAGTCGTTTCGAATCCGAAAAGTTTCAGTTATGTTTCGGTTGTTCAACATCGACATTCAACATCAACACTGAAAGTTGCCTTTAATTTGAGGTAACCTGGTAACTCAGTGAGCACACCTTTGTCGTTTCTCTTTTTTTCACCCAGTTTTAGCGCATCATAATTACCAAGTACCTAAAGGGTTTTTGTTCGGAGTGTATTGTTAAATTTGGTGAATAAGTACTTCTTGTTTGTTTTCTGGTGTATTTCGTTACGTTTCTTATGCAGCAGATGATCTACATTTTAGTCTGTATTGATGCTGTTTGTGAATTGCCATATTTTGTATAATTTATTAGTGTACACGACAAGCGAATCTGAGCATCTGTATTTCAGTTGAACCAACTCCTACGAGCTCTCTCTTTCCCCGAGCCTAAAACGGACCCCCCACCCCCAACCAAGGCCCCCCACTGTTCCCTTCTCATGATGACCCGGCTCTTGCTCGCTGTCGTTCCCTCGCATCGTATCCCGTGTCGTCATCCACCGGCGGCGGAAAAAAAATTCCAAAAATAATCAGGGGAACTCTTGTAGTTGACCCCGCGCTATGAATTCCATCTCAGATACTCGATACTGATCGGTGCGGAACGTTGGAATGCAGAGAACATGGGCATTTTCCCTATAGCATATCCTCGATTTTCGATTTTCGATTATCGTTTTGCAGTACTTCGTTGATCGTTTGTATACTAATTGGTTTATTACTAACTGATTTGAGCATGTAACAGACCACGGAAATGCCAGCATAAATGCAAGAATCGACTGAAGGCACCCTTATAAAATCACGCAAACTCGAACCCAGTCCATCGTTTGATGATTTGCAGAATTTTAGTTTTTTTAATATTCGGAGTATTCGAACCTAATACTCGAGTAAAGTACCATATACCAAGAAAAGATACAGGAAACATCGGTTCTAATAATGCTCATGCGCGGTGACACACCGATTATGCTTGTTCTCGTGTCAACGACAGAGGGCGAAGTAGCGCGTGTATGGCTTCCCATGCTATAATAACTGACGACCTCTAAAAGCTGCGAAAAAAAGGTCATTGTGAAGAAAAAATGTCCATGCAATATCCAAAGATTTGTCACGATCATGAAATATTTCCCCATGCAGCTCTTTGCGTCTCTACCCCCTCCTCCAAGTAATGCCCGACACGCCCACCCTCTTTGCCGACCTTTGACCTTGAGCACATTCTTCTCGTCATTGGCACATCTGTTCATTATTTGTATACGATGCATACCATGCACATAACTGTATTCCAACAAGTTCAAGTACATGACTTCTCAAGGACAGAAGTAGACGGGTTTCGCCAACTGAATATTATGGTCTACTTGCAGTGGTTCACTCAGATACCTTAAGCGTGCAAAACTAAATTCAGAACGAGTTCTTCAGTACATACGCCACATTACGTCAGATTTCTGGCCATTTCAAACGAAGAAAGGTACTCGGCTACTCGCAACGACAGAATGACGATGTAACATAAATGTCCCAGGATAAAATGGCTCGACCATTAACGTAATTAATCTTTGGTATTAATATCCACCCATAATAATAAGACATCGCTTGATATAACGCGCCTGTAGCAGTTTTCAGACCCATTCAGTTTATGGTAAATATTCTAATCGGATTGTAAGATTAAACTCCAAATTTGCACAGCGCAACTGTTTACCGTTAGATACACTCCAATCCTATTGATGAGGATTATGATGTGTAAAGTACAAAGATGAATAACATTCCAGACCTACCAGTGTTCTAACAAATGAGACTGTGCGTGTAGGGACCATGTAGGGCCTACTCTTGGAAAAACCCAAAAAGGATTGATCATTGACAAGCATCTGTCACTCTTTTTCACGATCTTGTTGCTGGTCAGCTAAACTGACTGACTGTCACTTGTGAAACAGGCAGTGCAATCGTATAGGAGTACCTTGTTAAGCCAATAAATAGGCTAAATCCGACCCAGTGTGTACACAAGATGCATGGAAAGACTGCCAAGTGTAAGCCCTTCTGAATCGACTCAGTATAATTTTGTGCGTCCTGTGAAACCAATTGTATTATAGACGTGCCTAGTCTTATTACATCTCGCCCATAAGCCATATGTACCACAGTACCACAATATGTAAAATGATCAACTTCAACGAGTAATATACAGCTTCCAAAATCTCCTCCAATGCCTTTCCCATTAAAATTGTACAATTGCTGAGACAAGTGGGGTATCTATTCGAAAGAGGGGCGGACACTTTCCAAAATAGATATGAGCAGGTTATTTTGGTATGCACCAGCTTTCATAAAATGCCAGCAAATTAATTCTTGTGCACCCCCTCCTGGCTTCTCAAATTATTTTCCGGTGAAAATTTTTGAGGTGACCTTCAAAAATATTTCTCGCCCTTGGCTAAAGATCCTGGTGTCAAGAACTTTGACGAAAATCGGAAGCGCGAACAGAAAGGCTCTTACCAAATTAAGTACTCTTGCCAAAGCATGACCCATCCTCTCCTTTTAAGACATCTGACGCTTTAATTTGTTGGGTTTTTTTTTCACTTACACAGCCATTGAAGCAATCTTACCATTAAAGATACTGACTGTTCCCCAGGTATGAACAATCTGGTTCCATAATGTCAAAAAATAAATCACAATTCGATCATGTCAAATGTCATGTTTTCATCGTCAGAAACATCTGTGTTTTGTCGACCTATTGCAGTGGCATTGTGCTTTATCATCAAAAAATTCCACACAAGTTTGTTTGCATTTCAAGTTGGAACGAACCTCCTACGCATGTAAAATTCCTCGTTCATGTTTTAATGCAAACATTTTTTTCGCCGTTTGAGCTGCACATTTTTCTCACAGTTCACATGATTTTCAGCTCCATTTTTTTTCCGAGTGGAAGTACCCTCGAGGTCAGTAAACCTCCGTTAGATTACCCAGCTGTCGGGGAAAATCACAATTCTAGCGATCAATGAAAGTTATCTTAAAGGTGAGGGAAGGAGTATGTTTGTACCAATTATGTCGGTACTGAAATAAGGCAACATTTGTTTGAAGTATGGATGTCTCCCACCTGTACTTCATGCACATACTGCATGGCTCAATACATCAGATAGATGTCACTTGAAAATTATAAATTTCTTGTAATCCTCGAAAGGTTGAACTTGTAACATATTTGGCAGTAATATAATGGAATGACAGTTATATTTATTTGTTCAGTACATATCCTTACCCAGGGTATGCCCAAACAGTTTAAAACTGGTTTTCATGGGGCCCTGCATACATTACAAATTGTGTTAAGCAAAGTAAAAAGCACAAGAAAAAAAAGCATTTGTGAAACAGATGATGAACATTAATACTTACAAATACAAGAACTTCAGACATATTTCACAAATAAAGCTATATACACAAGTTCAGTTTAAACATTGAAGTTCAAACAGTTTATATACATAAGTCTACAATTCTAAGTAAATTATTATTAATATTTTATTTTATTTTATTTTACATCGGATTTATTTTTGTGTAATGTATTGAAGAAAAAGAATCCCTTTTTTACCCAAAACTCCTTCCTGGTAGCGTCTTGTGTTTTCTGCCCTGGAGGGCGCACCTATTGTTGTCATTGACCCCGGTTGACCTCACCTGTCCGCTCTCGATCCCAGAACATCAGTCGTCACAGCCCCCAATCGGTGCTGTCCCAACGTATTAGGGTCACCTCGTGCCCAGGGGCTATCTAGCACCCAGGAAAACGTGACAACACTCTCAGATGGGACTCATCTAACCCGAGAAAGTGCCGAAATTACCGAATTCCTTTCATTATGGAAGCATTTTTGTAAGGCAAGTGTTGTAAACATCTGAATTCGTCGCAGCTGGCGCGTTTGCATTCTCTCTTTGATAAATAGTGCCATTGATTGATATTGGCATCTTCAAAACATGGTTTGGACAAAGAAACTTTACCTTTTGGCAGTAAATGCTGGACGGCGTTGAAGTTGTGTTTGGTGATATATTCTGGTAATTTCAGTAAACTCAAGACGGCGAATACAAATTTTAAGCTAAGTGCTAACTCAGCACTTGATGTCATCTGGTGTCCCCCATACCTAAGTTAAAATCACTAACATCACTTGACCATATTTGCAAGTGGAGACAAGTAAAAATGATTTTATATTCAACAAATGATAATAGTAGGATTAACCCCAACGAAGTTGGCAAAATTAAACAGTACTTGTTTTATGAGATCAACTCCCTCATCAATTAATTGTATTAGTGAATCCCACATTGCGTTTGTTAGGATGGTGCTATCATAGGATTGTCCTCTACCCATCGCGTCAGTATTCAATTAATGCAAAATACTTTTGTTGCACCACATCTTGGATATATTCATGCGAAACCTTGCTGAACATCACGTTGTAAAATAGCAAGTTTCGACATTCCGAGGTCCCACCGAGAACCTGGCCACAAGTTCCTCCAAACATTCCCCGAGGCAAGCCGCAAATCCTCCCCCTCGCAAAGTCAACAAACACGCTACGGCTCATGTTGTCGTACCGTGGCTTAGCCTTCCCCGGCAGCTAATCCCGATTCTTTCAGGAGGGACGGAGCGGAAAATCCTCCCGTCTACACCCTTGTGCATATAGTGGTGTTGGCTTTGGCTTTATAGTGGGGCTAGAAGTTCAGCCCAGGGCATTTGGGAGAAGGGGGGGGATATATAGACTCCGTCTATGTACATGTACGGTATACAGCTCCGTGTGCTGGACACTTTCCGTGCACATACGCGAGGACGAGTGCGTATTTGGCGCAAAGTTCGTAGTACGAAGTCTGTATCGTAATAATCTCCATGGTATCGTCTATCGTCCTTTTAAAAAGGGATGGGATAGTGGCCGTGTTAGCCCGATACTCTGTTACCCTTGGCGACATGAGAGCCAAATCTATAGAAATATCACCACATGACTACTTCTTGAAGTGTCTCACACTTTTCTTTTAAGAACACTGACCAAAAAAGTTTTGTGAAAAATCGAATGCTCCCAAGCATTTTCAACATCCGTTTAACATTAGGTTGACACATTTCAAAAACTGTAAAACAAAGTTTACTTCAAGCATATAATAGGCGACTTATTTCCAGTGTGCACCAAAAGCTGTGCTCAAATAGATTCCAGGTTTGTTTTGTGTGAGCAAGCAAGCATTCCAGGCCTCTGTAAATATTTACCAGTTGAAGACGCTAGAATATCGTTAGAGGCAAAATGTGCTTTTAGTTAGGTGACAAAAACCATATTCTTCGGTTCGAGAAAGCCCCGTTTTCCTTCCTTCGTTGCATGTGCAATTCACCGAATCTGAAGGCCTCTAAGTTGTATTACATGCAGCAAAATACAAAAGAAATGCCAGTTGACAACCGGAAACGGGCAGCTTAGAAAACATCAAGGATTGCAGAATACGCGTCAGTCATTGGTGTGTTTGTTTTCTCAGATACTTAAGTCCTCCCCACTGCAACAAATATTTCATTCTTCGCACCAGATTATCCCTAATGTCAATCATCATAACGGGATTATTTTGTTCAATAAATCTGACGGACCGGTTTATCTCTGGATAGTCAATTTTCACAAACCCCCCAAAAAGAGGGGGCTCTGTTTTGTACTTTGCTTGCATTCCAAATTGCAGAGCCATCAAGGTTTTGTGATTGAACAAAACTTATCATAGATGACTTCTTGAGACGTCCCCCTTATCTTGCTCAAATCCTGTATTGTTTGAAGACATTCTTGTGGAGATAAATCTCAAAGTTCCAGTCAAAATAGTCTCCCTCTTTCTCTGAATGTTGTCAAACAAAATTTCCCCCATTGTTCCCAAGGACAGGTATCGAGGTAACCTGAAATACCAGACATTGGTGTGTAAAGATGAAGCTTCTTCCGACACAAAGGGATGCAACACCCCCGGGCAGGTGGTCTGTCTGACAGGCTAATTCCATCATGTGTGTGTAATCAAGAAGCGAATCCGCCAATTCGGCTTTCTGTGAGAAATAGAACAGAGCTACATCCCAAAAAGTTATCTTTCTGCCGTTTGTAAACGAAGAGTACATGTGATCCTCATAAAATGTCATTCTGTGTATTTGAAGGCAGTTATTTAGTTAATAATATCAGTTTTGATAAGCAGAAAAGATTACAAGTTTTGATTTCAATTTTATCACGAAATAAACAAAATGCCTCTTGAGACGGGTCACACATTTAACTATGACATAGCTATCTTGAATTCTTGAGGTAGTAAAATTTAAAGCCGATAAGAGAGAGAGAGAGAAAATTAAGTTGATAAAGTTTTCGACCTCTGCTGGATATTGCTTTCAGCAACGACAGCAAAGAATGCCAATTTTGACACCTGCCAATCAAAGATCGACAAGTCGAGTTATAAGACATTGTTTGGATTCCGTCCGCATTATGAGCCCAATGCGTGACAATGACTACATTAAGGGGACAAGTCGACCGTGATGAACGGTGGAGTGGAGGGCCAAAGAGTAAATAGTTGGCACTCCTTGTCATGGATGTGATTTACCACCAGGCCAAGATTACCCTTTTTCGAAACATTGGGAAATCACGCAGGTGCGAGCATGCGTGTTTCGCAACACGGTCACTGCAGCACGGTGGAATATCATCACAAAACTGACGCATTTTTCCGTAAATTGGAGAAAACTCGTGAAGGAGAGCTTGTGACACCGACTACAGTAGACAGATTGAGAGGTACAACATTTAAGGTTTATTAATAAATATATTTAAACAATAAAAGGTATGGAGGACATTTTGATAACCTTAGTCGAATACTTAAAATACCTGTCTCGATCTGGGATCGGGGAAGCATTTCGTTGTCAGGTGGAATTCATGAGCAGCCTACAGTACTTAATGGCGTAGGCGTTGATGTCAAGTAAATAAGATGTGCCCTGGCTCTCGAGCAGGGAACGTAAAGTGAAAAGATTACTGAGTTATATCCCCTCCTCTCAGACTGCAGTATGTGAACACAAGTGACCTCTCATCCAAACTTGTTTCCCGTCTAAGAAATCGACTTTGCCAAGGAAAAACGCCACATGTTAATGGCAGCTGTTCTCGAACGATGGGATTGCAAGAAAATAAAAAATCATCGAAAAGAGGTGGTTCATAATTTGAGGATAGCCCTGGAAATGAACAGTGGCAAAAAATTACTTGGCAGTCCATGTAATGTATTATTCAGATTTTTTATCTTGCTTAAATTCGCCTTTTTGTAGAAATCGTTAGTGCACATGATTCCATGGTTAGATCTGAAGTGTGGTCGATTTGCTATTGGCTCAAAGTTGATGCGCATGCGCTGAATGATTCAGATCTAAATCGTGCACGCCTCTGGGAGTTGTCGGCGGTTAGTTTCAGAATACTACACCAAAAACTGAAAGTTAAAATGTAGGCTGGTGGTATTAGAAGAGCCAAAATGATACACTTACGAGGTTTCGAAACCACCTTGCCTATAAAAAAAAAAATAGTATTGATATGAATCACTTGTGAGTGCACTTTGAGTATAATTTTCCGGCAGATTTATTTCCAATTGAATTCTCGAATCCGTGTGAGAAGTTGCACTTTTGTCCCCCTCGAGGCTCGAAACAATCGAAGAGGTTTGACAGAGCAGGGAAATATGTTCCGTTTAATTGTAACATTTGGAACACTTTCAAGAGTTTGGACTTTTGTGAGTTCGTCAATATCAAAACCAACTGCCAACTACCGCACACTTCAATCAATCAATTTTTTGTCATCACTTCGCACTTGTTCATGTATGTGTCTCTTTTGTTTAATGTTTCAACTTTGTTGTGAGTTTTGTCGTTATAGTCAGTTACTTTTTATTTCCCCCTTGGGACGTTCTAGCAGATTACTGCAGTGCCCATTTGAGAATGGGGGGGGAGGAGGGGCGCTTGCCCCCCCCCCCCCCCCCCCCACGCTGGAAAGACAAATAAAGAGATGTGAAGTCATATTTGCTATTAATTTCATACACATTTAACAAAATGGGCGTCTGCAGGGGTGTCAATGGGGTTGGGGTGGGTAAATGTCCCTACGCCCACCCTGAAAAAAAATGATAAATTGAGAAAATGCTAGAGAAAGTACAAGGATTTCTGGGGCAAATATGCTTGAAAAAAATTCTGGTGACGCCCATGGCCGTATTTTGACGTAATTATACAATGGGCTGATTTGTAATTGAGAATGATTTCTTAATCATGCTTAGTCGAAAAAAAACATTTGAGCTCAAAGTTGAATAGTTTCCACATCAATTTATATTCTACTTATATTCTTGTTCAGTTTCTTTCCTGTAAATCATTGATTTGAACACAAGTTTTATTGATCTTTGTTATTTTGTTTTGCAGATGAAGATTCTTAAAACATCAATGTGAAGTTGCAACTTCTTGATAACGGTTCAGTCACAGGAGCACGTAGTCCCAAAAAGACTGAAGAGCGTATCGAACTGCTTATACCCTTACCTCCCCAGACTCTAAAATACACAAAGATGAAGAACCTGAGCTCACCTTGTTGCCAGGCAACCATCCTCCTCCTCCCAGTCCTCGTCATCATCCTGTCGCTATGTATAGCACCCTCTACTGCCCGTTACTGCGAGGAGAGAGAGTGTTGCTTGGGCAGAGATGACGACTGCCACATGCCTTACCCGGCCCTCGTGCCCAACACCAGGTGTTACTGTGACCAGTTCTGCAACCGGACCCAGACCGATTGCTGCCCGGACTTCTGGGGCTTCTGTCTGGGGATCGAGCCGCCTGTCCCCATCGTAAGAGGTAAACAGATACCAGGAAAATGCTTCTAGTTTATTGTCTAGTTTTCATCACCTATTGCGGATGGAACCCCCCCCCCCCCCCCCCCCGAAGTCGTGAGCCGGAATTTGGGACAATTTCCTCGAAAAAAAATATACATTTGGAATATGATTTCCTTATTTTTAAGAGCTGTTAAAGTCACTACTGCCGCGATATACTGCCCCAAAAATACACGGAAAGGTTGGATTAACCTTGAGCGAAAATTGACCAATAAAAAGGAAGATTTAAAAATGTTGGACCAATAGCAACCTGGTAAACTATTTCCCTCTCACGTTCCTTTGTCTTAATTATAGTTGTGTGCTCTTTTTGTTTGTCTCTTTCAACCCAGGAACCTGTTGTCATGACGGTCAAGACATCGAGGAAGGCAAATCCATAAAAATTAACTGCAATCGTTGGTGAGTTAGTGAACAATTATTAAACAAATGCAGCTATTGTCTCCTCTTGCCTCATTTTTTTCAAACGATGATTTTCATCTCCTTGAACGGCTGTTCATGTTACATCCATGTCAATCATCCATGAGTTGCATCCGTCAACAATGGACTCCTCAGAAACTATTTTCCATCTTATCGCTGAAAATATTCTCCATCGCTGCAAAGAAATCAAAAGGCTCTATAGAACCTCTTAAAAGTGTCGCAAAATAGAACAAAAATGCAGTGTCAAACACTACAGATCGAACAACAGTCGTTTTGAATAATAATTATGTGACTCGAAGACATTTTCCCTTTTTCCCTGATGCAGCCATTGCAAGAAATTGTTGTACGGGTTTTACGGATTCCAGTGCGAATCGAAGGTTTGTCTTGTTCAGCCGGAGGTGGCGGAGAGAGTCAACGTGAATGAAATTGGGTCAGTTATCCTTCCTGATTCTTTGAACTTTTTATCAAAGTTTGTCTGTTTTTTTCTGCTTTTTCGTCTTCCATTTTTGTGAGCTCGTTTATACCCCTAAATTGACATCAGCCCAGAACAGAAAACCTTTCCTACACTTTGCATTGCTTGTTTGAAATTGTTTCACATCACACAACCAAAATGTTCGGATTTCCCCATTCCCTCTGTTTTTGAAACACAATCTATAAACATTCTCCTTTTGTTATTTGGCTTTCGAACTAATCTACAGGGAATCAAATAAATACATTGCAAACAATACTTGTTTTCCTATCGCTAAGTATCGGTTTCGAGCCCCCCTGCCTTCGTGAAACCAAATTCAAGTTTCAAAACAACCTCCCAAATTTAAACAGCAAACGTCCCACGATGCTGTGTTGACTAAATATGACTTGATGTTTAAAAATACCTTCAGATCTAAATCATGAGCATTTTCAAGACGAAAGTCACCAAAAACTGACCACAAGAAATTGGAAAGGAAATGAGAAAAGCCAACAATGGTTGACAACGAATGCTTCAGAGAAGGTCCTTTTCCTCAGAATAAACACTTCGAGCAGTTGGAGACAAACACGATATTTTAATTATTGAAATATTTAGTGATTATTTTGAAGAAAATCTGTTTTTGTTGTCACTGAAAATAGTACTTTGTACTGGTGAGATTTTCAAAACCGACCGATTTTTCCCGTTGAGGCCTTACGTTTGCGTGCAAATCGCAACCTGCGATAGCTCGTAAATAAGTTTCAAGTTCATAAAAAGTCGAAATAAACACTGCTCCAGATTATTAAACCTTTGAACTTTTGACTTTTATCCTGTCCCGCATTACCTATCGTATACCGATCATGTTGAGGTGACATAATGTGAAGCTACACTGAGGTATGGAAGTACATAAACATGACAAGGGCTGAATATGACTTGAAAATGATTGAAAGGCTTTTTGAGGAATGTTGAAATGTTTCGAAACATTTGATGTCGATAAAAATGAATGCACGGACTTGACATTGTTTGATTTGTGTGTGATGTGTACATAACACGTCAAGAAATATGATGAGGATAATGTAATGTACATAAACTTTTGAAAAGTAAAAAGGAAACTTTACTTTGTGAAGAACACTTAAAAAGTATGCTTTGCTGAGTTCATTCATGAATATTGTTTATGGGTCACGCAGTTCTAATGAACTGGTGGTTAAAATCTGGTGGTTAAAATATCAGGCCCTTTCATCTTAAGTTAAATTGGTATAATTTGCAGGAGAGGGAGCACTGGGGTAGGGGGCCTCATTTTCTTGTAGGGGCACTAAATGTCCTTTTCAAGAGCTCATTTTGTGCCTCTGAAAAGGGGACGTGCCACCCATGTCGTCCCCCCCCCAAAAAAAAAAAAACTTCAACACTGAGAACAGTGAGACAGAAACAACAACATCCGCAAATTTTCTTTGTAATAGCTGGATGGCAGCTAACTACTCCGAGTTCTGGGGCATGACCCTAGAGGAGGGCTTCCAGTTCCGGCTGGGAACCATGAAACCCACGGCCGTGGTGGAAGCCATGAACGAGATTCGGATGGATGCTGCATCCTTGGACATCCCTGAGGAGTTCGATGCCCGGGATAAGTGGCCCAATCTACGAGACGAGGTGCTCAACCAGGGAGATTGTGCCAGCTCCTGGGCCCTCTCTACCGCCTGTAAGTATGAGCTGTGATGGGCCGTTTCGCGGATACCGCCATCTTTGAAATTTTAGAGGGCACCACAATGCAAATGGTCATTGTCTGTACAAATCCTGCTCTTGCTGTAAATATCATGGCGGTTTGAATTGATAAATCAGAGATTTCTAACGGAGGAATGTCAAGACTGGGTACCCCTCCATTGATGACTCATTGATGTCAATTGCTAACGTCATCACGCCTCAGGAGGGCAGTGACGTCACACCTACAGGGTAACAGATTTTATACAGTGGGTGTATTTATGGGCGAGATTCTCATATGTATTTAAGTTTCAAAAATTGAAATAATGTGATTATTACAATTTTTTTGCTTTTTTTCCCAACCAATCAGCTGTCGCGTCTGATCGTCTTGCCATCCAATCAAACGGTACGATAGCCATGGCCCTGTCACCCCAACACCTACTGTCGTGTAACATCAGACGGCAGCAGGGTTGTCATGGCGGCCATCTTGACCGTGCGTGGTGGTATCTGCGCAAGAAAGGGTGAGTCCAAATCCAGAAAGGGGGATGTAAATCAGGAAAGGGCGAGAGATGGAGAGCCTTAAAAAGAAAACGGTTACCATACTTTTTTATAGCAGAACAAAATCTCATACACTTTAATAGTCGCGTTTCATTTCAACTCATTTTTGGCTGAAAACTGACGCAATAATATTCTTGTTTCCCCTCCAACACAGCATAGTTACCACTGACTGTTACCCGTACAAGAGTGGAATGTCCTCAGATATGAAGATGGATAAAGGTTCTTGCTATATCCGTGGCGAGCAGGCCGCCAACTATTGCCCAAAGGAACGCCAGACTAGTGATAGATATTTCTCGACCCCGCCGTACAGAATTTCTGAGGATGTAAGTCACGTACATAAACAAACCAGAATGCCAAGTAAAGTGATACCTATACAGAAATCAATATAGACTGGTTCCCTTACCATTAAGTATACACTTTGAAGAGAGGTGTAGGAACCAGACTAAAAGATAGTTCTGTTACCTTGATAGTCTGACCAATCAGCGGGCTTCTCAGCTATGACATTCCAAACTACTCCTAATTGATTGGTCAATCAGAGCAAATGACATTATTGGTAGCTTGAGGGACAATATTGTTGTTGGAATGATGTACAAAAAGATAACAGAGGGTTTTTTGTTATAAGTACGCCAACTTTTTGTGGAATTTTTCAACCTTATAACACAGGAAGAAGAAATAAAGGCAGAAATACTGATGAATGGTCCTGTTCAAGGTAACTTTTTATTCCATTTTTTAACTATTTCTTTCAAAAATCAAAGTGTAACAACTTTTTCATATTATACCAATCTTTAATTAGAAGCACATATGCCTCAGCCGGTTGTTCTAAGAAGACTTCTTGCACTAACAGGCAGCTTTTTTACTTCTCGACATTTTGCCTCAGCCGTCCTCCACGTCCAGGAGGATTTCTTCATGTACAGAAGTGGCGTCTATAAGCATTCCAAGATGGCGGAGAAGGACGAGCAGAAAGCGGCTGGTTGGCACTCTGTCAAGCTTGTGGGCTGGGGAGTCGATAAAACGTCCGGCAAACCTATCAAATACTGGGTAGGTATTTCCCAACAGTTATTTGAAAGTTCGCATTTGATTTAGCTGGCGTAAGTTAGGGAATTAGATTGTTTTGATGATAAACAATTCGTCTCTGTTTTTGCCCATAGATTGCCGCCAATTCGTGGGGTAAAGGCTGGGGAGAAGACGGCTACTTCCGAATCCTACGAGGCAAGAACGAGTGTCAGATTGAGTCTTTCGTGGTCGGTGTCTGGGGGAAAGTCGACCCTGACATGATCAACGGTAACAACTTGCCAGTCTGATTCTAGCCTCAGTCGCGTGCCCAGTTTACCCTCATACAGAGATTGTCTTCCAACACAATACGCGCACGCATAATATACTTATTTTTAAGTACCCTACCTCCGATTCCTTCCTCATTTGTACGGTCACGCGCGTTCTGTCCTTGGACAAACTTGGCACAAAGACAGTTCGAGCACGCCATATCGGGAAGGTAATGAAATGCAAATGGCAGAGATGTAAGTAAAATATTTTGTGACACAATGAAATGGATTATCGAACGATAAACTTTGGCCCCATGTTTAAATTTCTGCGTAGAACAGTGGTCTCCAAAAGCGACGACGAAGTTAATGTTGAAACAAGATTAACCTCTTGTACAAAATGTCGGCAAAACCGTCGGCAAACCGATTACCGTACTGTGTAAGCTAGTGTAAAAACAATGGTGGTGCAGTTTCTGAGCCGAGGACATGAGGCAACATAGCCAACATGATTCATTATATTCGTGAACGAACAGGCGGAACAGTGCCAAACTTTGGCTAGTTGCCAAATGTTTACGCGATGCTCATTGGACCGTTGTTCACACATGATGGCATCCTTTGTGGAGAACTGCGCATGCTCTGTGACCTAATGTAAGGATATGCAGTGAAATGACCCTTAGTTTGAAATTCCTCCATCCAAATCTATACGCTGACGCTGAAACTATTTCATGTCTTAATATCTGAAGATTTACTCAAAGTCCGAACTATATGCTCCTGCTTATAGTGTGTCATGTGTTAGTCATGTGATGAATAATGTATTCGTGTATCCTGCGCACGCGCACGATCACAATTTACAAACTTTAGCGCATGCACACTTGCATGAAATCAAAACTAACAAATTGAGACTTTGTTTATTGGTGCTTCGAGTTCGCTCTTTTATTTAAAGACAAAATACAAAAATGTAATATATAGTTCTTTCTTTTAGATTATACTGTAAAGTTTTATATTATGACAGGGTATAATGGCTGAATGTGATTTTTTTTTTACAACGCAAGCCATTAAATATTTAGCACTTATGCTGCAGTATTTTCATTACTAACCTGCTTGCCCACATAGAGGGCGGTATGCACAATGGTTGGTCATTTTGGGTAACTGACGTTGTGGACATGCATCGTCGTGTGACGTCATGAATTGGTTCATGTTATCAGCCGTTCAGGTATTTTCCTTAACCAAAATAAGGATCGGTGTATACTTTCGTTTTTTTCGTGATTGTCACCAGTCAAGAACGAAAATTGACTCGAAATGATGATGAAAATTCAGCCATTCAACTGGATAACATTACAAAAACATTAATGTTCATCACCATGTATCTAGCATTAAGGACTAGATCTTTCAGCATTCTTATAAACCATTTGCAGCATGTAGGTAAGCTTCGGTTGTATTATAATGTGTCTTTTGTACTTCCAAACTATATATTCTGCCGCACAAGTTACACAACATGACGCCCGTTATAATGCAAGATAGAAAGAATTAACGGGTCTGATATAGTGTCGTTTGATACGCATGCGCAATGGAGTGTTTCGATCGGAAACATTAAAGGTTTCTTTTTTACAAATTTGTCATTACATATTGAGAAATTGTTTTAATTCATTTGAGGATCTTTTCCTTTGATCGTCATCTCCGAGCTAATTCTGGGTTTGAAGATATGAAAGTTCGATTTCAAAACCGTAGATTGGCCTTTTACTTAATTGCAAGTTTCTATAAAGCAAATTAGTAAAATCAGTCGTCACACACACAACGCTGTGTATTTGTCACATTTGTTATCAATGCAAAATGTATTTGCAAAAATTCATTATAGATTTTACATTTCGATTAGACAGAATAATTTTTTTCAGTGTATATTTTTTGTATCGCTTTTCAGGATTGTTTAAAACTTGTTGTGTAACCGATTAAGCATGATTTTCAATCGTAAAATATGCGATAGTTTTCTAATGGTAGCAATGTTGTATCTTTTATGGCCACAGGCTGCAAATTGAGTTATATTTTTAGTTTTTCAGATCTAGAAAATGACTCACCACTTTCATTGCATAAAGGTAATATACAACATTTGCAAACACCAACAAAAATATTGTGAAATACCTTACTTGACTGTAAGTCAATAACAGTTTCACGCATCCTGTAAAATCATGGCACCTGGTGTGCTGTCTTTTCCGAGAAAAGTGGAATTTTCGTATCGATTTCCAACGATGTTCGGCCGACCTTCGTTGGCAAAAACTGACGGCTTGGTTTTTTTTCAAATAATGCCCCCAATTTACCAAAATTAGTTAGTCCACATCCGTTAACGGGTGCAAGCCAGCTGGTAGGGAACCAGACTACAAGAACAGCATATCATTTCTTGGTCTTTCCCATTATCTATACGAACATAACACTTTAAACAGGTCAGTGTAACAATATTTGCTAAAAAAAACTGACACCCAAATCCATCTATTTCTGAAAATAATAGCAAATCTAATGTTGTATATAACCTTTGAAGGAAACCGGCTTGTAAAAAAGAATCGCTCTTCTTTTGCTATACTTTCGCTTTAACACTGTGCCAATCAATATGCAAACCGAGTCCTAAAAAATACGGAGAAATTACTTTTTTCTGTTAAATACGTCAGTTTATCCCGGCCTTTATTCAAAACGATAAACTATATAACAGAGCGAACATCTTGAGAGTTATTGGTGGAGCTAACCTTTCTGTGTAAACTTACTCTTGATCTTGTTCTTAAAAATAATCTCAAGCCAGTATGTGACTATCAGCGTACTAATGTCACCGTCTTTAAAGTGCTCCGTATACCAAACGAAAGAGTGTTTGAATTTTTACATAAAACTGTGAAATATATCAAGGACATACAGGAATCTAAGAGCAATTTTCCAGAAACAGTTCGGGATCTAACAACAGAATGATTTTCGGTAGGAAAGCCTTGAGGATTTCGACGGGTATCATCAATGTTCCACATAAATCATCTTCTTCCTTCAATGCATGTTTAATAATAAATAATTATCTCAGTTTTTCTTTTAAAGGCTAGCTCGCTTTATTTCTATCCATCTCAACGTGAAGTTAAATCAGCTTTAAGCAGAGATACTTATATGACGACTTATTGTGAAAGATTGAATAAAATATTTTGGGGGAAAAATTCGTGTGTAGTGACATCGCTTCCTATCCTTTGAATGTAATTTTCTGGCACACTAATGTTCAGCTTAGATTGTCACCTGATCGCATTAAACACTTCGAATATTATTACTCATGTTGCTCATCACGTGATACTGATGAGCAACATGAACCACGTGCAAGAATCTTCCTCCGTACTAGAATGAACAGAAATGTCGCCGAAGCGCTAACAAAGATGGCGGCGGTGACGAGAAGACTGGCGAAATAGCTCCCAGTGGCGTCAAACAGTGAGCCTGGCAACAAAGCAGGAGAACAAAAATACGAATATACGTGTAACTAACACAGAGCGAGAGGAACAATCAGTGGTTCTTGTCGGGGTTGGGGTCGAGCTCATCCTAGTCCCGGGCCTTCAGTCAGAGTTGGATTTCGAGTACGAACTCCGGTCAAAAACCGAGCCCTGTTAATCTGCGTCAGATTCCCTAACACGTGGGCATTAATCCAGTCTCAGACTCGGGCATAGACTGGAGACCAAGTTCACATTATAATTAAGAAATAACTGGTTTCGAAACAAGGAAGGTTTAATACAGTGAAATAAAAGTACCAAGCATAAATAGTCCTTGTTATTACAATTTTGCATCTTGAGCCTAAGCCTAGTCATGTCAGACTGAATACATTTAAGAGTTATCAAAACGTCCATCGGCATCTCGTTCCCGAATTGTCTTAAGGAGGTTTTAGGCCCCTGACTTCGCCGGGGAATTAAGCTCGATATGGCTCCCTGTCCTGCTTGATGGACATCAAAACCTGTGATGCCTAAGTTTAGCTAATATCATTTTATTTGGATATTGCAGCTTGCTCAAATAATTCTGCAGAGGCTTTCTCAAATACTTCTGCAGCTTGGGATGGAGCCGAAGCCACAAACGAGAACGAGGTTTCACAACTCCTAATATTATAGTGTGTACCTGATAAAGGAGCACTGATTAGGACCCCGAACCCTGGTGGAACCAGAGTAAGAACCATGACGGTACTGGTTCCGTACATCTCTAAGAACAGTTCAGCGCCTGCGGCATACAATACTCCATACGCTCCCGCTCGCAGAAAACCAGATGCTGAAAGAGATATTGTGGTTCAGGCTTTAATATAAAACCCTTCATGGTTTGTTTTGATATCAGTGGTTGGGTGTAGGAAGACCGTGGACCTTAGATAGCAATAAGAATAAACCACATGTCCTCGGTAACTTTTGTCCGAAATGGTCCTCGCTGGTGATTTAAATATTCAATTGGGAAAAATGTTATCCGAATTAGCAACAAGAAAAATATTACACAAAGGTCCTCGGTAGGAAGTTTTGTCCAAAATGGTCCTCGCAAGTGTTTTTAACATTTTCATTGGGAAGTCATGTTCGATGATGTGAGTGGATACATAAACATTGCCGAATACAATACTTTTTCTTCAAGTCGGGTATTTACTACAAACAAAAGATATAATGAAAACTAAACATTCACCTATTGCAATTGACATCATCGCAGTAAACGTCTTGGCAATGGTCATCAATACCAGAGGAACGGCTGCAAGAAGACACGTGGAGACTACGACATACAGATACTGGAATGGCAGATGGTCTCCTATCAACGCAATGAGCATTTTCCCGACAAGTTCTCCACCGGCAAAGGCCATAATGACGTAGGAGATCTGGTTGCTATGGAGATCTCGTCCGGCCATGTAACTGGCCTACAAGAGAACGTGCAAATGGGTTAAATCCAAATGCTTAATAAAAATGTTCGGCTTGTTGTGGTAAAACAAAGCTATATGATAGGCCCTATATCTTGTATTAATAATGATCTCGTATTGGTGTTTTCTGTAAGAAATTCTTTTTGCCAAGTGTCCTTCCCTTAAAACTGAATGGGTAGCGAGGATTGGTATTGCATAAATTTGGTAGACATCGGTAGTATGTGTGATTTCTTTTGAGGAATGCAGAAAACGGACCTTTTTTTAAAATGGCTGTAAATATTATACTTACAAAATTGATGTCGAAAAATGTCCATCCCAAGAACGTGAGGAAATTGGCAACAGACCACAACCATAACTCCAGACTTCGCATCATTCGCCGCACTTCACACCAATCGTGCTTGGTATTGTAAGACTCGCGGTTTGACACAATGGCGTCATCTTGCTCAGTCCTTTTCTTTTCCTCGTTCTCCTTTTCACAACTCTCATCGGCCCGTCCCCATTCCAGGATGTTTTTCATTTCGTGCTCATTCTGTTCTGTGTCCTCGTATCTATTTTGCAACAGGGGGGTGTCCTCTGTGGTCGGGGGATCGGTCAGAAGCAATCCGTCGGCGACGCCCACCACGAATATCCCTCCGCTGAGAACTCTCAGTGCATTGCGCCACCCATAGTTAGTTATGAGTATTGTCAGTAATGGGCTGAAGGCGAGCATACCTGCACGTTGGGAGAAACCCAATGAAATTCACTTTCTTAAAAAGAATAGGTACCTTCTCCCCATGATTTGTGATATTTGAAAATCCACACCCGGTTTTATTTGATCATTTTCCCAAAAACAAAAACAAGAGTCGCATCTTCACCATTATCAATTGTTTTTATCATCTATTTGATTTTTAAATCGAAGTTTCAAAAGTCAAATTTGATTGCACACACGCGGATTTCTCAAAATATTTAAACAAAATTAATGTCAGTACCTGAGGTGGATCCCAACAAAGCGATTGCACTCGCACGGGCAAAGTTGCCCTTCGCAAACCATTCCAGCAACAGTTCAAGCGATGAATGAAGCGTGAGATTGGCGCCAACACCCGATAGGACTCCGTACGTTATGTACGCGTAGCCCAGCGCCGGTACGAATGACGTCATCAAAAGTCCTGTGCAGAACAGCACGAGTCCGATCAACGTGACTGCCCTCTTGCTTAGCCTCTGCTCGAGCAGAACGGTCACGGGACTGAATAGTCGGGCTAAGGCGGCCGATAAAGATCCCAACCAACCTGTTAATGACAATAACGTTGTACACAAAATGTATCTAAAGGATTTGACTAATTAAAGTATACCTATAAGCGTACGACCCCCGATGCATTTGACGCATGTAACTTACAGTGTTTTCAAGTTTCTCTGCATTGCTTGGATATTTGAAGAAAACAAAATTGAATTTGTACCTGTTATTGCCGCAGTGGACTCGAACTCGTCCTGAAGACTCAAATACAATATGCTGAAATTGAACATTGGTCCAAGAACGAGGAAATACAGCGCGAATGTTGCCAGCGTGATCACCCAATGCCACCGTCGGAGACAGGTTTGTAGGATGGCCATTGCTGCTTTCGCGTAAGTCGTCAGTGGTCTCTTCGTGGTCGTGTAAAAGCCGGCTCTAAGTTCAGATTTATTAAACACCTTTCCATGAGCACAGCGCCATTCATGGTCCCCATTTTATACAGCAAGCTGTTGGTCTCTATAAGTTGTATAGTCACATGTAAACCATACAAAAAAATCACTGTGAACTATACTTGCTATGCTCAAACACAACTGAATTGTCCTTTCAATTTTGGTCAAGGCCACAAGCTCGTAGCACAATGCCCTCAGTAGACCGAGGAAGAAAAAAATTAAACGATCTGTATTTTCATGCATGATGCCAGCGGGGAGAAAAGAACCTGTACTCTGAATCCATTTCGGAGGTATTTTTATTCAACCAAGATTATTTTTAACGAACGGATATGGGACTATACTCGATCTTTACCTCAAGCAAAATCACAGAGCCATAAATCATAGAGAAAGGGTGAAGTGCTTTTGATGGAAAAGTAGAAACTTCATAAAATACGATAAAAGAATGAAAATTCATCCTTTTTTATTTATCTATGTATTTATTTATATATTTGTTTTGGGAAGTGGGGTTGGAATAACTAGGTCACAGTCTCGATTCAACCTTCCCCCGAATCAAAACTTTCAATGGTAATCTCAAGTCACGTGATCTTATTTCAACCACTTTTACTTTACTTCTTACATTTTATACTAAATAATTGATATCTATAAATTATAAATGAATATTCATCTACACTAAGTGCACTGGTGGTAAAATCGTTCTGGTAAAAGGTATGTCCTTCATTAATTAAGAATAGTGTTTGGCTGTGTTAATGGCGCATATGGTAAACCGTTGCTAAGAGGTATTTTGCAAAGAAGCTACGTCCCTGCACATGGCCATGCAGGTGCTTGTACTTTTGCATTCGTCAGATATCATTCAGTAGAGTTGGAAGTCTGATACCCTAAGCTCGAAATACCCTGACTCATCATTGAAAACAACTGTTGGAGACACTTTGTCACGATGGCATCCAAATCCATCTATTTCTGAAAATAATAGCAAATCTAATGTTGTATTTAACCTTTGAAGGAAACCGGCTTGTAAAAAAGAATCGCTCTTCTTTTGCTATACTTTCGCTTTAACACTGTCCCAATCAATATGCACCCCGAGTCCTAAAAAATACGGAGAAATTACTTTTTTCTGTTAAATACGTCAGTTTATCTCGGCCTTTATTCAAAACGATAAACTATATAACAGAGCGAACATCTTGAGAGTTATTGGTGGAGCTAACCTTCCTGTGTAAACTTACTCTTGATCTTGTTCTTAAAAATAATCTCAAGCCAATATGTGACTATCAGCGTACTAATGTCACCGTCTAAAGTGCTCCGTATACCAAACGAAAGAGTGTTTGGATTTTTACATAAAACTGTGAAATATATCAAGGACAAATCTAAGAGCAATTTCCCAGAAACAGTTCGGGATCTAACGACAGAATGATTTTCATTAGGAAAGCCTTGAGGATTTCGACGAGTAGCATCAATGTTCCACATAAATCATCTGCTTCCTTCAATGCATGTTTAATAATAAATAATTCTCTCAGTTTTTCTTGTAAAGGCTAGCTCGCTTTATTTCTATCCATCTCAACGTGAAGTTAAATAAGCTTTAAGCAGAGATACTTATATGACGACGTATTGTGAAAGATTGAATAAAATATTTGGGGGAAAAAAAATTGTGTGCAGTGACATCGCTTCCTATCCTTTGAATGTAATTTTCTGGCACACTAATGTTCAGCTTAGATTGTCACCTGATCGCATTAAACACTTCGAATATTATTACTCATGTTGCTCATCACGTGATACTGATGAGCAACATGAACCACGTGCAAGAATCTTCCTCCGTACTAGAATGAACAGAAATGTCGCCGAAGCGCTAACAAAGATGGCGGCGATGACGAGAAGACTGGCGAAATAGCTCCCAGTGGCGTCAAACAGTGAGCCTGGCAACAAAGCAGGAGAACAAAAATACGAATGGACGTGTTACTAACACAGAGCGAGAGGAACAATCAGTGGTTCTTGTCGGGGTTGAAGTCGAGCTCATCCTAGTCCCGAGCCCTGTTAATCCGCGTCAGATTCCGTAACACGTGGTCTTAAATCCAGTCTCAGGCTCAGGCATATAGCCTCGAGACCAAGTCCACATAATAATTAAGAAACAACTGGTTTCAAAACAAGGAAGGCTTAAAACAGTGAAATAAAAGTACCAAGCATAAATAGTCATTGTTATTACAATTTTGCGTCTTGAGCCTAAGCCTAGTCAGGTCAGACTGAATACATTTAAGAGTTATCAAAACGTCAATCGGCATCTCGTTTCCGAATTGTCTTAAGGAGGTTTTAGGCCCCTGACTTCGCCGGGGAATTAAGCTCGATATGGCTCCATGTCCTGTTGATGGACAACAAATCCTGTTAAGCTTATATCTATTTTATTTGGATATTGCAGCTTGCTCGAATAATTCTGCAGCTTGGGATGGAGCCGAAGCCACAGACGAGAACGAGGTTTCACAACTCCTAATATTATAGTATGTACCTGATAAAGGAGCACTGATTAGGACCCCGAACCCTGTTGGAACCAAAGTTAGAACCATGACGGTACTGGTTCCATACATCTCTAAGAACAGTTCAGCGCTTGCGGCAAACAATACTCCATATGTTCCCGCTCGCAGAAAACCTGATGCTGAAAGAGATATTGTGGTTTAGGCTTTAATATAGAACCCTTCATGGTTTGTTTTGATATCAGTGGTTGCGTGTAGGAAGACCGTGGACCTTAGATAGCAATAAGAATAAACCACATGTCCTCGGTAACTTTTGTCCGAAATGGTCCTCGGTGGTGATTTAAATATTCAATTGGGAAAAATGTTATCCGAATTAGCAACAAGAAAAATATTACACAAGGGTCCTCGGTAGGAAAATTTGTCCAAAATGGTCCTCGCAAGTGTTTTTAACATTTTCATTGGGAAGTCATGTTCGATGATGTGAGTGGATAAACATTGCCGAATACAATCCTTTTTCTTCGAGACAGGTATTTACTACAAACAAAAGATATAATGGAAATTCAAAACTAAGTATTCACCTATTGCAATTGACATCATCACAGTAAACGTCTTGGCAATGGTCATCAATCCCAGAGGAACGGCTGCAAGAAAACACGTGGAGACTACGACATACAGATACTGGAATGGCAGATGGTCTCCTATCAACGCAATGAGCATTTTCCCGACAAGTTCTCCTCCGGCTAAGGCCATAATGACGTAGGAGATCTGGTCGCTTTGAAGACCTCGTCCGGCCATGTAGCTGGCCTGCAAGAGAAGGGGCATGGCAATGCATGGTGTTAAATCCAAATGCTTGGACCGATCCAGTAAGCACCGCCCATGGTGTTCTGACCAATCACAGCCGTGATTTATGTCCGATGTGCGTGCACAAAAGTCCGACATGCGTGCACGCGCGTATGATGCGCGCGGCAGGAAAATGCAGTATGGCATTGGAGAGGATCAGGAGCACGTGTTAATTTGTCCAGTGCGTAGTGGGCGGGGCTTCCTGGATCGTTTGCGAGTTAGCCACGCCCCTTAGATATCCCTGTGGAATTTGTGTACGCTAAGTTTTGTTTGTCTCGGATATTGTGCGTTCCGCGTCGATTCAGTGTCGGCTTTTTCGGGGTTTTTAATCTTCATTATTATATGTTGTGGTAATTTAATATATCTCTATGAGTAAAAACCAAGCTATATGATATGCCATATATATCTTGTATTTAAAATTATCTCGTATCGGTGTTTTCTATAAGTAATTCATTTTGCCAAGTGCCCTTCTCTTAAAAATTTATGGATTAGTAAGGATTGGTATTGCACAAATATTGTAGACGTGACATCGGTAGTATGTGTGATTTCTTTTGAGGAATGCAGAAAACGGACCTTCTTTTTTAAATGGCTGTAAATATTCTACTAACAAAATTGATGTTGAAGAACGTCCATCCCAAGAACGTGAGGAAATTGGCAACAGACCACAACCATAACTCTAGACTTCGCATCATTCGCCACACCTCACACCAATCGTGCTTGGTATTGTAACCCTCACGGTTTGACACGATGGCGTCATCTTTCTCAGTCCTTTCCTTTTCCTCGTTCTCCTTTTCACAACTCTCATCGGCCCGTCCCCATTCCAGGATATTTTTCATTTCGTGCTCATTCTGTTCTGTGTCCTCGTATCTATTTTGCAACAGGGGGATGTCTTCTGTAGTCGGGGGATCGGTCAGAAGCAATCCGTCGGCGACGCCCACCACGAATATCCCTCCGCTGAGAACTCTCAGTGCATTGCGCCACCCATGGTTAGTTATGAGTATTGTCAGTAATGGGCTGAAGGCGAGCATACCTGCACGTTGGGAGAAACCCAATGAAATTCACTTATAAAAGTGAATTCACATATAAAAAAAATATGTACCTTCTCCCCATGATTTGTGCTATTTGAAAATCCACACCCGGTTTTATTTGATCATTTTCCCAAAAACAAAAACAAGAGTCGCATCTTCACCATTATCAATTGTTTTTATCATCTATTTGATTTTTAAATCGAAGTTTCAAAAGTCAAATTTGATTGCACACACGCGGATTTCTCAAAATATTTAAACAAAATTAATGTCAGTACCTGAGGTGGATCCCAACAAAGCGATTGCACTCGCACGGGCAAAGTTGCCCTTCGCAAACCATTCCAGCAACAGTTCAAGCGATGAATGAAGCGTGAGATTGGCGCCAACACCCGATAGGACTCCGTACGTTATGTACGCGTAGCCCAGCGCCGGTACGAATGACGTCATCAAAAGTCCTGCGCAGTACAGCACGAGCCCAATCAACGTGACTGCCCTCTTGCTTAGCCTCTGCTCGAGCAGAACGGTCACGGGACTGAATAGTCGGTATAAGGCGGCCGATAAAGACCCCAACCAACCTGTTAATGACAATAACGTTGTACACAAAATGTATCTAAAGGATTTGACTAATTAAAGTAGACCTATAAGCGTAAGACCCCCGACGCATTTGCTTCAATATCGTATTTAAAGGCCACCGCATTACGAATTCTAAAGTAAGTGATGGGAGACAATGATTCAACTTATTAATTTTAATAGAAATAGGGCGAAACATTACTAACAAGCACCTGATCGATAAGTCTTTACTAATTTAGCCATTTTCTCCTATATTTTTGTTATGAAAACCAATATTAGTATTCCATAGTCATCGCAATCGTCACATACGCTTAGCAATATCAATTCAAGGCAATACAATTGCGTTGGTCGCCGGACAACCAGCATAAAAAGAATTTAAAATGCATTAAGCTTACAGGCTTCTGTTTTTTTTCTTTCGTGAAAACGACACAAATCCACCATCCATTATGACATCGCATTTTGTCACAGACGGTTGGAAGCTCAAACTGAATATGGCATTGTGTGGGTCGGAGGGCAGGTAGCGTGACAATCAAATGCAGGCGCGGTTCAAGAGTCTATATTGGGGGGGGGGGGCTAGCAGGGGTGGATCCAGAAATTTTCGCAGGGAGGCGTGCTAAAAACGAGACTGTTTTTTTTTTTTCGGACAGTTAGCCTCCGAAAATCAATAGGGGGCTTGTACCATATCGTCGGCGTTTTCACGTAGTCGGGTTTTTGGGTGCTATTTTGACTTAACTCTGTGTTCTTAACATTTCTGCAAAGTTTTAAGGCTTATGTTTAATTAATTAATTACGCTATTTGCATAGGTGGCAAATCCGTTGCCCTCCGGAGTTTGTGTTTTCACCAAGTGGCGAATAATATAAAATGGAGGGTCCTTACAATTCCACGAACATTTGTTCGAGTAGTGAATACAAAGACCAACACAAGATATTAATATTATTGTACCCACATGGAATTTTAAACGGGCTTTTTTAGGTTCTGTGCAGTATTTTATCGGCAGAACAAGACGGCAGAACAAGACGTACGTTCTGAAATAAGTATAAGTAAGAATGCAATTTACAGTTGTTTTTTAAGTTTCTCTGCATTGCTTGGATATTTGAAGAAAACAAAATTGGATTTGTACCTGTTATTGCCGCAGTGGACTCGAACTCGTCCTGAAGACTCACATACAATATGCTGAAATTGAACACTGGTCCAAGAACGAGGAAAAACAGCGCGAATGTTGCCAGCGTGATCACCCAATGCCACCGTCGGAGACAGGTTTGTAGGATGGCCATTGCTGCTTTCGCGTAAGTCGTCAGTGGTCTCTTCGTGGTCGTGTAAAAGCCGGCTCTAAGTTCAGATTTATTGAACACCTTTTCCATGAGCACAGCACCATTCATGGTCCCCATTTTATACAGCTAGCTGTTGGTCTCTATAAGTTGTATAGTCACACAAAAACCATACAAAAAAATCACGGTGAACTACTTGCTATGGTCAAACACAACTGAATTGTCCTTTCAATTTTGGTCAAGGCCTCAAGCTCGTAGCACAATGCCCTCAGTAGACCGAGGAAGAAAAAAATTAAACGATCTGTATTTTCATGCATGATGCCAGCGGGGAGAAAAGAACCTGTACTCTGAATCCATTTCGGAGGTATTTTTATTCAACCAAGATTATTTTTAACGAACGGATATGGGACTATACTCGATCTTTACCTCAAGCAAAATCACAGAGCCATAAATCATAGAGAAAGGGTGAAGTGCTTTTGATGGAAAAGTAGAAACTTCATAAAATACGATAAAAGAATGAAAATTCATCCTTTTTTATTTATCTATGTATTTATTTATATATTTGTTTTGGGAAGCGGGGGAGGGAATAACTTACTATAGGTCACGGTCTTGAATCGACCTTCCCCCGAATCAAAACTTTCAAAGGTAATCTCAAGTCACGTGATCTTATTTCAACCACTTTTACTTTACTTCTTACATTTTATACTAAAAAATTGATATCTATAAATTATAAATGAATATTTATCTACACTAAGTGCACTGGTGGTAAATCGTTCTGGTAAAAGGTATGTCCTTCATTAATTAAGAATAGTGTTTGGCTGTGTTAATGGCGCATATGGTACACCGTCGCTAAGAGGCATTTTGCAAAGGAGCTACGTCCCTGCACATGGCCATATTGCAGGTGCTTGTACTTTTGCATTCGTCAGATATCAATCAGTAGAGTTGGAAGTCTGATAAGTCTGATACCGTAAGCTCGAAATACCCTACCTCATCATTGAAATCAACTGTTGGAGACACTTTGTCAAGATGGCAACTTTTACCGCTAGTTTCACTTTTGTCAAGCTTTTTACGCTGTTGGCGAGTGCGGGATTTCAGATTCTGCTAGCCGTCTGTACATGTCCAGCCGGCTGGTTGGCCTGGCAAGACGCCTGTTACATCTTGCTGCCTGACAAGATGGATTGGTGGCAAGCTAAGGAGGTTTGTGATCGGCCCGGGAGCAGCCTGTTTGTTCCTAACTCGAAGGGAGAAGAGGACTTTATCTGGCAGGAAATGAAAGTGAGGATGGCTGATTATGGAGCCGTTGAAAAGACTGATTTTGAATTGTGGTTTGGATGCAAAGATGATTACAACAACGGCTCGCTTTCGTGCCTCGGTATTTCCGGGGATCTTGTCTATAAAAACTGGGCATTTAGTGGACCGGATAATGTTAACGAACTGTGTGTCCGAATGGCTCAGAAGTTCAACGGTAAGTGGAGCGATACAATGTGCGGTGAGTTGAAATACGCCGCTTGTGAGATGCGCGCCTCTCGTGTCTCCTTCTGCATGCCGACCGATGGTGACGGCCATTGCCCGCCTCACTGTCTGCTCGACCACGGGATCAAGAACCTGACGACCGGAGTTACCGGATGTGCCTGGGCATGCTGGGAAGAGCCTCGATGCCACTCCTTCAATTTCTGGCAGAAGAAGGAAGAAAACGCGGGAATCTGTCAGCTCAACAACGCAACTCGCCTGCAGGCCGCTGCCGAAGATTACAAGTACGTGGAGGACTGCTACTTCTACGAACTGTAGCACTTTGAACTGCAGCTCGAACGCGTGAACTAATTTCAGATTTTCTTGGTATTTGTAATTTTAGTGTTCATTTGTCATCATTGATGTTTCATTAACACTGAACATTGAACACTAACATCGGCAGCTGCATTTTTAGCTAGCTTGAGTTCCGCAGACAATGTTACCTTGAGTATAAGAAATTGAACACAACATTTAGTACTTTGATAGTTCAAGTTAAACTATGGCCGGCATGTGTTTTTCGGTGTATTCATCGCATATACAATGGACCTCAACTAAAACCGAACATTTCATACAAGTGTTCATTTCTTCATTCAAAGGAACAACTTTGATTGTGATCATCTAGAAACTTTTTTAAAAATAATTAGTATATTAAGACTGTAATATTACAACCGCTTTGGTTGGCACAACCTTGTCGTATGGTGGCGCTATTTAATCACACTGATGATTTCAGAGTATTGCATCAGTCGACAACGTTACACCGTCACCAATTTGTTTGAACATTTTCGCGGTAAGCCGTAACAAATTATGTATTTTGATCTGAAATAGTGGCCACGTTAATAAACACAAACTAGGCTGGCGCTGATTTTCTGCCGAGCGCAGTATGGTAATGATTGTGAATTTTCCGCTATAGAGGGCGCGTCATTCTGTGATAAGACCTTGGTCTAATGAAGTCTCAACAGGGAGATATTATTCACGGTCGCTGTGTTTAAAATTTAACGTTTCGTAAAATTTAAGTACCAGACCAATTTCCATCGGGTACAACAAACCGTCGTTTCTTAGCAACTTGCAGTCAACAAAATATATGTGCACGCCGCCTGTTATAAATTAGTTATAAATTGATGAAATTTCAGGAGCACGTCAGAGCTGACAGAAACCCAAAGGCAGAGACAAGGCCAAGGTGTTTACATGTTACTTTTGATGTGTTTACCTCTTTATTTGCATTTTTAAAACCATCTGATTATTGGGGGCGCTCTTCAAAGTGAACAACACTCAATATCTTTATGTTCGTAATATACAAGCGGGAGGGGGGGTGTAATACTTCTAGTATAGCGGTTGTGAGGTGCTGATTATATTCTTACGTAAATCCCCCTGATGTCTTAATCTTTTTTATTTTTAAATTCCGTAGTTTTTTTTGTTACTTTTAACATTTTATTTATTTATTTTTGGCTTTTGCGGGGGGGGGGCTGAAGGAAGCACAACTCCCCTTGCCTTCCCCACCCCCTCCCACGACGCTTATGGATGGTTTAAGGATCCACTATTGCAGAGTAGACTGTTCTCATTGAGAGTTGGGTGCGATAAGGTTTTATTAGGTGCCAAATTTGAAACCATCTCATTAAAAAAACAAACGAATCTCCAATTGGAGAGATTATAATATCAACATATACGATATAAAGGTTTTTTGGGGGGGGGTGTGGTGGGTATTTTTGCTTTTTAGCAAACTTTGTTGCCAACCTTCTCCCAGCGATTGGTGAAGTTCTTAAAATTACTGTGAATTCTTCTGATTTGAGAATAAATTTCACTTTCGAAAGTTTACAGGTCGAAGAAGTTGCAGTTCCTCAGGTATTTCAGATCAATGTCGTCAGCCTTGATGCTGGTCGCGTTGTTGAGCTGACAGACTTTCTTGTCATCACCCTCCTGCCAGAGATTGAAGGAGTGGCATCGAAGCTCCGCCCAGCACGCCTGACCACACCCAATGACTCCCGCAGCCGTCAGGTTCTTGATCTCATGGTTGAGCAGACACTGGGGTGTGAAGCGCCCGTCAGCATCAGCTTGCAGGCAGTATGAGCGATGAGAGACGCGCATCTCACAAGCGACATATTTTGTGCAATTATTTTTTTTATTAGGTGCTGAATGTGCTTACTGAATCTATACTCATTAGTTTTTCTACAAAACGAATCTCAATTTTAAATAACGATAACAAGACTTAATTAAACTCATTACTTGCGCGTAATATTTCAAAATAAGAAGTTGAGGTCCATTCATTATCTACGAAGAATAATTGATGACGCCATTGATACTTAAATTGAGCTGTCAAATATCACTGTTGTTCTTCTGTTCTTAAACTCGAAACGATAGTGTCCTCGGAACTCCATCAGCTATGCAGCTAGCGATGTTAGTGTGCATTTAGAGTTCAAAGTTAATTTATTTACATCACGAATAAGGCAAACACCAAACAAGATTCACAAGAAAATAAGACAAAATCAAGTACGTTTTTCGAGTGCGTGGTGCATCTTTTGTTTTTAACTGTTACATTTCGTAGAAGTAGCAGTCCTCCACGTACTTGTAATCTTCTGCAGCGGCCTGCAGGCGAGTTGCGCTGTTGAGCTGGCAGATTCCCGCGTTTTCTTCCTTCTTCTGCCAGAAATTGAAGGAGTGGCATCGAGGCTCTTCCCAGCATGCCCAGGCACATCCGGTAACTCCGGTCGTCAGGTTCTTGATCCCGTGGTTGAGCAGACAGTGTGGCAGGCAATGGCCGTCACCATCGGTCGGCATACAGAACGAGACACGAGAGGCGCGCATCTCACAAGCGGCGTATTTCGAATAACTGCAATCACTGTCTCCCCACTGACCGTTGAATGTCTCAACCATTCGGACACAACTGTGATGAATATCATTCGGCTCACTATACATGTACGCCCAGTTTTTGTAGATGGGATCCCCATCTACATCTTTGCACGAAAGCGTCCCGCTGTTGTCGACATCGTAGCATCCAATCCACAATTCCAAGTCGCCTGACCGAGCGCCAAATTCCTGCATCTTCGCCTTCATTTCCCGCCAGATGAAGTCCTGTTCTTCCTGTGAGTCAGGAACGACCAGGCTGCTCCCGGGCCGATCACAAACCGTCTTGGCTTCCCACCAATCCATCCTGTCTGGCAGCAAGATGTAACAGGCGTCTTGCCAGACCAACCAGCCGGGAGGACAGACGGCTAGCAGATTATGAAATACGCCAAAAGTCATCAAGATCAGAAAGTTTGCAATGCTGAAAACCGATACCTTCATCGTATCGTTGGTGTGTTTTTGCCCCAAAATCTGTCAATGTGTCGATTCACGTTGAGTCAACTCTTTTATGTCTTTTGGGGATACACACCTTTCTCTCTGTCTCTTCCTTCAGGTTTCTCTCAGCTCTGATGTGTTGCTGAAATTTCACCAATTTATAAACCAATCGCTCGGTGCGCACATATATTTTGTTTACCGCAAGTTGCTTAGAAACGATAGTTAATCTAACCCGATTTATTATTGATTCGTGTCTTAAATATCACGCATAATTAAATTTGAAACTGAGTCTCCTTTTGAGACTTCACTCGGCCAAGGTCTAATAATATAGATACTGCGCCCTCTAACGGACGGGTACCGGAAGTAATCTTATTTTTACAATGGGCGCCCCAATGAAAATGGATGCCTGCCTAATTATTTTTTAATAACGAGGCGGCTACGTTTGGCACAGTAGCATGCTCTATAAAATGTTCGTGTGGGATTGAAATTCTTACTCGCACACACTTGCTAGCACAATGTGGATCCATGTATGGGAGTGTATCGATGCACTGTAAGTTGGAATTTCAAAATATTCCCTGCCAAAATAAAAATGTGACAGTTTCTTGCTGGACATTTTTCCCGAGTATTCCCCCCAAAAAAAAATATATATATGTTTTTAAAAGATAAGTGTCAACTTAACCCAGCAGTTTCGAACCCTAACTATGAGTTGGGGCGGAGGGAGAATATGCTTTAGTCTTTTAATCCACTCCGCTGAGATACGGCTTACTTCAAAAAATAACAAGCAATTATACCTTAGCCAGAGATGGTGCAATAATTCTATGGGGTGCTATGGTCCTGCGGTTACGGTGTTCGACTCGTGTGCCGTGGTACATGGGTTCGAATCCTGACGGGGAACATAGTGCTTGTGCTCTTGAGCAAGGCACTTAACCATTATTGCTTCGTCCTTCGGATGGGACGTAAAGCCGTAGGTCCCGTGTGTTGTGTAATGCACGTTAAAGAACCCAGTAACACTTATCGCTAAGAGAAGGGGTTTGCCCCGGTGTTTCTGGCAGTGGCTGCAATATGCGCCAAAGCGTCTTGTAAACCATTACAAGGTGCTACATAATGGGTCTCATATCTCTCATTAACTTTATTTACCTTTCTTTAATAATAGACATAATCTCCAGCGCCTTGAGTACCTAATTGATGGTAGATACGTGCGCTATATAAGACTCCATTATTATTATTATTATTAGTCTGATAGGCATGCATCGTGCTGAAACAGTCTCGCGCCATTCTTACGACGCCGTGGCAATATGAGAGGGCGTCCTAACTTTGCTTCCCAGTTTAAAGTTTGACGCTGCGCTGCATGCATTGAAGTGCTCAAGTGACAAGAACTCGTGAGGCCTGTAGCGCCCCCTTTGACCCTGATTAGAATTTAGAGGAAGGCAAAATGAGCTTACTATTGTTACAAATCCATTGGTTGCCCTCTACAGAAATGAAGCTCACCCTACAAGCCCCCCCCCCCCTGCACCTGCAAAGTTGACCCCAGTAATAAAGCCACTGTTTTAATGTGCAATTAATTTTTAAAAAAGAAAGAAAAAAAAGTATATGCATTATTTCAGAGCCCCAAAATGTTATAAGGCCATCATCGATAATACTTTTAAAAGAGTTTCAAGTTTTATACCACAATTTATTATACCACCAGTATTCAAGGGATGGTTAGTTATTGCGTCAATATGAGTCTTTCAAAGGGGATAATGGATCAAATGCTCTAGGGTGATTTTAAATCCATAGATCGAGGATCGTAGGGATAGGTGATGATTATTGAATGAAGTGAGTCATTATGCAAATTTCTGGTTGCCAATTATTTTTTTTTACAAAGGAACAAACCTATTGGCGGTACATTTTCGCCGTGATACTTTCAAATTCTGTCAGGGAGCCGATATATGACAAGACTCCGTCTGATGAAAACCAAACAAAACCAGTGGTTTAAGATGGGAAATGTGAAAGTGGAACCTCGTCATTGAAATTCACCTGTTTTTTCCAGCGCTTGGTGGCGCTGCATATTGGTAACAAAGACTAGTGAGTCAGTCAGGTTGATCAAGTCTCAGTCCTATAAAAGTGATTTCTGATCCGCTATATATGACGGTTATGCACTGACGCGAACTTCTCATTTTTGAATTTTGTGCGACACTTTTATTAGGTGCAGAATAAGGAACCTAATCTCTATTTTTTCCACAAAACTAATCGTCATTTTAAACAATAACAAGATTTAACTTATCACTGGAGCTTTTTTTATTACTGTTATTTCCTCCCCCTTGATCCCCCCCCCCCCCAGTGGCGTAGCCACGGGGGGCGTGGGGGGACACCCCCCCCCCCCCCCCCATTGGACTACTCTTCTCTCTATATTACAGTCTGAAAAGAACTAAGAGTTTTTCGAAGTCTTGTCGATCACGATCAAAACTGTAAGTTAAAGTTAATGAAGAAGTGAACATAATGTTTTCCAGTACTTAGACTCCAAACGACATTGTCTGCTGAACTCAAGCTATGCACCTACCGATGCGATACCTAAAATTTAAATACGAAGAAATCTCTCAAATTATTTTCAAGTGTTTGCAGTATTTTGTTACATTTCGTAGAAGTAGCAGTCCTCCACGTACTTGAAATCTTCGGCAGCGGCCTGCAGGCGAGGTGCACTGTTGAGCTGACAGATTCCCGCGTTTTCTTCCTTCTTCTGCCAGAAATTGAAGGAGTGGCATCGAGGCTCTTCCCAGCATGCCCAGGCACATCCGGTAACTCCGGTCGTCAGGTTCTTGATCCCGTGGTTGAGCAGACAGTGTGGCGGGCAATGGCCGTCACCATCGGTCGGCATGCAGAACGAGACACGAGAGGCGCGCATCTCACAAACGGCGTATTTCAACTCACTGCAATCACCGTCTTCCCACTGACCGTTGAAATTCCCAGCCATTCCTACACAAACGTGAAAATTATTTCCCGGTTCATTAGATGCCCAGTTAATGTATTTGGGTTCCCAATCGACACCGTAGCACCCAAGCATCCCTGCGCCAACACCGTAGCATCCAATCCACAGTTCCAAGTCACTTGTGGTATTGGCGCCAAATTCCTGCATTCTCGGCTTCATTTCCCGCCAGATAAAGTCTTGTTCTTCCTGCGAGTCAGGAACGACCGGGCTGCTCCCGGGCCGATCACAAACCTCCTTAGCTTGCCACCCACCCATCTTGTCAGGCAGCAAGATGTAACAGGCGTCTTGCCAGGCCAACCAGCCGGGAGGACAGACGGCTAGCAGAGTTTGAAATACCCCAACAGTCATCAACGTCAAAACGTTTGCAAGCAAGACAGACATCTTCATTCTTTGGCGTTTAACGGTCTTTTTTCCCTCAAAAATAATGGTCACTGTCTTCTCTTCGAGTTATAACCCCTCTCCCTGTCTCTTCCTTCAAGTCTGACGTGTTTCTGAAATGTCGCTTAATTATAAGTGATCGTTTGGCCTACACGAATCTTTTATTTACTGCAAGTTACTTAGAGACGAACGTTGCCAATTGTTACCGATTTCAGTGGGTACTGTTATATTCCGGAATTTAAATTTGAACAAAGAGACCCGTGGTTTTAATTTCTCCCTCTTGAGAATAGCCTTGACCAAGGTCCAATAATAGATGCTCACCCTCTCTAGCAAAATAGTCATATTATTTACAATTCATTGACCTCGCCTTCAATCGTGGATCTCCTATTGTCCTCCGCTGTTATACTTAATGAAAAGAACCCTCATAGGTTTTGTACACGACAATCATCCAATCGTGAACCCATATTGTTCTAAATCGCTCTCCAATTAAAAAGTTAGAATTAATTAAGGATTAGAAAGTTTATAACGCTCAGCACAGATACCATGCCGACTCATATATCGAATAGACCTTTATCGTGCTGACACCATTTCAGTCATGTTCCCTGTATCCAATAACAGTACTGAATGATAATGTTTTCGTGCAAAAAGGAACCAGACTATTTTTCCTTCAAGCCTCGCTTTGGTTACGTTGATTTAAATTGGAAAAATCAAGATGGCCGCAACATGATAATGGTCTACAGAAAATAATAACCTTCCATCTCGAATTCTCAACTAAATCTGGAGAAGTGTTGCGGGCCTATGTGTGTATTTTCATTAGACCATTATCTAGGTTATTTTTTTTAATACAGCCAAGTTGAGGCAACCAAACTCCTCGCCCACATGGTGTTATTATTGTCCATTCGTTGCTTGGAGACGAACCAGGCCAATATCAAAAGCGAACAAAGCTTCCAGTTTTCCAGCCAGTTCGGTCTTTTGTCATAAAAATGAAATTAAAACAAGGTGGACTCCACCGTAATTGGAGACAACAAATAATATGACACGCCAGCAGCAAGCAAAATATTGTTTTGCGGAAACAATATATTCAGGTCAGTGCTTCCTTACCTGAATTACTGGTAAAATTGATGTCAACGGCTTCATAACCCAATGTAAAAGGCTAAGCAATGAATTTTACTTAAGGAAAACATTTTCTGCAGCTTTCTACTCCTCTTAAATTTCAGCTAGTTGACATCCCTTTTTGGTTAATTTTATTGAAAAGTGCACTTATTTTATAGACAGTTTAATTTGTCCATGTTTTACCATCTGAGGGCGCTCTTGCTGTGATATCATTTCAGGAAGACCCTGTTTAGTTTATGTGTTTTCTGTTAAAATTGTGAATCCAGTTTTGCTCATTGAAAGCATTTGTGGGAAAAGATTGCTCATTGCTAAAGTTTACTGCCATGCCATTGCTTACTGCCTTGTACTGACACAACAAACAAAAAATCCACGACAGCAAAGTATTATCCGAAATTCTGGCAACTTTTAGTGTAGAAATAACTGTAACATTGAGGTGTCTGCCCGAATGATGACATCACAATTTCGCTCATGAATATGGAAATTTGCATTAGCATTAGCATAAAAAACAAAAAAAGGCACCAAAATGAAAATAGGGTTAAACGGGACACAAAGGTGCATTTTCAAGGAGTGCATTAAAACAATTGCATTAATGACCCTTACACCTGTTGTGCCCAATTAACAAAGCATACAACTGTTTAGATGATGGTGTCTTTGTTCCCTTGAGGTGAAGTAATTCACCTGGAAAATGCCCAAATAATTACTGTTGGCCAATGTATAGGCATAGGTTCTTAATATTTTATATTTAATTAATATATAAGGAAGGCAAGGCGTAAGCTCATGAGCCTGGATGCAGTGCCAAACGTCGTTCGCGTTTCTAGAATAATTCAGCCCTTTCTTGAATGCCAATCCTTTCGGGGCTCAAAACGATTTGATAAAATAATCGATAAAAAAAAGTAAAATATAAACTGTTGTCAGAGTTAAGGCCAATCCCTTAACTTCTTGTTTCTAACAAGTTTTTGCTTTTGTATGTCAAATTTTATTGTCACGATGGTTTAGTTAAAAATAACTAAAACTATGCACTTTGGCCCTATTTCAATTCATTCGAAGGTTCAAAAAGTGCCGAAATGCCGAGCCCGTGGTATGTTAATAGCGCCTCCAAGTGTTTGATTCGTGCCAGGTTAGTTTAACGCTTACAAGACAACATTAACCTGCCGCTAACCGGTTAAACCGAGTCCTTAAACCAGTTTACAATGACATGCACTGTTCCACGTAATCAAAATGGCGATTGAGCAAAGTTGACGAAAATGTTCACCCTGCTTCTAAAAAATTAAGAATTTTATTCGAATTCCATTGATAATTCAGTATAATTTTTATGAACATCATTCATTAAGAATAAGAGTTTCGTTCTTGCTTTTGTATAAGTGCAATATCTTTACTTTCTGCCGGTGAAAATTGTGGAAGAAATTGAGGTTCGAAGATGGCGAGTCCCCGAACGCGACGAGTGATGAAAGAACTGCGCCCGAGAGACGGTAACAATGTACGTTCGTCATGTTCGTGGTTCAAAACAGCACATCAGATTAGGCCTATATTGGGAAAAAAAGTTGCAACCTGACGCCACTTCCGTGCTTGTGTACAAAGTGTATGGAGAGTTAAGAAAAGTATTGGAAATATTTCTCAGGACTCGGTCCCAGCTGTTCCCATGGTTCCTAGCCCAATTGTGTGGCCTCTCTGTTTTGCTGCGCTGTACGTTAGGCCACACGTCTGGTTTCCCAATCTACTGAGGAGTTTAGTCCGAAACTTGCACATGAGGACTCCAGAAAGATGTCTAAATTTCTATAAAAATTTAATTATTTATTTTTTTGCTAAATTTTCTTTAGGGCCTACTTTCATGTTTGTAATCAAATCATTCTTGTTATTTATATACTAATATAGATTTCTTTTTCTTCTTCATAATTTTGCTTCTTCATTCAGAAAGCACTGAGCAGACATGGCAGAAGGAGTGTAGACCTAATATCATTATGTGGTGATGACAGGACATTGATGATCCTTCTTATTTTGATTCATTTTCTTTTTGGCAGACTTGCTTTGAATGTAACGGCCATAACCCACAATGGGTGAGTGTGACATACGGCATCTGGATCTGCCTAGAGTGTTCCGGCAAACACCGAGGTCTCGGAGTTCATTTAAGGTAAACAAAAAACAGTTTCTTACAAATGTTGTTCATATCTCATTCTAGGTATACATGGCAATATTTACACTAAAAAAGACTTGTGTTTGCCAAATTCTGCCAGACCAGCATTTGGGAATTGGTTACTTTTAGGACCCCTCAACATTTTTTTAAAAGGGAAATAAAGTCCAAGAACTATTTGACAAATGTAGTTGACTTCCGTAAAAATAGCAAAAGTTTGCGAATAGAGGAGTCCTAAGGGTAACTAATGCCAGCATTGGATTTTGTTCGATGCTGGTTTGGCAAATTCAACAAGGTCAGCCCGCAAAATTCCATCTTATGGAAGTTCAACCCATCAATCAAAATACATCAAACTGTCCGTGTTTAAAAGTTGAGTCGTCCCTGTCTTCATAAAGCAGGATTGACTGGTTGTGATTGTCATGAAACCTGATATGCTCTGACTGTAGGAGATTGATAAGCCAGCTGTGCCTACCAGTCACCTACTTTTGACTGTTCAAGGAATTTGACTGTCACAGTGCCTACAAGATGTATCTGACTGTTGGTGACTGGCCTTTGTAAAAGACACGGCAGGGGAACAGGATTGACTTTTTGACTGTCTGTGACTGATCAAACAAAAGGAAGGTTAATGTCAACAAACAAATATTTTCATTTGCTTGTTTCCTAACAGTTTTGTCCGGTCCGTGACAATGGATAAATGGAAGGATTTAGAACTGGAGAAGATGAAAGTTGGAGGCAACAACAAGGCCAGGCAATATCTGAAGTCGCAGCCTGATTACAACCCTGGATGGAGCCTGCAAGAGAAATACAACAGCAAAGCTGCAGCTCTCTACAGAGATAAGGTAAAGACATACGAATCATAAATCCTAACTCCAGTGTCGTAGTCTTAGGCATGGCACTTATGAGGGATCATAAGTACAAGGTGAGGCCAAAAAAAGAGAAATTCACCCCCTCCCCCCTAAAAAATATTTCATGTTTAAAAAAATATGTAGCACCAACAATAATAATGACTGGAAAGCCAATTTTATGAACTACCTTTAGAAGAACAAATTAATTAAATTGCTCAATCCTTTCAAAGTACCGGTATATCACTCTTCAAACACAATGACCCTAAAGCCTCTGTCATCCAAAAATGCGGTTTCAAGGAGCGTTGTCTTAAGTGTCTTCAAACATCACCAGCGATAAAACCTCAGTTAAAAGTTAAGAAATATTCAACAAAGTCCTTTTGAAGGTCCGTCTTTAAAAAAAAGCGGATTTTATAAATCACATTGTGTGCCTAAGCAGGTTTTTTTTTTTTTTTTTTTACTGTTTATTGGACTTGTATAATCGCACACAAATATATGGTAGCCAAAGAGTATGTTTGTTTGTTTAAGCCAAAGGTCTGTTGCAGCAGTGTTCGTTGTAGTGGCATTCTACTGTATAATGATCTGAAAATATATATTACAATGTAAGTATTGTGATTTTGGTTTTGTTTCAGATTGCAACAGAAGCCAAAGGCGAGACCTGGTCCGAGGCAACCTCCTCTGCTAGGAATCACGTCCCGTACGTCGCTGCTAGGCTCAAGACGACTTCCTCTAGTAGCTCCGCTGGTTCATTCCATACTTCCAGTAGCTCCCCTAGCTTCTCGTCTTACAATTCGGGCGGAGCCAAAGTAGAGTATGGAAGTGGTGGTGGGTACCAGTCGGCGGGGAAGGACGACTTTGAGTTGCAGTACGGCATGTCTAAGTAAGTGGGCAGGGCACCAACTCAACTTTAACACTCTCAGGTCCTTCAAAAACCTCCACTAGCTTTTGTCTGATTTTGTAGGATTGAGGAGGGTATATCCCAGTCACCATGACTATACATAGAGGTTGATGTCTGTTGAAAGCTAAAGTAAAATGTCACAGCGGTTTTTGAAGGATTTGGGAAGGATCTAGTGTAAAACTGCAGTCATCCCGCTAAAGATAAATAAATTCATTATCGTAGTTTTTTTCCTAGGAAATTCTTAGCTTGAGTACCCCAAAATTGAATTCAATACTCTGATACCAAAAGAAGAAATGATTCTTTGACTTTTATAATTTTTAAATTTCAAAATTTCATTCTTGTTGCTGATGAGATTGCCCCTACGACTTAGTCTGGTGAACCCAAATTTTACTTGGCAATTTAGGATTATCGAATGAGTACGTTTTCTTTTCTTGTGTCATTTAGATCTGAAGTTGATGCCAAAAAGGGGGATTACTTTGACCGAATACAAGCTGATAATGCATCCAGACCAGAGTAAGTACATCAGTTTGCCTATGATGTTGATGCCAAACACTGTAAGAATTTTTCAGAAATAATAAGTAATTGTCAAGTGAGTAAATTCTACATGTAGCTTTAGAAAGTGCTACATTTTGTTTTGTTTGTGGACGAAGAGAAACAATTCTTTTGATAGCCTGTATTTTTTGCACTCAATTCTCAGACACACCGTTATAAAAGCTGAAACAAAACGTCCCAAAATGACATCATTGTGTCAGTTTCTATAAAATATGCCACTGTTAACTCCATGCTTGACCAGTGGTGGAAGCCCTGTGCGTTGGACTTAGCGCATGTGCGTAATGATTCGTGCGTGTATGATGCCAAGTACGCAAGCCTTAATTTAATGCTGATTGTGAACAAACCGGTGTAGCATGAATTTAGGTTTTATGAAATACGGACTCATTGGTGGTATTGCGCATGCTCATGCATAGATAATTAGGAGAGGGACCGGTCACGTGAGAGGGTTTAACCAATAAAAGGGAAAAAGAGTCCGATTTTCATACAAGTCCGATTTTCATATGACACCGGTACCATCTTTGCATGAGCACCAGTGATACGGCAGCAGTGCGTTCACGAGTCCCGCCTAATCCTCTCGTTGGTAACCGTTGAAGGGTCCTTGTGCATGGAGTACCACCTGAGATAACCCCTTCATGGTTTTATGGATTCATCAGGGAATGAATACAATGTAATACAATGTGATACAATGTAATACAATGTAATACAATGTAATACAATGTAATACAATGTAATACAATGTAATGCAATGTAATGCAATGTAATACAATGAAATACAATGAAATACAATTGAATACAATGTAATACAATGTAGTACAATGTAATACCATGTAATACCATGTAATACCATGTAATTCAATGTAATACAACATTGTACAATGTAATAAATGTAATACAGTGTAATACAATGTAGTACAATGTAATACCATGTAATACCATGTAATACAATGTAATACAATGAAATACAATGTAATACAATGTAATACAATGTAATACAATGTAATACATGTACAACGTAGTGCAGGTGCTAATGTGTTAAAAAGCTATTTCAACAGAAATATTTATTTGCCTATTTAGTCACCTTCCACCGAGTCAAGGAGGCCGATATACAGGTTTTGGTAACACGCCAATCAAACAGGAGGAGAACAGCAGTGATACATGGGACACGGCTGTGTCGTCATTGAGTGCAGTAAGTACGACACTGACATTTTATATCCCCTCAAATCAGGGGACTAAAGATTCCCTGAAAGTGAAATTAGGGATGAAACCAAGTTTTTGAATTTTATCAGAGGTAACACATTTTCGGTTCACTACAAAAAAAAACCTGGCAGGCTCCAAATTTGTCAGAATTTGAAATTGTTTTCTTTCACTTTAATGAAACATTTACTTTCATTCAAAGCAAAATATTACAAAGCAAAATATGTTACAAAATAGGGGACGAGCATTATTGATAATCGAAAAAAAAATAGTTAACAAATTAATTTTTATTTATTTGTTCTGGGAATGAGCAGTGAAGTCTATTAGAGTGCTATTTGAACTTACAATCATGAAACAAATTTATAAAATCAAACTTGTCTGCTTTTTTCACCAAGGGCTGGTCTACGTTCGCTCTGGGCGCCACCAAGTTTGCTTCAGCCACCAAGGAAGGGGTATGTAATTATTTTTTACTATTTTTTTTTTCAATTAATCGTTGGATATGTTACTTGTTTACCAAAAAAGTAGAATACATGAATACAAAATAAAGTGTTTTAACACCTTCCATTTCTTGACCTGAGGTGACCTGCTAAATTTGGGGTAAAACACAGTGATCGACCCAAAACAATAAGATACAATGTTTGAAGAAAAAGCCTTGACGTTTTCCTCTTCTCCTAAACAATGCGTTTAAAATTTATAGGTATTTCAATTTTTAACGCAAATAATTTCATGTGCAGTGTTAAATACATTTAAGTAGCTTTGTCAAATACAGAAACAGAGAAGAAGTCATCTTTTGGTCTAGAAAATTATTTGTGCCAGTGGGAAAGAGCGCCCTCTTGTGACAAGGCTGTAACTATATGCAACCAGTAAAACATTGCCTGTTTGTTTATATGCTATCAAATGTTTTCCCCCCTCCCCCCCCCATTGCAACCAATCTTGAGTCATAGATGCAACATGGCAACCTTCATATGATAATGCTTTCAAAGGTCATATACCGAGGTCAAAGGTCATCTGAGGTCAAGTGGTAAAATAGCCTGCAAATGTAAATTTGTCTCATTTGAAAAGTTCAAGTCCAATTGGAACCGAACTTGAGTCATACATGCAACATGGCAACCTTTATATGATAATGATGTCAAATGTCACATGCCAAGGTCAAAGGTCATCTGAGGTCAAGTTGTAAAATAGGCTGAAAATGTAAAATTGGTCTCTTTTAAAACAGGTGAGATGCGTGGTTCGAGAACCACCTTGTCATTTATAACACAGCCTTTCCAAATACAAGTTGTAAAAAATAGTGATGTCTTGGCTGATATAATACCAGTTTTTATTATAATTCTCTTTTTATTGTGGGGGGCGCAGCTTTGCTTATATCCCCACCGTCCCGCTCTTAAATTGGCCCAGATTGAAAGATTTATGTTCGCAATCTGGTTCTGTCAAATAAATCTCAACTTGAAAGGAACTCCCTTTCTGGACACAGTAAGATCTGATTCGCCAAACTTATCAGATTGGATGACACCTGATTGATAAACGTGCCACTTTTCCCCCGTGTCCCTCTTTTCAAAGCATCTTCGCGAGAGATCGCTAGCGATTATAGGACTCATTAAATCAATCGTCACCCGCAAATAGGAAGGTACTGCACGCCACGCACAAACCGGTAGATTTAATCACGATTTGATTTACATACACCGGCCCTTCCAATGATAGCCCGCAAGCCGGCTAGGCCGCAACAAGATATTTGTGAGCGGAAACTTACATGTGTCTTCATCAAATGCTGATTACATGGACAATCGCCGGAGCCCAAAAAACAAGCAGTTGTGTGAAAGTTGCCACAGATGAATGGGATTAAATTTACTTTATCTGCATGCGCCAGCGCCAGAGACGTTCCCCTGTGTAAAGCCTCAAGGGGAACGATTGTTTTTCAGCAGTCTGCAATTTTTATGACTTTCAATAATTCTCTTGACAACGTGGGAGGAAACAAAATGGAAAATGCATCACTACTATTGTATTGTTTTTGTTGAGGTTTTGTTGGTCTCGGTTGTACAGATGCAGTTTTTTTATAGTTGTGTTCTCGTGCTCTTCAAAAATTGGATTTTTTTTTTCTATTAATAAGTTATCAACTTGTATGTTTTATTCAAAAAAAAAGCCTCTTTTTTTGCTTTGTTGGACGTCTGCAAACGTCTGAAGTTTGTTCTTCCATTTGGGCACAATGAGATCCACTTTGCAAGCAGACTGGCTCCCAGACCATACATTATCGATACTGATTGTGGGGCAGGAACCAGCCAGGCCTTACTGTCTGGCAGCCAATGTTTCAAAATTGTGATTATAAATCAATCACTAAACATGGGCCTATTTTTTTCAGTCGATGTCTCGTTCAAAAGTGAATAACTTTAGTATTGCTCGATAAATAGCAAGTTAGAAAAGAATCTGTTTTTCGGAATGAAAGTTGAAAACAGCACGAGAAATGCATCTTTAACTAAAATATTTGAAAAAGCCATTAGGTCTTAAAATGATATTGGAATCGTTTTTATCATGAACATTTGATTATTTTCATCCTATCATGGTTTAATGGCACCAAGTGGTCGGCACACTGTGTTCAAAATGTTGGCATCTAAAAGAAATGTGCGTTGCAGGCCTGCAACTTTTCCTCGGATCAGCTGATTTCCTCTTTTTTCACTTCCAATGTGTGCCATTGAAAATAGAAAAACACTGTACAAAATTTTGGAAAGATTTGAATTTCCTCTTTTTTTGTGACTTCCCAGTTGCATGTCTGGCATTGTCGTCATCCAAATTATGTACAATATTTTATTCCTTCACAGAGTCACTGTTTAACTGGCCTATTTATCGATCCATTTCACAAAATGTGGCTGCCACACTTACCATAGGCTAAACATCTCTTGGCTACGGCTGGCTGTAATACACGTCTATGGGAAGTGGCTGTAGCCGCTTCCATAGGTGTGTGCATTTGTAAGTCGTAGCCAAGAAATTTGTGCACTGCCTTACATGTAAGTCAGTTACATCTGTTACATGTAATTATGTGCGTGGACTTTAGACCAGCAAATCTGGTTTGTGTGTTCATGTCTGTCTGTGTCGCCAGCGACATTCGCTTACAATTGGTCAGAAAAAATACAGACTGTGTACTAATTGGATATCTTGTGGCTACAACTTCTTTTTTTGCCATTCGCATGCTACAGCAAGTTGCTGTGGCCGTGCTGAATTGCATGGACGTTTATATTAAACGCTTGCAAAAAAATCAACTTAAAGCTACATGCACTGTAGGCTACACACTTGTATCTTGCTGTATCGACGCACTAATGTGGTAGTATTACCGTGCGGACCTTCATGGAAAATCTGTACAGCAACTTCCGAGATTTAAATTTTGGAGTTGGTTTCTTTGACGAGTACCCATGTTTTTTTTTCAATTGGTACTTGATTCCCATATTACGTATAAATGCACACTCCTACTTAGTTAAGTGTACATGATGTATTTCTACCAATCAATATCTCGGTAAGATTCTCAGTCAGCCTCATAGATTTTGGACGATGGCTCACATTGCAGCTTTACACTTTTCCTGTTGCCAAGAGGTTAAATGGGCTTCGTTACACAAAAACAGCAAGTTGAATATGATGTTGTGGTTTAGTCAGAAGTTCACAATGTCTCGCTAACATTTTGGCACTTTGCCAATTAAACATTCTACCCCACCTGTTAGTCGTTTTTCATCCCCTTCCTTCTCATTTCTCTTATCGCGTTCCTTCCACTTGCACCTCGTATCTTCAGAAAGGGTGTCTTGTTCCTCTTGATTACGTGTTTTTATTAAGCCAGAGTCTTTCCCAACGGGAGGTGGTAAAAGTTGCTCTCCCTGCAAGAAATCTGTCATCGGCACGTAATCATCGGGAAACGACAAACAGTGTGTAAAATTTAAGAGCTCATTAAAAACTTGGGGGGATGCACACAAGCCAAATGGATTAGTTTTCCCAGAAGGAGTAGCCCTGCCTTGCCCAGGATTATTGATGCGTAGCGTGCCAAAAAGACAAGCCACTTAGTGGAATCAAAACAATATTATTTATTAAGTGTTTTTGCTAGCTTCTTGCTTGGCTTGGCCTTCTGCCAACTTGTGGTTGTTCAAGCTGGAGGGATCAGAATTGAGTGTCACATTTGAATAACCTTTCCTTTTAATAGAAAAACTAGGAACGGATTTAAAACTGGTCAACCTCCTCCCAAGAGTCTCGAACAATTGAAAACATTCTTACTCAGAATGTTCCTCTTTTGACAGCCTCCTCTTTTAATAAGCCCTCCCCCTAATGAGTGTGGCTATCCTATATTAACCCTAACGATCCCCGATTCAATAGTTAAATATTACAGCATTATAGATGAAAACACTCCAAAACGTATCGCAATTACGCAAAATTACGCAAAACATAACGTTGATCAATGATGAAAAATGTTACAACATTATAGATGAAAACACTCCAAAACGTATCGCTGTTATGCAAAACATAACGTTGATCAATGATGAAAATGTGACAAAATTGCTTCACTGATGTTGACTTGGGGTCAACATGCAAATTGAGGTCAAAGTAATCAGTAGTATTCCACCCAGCTAACGGGTGCTGCGCAGGTAAAGCGCGGCATCCCACTAGTACACGTACATGCATGTACATTGTGTACTAACATGATACATTGTATGTACCGGTACAGGTCACATTTGACACTCATGTGCAAACATGTATCACTCTCATGTGCTTATAGACAGTCACGTGTTTGTTGAGACGTCTTGGGGCATCTCAATTGCATTTTCTTAATTGGCCACTTCATTGGTAACCATGGATCGCTGAATGACGACACACTGATATCATTGTTCGGCGTGAGTAGATTAGTGCTGTCCTGTCTGTCTGATTGATTCTCCTAATGAATTGCAATTTGATGACATGGGAAATTAGATTCTTATGTTATTACTGCAACTGTAGTTGGAAGGGTCCCATGGGGTATATCTCCACCCCCCCCCCCCTTCTTCTAGAATAGAAAGTGTTATTAGATTCAGTTGAAACTTGCAGAGCTTTTTCATGTATTGCGCTGGCCTTTTGGTTTCCCTTCTCCGTCCCCTTTTTGAGGGATGGGGGAAATGGGGGGGGGGGGGGTAGGGCTCCTGTTTTTCCTTTTTAGCGGGGTCTACCTGATTTTCCCCAATACCTATGTTCCCCTTTGTTCCCCAAACTCCGTAGGGTTAGGGTTAGGTTTATGGTTAGATTGTTAGGGTTAGGGTTGGGGAACATAGGTATTGGGGAACAGGGGAACACGGGTATGCACCCTTTTCAGCACCCTGTTTTAGATTTCGAGTTTTTCAACCTTTTGCTTCACTTTGTCAACTTTAATATTGCCATTACAAACAGTATGGATTTATCTGTTAAATGTATGTAATTTTGTTCAGTTGTCTAAATTACGCTTGTATTTACTCCATGACTAATGCTGCAATTTTGAATAGCATGGCATTACCATCAGAGGGGCAAATGGATGAATCTGTTCACTTGTAGATACGAAAAAATACAGAAAAAATTCCTCTTCTACTGAATTCCCAAAACATAAGTTTTTTTTAAGAGAATCTCATTGTAAACACCTTCTGGTTCATGTATTTACATGTTTTGTACACAATTAATACATTTGGACTTATTTGCATTCACTCTTGATGCTAATTGTGTCGGTAACCATGGATACAGGCCAACATGGAGGCAACCAGACACTTCTAGAGTCCCATTGTAGATGTCCCATTCAGTTAATGAATGGACATTTAATTGCGCGCTGGAAACAGGGAAAGATGAATGCATCGTTTAATTTAATTACCTTCAGCCTGACGGCAATTGCTCAATGTTCCTAAGTCTGGAATCTACCCTGGGACATCATTAGCATTCCTAATTAAGATGCTGCTTTGAGGTTTCCCGACAGATAATTTTGAAAATGAGAAAGGAATTTCTTTTTTTCAAGGGCTGTGGTTTAAAACGGCGAAATCCCGGTATGTGAAGATCATTTTGGACGTGACGTTCTGATTTGGGGCAGTTTTGGACATAAAAACAAGGTATTGCAGTATGGGGAAAATCTCATATTTATTTTTATTTGCTTCAAGCAATTTGGGGGGAAATGTGGTCTTCTAAATTTCTGGATAAACCTGAATCAATTTTTTTTCTTTTTTGCAAATAAGTTGTACAACTCGTTTGATTATAAAATGTAGTGATTTTCGCAGAGTGAAAGTTACCAGTTAACATAGTGTCCTTTGAGAAAAAATAAGGTATTTGTTTTAAAAAAATAGCATCTTGCCTTGTACGTAGCCACGCCAAGTTACAAAAACTGTTTTGTTGTTTGGATGTCGACTTGCCTTTCAGAGTTTCGGGCACATTCTCTTCATTCTACTCGTTGTCTTTTGGGGCAATTTATGTCTGATTCTTCTCAATTTTTTAAAAGATGCTTAGAATTTATGCCCTTGGGTTGGAATCTTGTCAGTGATCCAGCGGAATTGTCTGAACCGCCAAAGAAATGATGAGACACTAAGCCAGCCCTGGAACTCAACCCATATGAAGCCAGAAGGCTTGTGTTACCTGTCTGTCTTGGCGCGGGATCGTAAACAGATAAATCTCTTCACACCCTGGACTTTATATCCTGGCTCTTTGGATAAAAAAAAGAAGAAATTACAGTGCGTGAACGTCGGACAGTTAGTACAAAACGTGTTTTCTGTGTTGTGCGTTTGAAAGAAATTTTTGTAAATTTCTTATGGAAAGAAACACTTCTTAATTTCCTGTCTGTGCGACTTGGGGAAAAAAAGTGTCCGTTTTGTTTTTGAAAGCAGAAATCGTGGTTAATTTTTAAACCCTTGTGTTTGGAAAATTCTCCTTAGTTGTGATTTCTAGAATATCGCATAAAGTGCATGAGTAAAATTTAACAAAGGTTTCCCTGTAAATCAAATGGAACAGTCCAACCTCATTTGTTTTTCTCTCAAAAGATTCTGAGTTTAGTGGGAATATAAAATTAAGAATGTAAAATATGTTTATTGATTTTTTTACATTTTTTTTATTTCACATAGCTCAACCAGATGTTCCCGCAATGAACAAAATTCCACTGTGTAGTATTTTTGTTTACTATTGTTGGCCAGACACAAATTATGAATTGTTTCCCCACTTGCTTCATTACCAATATTTCAGGGTTGAGCAATAATCCTTTTTTTGGGGGTACTTTAATATTGACCCTTTCAAAAGGAACTAAGTAATGACGAAATTATTAATTTTTTTATGGAAATGTAATGTCCCATCCTAAATATGTAAATTTCCTAAGTTTTCTGTACCCCCAATGACGTCAAAGTTACTCATGGAAAAAAATCAACTAGCCAGAGTAAGCCAGCAAGTCATCGCTTACCCAATCAATAGGCAATCAATCAATCAATTACAATCAATTTGTCATGTGGCTACAGTAGCTGTAATGTGCACTGAAAAATAGTAAAAACTTCTTGAAGAAAGACTACAATGGATTCAAAGGCTTATATCCTATGCTTGAAGTGCCCACACGATGATCCTTTAAGTTGAAATGCAAATTTTTCGTAGAGGCCCTAAAATCAATTGATACGTCAATAATCCCAAAGGAAGTTCACATGTTTGGGAAGCAGCATTTGCTGCATACCAACTAAGCATTATGTAGATTCCTTCATGCGTTTTGGCTGATAACCAGTTTAACCAAGTGGTAAATTGTGCTCTGCGTGGAAGACATTGAATGAAATTGACCACTGTAATTTTACAAACATTAATTACCAAACAGAAACTGTATTAATAAAATAGAGAAAAGGGTGTTCTGTTTTGAATTAAAAGACTTTTGCATGTTTCAAGAAGTAAAAGAAATAGTTCGCTGAAATGCCATAGGCCTGTACACCCATCATGTGGTAAAAAAAAAAAGATTTGAAATCCAATCAATTATTTGCATGTGACCTCAGCCAAATTCATGAATTTATGACAGCAAGAGCAAGAAATGTACCCAGGAGCGTTCCAACCCAATATATGACGGCTATTTATCATGTCAACAAATATTAGCCCTGTCAGCTTTCATTTCCCAGCCATTCCAGTCAGCCAAACATAAATCTTTATTTTACGAGCCAAACCCTTTAAAAAATAGCACGGCATTGGTAAAGGGGTCGTATGCTTCACTCAGACAGCTCCAAATGAACGGTTTGATAACACAACGCTCCGATAGTGATCAGGACATTTCGTCCAGGGAGCTCGGCCTTTGTGTGTCGTAGCTCCATTGAGACAGTCGAATTTGACGGGATTAGATCTGGATGTGGCGTATTGATCTGAATTGAGATCAAGTGACCTCCTAATCCTCTGTTGTCAGTTCGGAGCGTTTGTCCCGCCTCAGTATTTTTTAGAGGGGCCAAATGACTCACACTGCCGTCTGCTTATTAGTGGCATCGTCTGTGTTTGAACCGAGACCGCGTGATCACCAACGTGTGCCTTGTGAATACGGAGCATCTGTTCTTAAGTGTATGTGTGTGTGTAGAGTCTGTGACATCAGTTAATTCGTCGAGCTGGGCTTGGATCAGCAACAGGTTGCTTGTATTGTTGCAGATACTATTTTGGTGTATTGAAACTGTAAGTAACTCTAGTTTAGCTTGTAAAAATTGAGTGTAGTTTTTTGACAATTTTACTTTGTAACTTGGCCGACACAAGATTCACATGAAACTGGCTGGCTCTAGCATTTTAAACTCTACTGTTATTTTTGGGTAATATTTAAGTGTTGATGCATCGTTGATTATTGTATTGAGAATTTTTATCTGTTTTGAAAATGTACCAGTTTCTATTCAATTCATGGCGTGAATGTCTGGGGTGAATGCACATTTTCCTTGGCTCTAGTTGAAGGAAACATGCTTGATTTTTAAGCAGAAGGCAAACTGATATTTGGAGGAAATTTGTGAGACTATTCCTTTTCTTGTGGATGTTTTTTTAACTTCCTTCATGGGTGAGGTCTGGTAGGCCTACAGCTTGTTTTGCGGTAGGCCTAAATATCAGGTGGCAAAATTTCCACAACACAAAAACTTGAAAAAAAATGGGGGGGGGTGGTTTGGAATTCAATAATCCTCTTAACACTGCCTCTTTTCTTGAATTTTCTTATTCTGCCTGATGTCAGAATTGTTAAGAGCATTTTCGATGACTTGTCCAGTCTTGAGACGTCATGTATACCTCTTATGCTTGTCGGCGTAATCAAAAAAAGGGACTTTGTAAACCGACTATCTCAAGTAGTATTTTAAACCTCATATTTTTGAAGATTGTGAAAGATGTTTAAGATGTTTCAATCCTCCTACATGTAGTCTTAGTGTCAACATTAAGACTGGAGTAAATCTTCTTTGTGACGTACATGTAGTCAGTATTCCATTAATTCTCCACAGTGCATTAGGTTAGGGCCTATCATACACACTTTGGTCATGCTTGTTTTCTGTTTTCTGTTGATTCATATTTTGTTTTAAGTGTTCATTTTCTCCATTTGATTGTTGTTAGATCCTGTCATAATATATTTTACAGTCTTTTGCAAATTACATGTAGTCTAAATGTTTATATGTGCCCGAGGCATGCTTTTGTTTCTTGGATTTGAAACACAAGCTTTCATTTTTTTTTCCTTTCTTGTTTTTAATAATTATAAATTATTACTTTGCAAAATATCGATGAAGTACAGCTGTATACAGACGAGCATTGCTGATATATTGAGCTGTTTTTGCTACAGCAGAACCTCTCTGTATTCAGCATATTTGAAACGTCCCCCATGCTTTGTCCTGAAAAAATCTGAAACATCTATTCTTCAGCTTCAATGAACTGTGTAATGCTGACAGCGTGTGGTCCATGTCCCCCCCCCCTCCCCATTCATTCAGCCTTCCTTAAATTGTCGGTTTTCATTCCCCGTTCCAAATTGCAAAGATCCGTTCTCGTCAAGCAACCAATCTGATTGGTGCGTTCCCCCTCTATGCTCGTTTCATTAGTGCTCTTGCCATTCTTCAGTTTTTCTTGAGTTTGGGATTTAACAAAAACCCAACGGCGCGCATGAGTTCTGTCCAGGTCAGTGTTACAGGCCATCTGTTTAGGAACAGGCTTTGTGTCCACACCCTGTTCCCACACTCAGTGTTTTTGTGTGGGGTTTATTAGAAACTGGTCAGTTGCTTTGTATATGATGCTGTGCTATTGTATTTGGTACATGTACATGTAATTGCCCTGAGTATATCACTTGGTCCACTAGGCTTCTCCTGTACGCACACAGAGGATTTTCTACAGTAACATTCCAAAACTTTGAAGTAATTGTTTTGCATTTTTCTCCTCTTGTTTTTTCATTTTTGCAGGCGGTCAAGTTTGGAACTGCTGCATCACAGAAGGTAAAACGCTGTTGTTGTTGTGTTTTTTAATTTATGGTCATCTTAAATGATTAATATTGTTTTAATTTCAGGTTTTATGTTTCTTGTCGAACACTAATTTTCATTTACTTGTTGGAAAATGCTCAGGAGTGGTTTTTTAAAATCATAACAGTAGGTATTTTTTTTACAAGCGTTTTCCCAAAGAAACTGAGTGTTCTCGTCAGCTGAAAGCAGATTATTTACCTGATTTCATCCATCATCCATCCGTGTCCTAGTGGCAAACAAAAAGCTTTTGTCCGTGATCTCCATTTGAACCCAACTTAGCGGTCCCGTACGGTGGCTGATATGCCTGATAGCCTTGTTCTGCACCGCCTTGAGCCTTCGGTTTCGACAAATAACAAGCGTGTACTACTTTGGTAAATTGCTAAGGGAAGTTACATTCTCTTCTTGACAAAGAACGGAAAACAGAGTAGGTCAGTGCTGATAATTTAATGAATTTTTTTTTGCTAGACTTTGGATCGAGGAGCTGAGTAGTTTGGCTTGAACACCAAAAAGGCGATTCGAAGATTTAATGGAAAAAATGTTAGTAAATTTTGTTACTAGACCTTCTATTGAGGAGCTGAAAAATGTTCCTCGACACTAGACAATGCCAGAAATGCCTTGTAAAAAATTCATGACAAAAGTGTAGACCTTGGATCATCTGAAAGAGCCTTTCAAACCAATTTTGCTAAATTATAATTTCAGTGCTACTTGCAAGAACAAAAACATCACAGAATCACTGGACTTGCTTGCCACGGAAACGAATTGAAACAGACGACTCAGCATTCACGTTGGAATTTCAGTCGCTGTGTAAAGATGCGTGATGCATCATTTATATTCTTTTCATTTTGTTTCTCTGTACGTGTATTACTCTATGTCTAGACAGGTTAACCCACAAATGATTGGAGATCAAATCAGGCATACAATAGAGCTACGGGTTTGTGGAAGGCCACGATCTTTCATTTAGGTCAAAAATATTGATTGATTATTTGAATTGTTAGATTGGAAACGTAAATCATCTTGTCAGCATTATGCCGGCCAAACTTGATGCAATTCTTGTTAACTCTACTAGGTGCACAACTACATGTACAGTACATACATGTTGACAGTACGCTGGCCGTTTTGGATGTTGTAACCCGCCTTTAAACCTACATTCCTGTCATGGAAACAATGAGATTTTTTGTGACAGGTGTTTGAAATCATTTAATTCCTAGGTCCACACTCCACCATGACTCCCTACCCCTCCCAAGCCATTATGTCGCTTGTTACTATGGTACCAGTAGCATGCCAAAAACATTTAGTTATCCCTTGGGAAAATGCTTTTTACAGAGAACGTACATGTACAAACAATGCCATCACGTCCCAAACAGAAACTGACTTAGAAATACAAAACGGGATTGACATCGGGTTTTTTTCTGATCAATGTTTTGCAGAGTATTTTACTGACAAATCTTTGTGAAGAACAATGTTTGTTGCATCAAATTTAGTTTGTTTTTGTTTATACTTGATGTATCATTTATCGTCTTTTGTTATTTGGATATCAGACTTTACTGAATGCCCTGAAGGAATGTAAAATGTATTACTTGAAAAAAAGTAGCTTAAAGCTATAGTCCATTATTTGCAGCCATCCGAAAAGTAACTGGCGTAATTATTGTTGAAAAACATACTGGGTTGAAAGATAGTAAGGGGACTAAACTCCCTGTGAAATTATTCTTTTTTGGCAAGCTGTCATTTTGAAGTAATCAACGAAAGAAGGCCTTTCCAACGGACGCACCGTAGGAAAATTTAAATTAGTAGTTTGTTTTGTTATTCAGCGAAGCGCGCGCAAGCTTTGGCACGACGCACACGCGCGAGCGGTTGCTATAATTCGTCGGATCGGTGCGCGACATGGCGTATAGCTGCAATCGGCTCAGTGAGAACGCGTCTCAGACGCTGAATTCAGACCCAATTCAAAACATGATTCAGCAACTTTTGATTTGAAATCGAGATCCTAGAATGCTGTTTTTCTTGGAATATACAGCTGAAGCTGAGCTGAAACTTTGTCAGGTTTAGTTGTTCAGTAATCAGTATCCTTCATTAGATTTTGAAAACTTTTGTTGCTTCAAACAAACAAAATGCACAAATTACAAATGATGGACTATATTTTTAAGCGACCTAAAACTATTGTGAAAGACATAGGCCCCACAACCTTGAGGTTACAATGTTTTAAATGGGGTAATAAAAGAAAATACATGAGATTGAGACAAGTTACTGGTACACGATGTGTATATTTCTTGTTAAAAATGCAGCCGCGGGCCATCTGTTGTATTCAAATAACATCCCACATAATATGCACCATTGTGTCCATGAACCTTGTGTTTGTATACACCCATACTGAAATGTGTATCCTTGTGGAGACATTTTTTTGTTCTCGTGTACTAAAGTTTTCGAGTTTGAAAGTGAAGTTTCAAAATGCTCTTATTTTAACCAGAATTAATTCCCTTGGCTGAAATTCGGACTTAATATCCCTTTTCTAAAACTCTTCCATTTGCGACAGATCAACATAGCTTGGAAATTCCTAGTTTTGAGTAAAATCCATATATCTATTTCGTGAAAACCTTGTGGAGACGTATTCATCTATAGCAATTGCCCTGTGGAGATGTTTACAATCTTTTATTCCCTATTGTGTGCACGTCTCCAGAGGGCACGGTGCATCAGATCATGTATACATCCCACTCTTTATTTTAATTCCTGTAAAATGCATGTACGCACATCCAATAAATATTTTTATCGCCGTTAATTTACTCTGCAGGTCATTCCTTTGCAATTGTCAATATATTTTGCAACCGTACACTTCAAATTTTCCAATTTATTCCAAGGTGAAGACGATTACCATTTGTCCGTTGCGACCGCTCAGGAATTATTTTAATTGATTTGGAAAAGTGGATACGGGCATTTTTCTTCTGCTGTTATAATTTGCTCGTATTAATATATGGACTTGCTGTTTGTTTGTGTGGATATTTGGGTGCTTGTTTATTTTTTTTTTTTTTTGCCAGAATGTATGAGTCATCGATATTGAGATGATCCGTAGAACAATGAGAAAGTGAATGTCTTTTCTTGTATTTTGGTTGTGTTACACCTGTTTAAGAGAGACGTTCCTAAGTCACTCCAAGTCAAAGAGTATTTTGGAGGAACTTGAGCTTATTCCATGGTGTCAAGAATTTTTCTTAAGAGTTTTTTTTTTTTTTTTTTTTTGTAATCGTTTTAGACTCAAGAGTATGCTGCAAAAGTGAACGAAGCCGTGGTCAAACCCACTAAGGAGAAGATGCAGGAAGGACGATTGATGAACGATATCTCCACGGGAACAAAGAGCTGGGCTTCCAAGGTTTGTACAGGGTTGTGACGAGGGGTGTGATGATGGGTGCGTGAGACCACGAGCGTCGCTACAGGGGGGTGGGGGGGATGGGATGACATCCCCCCCCCCCCCCCCCCCCGATTAAGCAGTTTTGTCGGCAAAATCATGGTGTTGTCCACAAAATAGAAAATGAAGAATGGAGAAGGAAAGGAAGAGGGAAGAAGAAAAAAGGAGAATGTAAATAATAAAAACCGCTGCCTACCCCGCGAAGCTAAAATCCGGTTCTGCAACCCGTTACTGCAAAGATATTGAGACGATCGGCCTCAGTCAACACAGTCTACATGTAGTTGCATAATTATTTGCTGAATCTGCTGGCATATTGAATTATAGACCCTTGCTGTGCAAGGGATATTCCATAAACTACGTAAAATCCCTGCATTGCACTTAATGTTGCTTTGTACTTTGTCACAATAAATGCCTTAGGTTGCGTCCAGCACCTCCAAAGGATGGAAGGATTTCACTAATATCTTCACCGATAACCCAACAACGTTAGATTCTGTTGACTCTGCACCGACAGCAGAGTCGCTACTAATGCCTGGCAAAGAGGACAGTGAAAAGAGAGAACGGTTACGGTAAGATTTTGTCATCCGGCTGCTTCCCCCCCCCCCCCTTTTTTTCCCCTTTTCTTTTTTTGTAGAATTCTGTTTTGCTTTACTTTTTTGCATATCGCGTTTTGCGTATTTGTTTTGTTTGCAGTAATTTTTTTTGGGGGGGGTTTGAGTAGGGTTTTTAGTTTCATAATGAACAATAATCTTAGCAAATCACAAAAAATATATATATAATTTGACTGAAACTACTAATGAACCTGAAAGTTGGTTCTCAACTTCTTGTATAACATGTGAAAAATGTAAATAACACAATCTTTCCCAAATGTGACAATTCTTTGTTAATAACATTCATAACATTATTCAGGAATGTCATTGTACGTGTTTACATCTGTATCATGGAACAGGTTTTTAGGTGCCTTATCTCCAAACATTTAGAAACCGTCAAAATAAATATATTCCTACATGTACCTTCGTCAAAATTGCCATTTTTGTAATGGGTCTACACAGTCTGTTTGGCCATCAATATCAATGTGATGAATGCGCTACGGCAAATGTTGGATAATGATTGTAGTTTGATGTTTTTATGGGACTTGAGCTCAAAGACATGAATAATTGGCTAGCGCTTTGAAAACGGTTGCCATAGCATTGCCATTATCTACAGCACTGTAGTTGATATGAAAGGCATCATTGCACTCAAGTTATTTGACTGTTTACCCCAACTTACCCAAAACCATAATGGCTGCAATGCATTATGGGATAATTGGGGACAAAACGAGAAATTGTTGTAGTGTCACATGACTTAGCAGAACAGATGTACACACTTGCATTACAGGCGTGAAACCATAGCAATTGCTACACAGGTCTCAAAACACCCTTAAAATGCCAATAACAAAATTAATGATCATAAAAATGATTGTAAAAACCTAAATAATCATTAAACAAGCCAGAATTGCAGAGCTGCCAAGTAAAAAATGGGAACCTATTTCCCATAAAATGTGAAACTGTAAAAGCATTAAGTACATCAGACATCAAAAGAATAAAATTGATGTCTCCTGACTCTCTTATATGAGACTGTTCCCACAAAAGCCCAGACAATATTGACCAATTTTACTTTATAGGTTACAGCATTTCATAACTCCTGAATTTGCGTATTTCACCAGGGATGGAATTTGTGTGCCATTCCAATCATTATACATGTAATTATCTTGTGTCAACACAGATGAAGCAGAGTGCAGGGTCGGTAGTAATTACTATCCGTTTGCTTTGATGTTATCATTCCTCCAAATCAATAACGTGATATTTACTGAGAGAATCTCTGAATTGAAAAGAAATAAAAGACACTGTATCCAGTGTCACTGTAAGGGGGCATTCTTCTGTATCGATATTTAATGCCTACTTGCATTTTACTGTAGGTAGCGAGTTTTATGGAGCACAGTTTGAGAAAATTAACATTTTGCTTGAATTGAAAAAAAAACATTCCTAAGTAGGGAATTTTTTCATTTTACAGTATAAAAAAAGTCAGTTAGGAAAATCCTCTAAAAAAAAAACTGTTCAGGACATTTCAGTTTGTGGTGTTTTGTGCCAATTTCCGAGTTAGCCAAAAGATAATATTAACAACACATAAAACATTTTCTCCTCTAAATTTCTTGGTTTTGTTTTTGTTTTGTAGTGTCATAATGTCTGCCTTTCCTTTAAGAAATAAACTCTTTCGATTATTTTTGTCATGTGGTCTAGAAACATCCTGCGTGCCGTCATCAGTAGCTATGACATTTAAGTCACGTTTTTCGAGAAATCAGACAACTGAAAAAAAAGGACCATGTTGATTTTTGTCTCTGTGTGTCTTGAGTTTTGCTTGAGAGTCTAGGGCCTTGAATAAACATCATGTCGTGTTCCAGACATGCACAAAAATCACTCCAATTCCACAAGCAGGCACTCACGCAATCACCTTTTCCACGTCGAGCGAAGTAAACATATTTTCACTCGCTTTTCAGAATTCACAAAGCATTTCAGACGCTGGGTTCTACATTTCATATGCTGTGTTGTACATTTCTAGTGATTTGATAGTCCCATTTAAAAAATTTAAAGTTATAATTTTAATTGGTGTTTTTTTTTTATTGGTATACAACACAGTGACCAACAGCAGCAGCTGAAAGGGTCACTTTACAATGATAAAAATACAATTACATATAAAAAAAACAACTACACATAGGTCCATAAAAATTGATAAAAGTTGGACAAACTTAATTAAAAACAAGTGCAAATACTATAGATTGTCAAAAACTATAAATATTGAGGTTCTCACACACCCAAAAAAAAAACTCATTGTTTTTGCTTGTTAATTGTACCTAAAAAACAAAGTTTGATGATGATTTAGTTGAAACATGTAAAATGATGCCGCATCTGTAATTCTTAATATGCAGCATTTGCAAATAAAAAAGTTTTGGTGCAGACTTCCTGGCGAACATTGTACTTAATGCATTTTTAATGTATGCAACATTAGAATTCCCGCGAATATCCTAAATGTCACGTAGCCCAGACATGTTAGCAGGCAAGTTCCACGTTTTACATTTCCCTGCCGAAAGTAATGAGCTTCGGTAATGCTTCAGTGCTTTCATAACCTAGCCTGCCCCTAGTACTTTACACACTAGACGACACTAACAATTTAGTGTCGGATAGCCCTTTGTTGTCCATTGTAAAATGTACCATGTATTAGAAAGGGCAATCTGTTAATGGACCATGCGTGGACAAAAGAGGGCGCTCTTTATCCTACCAATAATATTGGGTACCGGTCCAATATAGTTTTTTTCTGCGAATGAACTAGGTCTCCTTGTCCCAATAACACGAAGCTGCTTAACACAACAAACAGCTATGCAGTTAAGCAAATGTATGTGCTAAGCAAAAATTGGCGGGGAACCAGTCCCAAGCAGTATAAATCCTATGACGTCTTGGCTGGTAACCTGTTTTTTGTTATTCTATTCTTAGCTTAGCATTCCTTTAGAGGTAGGGCATATCATTTGTCATTTGTGCATTATTTCTGTTTGAAGCAACAAAAAGTGCTCAAAATCTAAAGACGGGTGCTTAACAACTAACCTGATGAAGTTTTAGCTCTGTGAATGCTGTATATTTCGAGAAAAAAAAATCTCGATAGGATCTCGATTTCAATTCAAAAGTTGCCGAGTCGTGTTTTAAATTGCGCCCGAAATCAGCATCCTGAACACGTTCTCATTCAGCCAATTGCAGCTACGCGATGTCACAGGGTGAACTAACGAATAATAGCAACCGCTCGCGTTTGTGAATCGTGTCAACGCTTGCATGCACTCATTCACGGATGCCCTGAATTACAAAACCAACTACTGACTGAAATTTCCAAAAATGCATCTTAATGTATGGAAATGACCTTCTTTTATTGTTTTGTTTTTTAAATGACAGCATTCAAACAAGAATTATTTCACAGGGAGTTTAGTACCATTACCATCTTTAAACCAAGTATGTTTTTCAACAATAATTTTGTCAGTTACTTTTTGGACAGCTGCCGGTACTCTACTGTCCCCTAGTCCCATCTTCTATGCATCACCTGGATGATTTCCATCCCCTTAATCTTAATAATAGTCATCGAAATCTCAATGGAATTCCAAATTATCAACTTTATCTACGAATTATGCAGGAGACATGTGGAACAGATGTTGTTATATCAGGCCTTATGAAAACTCTTATGAAACAACTCCCACCATGTTTGATTATACAAAGATTTCATCAATAATTTATATCGTATTAAAAAACTTGATCCATGAGTATCTTTAAATTTTACTTTTAAAATAGCATTCTGGGGAGTAGGAAACTAATAATAAGACTTTCAAGGACTAAATCGTCGCCAGCTATTTTCTGAGGAGGCACCAGCCTTGCACGAGTTATGCTCAGGTAGTACCCACGCACTTGGGGCGCCTTGGACCATTAGGTTTACCAACGTGTGCACGCTTCATCTTTTAGAATGCGTGTGGGATGAATGCAAACATGGTGCCACCTCCAAAGTAACATCTGATTTTGTTTGCTGAATTAGTCCATGTAAAAGCTGAAGTCAAGAAAATATTCAGAAATGTCAAAGGTAATTTTGGAAATTTAGCAAGTTTTCATGCATCCAGCTAAAATTGTTATTTACGTCAAATTATTAGACAAGATCACTTTTATAAGAATCATGAAAAATGTTCAGAGACGTCAAAGTGGGTTTTTTTTAATCTAGCAAAATTTCAAGCATACAGTTAAATAATCATTTCACTTCAAAATCAATCAAGAACAATTTTGGAGGAAGCATTATCGATCTCTGGGGGAAAAAAACAATGATTCTTCTGCCCTTAGCCAAACCTCCAAAAATTATGAAAACTAGATAAACATTAATTTGTGATGAAAGATGATGTGTTATTTGTTCACATAATACAGTGTATCGGTACGTGTATGAGATTGTTCAGACTTTTGAGCCGAAGTCAGACCGTGTGACTCTTAAGAAAATCGAATGACTTTGCATAGAGAGGAACACAGAAGCATTATCTTTTAAACCTTTCATTTAATATTCAGATCTGTTTACTAATTGGCAATCTCATCTCTCAGTGTATCAAATTGTTGGGTTTTCTGGAAAATATTGCCAAGCCAGCTGATGCAGGTATGGGAATTGCGTCGTTGTCAAATATCAAACGTATTTGCGTTCACTGTTCTTTGGACCATAGACTCGAGATCAGGAAGCGCTCAGTTAGGTTATTAATGGCTGCACTCTAAAATGAGAGATAAACCAACAATCATTTAAAAAGAGGCAGGGACAATTATTAATAGAGACTTGTTCAAAGAAAAAAAATTAGGAAAGTGCATTTATATTACAAATGACTTGATCATTTATAAATGGTAATGGTATGCAGTGAATGGTGGTTAGTAGAAAGTCAATATATACATTGTACACTATCTATACATAGCGGTACACACATGTGGAATTTCACATTTTTTACTACAAAAATTGTTTCATTTGTTTATCGTTGCTACGGTTTTTGTAGAGTTGGGTGAATGCTGGTGGGCGTGGAGTGGGGTGGAGGGGGGTTGTAGACAAGTGGTTTAAGAGTTACTTTTTATAAATTATATATTAGTCCATCAGACTGTTTTGTCTTTCCATATTTCAACATAATTTTGGTCTTCCACAATTTTCATTTGAATTTATTTGTAACTGAAAACTATGCATTACTGGGACCTTCCACAGCAAAACAAAATAACACCTGTAAGTTTGCAGCTGTAATTTCTGAAGCGCAAACATATAAGAAAGATAAATATTAAGAGCATTGCCAGCCTCATCCATGAGCTTTGACGAAAAAACATTCTACTGGACAATGTTGCTCTCTGAATATAAATGTGTATTATTCAAGGATGTGATTTTTTTTTTTGTGGAAAGTTACCCAAATGTGTTCAGAAATTTAACACCACATTTTCAAATACATTAACCCTTACCACCCCAACTCCATCAAAATCCATCCCCCAGTTTGGTAGATTTTTGGGGGACTTGGTCCAGAAGGCCTGGCGTGACTAAATATTGATGGAGTATGATGGACTTGGGCCTAATGGCCTGAAGTAGTGCTAGGGGTGTCTGATTGATTTTGCCTAGCTTCCTGTACTGCTATTGTGATAAAAGCCATGTGTAGCAAGTCCTTGAATGTCAACCAGTGTGTCAGTGGTGAATTCCATTATAATGCACAGTTTTGTATTGGAAGCACAGTGATTGATGGATTTTGATGGACTTGGTCCAGTTCCTAGTAAAAGACGCCAGGGAGTTAGGGTTAACCTATTCCTTCAGTTCGACTTAAAAACTCAAATCTCTGACATACTCGTACCATGGTGTATTTAAGCCATCTTGTGTAACACTGAGGGGGTAATTTTCACCAGTAACACCCTAAGAAAGCTTTGGTAGTCATGTTTCATTTTTGGCTTGGTCATTTTTGTTGCAATATCTAACAAGACTCATTCTGATAACAAATAACTGGTTCACTGACATTGCATCCAGTAATGTTACCAGGTGCCCGACCATAGAAAAAAACACCCCTGGCTGTATCTTTCAGAAAGATTCCAGATTCATATCTGTTGCAATATGATCAGTCTTTAAAACCCAAGAAGTTTGAACACGATTTTCGTGCTCCATTTCGACACAGCCAGACAATGTAACTTTTGTACAGTGATAAAATGGCCACCTGACTACATTTCTGATCCTGCATTATCACAATAAACATCAGTACAAACTTGCCAAACGTAAATAACCCTGCATGCCATATATCCAGAAATTGAAAAATTCCACAGTGCCTGCTCAAGAGAAATTGGTTTTACGCGACGTTTCAACAATTCAGAAACCAATCAAGACAAAGAATTTTGTTTTAATTTGCGCGCATTGCAATCTTGGGATGAGCAGCACTATGGAATTTTTCCCAAATTAGTATTTTTCATTTCATAGTCATCCTAACATGTAGCTGTATTATCTTTGCCTCCCATTTGCTTTTCTTTTTGTCCATCACTCTCCCGTTTCTCTGTTCTTATTTCACCACATCTCTCACCTCTGTGACCTTTGACACCGACTTCACACTCACCCTCTGTTAATCCTTGCCTTGATAATATTCTAAAACATTTCTTCTCCGGCCTCGGTTTTTCTTCATCTTTCCCGTATTTCATCATTTCTTGTTTTTTCGTTGCTTCTGTCTTTCTTTGAATGTTTTCTTCTTCGGCTGTTTCCTTTACTTTTTCTTTTCTGGAAGAATTTCCTTCTTCCCTTGTTTTCCTTTGTCTGTACTTTGTTTTTCATGTTCCCTTCATTTTCTTTTCCTTTCCTTCTCATCAAAATTCTTCTAATCTTCCTTATTTTTTCTAATTTCTCTACTCTCTTTCCTTCACCCCTTCTTATCTTTCCTTTTCCTTTTCTTCATTTTCCTATCCCTACTTTCCTTTTCTCTACCTGGCCATCTTTTTATTCTGCTTCATATATTTAATATATTTCCGTCTCGCATTCTACAACTTCTCTGAATGTCATCTTCGTCTGTTTTCTCTTCTGCTACCTTATTTTCTATTTTCACAAACCTCATAATCTTGCCTTAATCTCAATAACCATACTTCCATGCTTTCTCACACTTCCCAATCTGTACTTCAACCCACACTTATGTTACTCACCCCCATACCTAACCCCATTTAAACCTCACCCCACCCCCACCGTTATCCATCTGCACCCCTCCCTGCACCCCATCTACCCCCCTCCCCACACCCTATCTGCCCCCCTCCCAACACCCCATCTGCACCCCTCTCGGCTCCACTCTTCACCCCTCCCATAGACAAATGGATCCTGATCAAAGTGAAACCCCTTTACTTCACGATGCCCCCACCCCTCCTAGGACACCGGATGAGACAGATGATGTCAGCTGGGGGTGGGGCAACAGTGACACATGGGACAACCCACCCCAGAGCAGACCCAGCCCGCCCAAGGTCGAGGAGAATGACAGCTGGGACTCTTGGTCCAACGAGCAAGATGATCTACTACTAGACTTCGGTGACTCGTGAGTATTGGGTGCTACTCATTAAGACCAGTTCGTAGTCGGCGCGAAAGCAAACACAAATTTGTGATGTCAGAGCAAGCCTTTGCAGTGCATATTTGAAACAAGTTTAACACATTTAAACTCTGGTGAATATCGCAAGGCATGCTTTGTGACGTCAAATTCGCATGAAGTAAAAACCAGCCTTTTGAGTCTGGGACCAAAAATTTGACTTGCCAGGCAGTTGATAACCAAAAATTTGGTTGCTTGAAAATTTCTGATAAAAGATATTGCTTACGAAAAATATGACGACCAAAAATTTGGGGCTGACAAATATATGGCTGGCCAAAAAATCCGATGACCAAAACTCTTACCAGAAAAAAATTGCAGGTTATATATTTGGAATACCAAAAATGGAGAAAGACAAAATATTTCTGACCACAAATTTGGATGACCAAAATTAAAGTAACTTAAAAACGACTTACAAAAATATGGCTGGCCAAAACAATTTTGATGAGACACAATGCAACCAATCATAAATGTGGCTGATTAAATTTAGCGTCCTAAACAGTTGGCTGATCAAAAATTGTGATGACTTAAAATAAAGGTTGACGAAAAGTATTGCTGATTAAAAATTTTGATGACCGAAAATTAGGAAACTAAAAATTAAGCAGACCAAAATTTGGAAAATTTGGAAAATCAGAAAAGGTAGTGAAATACTGAAATAGTGATATTGAAGACCTCAACACGAACAGATCTCAAAATTAAAGCAAGGTTATGTAACTTACGTGAACACACTTACTTATCACTTACATCCTTCCCCTGTTTCTGCAGCAGCTCAAAACCCAAGAAAGCCAACAGCGCGACAAGAAAAAACGGCTCCAAAAAGTCCTCCTCAAGCAACAAGAAGGTGACATCCCTGGAGGAGACGTGGGACGATGCAGGAGGGTGGGATGAGGCAGCGTGGGATGCTATAGAGAGTGACATCAATACGAGTAAGAAGACGTCGTCATCAACGAGACGAAACAACAGCAAGAGAGACTGATAGATGCTGCCGATAGGTGCAGCATTTAGTAAGATGCCTGTCTGGAATTACAAGATGGGTGAAATTTATTAATTGCCATACAGGTATTAAAAATGACCCCCCCCCCCCAACCTTTATATGTGTACCTGGTGCCAACATTGCCTCAATACACCCCCCCCCCCCCCCCCACAGAAAGGACGGTAATCTTGAAAACCAAATTGTGATGTGTATCTCCTTGTGTGTAATATTCCTTTTACGTGGGATTCAAAACTTTCTCATATACATGTATGTAGCTCCCATATGAAATCAATTTGCCCGAAAAATTCAGTGCAAAGAATACAAAATTAGACATCCCAGCAATAGGAGAATGTTTGGTAGCCTCTTATTCCCCTTTCAACAATATATACATATGGTCAGACCATTTGAAAGAGTTTAAGATTTGCTTTTTTCCCTATGCATGAAAATGAAAAAAATAAGTAATTTCCAGTAGTAATGAGTTGCAACAAATTTTTTTTTTTTTAAATGTAAGGTGTTTTTTTTTTGGGGGGGGGGGATTGGTTCTTTTTTCGTCCGTGGTCGTATGTATAATTTACGTAAATGTGTGGCTGACTGCTTGGCTCATTTGCATAAACCTGCTCTTAGAAACCTGTAAATTTCAACCCCCCCCCCATCAATTTGACAAATATCATCCTCGGCAATTAATTTACAGACTTACGTGGTAAGTCCTGCGTCACACTGAGCGGATGTTGTCATGGCAACCAATGTTTTACACTTGTCCATGACAGGTAACATTGATAGACTCGTCTGTGAAGGCTTGGGTTTTAATTAATGTGAGTGCTGAACACCCCCCCCCCCCCTCCTTGTTTCTTTTAAGTCGATTATAAACATTTCAATAACATTCTGAAAAGCAGAGGAGTTTGTAATGTTTTTGAGTGAATTCACATTTTTTTTTCCCCTCAGCACCTGTTGGTTCCAAATTTAGAAAACAAATTTCATGTGCTGCACTTGAACAGTAGGAAGGACACTCAAGCAAACAGCAGTTTCATTATGACTTAACCTTCCCCCCCCCCCCAAGACAAACAACCCAAAACTATGTGTGTTCCCTCTACATTCTGAAAAGGTCATTCCATTATGTCTGGCAGAATTGATTTTCCCATCTGTTGCCATGGAAATGCTTTGATGGAGACATTTCCAAGTCCTTTTTGTGTGACGTAAATCAGTCAAAATGCCCAATATTTCGTCAACCGTTATTGCTTGCAAATAGAGACTGACAATACATTTGTAGAAATAAGTCTGGCATTTTCTGGCTTTGGGCATGGGGGAAAAACATCAATATAGGTTTTTTTTATGTTTAATGTCCCCCTGAAATTGTTCAAAAAATTTTTATTCCTAAGAGAGATTGCATGTTGCTTCAATGATATGTTAATGGTTTGGGTGACTTGCTACAATTGCAAAAGCTAAATTCAGCTGGACCCCCCCCCCCCCAGCCAAAAACAACACACGCTTATGTGGGCCTTATTCCCAAGTCGGCCATGTTGAATTTAGAGTGAGGTAAAATCTTCATTTTTGGAACTTGCGAAGAGAAATGAAAGCAAGTTAATTTATAATAAATTCCAGTCTGCTTCAATGAATACTTTCAAATTTGTAATTAAACATTCCCTAATATTTAAAGCCATATTTTAAAAAAAAATGACATTAAAAAAAGGCTGCATTGTGCCTGCTAAATAGTCTGGCGCCATCCCATTCAACATTTAACAATTAATGAAATACATTCAGGGAACTCAACAAAAATGGCCAACTGGTGTATAAGGCCCATAATCTCAAATTACATTCCCTTACATACAAACAAATTTTCAATTTGACTGTTTTGTTTTTACAAAAAAATCTAATGAATAATTTTAAATTTGTGATTGAACACCCCTAATGTTTTAAGCCACTAAACATGAAAGTGAGGTCAGAGTGTATTAATAGTCTGGTACCATTCCATTCAACAGTTCACAATTAATGAAAGAATTCAAGGAACAAAACATGAAAGTGAGGTCAGAGTGTATTAATAGTCTGGTACCATCCCATTCTACAGTTCACAATTAATGAAATAATTCAAGGAACAAAACATGAAAGTGAGGTCAGAGTGTATTAATAGTCTGGTACCATTCCATTCTACAGTTCACAATTAATGAAATAATTCAAGGAACAAATCATGAAAGTGAGGTCAGAGTGTATTAATAGTCTGGTACCATCCCATTCAACAGTTCACAATTAATGAAGTAATTCCTGGAACCCGACCAAAATGGTATCGTGAATAAGATCCATGGCAACTTTTGGCTGGTATCATTTATTAGTCTCTGCAGACATGTTTAATTTGACCAAACAGTACCACTTTTAAACATGGCATTCTTTCCTGTTAAGTCTTCATTGCAAATCCATGGTTTTAATTCATTTTTGTCAACATTTTCAAATGTTGTCCATGTTGTTGATTAAGTAATTTGTGAATGTTGTGATTTTTATTGTCTTGTGCTTTTATGTTTTATCTTTGCGCCTTGATTTTCCCTTTAAAGAAAATTGGTAGCCAAAATGTGGATACATAAGCTGTAAGAACGAAATGTTCGTTTGAAATTTTAACCAAATAGTGTAAGTTATAGATCATGAAAGTGATACATTACAGACCAACATTTTCCTATAGAAGTTGGATTCTGATGCCCCGTGTAATTGTTTAAAAGTAGTTTTATTATTTTTAACTCAAGCGGGCGTTTTAACTTTTCATCCCTTTTAAAGTTGGTATATACGTGCTTTTTCAAAAATTTTATTTTCTTTTCCGAACGAATTTTAAAGGAATATATGATGTCCTGTAACAAATAATTTGCTTGTTTGTTTTTGCAGGCCTTTATACAGCTTTAAAAATTGGTATTAATGGTGCGCTCCAGTTCAGAAATAGTGCGTACTATACAGAACGAATTAGGAGCGTCCCGCTCTTAATTCAGATGTTGAAATTGATTAATTGATTACTTGTCATGGGCCGATTTTTCGTGCCATGTCTCATTGGAAAGCTCATAAAAAATTAACAGATGTAATGCTAGAACATTATCAATTCAATCAGTTGAAAATCTATTTTATTTTTTTAGGTGCCACACACAAAAAGCACGTTTACACCAACTTTAATATCGCAAATGTTAAATATCAACTAAGTAAATATGTGAAATGTAGCGTCCAATTACCCATAATCCTTTCGACAGTCGACCAATCACGATCACGGAACCTTCAAATTTGGCATTGTTTTTATTAACTTTTAAGTTATGTATTTAATATCGTACGGGAAATCAGTGAGAACAAATGTCATTCCCTTAAAAAACCGAATTTATTTCATGTTTTCGCCATTGTTTTAATGTGTTGACTAGATGTTTTGCTTTTTTGAAATCCAAAAACTTGATAAAGATCGTTATATGCAACGGGAGATGCAGGAATATTTAATGGCAACCAAGTTCTAGCATTTGCCTCTTGAGGGCGTTGTTAGGGTAGCGTGTGGCACTTCCCTGAAAACCAAGAATATAGGCCGTTTCAAGAAGAAAAAAAGCTGAAAGTCGTACGAAAAAAATCACCGACACGATCTCATTTTGATGTTTTCGAGGAAAACATGGGCAAAGCTGTGTCGCCTTTCAAATGGATTTTAAACTGTTTCTTTGTTTCGAATTTTGTAAGTCCGTTGTCGACGACAAATAATGGGGATTTTAAAGAAATATTTGAAAAAAAAATTAAGCGTATTGCCGTTTGGTTTTCAACTGCCCCCTAAAAAAAGTAAAATTGTAATATTTAAACTCCTGCCATTTTCGTTATTTATAATGGCCAGTTGTTAATAAGACACTGTATTAATGCATAGTATTTGTAGCCAAAATAATTTAATTATCGTATGGAAACTAAACCATTCCTGTAAGCGTAACAATGTTTAATATCAATGCCGACAATATCAATTTGCTGGCTTGTCGTTTTAAAAAATATGTTTGATTGAACTAAACTTTAACGACAATCGGCAGCCTGTACAAACACTGTGACTAATAGTGAACAACAAAACGTATTATTAATTGTATTTTAAGAGACTTTAAATTGTATAATAAAGACAAGCATTCAGATGTAAAAGTACTCCAGAATTGTCCAACAAGTTTGATTTAATGCCGCAAGTTCTTTAGTTTTACAAAATCGCGGACTGAACCAGTTCCTTCTTAGTTTCATGAGCGATACTTCATCAGTTAGACCCAGAACTAACTCCGTATCCGAATCAAATACTTTCTATTTTTTTTTATTAAGCGCCCCTATTACTTTGCGAAATAGGAGTTATCTTTACTAGACCTTGAGGAATACCCGCAGCAGTTTTTTTGGTATTGGTGGCGTCTGGAGTTGGGCGGATTTCAAATGTGCTGATGGCCTGGACGGAGGCAAGGTGCGGAACTTCTTCTTTCGAGATCGAGGGCTCGAATCCAGAGGGCGGTGTTTATTTTGTTTTATTACTTTAGGCGATTCTAAGGGTTTTAATTATAGGAAGTGTGATTTTCACTGGGGGACCCAGGTAGCGCACCCGGTAGAGGTGCCGACGGGTAAGCCGGCGCCCCTGGTTCGAGTCCCGGCCGCGGCAACTCGGACTGGCTGCAGGGAAACCTGCGGCCAGTCCGAGTTTTGTATCGCGTGTCTACCCCAACTATATAAAATAAAATAAAATAAAACAGAATTTTACTCTTTTTAATTAAATAAGTGTAAGTCAAAAAGATATAAAAGGTCCTATCATGGTCCTGCCGGGAATCGAACCCGCAACCTCCAGCATGAGCGCCACGAGTGCCTACCGCTAGGCCAACACGCTCTTCTTACTATAGACATTCGGAAGTAATATATAAGGATTAGGTTCTGATACGTTAATTAAAAAAAAAAAGTACTAAGTCCACGCGCATGCGCTCTTTTATTCCTAGGTTGTCGGCGCGAAGACCAAGTCTGCGCGCATGCGCATTTGTCAGTAATAATGGTATGGCGATTTGGTGGGTGTTTAAATCTTCCTCAGCTCCATGGTCTAATAAAAGCATTTTCTTTGCCGCCGGATGAAAGAATGAAAAGAAAATCTGCGAAATAAAGTTAGATCATCAATCAAATTTAATATCCTCATCAATAGTCTTAACATTGGTATAAGTAACAATTAAACTACTTAAACTAGGCAGCATTCAATGTGATGATTTCAACAGAAAACAACTAAATATTATATTCAACATAATTTTAAACATTGGGTTACAAATATGCCTCAACTAAATATTCTAAATGATTGTCCGAGGTAATATAATCGCTGAAGAAAATTGAAATGAACGGTGCTAGCCATGTCAGTGTCTAGCCCAAAACTGTTTAACAACAGTGTGCAGTCATAAGACTTGCACTTTTTGCTAACACACTGAACTTACAAATGTAGTCCATAAGCAACAGTGCTAGACGATTTACAGAAAAAAGGGAAAAAACTCATGAATATATATCCAATAAAATGATAAACAGCATATAAACATGTATATACGAATTACATATGGAAAAAATGGTGCAACCTGACGCCACTTTTTTCTTCATATATCATCTCAATGAAGGTCAGTCATTGCAAACATGAATAAGACATGAATCTGGGACTGAGAAAAATTTCCTATTTTGTTAGGAAATACTTTAAAAAAAATTCTCGACACTCTATAGACTTTGTACACAACTACTGAATTGGTGTCAGGTTGCAACATTTTTCCTTACTTACTATACATCTCAGATATTTGCCTCTTCAAGACATGGTGTGTCCATAGCAATCATGCGTATTTAGGTAAAACACTTGAAAGTAAAACCATGTACACTAATATACACCCGATTATAATTAATATTCAATGTATTACATTCTACGAATTACGGTGAGATGTTACCAACTTACTCTTATAAAATTGATTTAATTATATAACATGACAATGATTACCTATCGTCATTAATGCCCTTTTCTCTTTGCATTGACACCTGAATGAGACGTTACCAAATTTCAATGATCAAAAAGAGGTAGATCTAGAGTGTTTTTGAACTAATAATTGATGCTTAAACCCCAAAGTTATAAGTTGGAACATCTATAAGCCGCATACATACGTCACAATTCTCTTTGCTACACAAACTTTATGAGATTGTTACGTAACATCCCTCAATTTTGGCACTAATTTTGGCCAAATATATACTATGAAATCAGTCAAACACTGCTTGGAATAACTTAGTACAGTATTTCTTATCACTTTTCATAAAAATAATGAGCCCGACACCATCTTAATTGAATCCGACCATTATAGGTTTAAAGACGGCCATCTCTGTAGGAAAACTGAAACTGCGTATTTTATGCAATCAAGCACGCATTGCGCAATGTTGAAAAAGTTGCTCGAAATATGCGTTAAATGCAAGTTGACGCTCAAAATGCCAATGCACAATGGTCTGTAGGAAATGACATCATTTGAGAGAGATCTTATGAACGAGCAATACTTTTTCAAATACGGCATATTTCATTTAAAATTATTCTCATCAAGAATTACTAAGCCTATGCATGGAACCGGGCAAAATCTTAATGAATAGTGCAATAAGAAGCAATAAAACAAAATAATAAGTAACAAAAACATTCTGAGTACATAATTTCATATTTTCAGCACTGAATAAATCTTTAAAATTTCAAGCATATTTTGAACAATATTTACAAGCTAATCATTTTTTTTAGGTTTCATATTCAATTCCTTTTAATCAGCCCTGTGTAACTAACTTCATTAGCATCTACGCAAAGTACGTAAGCGATAATTTTCTTGTCACTTCAGCAATATTACATACATGTATAAGCCATCATAATCTCACACTACTTTTCATAATCGCAAATTACATTCCCTTACAAACATTCAAGGTTTTTGTGTTAAAGTTGCATACCCTGTGCTATTAAAAAAAATTCACTTTACAAATTTTCAATTTGTCTGTTTGGTTTTGACGAAAAATCCAATTTTGGGCATCTGCAACCATCTGAAAAAGGGTGTTTCTTTTGCGTGAGCCGAATTATTGTCTTGCACCCAGTAATTCAAATTTTGTGAAGAAATAATTCAATAACTAATTGTCAGTGGATGTTTCGCTCAATATTTCAATCAAAAGTGAGTAACTTTCATAATTGCAAGGAAAATAGCAATTGAAAAAAACAAATCTATTTTTCGAGGTGAAACCTGAACAAATCATGGAGAATCATCTTTAACCAGTTTGCGCCAGGATTATTTTGACACTGTTTTCATGAACCTCGATGCCAGACGGGTTGCAGGCCATCAACTGCGAGTAGCACACCCTGATATTTCTGGCCTCGCTCGCTGGGAGCGGGTCGCAGACAGATATTTCCAGGCTTGCCCGTTGCGTGTTTATCTGTCATCCATACCGAATACATGTACTACAAAACCTTTGCTTGTATCATCCGACGAGAACTGCTCAAGAAAAAATTCATGTTGCTTTTTTGTACTTTAAATGGATGCACTGAAGTCTGAATTTGTGAAAACCTTAGAACATGGCTCATATCATATCTCTGGAGTATATTGTGGATTTCTTTTGCTCATAGGGCAGCATTATCACAGAAAACTCACTCGTTATTTAGAAATACATGAACAAGCACACACATTAATCATCGGAAACCCAGATTAATTCAACTATGATTTTCAAAAAGCTAGAGAGGCCTGATATATTTCGTCTTTAGCAAAGACTTCTTGAGAGGCAAATGATGCATGGACAAGAAATATATCGGGCGAAGTAAGACGAAAGACGAAAGACTAAAGACGAAATATATCGGGCCTTTCTAACTTTTTGATTTGTATATTTCAGATCAATCCAGTCAGTGGGCAGTTTGCAGCAGCTTAATTATTTTTCAACTATGATTTTGTCACATCAACAGAGGGCAGCATTTAGGTTTCACAACCAATCTCACGGCACTAAACTAAAGCAACTGTAGCTCACAATGCAAACAAAGGGTCTAACTGCTATGATTTCAGATGGGTCTGGAATATATCACATGTAAGGATTTTTCAGTAAGCAATGACGTCACACTCTGCTTATGTGTGGTGCTCAGTGGACCGTGGGCCCCCACTGGCTCCATAGGAAAGTGCACATGTAAACAAAAAGTGTGACGTCATTAGTTCAGAGGCTTATTAATAAACAATTAACTGTACGCCATTTTTTTTCATGGTCATACATACATGTACCAATCACGTTTATCTGTTTGGAAATTGAGGGCACATGCATCTTTGGTGGTTGATTACTCCTAGTTTGCATTACGCATCCATGGACTACAATGGGTGTGGTCTTTGCTTGGTAGACTAAAATAAACCAATCCAATCAATCCCGCACAGTCATGATTTGACCAATCACACTCTTGATTTGTGTCTAACAACAGCCTGACATGCGTAAACTTGCATATGATGTGCGCGTCTGGAACATGCAATGTAGCATTGTAGAGGTATACTTATCATTTCCCACATGTACAGTGTCCAGGGATTTGATGGATTGGTTTATTCAGTTCCTTCAATTTTTGGACAGCGCTCTTGCGATGGCCGCTTTGTTGGCCGGTCCTTTCCACAACCCTCCAAAGATATCCTTCTCCTTCGACAGTGCCTTGTCCAGAGACAGCTGCGACGCCGCCGTCACAACGTTCTTGATCGACCGCACCACTTCCACCGACTGGCCGGTGTATCTGTCCAACCAATCAGAGGCCTGCTCGATGACATCATCGCCTTCGATGACATCGTCGGCTAGGCTGAGTCCCAAGGCTTCCGCAGCGGGGACGGCCTCACCGCTTGCCATCAGTTTCAGCGCCGTCTGAGGTCCTACCAATCGCACCAGTCTGGTGCCACCACCCCAGCCTGGCGATAACCCCATCCTTGCGTGGATGAACTGGATAACAGATGATGGGGACACCAGACGGAAATCGCAAGCTGTGATGATCTCAGCACCGCCACCGATGGCGTTACCGCTCACCGCTGCCACGCTGATCAACGGAAGTTGCTGTAATCTGGACAGGGTATTCTGCATGAACAGGCACATGACCACACCAGCTTGCGGACTGCTCATTGCATCAGCGGTCTTCAGATCAGCACCGGAGCAGAAATGCTTGCCATTCGGGTCACCGTGGAGTATAAGAGCCTTCCCTCTCTGCCATTTCTCCAAGTCAGCGACTATGTCTGCCAAGTCTACCATCATTGAACCTTGAAGAGACAAAGACATGGACCCCCAAAAAATATGAAATCAGGTCGTTTTGCAGAACACTTTGTTTAAATTTGCACATCTTGTGTACTTGTCAAGAACAAGCAAAAACTTTGAAATAGAAAGAGAATTGGCTGCCAAATTTTTCAACTGCAACCAAATCATAAGGCCTCATAATAATATACATCCAAATACTAGCTTTAGCTCATTGACTTCAAAAGCTATCTCTTCAATTGGACAGAATTAAAACCATTCGTTATGATGTTTGAGCCAATATCGACTGACATTTATAACAGCTTGCTATTTGCACAAATTTTTTCCCAGATTTATTGCACAAATTTCACCTTATGTCTTAGTTCAAATGCAATGAAAATTTTAAGCATTTTTTTTTCAATCTCACCTGACATGGCATTAGCACATTTGGGATTACTGATTGCAATGGTAGCCATGCCCGTCTCCTCATTCTTACTCAGATGAAGACTGCCTCCGTTCAACTCCTTGAGATGCAGTCGCTCCGCACGCTCGTTGAAGACCTCCCTGGGTTCAAACTCGTTGGCGAGGGCGGTGTTGCGACGCTGATCCATGTAGTGACTGTTAGACGTCTCGCTGAGCTTGATCCCGGAAGACTCGGTCTGGTAGTGGATGGGGCGGGGTCTGAAGCTGCCCAGGAGGGGGGCGGCGAGGGGCCGGAGCTGAAGTAATCTGGACCTCATGATTGGTTGATAGCCGGACTGGATTATGTTATACTTTTAACTGTAAAGATATTCAGAGAAAAAAAATAACGCTTTTAATTGAGATCTAGAAAGTTGAGGCTTTCAAAAGTCCATCACAAACCTGATCATAATAAATCACAATTCAATTCACAACTCAGATAGTGTTTTTTCTAAAAATACAGCTCTGGAGTGTTTTTGTAAAGGCCCAGGGGTCATGCAATCCTGCACACCATGTCCAATCATTGTGGACAGCCTTCCTCGAGGCACTTGCTCTCTCGTCACTTTTTGTTGGCGTGATTCTGAGCTGAATTGGGAACTTCCAGTGAAATCAGATAACCGTTATTCAGTTTGAAAAAAATTTGCGATAAATATTGAAATCTCTGAGTTCTCCCACTAGTCACACGTAAAAATGGATGAACAGCAAAGGCATTCATTTGTCACAGTTCACTTGAATAAATGGTGACTTGAATTGAGACTAGATGTCTTAATTGACAGGTGCGGACTCGGGTCTTAACAAGAGAGAAAAACTCCAGGGCTAAGATTTTTTCAAGAATTGTTTTGATGTAGAACTACCCTTATACAGGGTGAGTCAAAAAGAAAGTGACCGAATTAGAAAAAAAATATTTTAAAAATATGTGGTTCACTCCTTTTCATAAAAAGAACATGGAGATAAAGTCCATGTTATTGGCTAGTAACTGTGAACATTTCCCGCAATTTGCGTACTCTATTCCCAAGTTATGTCGTTATAAATAAAAAGATCAGAACAATTTGCCATCAATACTTCAGAGAAAAAAAACAGTTGACTTGTTCCTCATATTCAAAACACAAAATCTGAGAGTAAAAGTGCTCAGTCTGGACTCCTAAAAAACATTAATTTCTTTTTGTAAAACATGCATAACTTCTGATAGCATGGATCAATTTCAGTATTTTTTCCCTCAGATTCATGCTCTTTTAAGACATTTAAGTACTTCATTTGTCAATCAAATTGATTGTTTTTGAGGAAACCAAAATTGTTAATCCAGGTCACTTTCTTTTTGACTCACCCTGCATACGTCACTTGTGCTAATCAGGATTTGCCCATCAATTTAGAATCAAAATTTCCATTCATAAATTCAAACAAAACACGCAGGACAATGATTACTATAATTAGAACTATTTCCACAGACATTCATTTTAATTTGCTTTATAAAATCCATACAGTATTTATTGAAGCATAAAAGTTCATGCAAGGTTCATTTATTATTTAGTATGGCTGCACGTACATAAATCAAAACAGGAACTTCTCTTTGGAATGAAAAAATGCTGGTATGTGTCAGATTCAGTGGCTATTTTTTTTAATCACAATGAACTTTCTATTTATTCCTGTACAGTTCTAATATTTCCAAAAAACATAACATTCATTCATTAAAACATGATCCCATCCTTATTATTACAAAAAATGGAGATTCTTACAGAATAATACCATTTACAATGTTGTTTTGCTTTTTACGCGATTGCATCACCTTCAAGAGATTTTTAAAGAGAACATAATAGGCAAAGCTGTTATGCTTTTCCACGCGATTGCATCATTTCTTGACACATTGCCAATAACCCACTTTCACTGACATTTCTAGAAAACATAACATTCATTCAAACATGATTCCATCCTAAATATTACCAAAACTGGATATTCTTACAGAATAATAACATTTGCAATGTTGTTTTGCTTTTTACGCGATTGCATCATCTTCAAAAAGAATAACATTTTAGCAAAGCTGTTATGCTTTTCCACGCGATTGCATCATTTCTTGACACACTGCCAACAACCCACTTTCACTGCCGTGGATACAGCCAACCCCATGAACTGGGTCACGAGCAATAACATAATTGGCCTTGGACTTGTCTAACGGACAATCTGATTGGCTGTCGCTAACAGCCATGTGTCATGTGGCCTTTCTAGTTCCTAGGAAACCATTTACATGTACGCACGCAGCACGTACACCCAGCCTAGTTCTAGTTCAAAAGGTCACTGACAATGACCTTTTCTTCTGCAGGAATTGTGGCGCAACATTTTAATAATGCCCTGTTGCACAGGTGAAGGTTTTCATTAAGTGAGGAAATGGGGGGGGGGGGTGCAATCATGGCCAAGGCTACTGTGGCGTTTGTATGCAAATATAGGGATTTCTGAGAAAACTGAATATTTTGAACATCATGCACATGGTAACCATGGAGCTTTTTAGCTCCGATGTGGTAACCAAGGCTTGAGTGAGATTTTTACAATTTTTAAAGAAGGTTTACAAGATTTATTTTTCAAGCTATTGGCAATCATTTTATTTACAGTTTTTGATCAAAGTTTCAAAATGAATATTTTTTTAATTAATGTATTACTTCTGTCAATAAATGAACAAACCAACTGAAGTTTCATTGTAAAGTAATTGACTTTGGGGCTTTTAGTAATTTGGCTGAGATACTCTTGAAATAATTAAGCTTTCTTTTTGATTAAGTGTTGATTTTTTTTTTTTCAATTATAATGTTGAACAAGGAAATGTCGAAAAATTGGGAAACAACCAATAAATATGACTGGATAGCTACCGGTAGGTATTGGTAATCCGGATCGATGTTTCAGGTTTTGTTTTTGGCAGTATTGACCGGTGCTGAACATGCACAATGAATGATTTTTCGGGATTTAGAATTTTAACGGTCCGGGATATCTGGCCTCAATACGACCCTGTTCTTGTAACGTAGTTGTCAATGATTGTGCCTCCAGCTCTAATGCGATAAGCATTAGAGCTGGAGTTACTCAAACTAATGATTACCCTGCTCGGCCAAATGGCCAATGAAACATTTCAAAGACAATCTCAGCTCCCTGGGGCGAGCTTGATGCTGCCAATTAATTTAATTTGGTGCAAAGGAGGAAAAAAAGGTTGCAACCTGACGCCACTTTTTTCTTCATATATTATCTCAATGAAAAATGAAGGTCAATCAATGCAAAAATGATGATAAGACATGAATCTGGGACTGAGAAACATTTCCAATTTTGTTTGGAAATACTTAGAAAATTGTCTTGACTCTCCATGGACTTTGCACACAAGCGCTGAAGTGGCAACAGGTTGCAATTTTTTTTTCCAAAAACTGCAACTGTGAAGGGCTTTCCTAATCATGCTAATGAATTCAGCAGCATACATTGTAAATAATAAAATCAAGTGAAGTAGGCATAGCGAGCTAAGCAGTAAGGCTAAGCCAAGCTATATAAAACAGTTTAAAATAAAACATACCGTAACCGTAAGAATAAACGGGCTCCAGTTACATGAAAATCTCGTTGAATATAACGGCCCTGGCCCCTTTCCATTGCATCATACACAAACAAACGATCATACATGTCCAGCTGGTCACTTCATTATGCACACAGCGCATACACGCAACACTGCTGGTCACGTCTTGAGCACGTGCACTTTGTTTACATCCTAAAAATAAGCCCCAGGCCCCACTGACCATGCTGACCGCACTCATTCCTCCATGCACTGACCAAAACAAAACATCATTATTAACATCGCATTTTACCCTTTTATAATACTTGAAAAGGCAACAACTTACCTCTGTAGTAAGATCGACCTTTCTTGCACCGTTCTGTAGGGAGTTTTCCTGCACAAAATGCCTCGCCGCGGAAAATAAGGTGAATTTATGAACAGTGCGATGCGCCGACGTCCTGCCTGGTTGGCCTATTTCCAATTGTATGCTCAATTTCATGAATATGCAATAGCAAGTGTAGTCTGATACCCACCTTGATATTGGAGACTTGGATGATAGAGAAGGCTGGTTACTAGGTTGTTATAAAATGCATATGCATGTTGGCTAGCATAAATCGATGCATTATTTTTTCACTCATTTGCACTGCTTTTCGGTTAATCTGATATACAGGAACTCTTCAAACTTTGTACCTTTAGATTTTCCACTCGTAGACTCAAACAATGGCTCAATATTCCTAGATGAAACAGTTTCATTGCGAAATGTGTAAAAATGTCATGAACTTTTCTAACGTGTACTGTGATTGGTCAATTGCTCCAGACGTGGCGCGCCATATTGACTAACCCCGCGAACTCGAAAGTTGAGAGGGTCGTGTGGAGTGCGTTTTTCCACTTCGAAATTCGTCAGTGTCTTTCACAATTTCAAGTCCGATTTGGATTGTTTGAATCTCAAAATGTGGAACAATCAAGGAGGTATCTGTTTTGCTGTTTTGGCATTATTTACAAGAGTAGAACTTTGTAAATTGTAATGTATCGATAGTGTACTGCGTAGACCCGTACCCGTAGTCGATCAACAACATCATGTCAACACGGACAGTGCGCGTTCAACACACATCACATGGGCAAATGCAGCATTGGCAATGGCATTGCTTTAAATCTGCAATTGATGTAAACAAACATGATATGGATGTGGAAATCGTCTAAGTTTTGTCTGAGTATGGTCAGAATAAATGTATTAGGCTGTATAACATGAATTAAAGTATTACGTGAAAAGACATTTCATTCATTCAACTTCCTTCATGTCCTTGCAATTTGCAAAAAAGAATGTCGACGTGTGATTGGAACATGCAGAATCAGTTGCTTAACTGTTGAAACTTGAATGTGGTGGTTATCAGGTTGATCAACATGAATAATAGTGCAGCAGCCTTAACTCATTAAGTTTTTGGTAATCGTGTACATGTACATGATGTATGATGTAGGACACCTCGTGTTTTTACAAGTTCCATTCATAAATCAAAACCCTGCCCTGCCTGCCCTCAGTCTTTAGCCAAAAAAATTAAAATGAATTTGTTAGATGAGTAGATCATGTATAAAGACCAACGTTTCACATTTGGTTAAAAAACACAACCTCCTTGTCATCAGTCTTAATTTTCTGTCCGATGCATTTGCAGGTTCTTCGTATGGCGGAGGGGGCTTCAACGACCAAGGAGCTCAGAGTAGCCAGGCTGGTGGCTACTACCAGTCACCTGGTAACCTGGGACAGTTTGGTTCACCATCCACAGGAGGAGCCAAGGTACCACACCAAAGCACAGATCTCCATGGACTACGAGGCAATATTTGAAGTGTTTGGCTGTGGCTCACAGTCATACATTTTAGTTACGGAAATGGCCGAAGCCACATCCAGTAATCGTGAATAGCCTAATACTTCAAACTCTGCCTAAGTCTTGCCAAGTCTTGCTGATTTTTGGCTACGACTTTTGTTTGACACTGTAACGGTAACCAGAAGCCTAATCCAGTATTTGTACTTGGATACAATAGTGTGACCCATTACATTGTTTAATTAAGCAACGTCAGTTTGTCTTTTCTTTCTTTTGATCAGGGTAAGCGTGCTCAGAATCTCATTCCCTGCACCATAGCACAGGTTCTGCAGGCGACACAAGTTGACGAACACTTCAAAATTGGAGAGGTGGAGATTTATCAGGTAAAAACAAGAAAAACACAAATTCGGCCAAGATTTTCACCGACTTTGTTGATCAGTGGTTTAACATTACATTTCTTGTCATGACCCACGAAACAGAATTTCCCAGAAAGTGTCCATGACAATGTACCTTGTGATCCTAGGAAAGTTGTATGGAAAAAGGCAAAGGAACTTTTTTGGTTTTATTTTTACACAAGCCCTAGTAATACCACAGAACTCAGAAGTGAAGGGAAATATCTCCTCTGATAACAGTTTAAAAGACATAGTTTTTAAGTCACAATTTATATTTTTCTTATTTTTTGAATAATTATTTTCCCCAACAGGTGTCCATCGTTGGTCTGATTCGCCAGGTGGAAATGGCAGCCACTAACATCTTGTATAAACTGGACGACAGAACAGGGCCGTTACTGGACATCAGACAGTGGATTGATAACGATGTAAGTTGGAAAAATGATACGAGGAAATTTGAGATTGTGCATAAAATGTATCGGCCACAAAAGCTGTACCACCACCTTGCAGTGTAATGCATTCTTATTGTTTCATAGGCCATGTGCATTAACTTGAGGGCGCTGTTTGTCAAGCATAGGTAGTCAATCACATGGACTACCTTTGCTATTATACACATCTTACTACCCATGACTCAGTTTGTTCTGAAGATGCACAAAACAGTAGGTTTAATACATGTTGCACCCTTTGATAAACAAGATGTCCACATTTGACTGGAGTTTTTGCATACCCACCACAAGAGGGCCACATTTCGCCAAATACTTGGCTCTCTTTCATTTAACAGGAGAACACGCCCGAAGAGATGCAACCCCAGGTCCACAGAGAGAACACCTACGTCAAAGTCATCGGCAACATCCGAACGTTCGGCGGCAAGCGCAGCATCGCGCCATTCAAGATCAAACCCCTGACCGACATGAACGAGTTGACGCTACACATGCTAGAGACAGTCCACACACACATGCTACTCACCAAGAGGAAAAGTGCTGTAAGTTTGGTTATGTCAAAGGTCAAATGTCAGAGGTGAAATCTCCACAATCTCAAGTTCATAACCAAAAACAATATTAAAATAGGGACTATGAGGGTAGTCAGGGTACCATACAAATATCATTCTCTTTTCCGTTCCGTTGCTTATAGGTTGCCCAAGGTGACTTTTGCCTTGGGAAAAGACAACTTCCATAAACAATTTTACTAAATTTCAGTAGTTTCATTAAGATTTGATATCAACATGTTTTTTTACCAATAAAATCACACTAAGTACTTTAGAGTTTTACAAGCTTTAAGTTTAGATTTTCACAGTATTTTATGTATTGCATTATTCTCGATATACAGCAGAACTTCGCTACTATAAACATGTAATATACACAAAAAAAGGTATGTACCATCCCTGTCAATAAATTGGTTTTCCCTTTAATTTTATTGTTACTATTAGGAGGCAAGTACAAGCAGTAACTTTGGTAGCAATCAGTTCACGACGCCATCCAAGGGTGGAATGGCCAGTACATCAGGCTTTGGATCTGTTGCGGCACCTGCTAACGGGCTCAACAATGTACAGGGACAGGTATGATACTAGTGGACATCACTTGCTCAACGCTATCCTCTACCCTAACCTAAAACACGGAAGTGCTGTCAAATCTTGGGTTAAATTTTTGTGATATTATACGTAATAAAGCTGAAATCCTTATCCAGTAAATTCGGGGGAACTGCGTACATTGAACTCAATTGTATTGCCTCTCTCCACCCAGGTGTAGTAGATGGGTACCTGGTAGGAAGAAATTCCTTCAATGCTTTAGCGCCGTAATGGCAGCCGTGCTAAAGCCAGGGTAATAAGAGTGCCAGGAGTGTCACTTTGTGACGGACATGAGTGCTATACAAGAAGCCATTGTTATGATTATTATTATTATTTATTCCCCGATAAATCCATAACACTGTAGAGTGCTCGGTCATTTTCTGGCGGTACAGGGAGTAACGGGCAGGGTGGTTTTGTAGGTACAGGAGTGATTCGTTAATATGGTCATATTTTTTTTCTTGGGCACAGGTGCACCAGCTGATTACAGCATGCCATGATGACCAGGGAGTCAGCATTAATTACCTGGCCACCAGCTTGAAAGGAACGCCCTTCAACAAAATCAGGTGAGAAAACGGTGTGACAGACAGGGTGACGGATAGGGTGAAAGACATCACAACGGACAGCTCACCCAACAAGGTGGCAGGCTGGGTGATACTGATAGTGACAGACAGGGTGAGAGTTGGTGTGAGACAGGGTGACAGACACGATAGACATAAGGTGAAAAAGTATAACAGGTGTTGGACAGAGTGAAAGACAGGCTAACAGATATGGTGATAGAGAGAGAGGGGGGTGTTCAAATTGAATAACAGTTAGGTTATTGCATTGATACAATTTTTGTATTTAATTAAAAAAATAAAAATAAAGAGTTTATCAAATTTAGGTTTGTTAGTTTTTGCTACTTACCAGAAAGGAGTGCGACTGCCGCTTGTGGAGAGACCAGTTTTAAGTTGCAGAAAGCATGATTGCTCCACATTTTATGTCCAATTTGGATGACTGTTCAAAATGGTCTTGAACCTTGTGTTCCTTCACAAATATTTGAACCTGACTTTCATCAAATGAAATATGCAATCATGCTTTCATGAGAGGACATAATAGTTTGGGCACTTTTGTGGCTACAACACAGAATGATCTACGTAAATGCCATTACACAAGTTCTTTCTTTAAAACCAACACCTGGTTTCTTCCCTTTTTTTAAACTACAGAGAAGCGTTGGAGTTCCTTAGCAACGAGGGACACATTTACTCAACAATAGATGACGACCACTTCAAGTCGACCGACGGCTAAAATTTTGGTCCGATAAACCTAAACCATCTATCCAAAAAAGTTGTATTCAACTTTGCTTTGTTTCTTTTCCTCGTTTTGAAATGTTCTGCTCTTTTATAGGGTTATACCAAAGCAGTAATTTGTTTTGTGCTTGAGCACGAGTAACAAACTATAATTTTTGAGTGGCCCTAGACATTGTCGGCCATTTTACAACTGAACATTGGGTTAGTCATTTTTTTGTCTTGTTTGTGAAAATCATAACTTTGAAAAAAGACAGAGGCCACTCATTATTTTAAGATCTGATTGAGCCTTCCTTTTGGAAAACAATGAACACTTATGCTTTGTATTTAGTGAGCATACACATGACACTATTAACATTTAAAAAATGCCAGGTAGTTCTTAGAAAGCTCCTAGCCTACAGGGTTAAGACAATCCCAAAACCAGAGTACATTTTTCTTTGACTTTCATTGTAAATATTGCCATGCAGTAAATCTTCCACATATTTGTTCAGGATAAAATGCAGTTTGTATTGAAGTAATACACTGTATCAAATTATGTATAAAATTACAAAATATCTTCACAGATTAAGCTTGTAGTTGGAAGTAACGTTATCTAGCTAGAGTATAATACATGTTTACGTTTTCTACCTCTGCATGCAAAGCAAGCATTTTTTCTTTATTTTAAAAACCTTGAATTTCCCGAAAGTCTGGAGAAAACTGAGAGGTTTACCTTATAACTTCATACCTTTGTTGATCAGAAAACTAAATGCTACATTTTTGTTTAAAAGTTGCAGAAGCTACTAAAGTTGTCTTTTTTCTACTGTTTACAAAACGGGATTTGAAACTAAAAGTTCTTATTATTACATTATTGCATCATATTTCATATATAACTGAATAAAATATAAACCACGATGCCACTTGATCAGCTGAATGTCATTTTTTTATTGTTTGTTCGTTTACAAAAAACTAAATACATTTGTGTGAACTACATTCCGAATATTGACAAAATACAGACATCTTCATTTAAAATAAGGATAATGTAAAAAAGACCATTGTCTAATTTAAAAGAAATGACGGGTGTACACATCACTTTCTACATTTTATAAATAGACCTGGAATAGAAATACAGGGAAATGCTGAAAATGCTCTCTGAGACCCGCAAAAATATTAGGATGTATCTATGGAATCATTAAATCTGGGTAAAAAAAAGGAAACATTTATGTACACCATTTTTTTGTCTTGAGATTGTCGTAGGCAGACCATATTGCTGTGAGTTGTTGAGGCAAGCCCGACGCCTTGGCCGAAAGCTTACTTCAATCTTTCATGGTTCTAGCAGACCTGTCCACTCTTGACGTTTCTCCAACAATTTCACACTTTTCCATACCTGTATTCTAAAAGGGGTTATTTTAAATTTAGGGCGTCTACAATACTTCATTCCCAAGCTTCACTTTTACTATTTCTACGAACTATTCCATTTCGCATTTCAAATCAAATGAGATAACTATACTGTCTGCAGCAACACTGAGCGCACTTCTGATAAAAATAAACAATTATGTAATTGAAAAATAAAAACATTTATTGTTTGATACCACTATGCACATTTTTAAAACAAAAAACAACTATTCTTCTAACCAATGTATTCTCAACTTCTCCAAAATGGACATATCCAGTGAAAAGTTTACTGTTTTGTGTTGTGTTGTGTTAGTCGGAAAAATATCTGGTACCTGACAGCTATGTGGGTTAGAAAAGCAGTCTTTTAGCACGGCTACCAGACTACACATTGGAGTTCAGAATTCATTACAAGGGGCACAATGCATGCAACTCGTCAACATTTAACAATAGGTAACCTGATGCTAATATTTATTGCTTTACCATAAGCAGGAAGAAATTCTACCCCCAAAAGGACTCGAATTAAACAAAGGATACCAAAACGCCACTTCATTTTCTGTGTGTAATGATTTTGTCAAAAAGAAATGAAAAGATGGAATGTTGCAAAATTGCAGTCATTTGAGAAAATTTGATATAAAAAACTAGTCCATTATCTGAATTCAACTTTTTGAGATTATTACGTTTTATCCAAACCATTAGCATATGTATTACATTGTGTTACATTGTATTCACTTGAATCCCTAAACAATGGGGTGGCGTAGACAACATCGGGAGTATCAGGCAAGGCGTTATATTTTCTTGAGGGTTGGGGTTACAGGAACTAATGGGTTACACTGTTCTGTTCATTCACAATTTGTCACAAATACATATTTTTACTGACAATTTATTGATTTATTATTTTTATTTTGGCGATCTGTATAAAAAGCAAAGATTCCACTTACCAATTTACAGAGAGTTTGCTGCATGTGGCGTTGTTAAAACCACAAAGAAAATCATACAAAAATGATCACGAAGATCTTTAACATCATCTACATCCTAAGAGGTAATTCATTGAGATAGTTACACATTTTAAAAAACATGAAAGCCCGTTTGTCCTCAGCCAATTACAATACAGAAAGTAGAAGCAGAAATATTAAGTGGAAAACTGTACTTTCCTTTAGCCCTGTATTTTTCTAATAAAGTCCTCAATCTATAGTTCATCGTAAACATACTGCCGCTACAGAATAACTGTAATGAATTCTTATGGTTTTCATAAAGCCTTGGCCCACAATAAGATGAGAAGTGATATTTTTAGTTTGACAAAAATTAAGGCATTGTAGGCATATGTCAGGAAATTCTTCTTCTTTTTTAAGTCATGGTTAACGATTAGTTTCATATTTCAGACAGATTAGCTAAAAGTAAATTTAATACGCATAAGAGAGATCACAAAACAAATTAATGAATACACAACGAAAACAGTTTTTCCTCACACATTTTTTTAAGATTCACTATTCACATAACTTTCTAACCCTAAACATAGTTAAAAAGTAGGAATGAAATTTGTGCACAGAAAATATAAAATTAACTCAACATTTAATGTTCCAATGTGCGTCTGTTTTGAATGAAAAAAAATGATCTCAGAATAAACGAACATCTACAAAAAAAATAATAGTTTGGAGCTGTCTTAGAAGCAAGACACAATGCCCCAAATTTGCAAATTGAGTTGGCCTAACATACAAAATTCTTTTATTACATTTAAACAGTGGTGGGTTGTTTTTCAGGCACTGTGTGATTTTTTTATCTAAGCAGAATTCCATAAGCAGAATTTGAGTACCCAGCCTAAGCTGACGAGATGTCAAAGACTGAATTCAATACTAGAAATTTGCTTATAGTAGCATGATGGCTTAGCAAGAACGGGTCACAAGTAGTTATGTGTACTTGTCAATTGGGCCAAGAAAAAAAAGTAAACCAGTTTCTCGTGTCCCCCCCCCCCCTCCTTTTTCCCACCCACCTCTTTTATTTAAATTTTTTATTTTTTATTTTATACATTTTACAAAATCTGGCAAATACATTGTCAATATATTGTGTTTTCATTTGTTTTCAACAAAATTGTAGATATGTTAAAAGGGTTACGGCTCCTTTTGGACACCATACTGTATCACCAAAAGAGTTGAGAATATGGAAAGTCCATCCGCCATCTTTGAAAATCTGCCAAAAGATATAAAAAAGCGCCCGCCTCCTTCACTGTTTAAAAAAAGCCCGGACAAGAAACTAGTTTCTGTTTTTACTCGGCCTTAAGTCAACTTTTATGCTCCGCAGAATTTTTGTAACTGATTCCAAGGACCAATATATGTGCGAGCAAAAATCAGATGGGAACCACTCCAACAAGTAATATAATTCCAATGACAATTTTTGCTGGTAACCCGCTTTTGCTGAGCGAATATTTTAAGCAAATTTCTTAGTAAATTTCTATGCTGAATGACTCCGTGAAAATCGGCTCCCTGTTTTTTTACAGCACTACCTGGTTGTTCAGTGCGGCCCATTTCTCCACGTCCGGCCGATTGTTGAACAGCACGTCGACGACCGTCGGATCGGCCATGGTGCTGACGTCGCCCAGATCTCGGTCGTTGCGGGCTATCTTACGCAGGACGCGCCGCATGATCTTGCCTGAGCGCGTCTTGGGCAGGCCTGGGGCGTTCTGCAGAACATCGGGGGCTGCGAAAGGACCAATCCTGGTGCGAACTTAAAGAAGAAAGCAAAGTCAGTACTTTCTTTAACATGAAAGAAAAACTTCTACAAAATTTTTAAAGTTCTGAATACCTCTCATTGAGTAATATGATTTCATTTTTATCATTAAATAATATACCAAAGTTATGTTAAATTATATATAATTTTCATGACAATAGTTATTTGGAAGATCTATGACTTTTAAATTGTGGTATTTAGCACGCTGGAAGATGTCATTTTACTGTTGTTAGAGCTTTTGTGACCTCCACTGCAAAAAATGTCTTACCCAATTCCTTGAGCTCGTGGATAACCGGCTCAGTGAACTCAGCTCCCTTGAAGAAAAGAATTTAAGAAGTGAGTGAGAAATGTGTATTCATCTCAACAGATCTATAAATTCTTCTGAGTGCCTTTGCTGGTTTAAAGCTATAGTCCATCATTTGCAGCCATCCGAAAAAGTAACTGGCGCATTATTGTTGAAAAACATACTTGGTTGAAAGATAGTAAGTGGACTAAACTCCCTGTGAAATTAATCTTTCTGGCAAGCTATCATTTTGAAGTAATCAACGAAAGAAGGCCTTTCCAAGCTTTACCTCAATCAGACTGATGAAGCAGTAGCAGCATTCTCCTTTAGTCTTGTGAGGGTATGACACCACGGCTGCCTCAGCACACTTTGGGTGTTCAGTCAGAGAAGCTTCTATCTCAGCCGTACTCAGTAGATGACCTGAGACGTTGAACATGTCATCGATGCGACCAGTGATCCAGTAGTAGCCATCTTCATCACGTCGACACCCTGTCCAATAAAACAGTTTAAACTTGTTCATCTGCAATTTGTCTGAAACTATAAGTGTGAAAGAAGGAATATGAACTCTGACAGTAGTCCATCACAAGTCCTCAAGCGACTATTTCAAGTCCCCACGATTCCTCACAAGTCCATCGCAAGTCCTCACAAGTCCATTGCAAGTCCTCACAAGTCAAATCATAAGTCATCACATGTCCTCACTAGTCTTTGCAAGTCCATCACAAGTCCTCATAAGCACATCACATGTCCTTAGACAAGTCTGCCTAAAATTGATCTATCGGGGTAGAACTGGTCAGCGCAGCTTGTGAAATATTGTTCAATTACATTATATACAAGTGGACGCGGAACGCGCAAAATCTGAGACAAACAAATCTTAGTGTACAAAAACTCCATGTGGTTGTCTAAGGGGCATGGCTGACTCGCAAACAGCGATAGGTCAATTGTCTAGTCTCAAGTCACAAGCTATTCAAATCAACTGTAACAAAGCATTCCTTTGTTATTGTTCATCTCACATTACTTGTGGTGAATTGACTTGCGATTTACTTATGACAAGACTCAAGAATTTGCTCGTGTTATACTTGTGACAAGATTTGTGACCAATCTTGTGACGGAATTGAGATGAAGTTGTGATCATCAAACTGCAAAACTCAACTCTGCCCTCACACATAAATCTGCTAGGTAGTAGGAGGCATATCTGGTTTAGTTTTAACTCTTACGTTGCAAGTAGGATTCAAACTCCTCCCACACAAAGACTCTTACCATCTCCCGTCTTGTAGTAACCAGGGAATTGTCTGAAGTAGGTCCTCTCATACCTCTCATGATCTCTGTACACGGTCCTCATTACGCCTGGCCAAGGCTTCTTGAATACCTTCAAGTAAGGTAGGACAATCAAGAAGAGAAAAATTTGAGGAACTACACATTGGCTTAGGATATTTTTAGTATGATGTATAACATTCTCTGATGTCTAAAAAAGTTCCAATCTAAATAAATTTTAACTATTACAAATGAAAATATAGGCCTGACGATGTTATCAATAATGCGGGTTGATACAGTAGAACACAGTATTATGCCTGTACTGTGTTGCAGTGTCAGACTTCAGTGAAAGTGACAAGGTAGATTGATAATACAATTTACCACGGCTGTGGAATATTATGGTAATCAAAGAGTGTAGCAGTGAATAAAAATGACAGAGTAAGGGTTAAAATACTCCACAAATTGGTCTTATCCTCCTTGAGAGTCCATGAACAACAACATTTCATCTCTGAGCAGACAACTTGCTTACCAGATATCCTTCGCAGACTCCTTCAAGTTCTTTACCATCCTCATCAACCACAGCCGGATCAATGCCAAAGAATGGGAAAGACTACATGTGCCACCAACAAACAGAAAAATATCAAACAGTTTTGAAAAAAAGCTTACCAACATCTTGGCTCTGCTTACAGTTAGCGAAAATTCTTGCTTACTGTAGCAGAAAATTCCGTGCTTACGGTGAGGAATTTTGGCTTATACGCATGCGTATATCCCATAACTAAGGATTCTGGGCTTTCAGGGTTAGCTCATAATTTTTCTGCTAGCGCGGTTAGCACAAAATGGTGATTGTAAGCACGGAATTCTGTGGTTAGCAAAGCCGTGAAATTGTGCTCAGGAAATTTGGTTCACTTGTGGCAAAGTTTCTGATTTTTCAAATCTATAAATTTTGTACTAAAATACAATCGTAACTTCAAGTTCGAGATGAAAGGTAAAGACACACAAATGAAAGCTAAATGCTGAGTTTTTATTTTAATCAAAAAATGAAGTCAACAAGTCAAATGTCTCACATCTGACTGATTTTGGGGAATTGTTTGTTTAATGACGACTTACAGCAGATCCTGGCTTCATTGGGGTACAGCCTGGGAGTGGCGTCACTGTGTGCCCACCCTGAACAAAAACAAACACACAAACGCAATTACATGTACAACATATACACATTTTTGTTTTTATCAATACACCGTAAGTTCCTTAACCAGTTCGCGCCGGGATTATTTTGACACTGACCGGACCAAGGCTCGGGATTGTTTTCAGGAACCTCGATGCCAGACGAGTTCAGGCCGTCATTCGCGGGTAGCACACCCTGATATTTCCGGCCTCGCTCGCTGCGACAAGGTCTCTGACAGATATTTCCGGCCTCGCTCATTGTGTGTTTATCCGTCATCCGTTCCGAATACCGCAAAACCTTTGTGTGTATACACGTCATCTGACATGGGCTGGTCAACATTGGAATGTGAGCATGGTGAGACTGTTCAGTGAACAGGCTATTGCCGAAAGTATATCATCTACCCTATAAACAAACAATCTCCTTTTCTGGTGTAACAATATTTCAAACAGAATTCACACAGGATTCTAATGCAGAACTGCCAGTTCAATGGGCACTGTGCGCCAACAAGAGAGGGCGCTTTTTAACCACATTTGAGAGCCCCATTGACAGGACACATGTACTGGTTCATGCACGTATGGCGCCAAGCACACATGACTAATTTTATTTCTGAATGTGCACAAAGCCATAGCAGGTTCGCTTGAGTGTCAGACGTCGTCGGCAATACGTTTGAATGTCACTCCAATTAAAGTGGTCTCCCCCAACTCTCCCTGTCTTACCGTTGAGGGGGTACTTGCGCACAAAGCCCACAGTGCAGGCATTTCAATAGGGCTGGCTCAATGACGGCCATCTCTGTAGGAGAACTGCAACTGCGTATTTTCGCAATCAAGCACGCATCAGTGTTGAAAATGTTCCAAACACGCGCGCTTGTTGCTCGAAATGTGTTCGAAATACGACGCAGCCGATGCGCGTTTTGCAAGTTGACGCTCAAAATACTGATGCACGTGGATGGTCTGTAGGAAATGACGTCATTTGAACGAGACCTATAACAACACGGCATTGCTTTACTTAGGTGCTGCAGTAATGCACATAAAAGAAAGCCCAGCAATCGGGGACATTTTTTCAGTTTCTCTCACCGTTTCCGTCTGCCAGAACGTGTCACTGATGGCACACCGACTGTCACCGATGACCTTATAATAGAAAAACCAGGCCTCTGGGTTGATGGGCTCTCCCACTGTGCCCAGAACTCTCAGAGACTTGCGACTGTACCTACAATAAGAAAATATTGAAAAAGAAAAATTAATTCAAATATGAGAACATTCATGACGGCAAATTTCTTGTCAGATATGCATTTTTTTTAATCAAGAGCATCTGATTTTAATGGCTATAGCTGCAAAATTTGTCAAAATTAAGCAATTATTTTTTTACCCAAATTTCTAACTTTGAACATTTCCAACGTTATCAAATTACAGAATCAGATCTTCCAAAAGTCATATTTGAAAGTAATAATTAGTCGCCTAAATGGGCCAACTAAGACTTACTTCTTCACTGGTTCCTCACCAAACTTCATTAGAGAGCGTATGAGTGTGGGCGCCGTGTAAAAGAGATTGACCTTGTACTTATCGGTTACCTGCCAACATCGCCCAGCATCCGGGTAGGTCGGGACGCCCTCAAACTACACACAGAAACCAAGAGAACATATTTTAATTGTCTTTTGAAGGATATGGGAAGTTAAGTTTTAGGGATAAACAACACAAATGGTTTTATGATTCACAGAGTTTTCTCTATTTCCCTGACAAATTTCCAAAATTCCATGCAAAACATTTTCATTTTAACAAGGTTGCTGGGTAGTCAAGAGAGAGTCAAGAGCAAAGCAACTAATATACTGATAATGCAAAGGTAGCTTGTTAACAAGCGATGGCCTGTAATATTTGCGCTGCATAAACACTACAAAGCTACCCTAGCCAGTCAGTCATAGACCACAATCATGTTGCGGCCATCTTGATTTTTTTCCCATTCAAATCAACGTAACCAAAGTGAGGCTGGAGGGAAAAATAGTCTGGTTCCTTTTTGAACAAAAAAACATTATCGTTCAGTACTGTTATTGGATACAGGGAACATGACTTAAATGGTGGCAGCATGATAATGGTCTATTGGACACAACTTGGACATGTGGCACAAGACAAACATACGCCAAACAGGTGACAACCTTTCCCTTCTGGGTCACTGTCAGATTCCTTGAGTTTTCCCAGATTTTTGGTGTTTTTTCCCCAAATTCCCTGAGTTTACCCCGACTGGAAATACGGAAACTCATTTTCAAGGTTTCCCCTGCTTTACAGAGTGACTGGAAACCCTGTAATAGCAACAAAAACAATAAAAAATCATGAACCTCAAATTTCTGACTTATCATTAATGACGTACAGTCAACTCTTACCATAACACTGGTCGCACCATTAAGCATTGGTCCGTACACCACGTACGTGTGCCCTGTAATCCATCCAATATCGGCCGTACACCAGTAAATGTCGCCCTCGTGGTAATCAAACACGTACTTGAAGGTGGTGGCTGCGTACAGCATGTACCCTGCTTGAGTGTGGAGGACACCTTTCGGTTTGCCAGTCGAGCCACTGAATAAACAAAAAGAAGAGGATTCTTATTTTCTTTTTACTTTTTGCTATCAGAAAGTGGACTTTTGTGCATAAAAGTAAACATTTTTCCAGGAACTGGACTGCCAAGGTTGTGCCTCGGGGGTGAGAATGGGGAAAAATGTAAAATTCCCGAAATAATTGGGAGAGGCTTTAAGGGTCACATTTGTCACAAAATGTCTGTCCCTGTTCGTACGTAGCCCTGAAGCTAGTGCAAAAAACTGTTATATTTTAACTTGATAGCAACGTCAAATGGGTTGATAATGTCAAATGAAAGTGCCTATTAGAAACCGAACTTGTCCTAAGCACCCTTTTCCTTGCAGTGTGTCTGTCCATGTTACGTATGTATAACACAGAAAAAAGACCTGTTATTTTCTCAAATAAAAAAGATATCATCTCTTCCATTTTCTTGTCCTAGTCACTTTCACCTTACATAAAGGGTAAAAGATAAGCTATTGTTTTCTTTAGTTTTTTCCCTATACCTTGCTAATAGCAAGTTACATACTGTTATATGTTATAAACTGTTATATTTTAACTTGATAGCAATGTAAATGGGTTGATAATGTCAAATGAAAGTGCCTATTAGAAACCGAACTTGTCCTAAGCACCCTTTTCCTTGCAGTGTGTCTGTCCATGTTACGTACATGTATAACACAGAAAAAAAGACCTATTCTTTTCTCAAATAAAAAAGATATCATCTCTTCCATTTTCTTGTCCTAGTCACTTTCACCTTAGCAAGGTATAGGAAAAAAACTAAAGAAAACACTAGCTTATCTTTTACCCTTTTTGTGCAACATCCATAAACTTATTTTATTGGCCCATTAGTGTGGAATTGCCCAATTGCAAGTTGAAGCCAAGTAATTTGGATGCGGCCTGACATTTAAAACCAACAATTAGAGTTTAGCCATCCAGAGGTGTCTGTCCTACCTTGTGTAGAGCATAAACAGCGGCTCCTCGACCTCCAACCACACCGTGTCGCATTCATCGCTCACCCCCGTCATGACATCATGCCACCAGTGGTCGCGACCCTCAACAAAGTTTGTCTGTCAACACAAGCAAGGTCAAAGGTCAGGGTGGTGAGTTCAGAGCCTGCTATGCCTACCATCTTTGGTGTGGATTGCAATGAAATGGCTGGTTTACAAATTACAAAATGCTTTCTCTCTGAGGTGATCTTGGGTAAAACACAAACTCAGCAAAAACATTTTAATTTTGGCGGAATCTGCATTGGGATGATGCTATTTCCAAACTAACTTTCCAGAGAAAAATTTTACAGGGTTACCACAGAGTGTGTATTAATTTTGGGGAGCTAAATTAAGATCGCGGTTAACCCTGACGTTCCTGAATCCATCAAAATCCACACCCCTGTTTTGGAGGATTTTGGCAGATTCAGGATACCTCCATATTGAAAAAGTTTGGGGATTCTGATGTATGCAGTTCAGGACAGTAAGCCTAACGGTACTGCAGGATTTTGATGGATTCAGGACAGTAAGCCTAGCGGTACTGCAGGATTTTGATGGATTCAGGATACACCTCCACATTGAGCAGTTGGGGGACTTTGATGGATTCAGGATCTCAGCAATTTAACTCCCGGCTCATTGGTGGATTCTGATGGACTCACAGTACACCAACATGCATGACAAAATTGATGGATTTTGTTAGATTCGGGATACTTTCTATTAAAAATACCCAAGGGGTTAGGGTTAAAGAGCCACTTACTTTGAGGCTCATACAAGGCCTCTTGGCTCCCTGATCGTTACTTGGTGCTTCCTTGGTCGGCGTATTTGGTCCAAGATGACGGACAACGATGACAGTCTTGACAGCAAAGTTCCTGCATACGAAGGAGAAAAGAAGACATAATGAGATTTTTTTGTGCTAAGTTTCCGACATCACATCTAAGACTTGTCTGCAAATTCAGATTTTTTGAAAGAAAGGTCTAAAAATTCACCTAAATCTCCATATCAATTGTACAGCCTTGGGATTTTACCATTTTCATTTTTTTGTTTTATTACTATGATTGCTGGTTTAGTTTTTTCATGGTTAAGTGTTTTTTTGATCTTGCTTTTTAAAAGCACTACAAAGTTCCAATCTAATTATCTAATTATTAGGGGGGAAAATAAAAAAAAATAAAAAATTGCAGGGTAAATAAATGCTTGAAGTTATACCAAGCCTTCATAAATATGGGTGGAAAAAAATGCAAAAGTAAGGGGAAAAAGCAGGAATTTTCATACCAATTCTTGACATATTCAGAACTGGTTCAAACAAATGCTGACTTGTAAAAAATGTCTGTGGTAAGTAAAACCTAAAAATGAGAAGAACATGTACAGGGTGAAACAGAAATATGGGAACCCTGTAAAAAGGAACCTTTTTTCTCCACTTAAAGACAAGTATAAAGCAATTTAATTATTAAAGAAACAATCACCTAATTTTTGTTTCATCAATTTTGCTTTTGTGGTTCGTGAGATGCAGAGTTTCCCCAAAATTCATAAAAATCAATTTTGTGCACGGATCACTGAACCAGGCTTTTGTCAGGTTTTGTTTATCTATCGTTTTGTTTATTCAACAATATTATTGCAGAGCTGATAGATTACAAACGTTTGACAAGAACACAATTTTCCTGAAACCATTTCTGTCTCATTTTGTTAAATTCCTTTCACATGACTGAGAATGATTAAGGATTCCAAGTATGTACGTTTGTCATCCACGCCTCGCTTGCAGAAAAACCGACACGTCTTTGCATATTTGGTATTCCGTGGACACCTTTGTTTTTCACCTTTTTTCACGAAACATTGTAACTTTCAGAAATGTTGTTGTATCGTGTTGCCTATTTCACCAGATGAGACCGAAGTAACAGGAGGTTCAAATGATGTACTATTTTCAACCAACTGTCTTCAAAAAATATTTTAAATTTTTTTTTTTTGGGAAATCGGGTAGCCGTCTTTTTGAATCGGCCCGTATTCAATAAATTTACCTACATATATCATGCACTTATTCAATAACCTGTAACGTTTAATTCGCGCCACGCATCAATGCAAGTCAACCTATTCTGCCGGGAACCAGGTTAAAGCTGAACAATAATGACATGGCAACCACATGGTTACCGCTCATGGTTGCTATGGTTTCCATCATCATAGCTACTGAACTTTCCCTCGGGAACCGTTTACTTTCTGGACCTAACAATTACTATAATTGATTAGTATTCATCTCCAACAATGGCTTTTGAGCTTAAAGGTCAAACTAAAGACAAACTTGCCATAATTATTATATCATTTTAATTTTTTGTTTATTTATTTATTTATCATTTTTCGTAATTAAAAAAACAGGTAATTCCACTTTCCCCATGTTTAAACCATGACATAAACTTTAAAATAACCTAAATATGAGTAATAATTTTAAAAACTTACAACCAAGAATATAATACTTGATACAAAACTATAAATTATACAACAATAACTCACGATTATTACACGAATGTATACTATACAGAAATACGTGTACATTCACATTCCAAAAGTTGCTCAGTCACAGGGAAAAATTCAATGCTTTCCAATTTATTAAAATATTCTCTTAACTTACCGGTACAATTTCAGAATAAAACTAACAGCAAACACAATATATGTAGCACATTTTCTTGACTGTTTTCAAATGGGTGCGTTCTCTTCAATGCACATTAATGTGAAATCTATTTTTGAATTTCTATGTAGCCTGCTTTTCATTTTTAAAATTCCCCACAAATGGCATTCAAAAACTCTCTTTCCATTGTCTGAGAAGTTACTACGTAATTGGTGAAGATCATAGGAAGATCATAAATACGTTTGCCCACTTACGCAGCTGCAAATGCACCAGAATATGGATTGACGTAGTGGCCTCCAAAAAAAAAATAGGAGAGCTTTACTCCCATTAACCTTGGTAACGGTGTCAACAATTTATAGTAAAAAGAACAGTAACCTTAATGTACTTGTCCTTGCTGCAGTGCTAACAAGCTAATATTGTACAAATGGTCAAAATGTATTGGCCGTTTAGTCTGTAAATTTGGCGAGCTAGATCTAGCTATAATTGTTCGTGCCATTGTGTCCGTGCCATTTGTTAAGATGTCCAATGCATTTTGAAAGCAATCAATTGAAACTGTAAATTGGGCATAAACACATTGTAGCTAGATGACAATCGTGAAAGGATGCGCTCAAAGGATGCATCCAAGCACAAGCTCTTGTGCTTGGATGCACAATGCTTTTCAGAGAGATGAATTTTGGACTAGATGGGTGTTAAAAACGAGGCTACTGAACCAAAAGACGGACAGCACTGTGGGTTCGCACTGTCATCAGTTGGATATTGTGTGAAGAAATTACAAAACAGTTAAAAATATTTATGTTTTTGGACGTAGAAAATAGTTGTCATGATTAAAATCCTCAGGGTCAAGTCAAATTTCTTATTTTGAAGATGACAAAAAAGTGTTTTGAAGACGTGATCATTTCTTGAAGACCAAAATTTTAAGAATTAGTTTATTTTGAAAGGGGGAATTTTAGACACTTTTTGGAAGGTTATGAATATTTTTAGAAAATTACATAAAATTGTTTGTGTGGGGGAGGGGGTGGGATATAGTTCCGCAATGGAGTGATTTGGGCTTAAAATTTGTTTTGATGAGAGCTGTATTGAAGGAATAGGATGGAAACTACGTTAATGTGAAAATACACAAAATGAACAGTTTTATTCAAGACTGACATTCCATAACTACATGTATTGGCTTGTTAATTGCTGGATATATTTTCAATCTATAACACACACGTTCAACACAAAACACCTGTTATTGTGCGGAGCACTCTAGATGGGTTACCATGGTAACCGAGTCACAAAATTTTATCATCGCCGTTAAATATTAACGGGCCGTGCAATTTAATGGACACATGAATTGCTACGGTTGGTCGACCCCACTTACCAGACTAATTGCTTGGGTTCGATACAAAGAGTTACTGGTAACGAGCGTCAAGCAATTTGGCGTAGGTGCTTGAGGGATATGGATGACTGGTCTTCAGTAGCAGGGGAAGATGCAGCTGTGCTACATGTTCATATAAGCGCAGGATGATATTCAATGAAAAGAAACTGTTCTAGTCATTCAATCATCATTTGCTCCCACTATGGACATTATTCAAAACAGACTAATTGAGTATGATGGAGATAAATATGGCATACGAGTGAAAAGTCGCATTACGATAATTGCTTGAAGGACATTTGTCAATGTGGCCGTCAGACGAGCACAATGGAACATAGAGTGGGGATATTGGCAGCACGCTGACTGACGAGATAACAAAGGACACCTTCGTAACAGGGGAGGGGTTTAATGACGGAGCGTGTGTGCAATTGACAACTTGCTGTAGACTTTGGAAATAGTCATAGAACAGCAATGGCGAGGCAGCGCTTGTAGTGTTGAGGTTTCACTAGTTTTCAAAATACTGTGGCTGTGATACCTTGAAGAAACACCTGTCAAACAGCAAAGCTTTGAGGAATATTACAGAGGCTGAGCAACTATCGCCTTGTGTGCAATTGACAATTTAATGTAGGCTTTCGGAATACTGGTATAACAGCATTGGTGAGGCAAAATTTGAAACGGTGCGACTCACTTCTACACTCAAAACTGTGCATGCATCATATTGAAGAAACAACAGTTAAAAAGCAAAGTTGGAATTGCAGGATTTGCCATGGGGAATGTTACAGAGGATGAGCCACTGTCGCCGTACCTCGTTGCCGTACGAACATGTTTTGTTGCCGTAGTTGTCATCATGATTATAACCGGCAATGCTTTGTCCATCGCGGTAACTCGCAGCATGCCCGGGCTTGCTGACAGCACCAAAATATTGATGATATCGCTGGCAGCATATGATCTGCTGACTGGGGTTATGTCCATACCAAACGTGATCGCGTCAGCGTTTGACCGCTGGCCGTTTGGAGAGTTCTACTGCTCCATCAATGGAACCATAGACGCTACCTGTTGTTGTATGTCCATCACTCTTATTGTACTTATGAACGCAGAGAGATATATTGCTGTGACCCTGCCTTTCAGGTTCCCAATTCTCTGCGCAAAACGACGCGTAATCGCCGTCGTTCTCATCGCCTCGGTCGTATCTCTGGTCCTTCAAATCTGCTTGAGTTACTTCAAAGAGGACAATAATCAGTTTAAGGCTGTGTTGATTTGTGACGTGGTATTCAATGGCACTGTTTTAGAGATTTCCGTTTTATTCTTCCTTGTCATACTCCCCTTGGTGGTGCTGACGTACATTTACCTGCGGTTGATCAAACTCAGTCAGAATCATGCCGTGATGCTGAACAAGTGCAACAACGCGGCAAACGACACCAGTTTCCTTGACAACAAAGCTCTGCGCGCGTTCCTCGTCGTGACTATTCTCTTCGCAGTGTGCTGGACGCCTTTGCGGGTTGTACGCGTCGTCGCAGCAATCACAGACAAAATGCAACCAATCTGGCTAAGTTTTACCGCCAAGGGCTTCGCGGTCTCTAACAGCTTCTTCAACGTGTTCATCTATTGTTTCTTCAACCGGTCATTTCGGCAAGCCGCTAAGCGACTGATGATGCGTTATTTTCCGTGTTTCAAAAGCTCCACCGTCGCACCAATGACCACGCCCATTCTCAAAGATGACACACCGCAACCAGCGGTGCGTCGGAAAGGCAGAGCAGCGTTCATTTCTGTGGAGCTCTGACTAAAAGGGAAATATTGGTGTACAATATGACGACGACTTAGCTCTCTCTAACATGAACACCAATGGAAACATGTACTGTCTGAAGTTAAAAACTGAGACAGGTACCGGCGCGGTACAGAAGCAGAGCTTCAAAATGTTTGTACTTTATCTGTATGTAAAATGTCAGTGATATGAATTGTAGGAAAAAAATAAATAGGCCCTTTCGAACAAACAAAAGTTGGTTTTCCAGATAAAAAAAAAATAATTTGAATGTAAAATTAGAAACGTAGAGAGGAAAACAACAACTGGAAAGAGGAGTTATATTTTTTTACAGACAAGTTAAGATCTTGCTTTATTACATCTGGTTACAAATTGGAACAAAAGACATTTGCATGACTTTCTCTCTTGAATGCCTACACGTACATGTTGTTTGAAATCAGATCTCAACCGAAACGAACAACCAAATAAAGAATTGACAAGAATCAAGACGAGTAAAATTAGAGTTTTATTTAGAGATATATATAAGATATCTTTTAAAGGTGTTGAAATAAACATTATAATTTACACAGAATTGTCATCTCATTGTCAATTTTAATGACTGCTACTAATCATGCTAATTGACACATTACATTATCTCATCCTCTGACAAAAAAATGCTAGGTCATTTCAAAAAATTACTGGCAAAAACTCCCACCGAGTTCAGGGGTTTGTATCAAAACCGGGTACCCGAGTACCCGACTGCTGATCATGGGCGTCGCCAGGATTTTTTCTAGAGGGGGGCAAAATTTGTTTTGCCAAAAATGCTTGTATTTCTCAACACATTCTCGATTTATCAATTTTAGAGGGGGGCAGGGACATTTTGCCCCCCCCCCCCAACTCATAAAATTTACACCACTTTGTCTTCGCGCCTCTTTTTCTTTTCTTTGTTTCTTTTCTTTTCTTCCTTTTTTTTTTTTTTTTTTTTTTTTGCTTTTCCAGGGGGGGGCAAGTGCCCCCCCTTGCCCCCCCCCTCGCGACGCCCATGCTGCTGATGTCAGGAACCGGTTCCAGATTATGGGATCGTGTAACCGTAACCAACTTTACATATTACTAAGTAACTTCTCAGACAATGAAAAAAAAAAGGTTTGAATGCCATTTGTGGGAATTTTCAAAATGAAAACCAGGCTACATGGAAAACCAAAATAGATTCCACATTTATGTGCATTTTAACGCGCGACAGATGACGCTTGCCAAAGTTGCAGTTTACACTGTAAAGCTATAAAGCCCTTCAGACAACTCCCGGAATTTGAAGTTTGGGGTTGGTTTCTTTTACGGGTACCCGGGGGACCCATGTTTTACTTCGATAGGGTACCCAGTTCCAATACTATCGTTAAATGCACATAGCAAATTGAATTAGAGTTGAGATTTATGCTAAGTTTAAATAAGGAAAAAACTGGTGCGACAAGTATTAGGCAAAGAAAAAAGAATGCTGAAAATGTCAGTTACAGAAATTCTTCACTCAATGAAATCTATGATCATCTTCTGGTGGATTCTGAAACTGCTTTATTTCCTGTATCTTGTGTAACGACAGTGAGGGCGCTCTAACGAAAGGTGCTGTGGCACTTCAATTAACCCTAACTCCCTAAGCCTTTTTGTTAGGATGTAGCCTCAATCCTGCAAAATCTTCCAATTGGCCTCATGGAAAAATAGCATATATATATGTAGCCTCAATCCTGCAAATTCCTCCATTATTTCTTGAATATGGTCCGTGGAGGGGTGACCACTGCCTGAATCCTGCAAAATCCTGCGGCAGTGACTGAAAATATGTTGAAGCTTGGCCAGTGACATTTTGGAGCAGTGCGGAGGATTTCAAGCATAATCCAGGCCTATATTTATGCATGGCTGAGCAAAAACAGCACAAGGTCCGGCCCAAGACCTTGACAAAGTGCATCCTATGAAATCAGTATCGTACTTTTAAAATGTAACCTCAATCCTCCAAATTCCTCCACTTTGGCAAAGAGGATTTTGAAGGATTCAGGGCGGTTAGGGTAAATACTGGTTTAACAGAAGTCAAAGAGGTAAGGCTGGACATGGTAGAATGGTATTATTAACCCTTCTATGCAAACATACATTCTGTGCCAAGTTGTCCTTTCAGTCAAAGTCAATCAAGTGACTGTTTCCAACAGTTAAGAGCTCCCAGCCTACATAAAGCAGGATTGACTGGCTGTGACTGTTTATGTAACTTCATACAGCTATGCTTTGACTGTAGGAGATTGATAAGCCAGCTGTGTCTACCACTTGCCTGCTTTTGTCTGTTGACTGAATTTGACTAGTCACAGTGCATGCTTGAAATATGATCTGACTGTTGGTGACTAGCCTGTGTAAAAGGTATGGTAGGGAGAGGATTTTTTATTTTCACTGACTGTTCAGACAGCAGGAGGGTTTTAAAGTCATGTGAGACATTTAATAGAAAAAGCTAGTATAATACGTGTTTGTTGAGTAGGAAACAGAGGATTTTTTCCCTGATGCTGTCAGAAGATGTTCCGTCTCTCAGCGAGAGCCTTCATCAGATTGAGCAACTTGCTGAAAGACTTTTAATTCTGGCGTGTCTGTTACGATGTGATCAAATTTAGGTCAATACTGGCATGACAGAAGTCTGGCAGCAGCCAAATCTCTCCGCGAGCATCTTCTTAGCAGCGAGCTTGAAGGAACGATTGAAGAAGAAGTAAATGAAGACATTACAGAAGCTGTTGGCGACAGAGAGCCAGCTGACCAGAAAGTCGATCCACGCCGGCAGGGATATCACTCCTGAGGCTTGGAGGGTTCTGGCTACTGTTACTGGCAGCCAGCAAGCCGTGAAGGTGACAGCGATGATCAAGAACGTCCGAATTGCTTTGTTGTCCAAAAATCCACGTTTGGCATCCTCAGGCTTATTTCGATTCAGCCGTTGAACGTGATCTTTGCTTATCTGGATCAGTCGGCGGTAGATGGTTGTTTGAATGATAAGGGGCAACATGAAACAGGTGCAGAGCGTGGTGAGTTCGATGACTAAGCTTACGTACCTGCTGGTGCATATCACAGATGCAGAATGGAAAACTATCGGCACGTTGAATATTTTCAGCATCCCTATGATGCTTGCAAAAGTCAAGCCAAAGTTTATCAGCAAACCAGTTATGAGCTTTCTCTGTGTGAAGATGGCCTCGAAGCGGTATGGTCTGGTAACTGCTATGTAGCGCTCGAAATTAATGTTGAGCATCACAATAATGGACATGATACACGAGGTGCCGAACAAGTATCCGTTGATCTTGCAGAATGTTTGTCCGAAGGGCCAACGCTCCAAAGACGATGCGAGAATGCTGGGTAGCGCCATCAGTCCAACGAGGAGGTCATTGAGTGCCATAGCAATCATCAGAATCCGAGTGCTTTGTGGTATGTTACAGATGCGCAGCGTCACGGCAATGGAAAACAAATTCCCTAGGATGATTGTTAATGTCACTACGGCGATGACTGAAGTGCGCAAGATGATGGCAATTAATGATAGTTCCATTGCATCCTCAGGCAAACTTGACTGTGTTGAATTGCAGAGTTGAAATCCTTCTTCCGTACTTGAAAAATTTGAGCTTGCATTCATCATGATCAAATCAATACATGCTCACATTCTCATGAAAGTAATCGCAAGTGAGTACTTGTTCACGTAGTTGGTACCACTTTGATGTGTTGTTTACTTTACATAGACTGTTAAAATTTGGCCTGTCCCCAACTGTGTGCTACACCCAGGCACTACATTGTGCATCCTTAACCACTTCGCGCCGGGATTACTTTTGCCGAAAATTTTGATTTTCACAAAAGGCAAAATATTCCAGCCAAGTTCTGATATACAGCCAAACGCCAAGTGATTCGCAACAGTCATTTTAACAGTACCGGTATTTGTACCATATTTCTTGCCGAAACCTCTTATGTTTCAATACTTCGAGGTGTGCACTGGAGCATAAATTGTCGAACAATGGGCCGTGCACAACGGCCAATACAAGATCAACACACAGTCCAACTCCAAAGACTTCACAGACTATGTGTGTGTACAAAAGGCACGAGGGATGAGCGTGTTTAGACGTAACCCGGAGGCTAGTCGAGGCAATGTTGATGTTTAAACCAGTCAGCCGTGCCTGTGTATAAATACAGCCAGTGCGTGTAATCACATCCTCCAACCTGAACTGGTTAACTCTGTAAGTATGTCAAGACTCCAAGCAGTTCATCCAGTATGGTTGTTGTTCTACAGTCCCTGTCACTCCTGTGTATGATCAGCAATTGATCGATTGTTGGATACCTCCGTCCCAACTCACTAACAAGTGCAGGTGTTTACTGGCGGGATGAATTATTAAACAACGACAAGATGAAAGGTGTTGCAGAAGCTGTGACCAGCCAAGACCTAGCTGACCAGAAACTCCGAGCTAGTCGACAGCAATGTCATTGCAAACGCACACATAGACCGTTCTCACGACACACTGCCAATGTCCCAGGTATAATGCGGAATGTCCATAGTGTCTCACAGTCAACAAATTTCGCTGACATCATCAGGCCTATTTCTGTTTAAGTTTTATACATGATCTTTGCATATTTTATCACCTCCGGCAGATAGTAGTTTGAGCCTGTGTTTACGAATCAATTACTAAGGCAGAATGCGTCTCATTGCTTTTTTTAGGTGGAATGGTTATTTTGTATTTACTGAAGTAATGTGTTTACCCCGAAAGAGCACTCAAGCATCATTTATTTTGGAGGAAAACCAGGGCTGTTTCCGGTCTTTATGGGGCTCGAAATCTAATCAGACACTTTGAGCGATCATGCTCACCTTTTCACATCCAAGGATTTGCACACCATCCTATTGACGTTTGCAATAGTCTTTTATTATTGCTCTATTTATTAAAGGTAGGGTATAGTACTGATGATCAATAACATCTGTAATTCAATTCTGTCCCTTTGCTTTTCAATTGTTGTGGCTTCAAAAGAAGGGGAAGACATTTGAGGTCAGAAATAGACAATTTTCTTTTCCTTTTTTCACTCACAATTGATGAGGCTTTTCTGTGACTTTTGACTTGAGTCAACATGTGGATGGTTTTAGTTTGATGGAGTAGAGGCTATTTTGGTTTGGCCTGTTGTTTCAAGCCATTTATAGGACGTAGGTTTTACGAAAACTAAAATCATCCACATTTTGACAGATAATTTTTCATCTTTTTTGGCAGATAATTGCCATGTCACTTCTCAGAACTTAGAAAGTGGTGTATTATTCCACCCTTTTTAACCAGTTCGCTCCGAGATTATTTTGACAAGAACGGAATGAAGCGCTGGATTATTTTTTCTGTGGCGCAGAATGCAGCTGTGTTTTGCTGGCAGTTTAAAACCACCCACTTGATGGGCTTTGACCAATAGAAATGGGTAAAATGTCTCAGGTATTTATCAATCTTCTTTTATTTCAATATCTTTGATAAAATCAAGTGGGTTTCCTTTTGTAAAAGTTTTACAAGCAACCAAAATTTTAAAGTGAAGCAACAAAGTGGATAAAAAAAATAATAGTAAAAATGTTCAGGAGATGGTCCACCAATCCTAGTTAAGGGGAGAAGTAATGGTCGGGTGGGACAAAAATCAGGATTGTTTAAATAATATTCAGTTTGAATTTGAATATTCGGTTAGGGTATTGGAAACTGGATATATTCTAATTAAATTGTGAGCCCCATAAAAGACAGCAACAGCCTTAAATTCTTAGGCAAACCACCTGTCAGTACTCTTTGGCCGTTTATTAATACAAATAGCCATTCCACCTACCAAAAAGCTTTGATACACACTTGACCTTATTTAATTGAAACTCAGACCAAAAAGGACCGAAGCCAAGAAGAAAAGATCACACTCAACAATTGAACCGAAACAAGGTCTGAAGAAGCCAGGCATGAATTTCTGGATAGTAAGACATAGTGGATATTCCTGATCATTGTCAACCTTATGGCATGAACGGCTTGTTAGCTGCCAGTGACTGCACCAAGATCTATCCAACCTCCACAAAGACATCGCTTTCAACTTTTGTTAATTTTTTTTGGGGGGGGGGAGGGAGGTTGATTACAACGGAGAGAGATTTGGCTGCTGCCAGAGTTCTGTCATGCCAGTAATCAATTAAATTCATCACATTGCATTTGTTAGGTGATTCCTAACAGACGTAACTACTTACTCTTTCTTGCAAATCTCAACGGCATCGTCGCTAATGTTCTTCAGGTTAACCAGCTTGGTGCCTCGGTAAACTCCATCTGTCAAGGAATAGCCAATAAACGTTTACTGCAATGGACATGTCAAAGGAATAGAAAACTCAAGTCGGGAATGTTTTGACCACTGATCTCTATATAAAGACTGGATAGTGGATATGCATGCAACATTCATACAGTAGACTTTGCATATTGACCAATTCGCCCCCGGTCTCACGAAGATGGCCGCGTATAATACGAACGTTCTGCGCGTAAATACGCGCGCGTTGTATCAACAGTTGACGCGCATTTTGGTCACGTACACATATTATGATGTTCTAAAAGGGACACATTTCCGTAGTGATTATTATTTCAAAATGCTGAAAAAGTTATATTTGCGGCATTTTAGTAACCACGACGTTAGAAAAATTGTAGTTAACCTTGGTCAGTGGTGGTGGTCAAAATATAAGTCAAGTGAACTGCGACGTTACAAAAGAAATCATGCTGTCTATAAAAACGGCAACTTGTCCTTTGTAGATCACCAGCCGGTCTCACCAATATGGCGTCAAATTCGTTCATTGTGCGGCTCTTTATTAGCTATCCAGTCTTTATATAGATCAGTGGTTTTGACAGACTTCTACACTGGCATGTACTGCAATAGACCTAAGACAAAATGACTTCACACTTCGTTTACATGTGTGCTTTCCTATGGGAGCCAGGTGGGAAAGCGAACATGTGAACAAAACGTGACATCATTGTGTCTTGGGTCTATTCTTTGACTTTGATTTTAGGCTTGAATAAAGATTACTTCAGAATCTAGAAGAACAGTGATTCTTTATGAATATAATGTTAGAGCTGTGAAATATATTTTGGCCAGGTACCCCTTCGATTGATACAGAGGGAGAGTGGGGGGGGACTGGGAGGGACATTCAAACGCATTGAAGTTGACGTCTAACGCTCATGCGAAGACGCAAGTGTTTGTTGCACACTCAGAATAGAATAAGCCATGTGTACTTCACACCATACATGTATATGTGAGGACCAATAGAAGCAGTGAATCCCTCTCAATAGAGTTTTCAAAACTGATAAAAAAAACGTCATTTACTGTTTGTGCACAGAGTCCATAGACCGTAAAGCATCAGTGTTTGAATTTCAAAATGCATCCCTAAGGCCAAAAAAAATTCCGATTACATGTAGGTAGGTAGGGAATTTTTTTTTATTTTGGAAATCGTTTTTGTGTACGATCATATGGAGGCGTCTGCGTGCAGTCAAGGGTAAGAGGTAGTAATTGATGGTTTTGGTGCCCGATGAACATTATAGACTTTATGACCCTTTTTTGTTTTAATGAAATGGACTCACCAGCCGTGACTAGTATGGTGGATTGGGCATCCATCATGCGACCAGCTAATGAGTCTGCAGAGAAACCACCAAACTGCAAGAAAGCAAGACATGGGTTACATTCTAAATTGGTCCCTTACCTGACCGAAGCCTGTAACATGGGAATCGAAGAGATTTTCATTTGATTTGGAGACTTTGACACAGAAGATGAAACACAATCATGAGTCTGAATGACTTGATATTCATATCGTGAAGTTTTTTGGCAGCTTTCACGAAATAGCCACCATGGGCCCAAGTTGGAATTCAATTACATGAATATAACATTTGTGATTCCTAGTCACGCATTAAGTGAACAGTGCAGTACATTATTCCTAATTGGGAACAAGTCAGAAATGACATAACGAACCACAATGGAATGCATTATTCCCAGTCGGGCACAGGCCAGCATGGCCACCACCAGCTCAAAGATCATGGGCATGTAGATGGCAACGCAGTCTCCCTTTTTGGCACCTGTAACAGAGGGCAACAACAAAATAGGTACATTGTAGATCAAGACATATTTCTTGCAATGGGCGTTTTATTGTTGTAACATCTCAAGAGGTGTTATGGAGCAATAATTGAAAAGGCTTAAAGCTAGAGTCCATCATTTGCAGCCATCCGAAAAGTAACTGGCGTAATTATTGTTGAAAAACAAACTTGGTTGAAAGATAGTAAGGGAACTAAACTCCCTGTAAAATTATTCTTTCTGGGAAGCTGTCATTTTGAAGTAATCAACGAAAGAAGGCATTTCCAACGGTGATTCTTAAGAAGCACCGTAGGAAAATTTAAATTAGTAGTTCGTTTTGTTATTCAGCGCAGCGCGCACAAGTATTGGAATGACGCACACGCGCGCGCGGTTGTTATAATTCGTCGGATCAGTGCGCGACGTCGCGTATAGCTGCAATTCAAAACAATTCAAAACAAGATTCAGTAACTTTTGATTTGAAATTGAGATCTTAGAATGCTGTTTTTCTCGGAATGTACAGCTGCAGCTTAGCTGAAACTTCAATAGGTTAGTTGCTCAGAATCCTTCATTAGATTTTGAACTCTTTTGTTGCTTCAAACGAACAAAATGCACAAATTACAAATGATGGACTGTAGCTTTAAATGCATTTTACACAAAGATGGCTCTTTTTGATGGTTTGATAAACATTTGAGTTTGATATTTTTTACTAACCCTATTAACCTCACCTAAAGCTACAAAATACTACTGGTAGTAAACTCTAGTTTGAAATACTTCAGCATATAATAAGTGTGCACAACACTCATAATATTCTGTAGTATTCAGTTCTTTATCCCAAAGTAATGGCTATGACGTTAGGGATAAAAATCTACTTAGCAAGTAGCAAACAACAATAATTAATTTATATAGAATATAGAGTTTTTGTAATAAATGTGTTAAAAAAAAAAAAATGAAATGGAAAACAAATTCTGTAAACTAATTTATACAAATGTATCAAAAAGTTAAAGGGGCCTGATGATGTTCTATCCTAGCAGGGTCGCACCGTTGGGAAAAAATCCTGCTAGAATAAAAACATCCGATCCTCTCACTTGTTTATACTTAAATATTGAAGTACATGTTTGCAGAGGGGTGACATAACGTATATTTGCAATTACCCCCTCATGTGGCCATGTGTGTTTAGTCGGATTGAAAAAAATTATACATGTACACTGTATGCTCATCACTGCATGTATGCTCATCACTGCAATGGCAATGACAACCCAAAAGACAACAAAACAAGGAAAGATTTCCATATACGAAGTTCACTCAACACCCTGTGTACAAACCCTATGAGATTGGACTGAAAAATTCTGAGTGTTTTCTAAGAAAATGCTTGTATTTTCTCACTACTCAAATTGACTTTGATGACATGAAATTGCTATCTGGGGGCTTGTTAGTCAATACAGAGGAAAATTAGTGAACTTCGTATATGGAAATCTTTCTTAAAACAAATTATATACATGTACAGAGGGTAAAAAAAAATATGCAAAATATGCAAATGGTATGTATTTGTTAAGAGTGGTAGTTTTTATTGAAAGCAAAAGTTTGATTAAAGTGGCAACAAATTAAATTCTAAGCACGTTTTCTTCTGCTTTCCTTTTATTTTTCATTTATTACTTATTCATTGTATTACTTTGAAAGGTAGTCTCTGGAAAGCTTATTAAACTGTGGGTTACATAAAACACTACAAAATACTAAAATCACTAACATGTAAAAACAATTATGAAGAATGAACAAATAAAAAATAACTCCAGTGTGAAGTTTAAAAGTCCAGCTACTGTTAACCTTTACCATCTATCAAACTGATAATTTGATATTAGCACACAAAAATGTAAACGCCGTTATCTTCCGACACAAAAGGAATTTGTTTCTAAAAAAAACTGTGATGAGTAATATGCAAAAATACTAATTTTAGACATGTAGTTGTACATGTGTGGCATTACGTTTATCACTTATAATGCAAACATTTGTAATAAAAGCAGAGGCCATATTTGACGTCATTCGGACAAACTAGGGATTTTATTGCAGTACGGAATCACTTTTTGTTTCCTAGTGTTGCAATAACCTCGAGAGGTAGTGATAAGGCAATCCGATATATCCTTGATTGAGTATCAGTTTCAATGACGTGTTGGTGTCAGGTGATTTATATTTATTGAAATTAGAATGGTGGTGTGTTCCTATTTTGGAGTCTTACATGCGCAAGCGTTGAGTGCATAAGATTGAATAAGAAAAATTATTTAGTAAGGAATTGCATGCACATTCAATTAAAATTTGAGGTTGGATATCTGAAAGTGGCTAGTATCCAACAATAAATAATGTTAGCATCAAAAAGAAAAAAAATATGTATGAAGATGTAAAACTGCATCAATACTTTGTTTTGCTTTACTGAAACGTTATTAGTTTTTTAAAGTTTTCCACAACTGAAATATTTGCCCTGGCCGTTTAGGCCTTAGCCAACTTTGCTTTTCGGGGCTTTTTATTATTTTTATTTCCATTTCTTTCGCACTGGACTGTTAAGAGTAACACCCACTGAACAAACACAAAAAGAGTTGCAAGGTTAAAAAAACACCTAATTGTACTACGTACCGTACCTGTACGACAGCTGTGAATTTGGCGCAATTATGTAAACAAGATAGAATGTATTTTGTACAATACAGTATAATTTTCCCACAGAGCATTTTTTGACATGATGGAATTTTGTACACGTTTGTCATTTATTACAAGCTTGTCTTTACTTAAATGTGTTCAGTACATTATGTTGAATTATTTAATTTTAGGGGTTGTGATATTTTAAAGAGTTTCTTAGAGAGTATTTGGGTATTGTTGTTTGTGATTTTTTTTTTGGGGGGGGGGCGTGGTTGTGGGTAGGTGGGGTTGGAGATTGGGTGGGTTGGAGGAGGGGGTTGGGGTTGGGGTTAAGGTATGGAGGGTGGGGTAGGGAATTTGTTTCTGCATTCAATAGGGGAGTCCCCTAAGGGGCCTTGAACAATAGAGGGCAATAGGGTCGATGTGTACAAAATATATGGGAGGTCTTCCTAAAAAGTTAAAGTACATGTACAAACAGAAGAGGGACAATAGGGGGTCCCCGATTGCAGGCAAATACACACTTGTCTGGGTGGGTGGGGTGGGGTAGGAGTTAGGGGTGCAGTGGTGGGAACAGGTGGTGGTTTCAACTTACCCAGACCCTTGAGGACATTGGCAAACTTGCAGACTTCTTTAAGTAGTTGTCCATAGGTGATTGTTGAGCTGTCATTTGGGTCATTTCCCTCCCTAAGTCAAACGTTTCAAAAGATTAATGTTACACTTTCACATCAAAAACTTAGGCCAAACAAAAATAATAGTTCTGCTTCCGGTTTCCCTACCTACCCTATTCTGACAGCCCCTACTGTAATTTTTTATTGGAAAAATGAGGAAAAAACACCCCAAACCATCACTTCATACCTTTTACCCTTGACTACACGCAGACGCCTCCATGTGATCGTACACACACAAAAATGGCAACAACAACAAAATTCCCTACCTACCTACCCTATTTTCGAATGCCATGTAATTGGAAGTAGAAGTCATTTTTTTTGGGCCTTAAAATTGTGAAGAAAGAAAACTCATGTATACATGTATGTAACTTTCTGTTGTTTGATTTTTAATATGGGTATTGTTCTATTCAGGTATGCCATAGGGTTTCACTAAGATTTGCCCCTAAAAGTCGTTCACCTATTTGTATATCTTTTTTTTTTATAGAAAACAAAATTATAATTCACATATTCAATCCAAACAAAAGGTTTTATGCAAATGTCTAATGCAAGTTAAATACACAGGAAATAAAACCAATTCAATTGGAAATTCCTAACACAGGGTGTTAACAAGATTTTTTTAAAGGGGGGGGTATATTTTCTGTATAAATTTGAAAAAGTACAGCTGGTCATTCAAAAATTTATTGAGCAAGAAAAACAAGTTTGGCAAAACTGATCCAATTTGTTTTTCAAATGTATCGCTCGACACATTCGGCTAATCTGGCAAAATTTATGTGCCTTGAGTATCATGTTAAGTTACAAAATGTACTTCTCCCATTAATCATTAGACTCTTTCAGTGCGGCTGCCCAGAGTGTCCTCTTGACATCGATCCCTTGATAGGATTTGTCATCGGTTACCCTGGGCCAGATAAGCTTTCCTATATTTATCATCTCTCCATATAATCAACCACTGCATAGCTTAATCAGTAAAAGTGCGGGTGGCAGTCCGGCAGATTGACTGCATCTATTATAATCATGTACACTATCCACAGGTAATGTATGCACACATGCAAGCCAATGTGTTTTAAAATGAAATTGTTCATCTTGGTCATGGGCTGGGAGGGGTGTACATATATATGTACCTTAAAATGCATCCCTAGTCATTTGTGAGAATATCACAACAAAGAATGCAGGTATTCTATAATAATATTCACTTGGACATGTTGGAAAATATTAATTGGGAAAGTACAAGCGAACTAAGAGATTTCTATTTCATGTATTTTACATGTACATTGAACATTAACCATTTCTTGAGTACAGGTGCAGGTGTTTTGGACATCAGTTAATTATAAATAACGTGAATATCTTTGTGAATAATCATACTACATGTTCAACACTCGAGCCAACTTATTAAATTCTATGCTGTGAGACTTGAGTAATCAATAAAAATTATTGAGCTGCCATAGTGCCAGAAATGACATGACATCATGCTTGTAAACATGTGTTAATAATTAATATATCAACATGTATACGTGTACACATATTTTCAGTACGAAATAAAAAGGAATACACTAAGTAAACAAATTCCCCTGAGTTGCAATAAATGAGATTTACTGTAAAAAAAAAAGATTCAAAACAAAATGCTGCATCAAGCTGTACACTCCCCAGGGAGCTGAGATGGTATTTGGAACGTTTAATTTGCCCAATGATCAGGGGTAATAATAATATGTAAAGTGCTTTGATCTTAGTTAAAAACGTTATATAAGAACCTGTTCTTATTATTACTTATTACATGTATGTGCAAACCAATGCCTACATGAGCCTTTTAATGAGATGTGTTTATTTACATTTATTACAAATAATTGTAAAAAATGAGTAAACTCTTGTCATTTCTGCACACTTTGATGGATGAATTAACATGACTTTATTAAATGATACTGCAACGCTGTTAAAACGAATTTGACTTACATGATAAAAAACACAGCTTAATTTACAAAATGTTTCAAATTTTAACTTCAGGTTGAACTTGTAAAGTTGTAGGCTACAGTACATATGAATTTTTAGTTTCTTTATTCCGTCATAATGCTGCACGTAAATGGCATTTATTTCTACATGAATTTCCTTTCCAGCTTATTCTACTCAAATAAATGCGGATTGTCCTTTTAAAAAAAAAGGAAAGTAAAACTTAAGATAAAGAAGAAAGCTGAGGAAATCTGTCACATGTCACTGTTTTGATTTTTACTTTGAATTCCCATGCACAGAACAAATCATAAGTTGGTAACAATCCTCTTTGTTTTGTGTTGTGCAAGTAAAATGATTAAAATTGAACTGTCACAAATCAATAATCAGCCTAGCTAGGCCCAAGTTTAAAAATATGTAATCTTAAAAAAAAAAATTGTTGCAACCTGTGCCACTTCAGCGGTTGTGTACAAAGTTTATGGAGAGTCAAGACAATTTTCTAAATATTTCCAAACAAAATGGAAATGTTTCTCAGTCCCATATTCATGTCTTATCATCGTTTTTGCAATGGCTGACTTTCGATGAAAGGACAGGCCTATAGGCCTATTTAGCTATTATTTTAGAAGAAAAAAGTGGCGTCGATGATTTAAAAAAAAATCACAGCCTGTGAAATTTGAACAAATCTGAGTTAGTCCAAAAAATTTAAACTTTCAGATAATTATCTAATGCAATGAAAGTGAAAGACTCAATACCTACCAATAAAATGCAATGTTGTCCCCCTTTCCAGCTTTGACGTGCCTATCCAACACATTGTAACAAAGATTGGTGGTCGCACCCTGCATCCATTTGATAAACACTGGGCCGTTGTTCACGTTGAAGTTGTACTCGAGGAATTTGCCCTCGGTGGGCGGCCGCTCGAAGTGGAATTCCTTGGCGATGTTTCCCCAAAACTTCTCCGGTTCCTCGATAGACTGTTTGTGCATTGCACGATACTGCTCCATGGAGCGAACGTGGGCCCCATTTTGGATTTCTGGGTTAGGAAAGTAGAATTTTGGAGAGTTCATTGAGTCGCCCTTGGGATTCGCCATTTTGTATCAGCCGGCAAATTTATGAATAGCGCCACGCGCGCCAAGTCTGTGCGTGATCTAAAGTTGGGCCAATTGCTGATACAAATAAGAAATGATTTCTACGAGTCTTCCGGAGCAACTAACAGCACCAAAATTTCACAGGCAAACACCACAATCTGAAAGAATTAACATCGTATTCAGTGTATCTGTTTATGTGTACCTATGACAACAAATAATTGCTGTTTCCAAATTCTATCACTTTTATTGAATCAATAAAACTGATGGAAATCCTCAAAATCCGTAGAAAAACAAATACTTAGTCGGGCACAATCGTAATTCGGCACAATTGTTCAGCAGTCGTCTGCTCGCTAACATGTAAAAGATCGTGCCATACCGGGCATGGGAGGGGCAAATTTCAAGGCCACTGATTGGCCAGAACAAAATAAGGCCATTATTTTATTTATAAATAACACGTAAAGCTGTGTGTGGGTGGCCAATTTTTTGTCCAGGGTTCTCTTTATTTAAAAATAGCGTCCATGAAGACTTTGATTCCATATTAAATGATTTCCCAGAACTAAAAAAAGGAATGAGTTGAACTTGGAGCTGCTGCTGCTGTCAAAACTATATTAACATTATGGAAGATTATGGCAAATGATTAAATCTTAATAAAAATGAAATAAATGCATAAACATGGCATTTATGATGCTTGCACCTTATTATAGGAAGTCAATAGCAACAAAAATGAACATACTGAACAGTCAACTGAGAATTCAAAAGACACCAAATTGTGTTCCCGAGTTCATTTTTTCCTCTGAAAAAAAAGTTGTTCTAGTGTCTCACATGTGCAAACCCCAAATTTCCCGACAAGCAGTGTTTTTATTTCAAAACCGAATAGCCCAATACCTTCCACAGTTCAAAACTTAATTCCAAAAACCCTCTAATTTCACAGGAAACAAACAATTAATGACAGAGGAACAAAAACCAAATGCATTTGCATTTTCACAGCAATCAAAATTTATTACAAGTTTCATTTTTTTACACAGAAGCATGGTGTGAACACAGAACAGATAATATATAATTACACATTTCAGACAAAAGGAAATGAACATATAAAGTTCTGACTGGTGATTTCTTTTTTTACCAAGATTAAATCCACTCCTTTCCTGTTTCTTTGTTTCACTTTTGCTTAAATGCAGAAACCAGGGTTTGTTTCTAGGGCAAAAAAAATCTGTCACTTCTTATTATTCCTCCATGCACTTTCTAAACTTTTTTTTGGGGAGGGGGGAAATTCGATGAAACACGTAACAAAGATTGAACAAATGACAAAGTGAACATGTGACACCGATTCCCAAATATGATAAATACATTACGAGTCAGCAGAACTGTTTCCAAAGTTGTTTGGAATTTTTGAATATTTTCAATTTCAAGTCCTTAAAAATTAATCATTTCGATAACCAAATTATTTTTGTATAATCTGGGGTTTCCTGGTGAAACAGGCAATCATTTGTCAACAATTTCAAGACAGTAAATTACATCTTAAAATACCATTTACCACAAAATTCACAAACAAGTGGTTATTAGAGCATACTTTAAAGAACATACATGTAGGACACAGAAATACGATCCCATGATGATTGTGAAAAAATAATGTACAACTGCATTTGTAAAATAGGAACACACAGTTTAAGGGGCTTTCACACTAGACGAATTCCCCGGCAATTCCCCGGGAAATTGCTGGGGAATTTCGGTCGGGCTGTTCACACTACAAAAAAAACCCGGGGAATTCCCGGGGAAAAGCTTTTCCCCGGGAATTGTTTACCCCTGCTCGGGAGTAGGGTTAAAGGAGAAATCCCCGGGGTTTTACGTATTTCCCGGGGAAAAGCAACTAGTGTGAACGTCGGCGGGTTTGAACTTACCCCACCTCTTTTTCCCCCTGTATCGATCGCATTTTGCGACACAATATTCAAGTGCTCCGAACTTTTGGAAATAAATCGCAATGCAAACGGTGCTCAGTTTGTCGATCGGGCCGTCGCGTGACTGAAATACATGTACTCACATTTTCAGTTCGCAGCGCCTGGAAATGCAACTTTTATCCTCAAAAACATAACCATTTTCCAGACATGTTTGAACGAACATGTAGGCATTATCCATGATAATTTTCCAACTGAAAGACTCCCAACTAATTCGCGTACGCTGTGCCTGGAAAATCTCACCCACTTTTATCCTCCAAAACAGGCAACTGTCATCCAACAACGTACGTGTACATGCCTTTTCCATGAACATTAATTTCTTCGATGCACGTGCTGAGCCGCAGTACTGCGTCACCAATGTAGATCACACCATTTACTGTAGGGATGTATCATATTCTTTTTTTTTTAAGAATATTTACCAGCATTTCCAAAACTATACAAAATTCTCTTTATGAAGTTCGAAACATTTCAATGTTAGAAAAGAAGCTCCTCAATATCACAACATGATTTTTGTTAAGAATTTATTCGAGAAACGATGTAAAACTTTAAAAAGGGTATTAAAAGCACCCCTTTAGTTACGGTATTATTGGATGATCCGTCCATATGATGCAAGGCGAATTGCCGTATGTTTTCCGAAGAAAATTGCGATGGAAAAGTTGATTTTTTGACGTTGCAAAGTCGTTGCTAAAAATAAAAATTTGATAAGATTGGTAGTAAAAAGAGACCTGTTTGTTCTCATGGCATGCTCCCGACAATGCATGCGGGAACATTACATCGTACTTCGCCGGTGCGGCCTGGCTCGGAAGAGCGGGTTAATTGGCCGGGCGCCGGGCCGGCTCCGTGTCCGTCGGGGGATAGGTAGGTAGCAATTCTCGATGCGTATTTCTCAACGTCATCATCAACGAGAAACTGAAAGTTTTCTCGAAATTAATAGCCGACTGTCAGCCTAAAAACTTTTGCACAATTCCTGGGGTTTGATTGCGAGTGTGAAACGATCGTGCATATTCCCGGGAAATAGTGTCCCCGGGAGTTATCAAATGTGTCTAGTGTGAACGGTTGCTGGGGTGTTGGTGGGGTAAAAAATCCCCGGAATATCCCGGGGATTTATTTCCCGGGGATTGGCTGTGCAGTGTGAAAAGGCCTTTACAAGCCTTCAACATCAACAAGACCTTTTGACAGAAATACAGAGTCAAGATTGCTGGATGGCAGACAGTAAACACTCAAACATTGATTTCCAAAAGCAATAAAAGGTTTCCAAGCTGTTTTTTTATACAAATTGCATATCGTTTAGAAGGCTTTCCATCATAAAATTAGAGGAAATCTGAATATTCATAAACTAAATTTAACAGCATCCTGATACTACGAACTACTCTACCTACATCCACCTAAACAATTATACAGTACACTTTTTATAGTACACGATAAAATGCTATTATATCCACTGCTCATTTTATTAGTAGCAGCTGGATAACATGTGACACTAGGGGGCGCTGTTCATAATACAAATGTACATGTAATGTTAATTTGCGCGCTTACATTCCCTTACGTAAGAACAGTGTATTGAGAGCTTTTGTACTATTTGCTCGCCGTTTTTCAATATTATTTCATACATATGGATCGTTAGAAAGTTTCAAGATAACCTCAAAATCTGCATTTTTTTTGCTTCTCACCACAAAAATCTGGGGGGGGGGAGATGATCCAATGCCCCCCCCCCCCCCCCCCCCATTGGTCAAAATGTGGGCGGGGATATATCCTCCCCCTCCCCACTCGGGGATTCACACCCATTATTAGCAGAATGAAAAAGCCTCATTTGTTTGTGTTGATCACATACACACATTATGCACGTTCAAGTTCACACTTATGAGCACTGCTATCTTCAAATTGAAACATTTTGGTATCATAGTATTTTTTATAATGCTACAATAAACACTATACGCCACTACAAACATCATCAAATCGTTAATAATACAGTGAAATAGTTAATATACTATGATGGCCACTCAGGAATTAGTAGTTTATAGAATGTTGATTGTTCTGTTGTAATGTACTCAAAATTGTGAATATTTTTTCTGTTCGCAATTTCTAATGCTTGTCAACAAGCATTCAACTATAAAACTACTAAGTATTACATCAAAAGTCTGTTGCTTAAGGTTTAATTCGCAACATAAAACAAAGGATGGAAAAATAAACCATTTCATATTAACTGCAATATTCATTCTAACAGGCACCCAAGAACAAAGACACTGCCAAATTGGGAGATTGCCGATATATGGCTTGGTTGCTAGGGCACCAGTATGGTGTTCTGGAGGTCTACGGTTCAAATCTCCCAATTCAGTCTTTTCTGTTTTTTCAACGGCATACTGCTTCAACAGTTTTTGAGAAAATTTCAACCACACAGCAATGACATGCTGCAAATTGCAAGCATCAAAATATTAAAATTACGTTCCTCAAGCTCCACCGCACTGGTACGCCATCTTGTTGTCTGTAAAAACTATCTTTAATTGGCAATATACATAATGCATTATGCTGCGGACAATTAGCCGATCGCCATTTGCGAGTTAGCCATGCCCCTTAGACAACCCTATGGAATTGTGTACATTAAGTTTTGTTTGTCTCATATGCATTTCTAATGTATTGTTCTACATTGTAAATACATGTAGTAAAATTAACCTTTATAGTAAATCTTACAAATTCCGCCATTTCGAAGTGATTTGTTTTTAAATTCTGAGATCAGGAAGAATCCTGATAGGCCTATATCTCGCCCCTGCAATTCGCAGCGTCCAATCAGAGGTCTGTTTCCATGACTGCAATGTGTTGATTGTCAAATATGCAAACAAAAACGCTGACAACCAGTCAAGATATTGTTTGCACGTTAAATCAAGCCAAGACGCTCGTATGCAGTAATTGCACCCAAGCCAAAACCTTCGTTTGTAATCCAAGAAAGGTTTTTTTTATGAAGCTCTGAGATTAAATGTACTCCCTGGAACCGTCTAAATGACAAGACATATTATCAATCTTGGTATCGCTAAGTGCTTAACAGACAGATTTCTTTTTAAGTTAGTCTGGTTCCCTGACCTGATATCCGTGACATCAATAAATTGCTCCGTTTCGTCTGAAGCAGGGTCAGGGAACCAGACAACAAGAACAGCATTTTTTTTCTTGGTTTTTCCAGCATCTATGAACACAAAACTTTAAACAGGTCAGTGTAACAATATTTGCTATCAAATACCAACCCCCAAATCCATCCATTTCTGAAATTAAAAACAAAAGCAAAAGTTGTATATTACCCTTAATTTTTACAAATCAAGTTATTTTATGTTCTAAATTGATGTTGCTATACTACAGAGCGCCTACAGTTAGTGCTACGATAGATAAATACATTCTTTTGTTGCAGATATACATGTACAGACTGTGCACACACACACAGAGAAAATGTTTATCTAAATGTAACGCCATTGCACTGAAAGAAGTCTTAAGTCTAGAGGAGCTATCTACGACTGTGCATCAATAATTACAAGACCCATTGAATTACACCATATCCGTACAATCACTAAATTAATAAAAAATAGATTTCTTCTCATCATAAATTATATCATGACATTAGCATTATTTTATTTTTTTTTTTTTTTTTTTGTCAAACCAGTAATTTTGTACAAAACAAAAAAAGATTTTTCTCTAAGTGCTACTTCGTTCCCAAATTCAGCAGTTGACTATTTGACAGAATCATTGCAAACCAAGGCATGTAAGCAAGTCATTTAACAATGTCTGGTTAAAAAAAACAAGGAAAACATCAACATAAAATGTTCTGTTCACTAATATTCGAAGAAAAAAACAACCTGGTTGTTTTCATTTCGGAATATTTTTCTCCAATAATAGTTTATGTTGATATTTTCCTGGTTTTTCTTCACACTAATCTTTACAAATTACCACATGTACACATCTTGCGAAGGTAGTAATAAGAGATTTAAGCTACACAATCCTAATTACATGATTCCTGAAAGTGAAATCCTTCATCTGGTAAAACAGAAGTTTATTTCTTGTTTTCACCTCAAGACTCCTGTCAGTATTTTATTCTTACCATGTATTTTTTTTTTCCCTGCGAATATCAAAATAAGTCCAATTACAGCTACAGTATACAAAAAGAGTAATGACGATTCAAGTGATACTACTGCTACAAATGAATGAGTAACCCAAAATGTTGAAATATGGTGCTACATTTTACATTTCAACTCCATAATTCTCCTATGGATTTTAGTACACCAATTTATAACACAAGGCCAAGTAAAAGAATAAACTAGTTTCTTGTCTCCACCAGCTTCCTTTTTCCCGCCCGCCTCTTTTTTTATTTTTATTTTATTTGAACATTTGCAATAAAAAAAAAAAAACACCTTTTAATGAAAATGACTGTTTACTGATTTTCTAAATATAGCAAATGGACAATATTCTCAACTGGCAAATTCTGTATTATTATAAAGGGAAGTTCTTTGTTAGTGAATCTAATACTGCCATCACATGACATCCTAAACCAAACATCTGAGGAATAAAATAATATTGAAGCACAGCAAATGTCTCAATATCTGCATGTACTGTAATTGTGTAGGCATAGTGTACTTCAACAATGAATAAACAAGGCTTTTAACATCCAGTTTTGAGAAAAATGTAAAATTGCCGAATTAGAAAAATATAAAATGTACATGAAACATATTATTCATGAACGTCTGACACGTACAACGAGACGTACACACACACTCAGACAATCTTTCAGTATGTGTGATGAAAACACTACATTAGTTTAATGTATTCACCAGGGCGTCTGCTGGAGAAAAATCTGGAACAATTTTGTCTATAATCTATTCCACAGCTCTCGGCACGAAGTCTCATAAAAACCTAAACAATATCAAAATACTTGGAAAGAGCTCATCCTAAGTGAAAAAAAAATAACTCAGATAAAAATACATCTCAGATATCAAAGATGCGTACAATTTAGCTTTAACAGTTCGGCCTGTATATTAAATTTATGTGATTAATTTTTTTTTCCTTTTTCATTCTCATGCCCACATGTGGCGCCTCAAGGGAATTATGTTTTGCCCGACTGCTTGCCGGACTTACAGACATCTGGATGGGAAAAATGGTCCTCTGGGGGAAAATTCAGAGAAAATTAAAATGTTCCGAGGAAGTCTTCTCTTTCTTCACACTTTAAATAGAAACAATATCAAGGCTTTTGAGTGCAGGCATATAAAAGCGTGCTGCGGATGAACTGAACTAAATTTATTTTTCGCGCTAGCTTCACAATTTTTTTTTCTTCATAACACAGTTTTTAAACTCAATTTTAAGTCTACTACTACAATGATTTCTTACATTAATTCTTGCATTGATATTAGTGGTTTCAAGGTCTTTTTTTTTTTTGTAATGGACAAATCCGAAGATTTTTTTGATCACTTTCAAAAAAAAATAAACCCAAAAAAATTGTTTTAATCAATTCTGCAAAAGCTGACAAGACGGCCATTATTTGTTTTATACCGAAGTTGGTGTCAAAGAACAGGAAGGATAGTCTATACGTCAAAAGCCTTAATGTGTGTTTAGCACCTGTCTTATGTATACACATATTGATGGTTTTTTTTTTTAAGTGACTGCATGTATTTTTTTTTTCAACTGCATATTTTCTTTCTTTACTTAAAATATTGACAAGGACAGACAACCGATCTTTCAAATGATTGTTAAATAATATTTTGAGAGTGTGATGTTTTCATTTACTGAATTTTTTTGTGTGGGGGGGGGGGGGCACATTTCCAAAAAATCATGGTATATTTTTAAATTTTGGAAAGTTTGACCAAATGTTCTTTAAACTTGTCACTTTGTGCAAGAGTGCAATTTTGTTTGAAGGAAAGATAAAAATACATGCATCTTTTCTCCGAGGGCAGCACATTCTTATCTCTCAACCCCCACACCCCATTTTTTCGTTCCTCTGCCCCACCCCCTTTTCTAGTTCTACTACACCTGCCTGATAATTTTTTTTTTTAAAGAAATGCAGCTGTGAAATACAGACTTTGTAAATATATTTTTCGGAATCTATCCAATTATTAATATACATGTACATAATGCATATGTACAAGATTAAAAAGCAGAGAAATGAAATTATGTCTGAGTTCCTTTGTGCCTGGCTGGTTTTCAAAAGAAAACAAAAAAAACTTGAATGAAATTATTCAGGAATGGCAGTGCAGACAGGACAACACTTTGTAATGGGGACGACATGTAGGGAGTTGAAAAATGAAATTATGTCTGAGTTCCTTCGTGCTTGGCTGGTTTTCAAAAGAAAAGAAAAACAAACTTGAATGAAATTATTCAGGCATGGCAGTGCAGATGGGACAATGGTTTGCAATGGGGACACCATGTAGGGGAACTGGGTGTGTTGTAGGGAACGTACTAGGTTTGTTGCACACTGTAACTACTGTGCATAAACAAACTACTAGCGACTGACTGATGGGTGTAATGAGGTTGGGAATGTGTGAAAAAGGAATTTTGTCTGAGTTCATGTACATCCCATTGGGGCATTACGTTTATATCCTCAGTGAATCCTTCAGTGCATTTCCTTGTTCACATAAAGGCCTTAAGCCCGGTTCATACTCGGCGCAAAAGCGAAAGCGAACATAATTTGTGACGACATGGCATGTATTCGCGCTGCGAATTCGCAAAAGTTGAACACATTTCAACTCGGGCGAATTTCGCAGCGAATGTTTCATGACGTCAACTTCGCTTCGTATTCGCTTTCGCATGAAGTATGAACCGGGCTTCAGTGCTTATATCTAAATGCATGTCTCTATTTGCTATTTGCTGTATACATGTCACTCCCTAAGCATTTTGAGAAGAAACTTCCATTAACCCTCCTGCTGTCTGAACAGACAAAGACAGTCAAAAAATCAAGCCTCTTCCCCTGCCATGCCTTTTACGCAGGCTAGTCACCAACAGTCAGCTCATATTTAAAGCAAGCACTGTGATAAGTCAAATTCAGTCAACAGACAAAAGCAGGCAAGAAGTAATCACAGCTGGCTTATCAATCACCTACAGTCAAAGCAGAGCTGGATCAAGTTACATAAACAGTCACAGCCAGTCAATCCTGCTTTATGTAGGCTGGGAACTCTTAACTGTTGGAAACAGTCACTTGATTGATTTGGACTGCAGGGACAACTTGGAACAGAATTTATGTTTCAATAGGAGGATTAACGTTTCAAAATATAAGAAGTACACGACAATTTCTTTAAAACCAAACCAAAACTGTGACATAAGGCAAAAAGAGACGTGGGATTTTTAAAGATTTAGGGTACATCTAACAGTTAGGATTAAGAAGCATGAAATTTAAAAAAAGGAATAATTAAGAAAATTTGGGGGCAGATTTTATCATGAAGCGAAGATGAAAAAGTGGTGAATTTTGTAACCGTTACAGCTCAGTGCACATTTTCAATAATGTACTCTACACACTTCTTTCATGTGAGGATGCAGAAAAGGCGACAAAGAATTGATCCAGCTGGGATGATTTAAAGTGCAAGGCTGAAACGCAGCTTTGGCGTAACTTAAAGGCAATAATAAAAGCAGACTGCACGCACAGCATGTCGCAGCAAGTATGGAATGTGAGTGTGCAATATGTATCTGTTTATTTCATCATAGGTCCCATGGTGTATGCAATTCAAAGCATGCCAATGTACAGTTGTACATGTATGTACCAGGACAAAAATAAGATATCTGCACATGCATACATTGTACTTCGTTCAATTTTGTTTGTTGCAAGTATATTTGCAATGTTTATTTTATAGGTCCTGTTGTGTTTACAATGAAAAGTACAGTGTACATGTACATATACCAGGACAATTTACAACAATCTAGAGGCATATACGTACATGTGTGTACATGTAAGTATTTATATGTCATTAAAAACAAAAGCTGTACAAGTTATTTTGTTTTCTTATCTTTTTGTTTTTTAACAAATTCATGATATTTCAAGGCGCTGGGGGTTTTTTTTGAGCTAACAAATTAAACTTTAAAACAGTAAGATCAAACAATGTTGAAGTGAAACACTCATGCAAGCTGAAGAAAAACTTCCTATATTTACACAAAACAGAACAAAATTTATAAATGTGTACTATTAAGATCAAAATCAAAAACAAAATTTTACAAATCAAAGGTAACCGACTTGGAGAAAATCTGCAAGCAAATATTTATTTCTTTTTCATTGTTTTTGCTCTTGACTTTTTAATCGATACTCTTCAATCTTAATTTCTGGTGTCAATGCCATCATTTTTTCTGACGGTTGTCAAAATAGTGATCAAGAACTGGACACTGTATTTTTCCAGATTTTTAAAAAAGAATTGGGGTGGGGGTTATTTTGCTTGGCAATGCAGCTGTGCTACTAGCGTGATAAAAGTGTTACTAGATATTTCATTATTCATGACTTGTTTTACGTGCCAAGGACAGCAATATGATATACACATTGTACAAGGGATGAATTTTTAATAACGTAGCTCGGTCTTGTGCGGTGTACTGTACGTAACTAATTGATTATCCTTTCCGCTGGTCATTTTTTATAATACGCGTCATTCTTTCCGTCTGATTTGCTCTAACGTGATCACATGGGGTTCATTTATTGCAAACTGCTCAAATTTGTTCCAGGCATACCGTTCTTTAACCCTAATGTCCTAGCCATTACTTTGAGATATGATGAACTGAGTAATACAGAATACTATGAGTGTTGTGCTCACTTGATATGCTGAAGTATTTCATAATTAACAGTTTACTAGTAAGGGACTACGGGTAGTAGTATTTTGTAGCTTTAGGTGGGGCTAGGGTAAATTACATGTATTTGTCAAGTTACTCTGAAATTTTGCCAAGTTTGGAAGCTGGCAACTTGGAAGATGAGAGCTTCTTGCATGCAGACAATAAAAATAAGGCAAATATGTGTTTATGTCCCTTCTAAAGGGGTAAATAGTCATGGACTAGTGCCCTCAAGATGTACCGGTATGGTCTAGATAACTAAAAAGTTGCAATTTGCCAGTATAAGGCAAATATGTGTTTATGTCCCTTCTAAAGGGGTAAATAGTCATGGGCTAGTGCCCTCAAGATGTACCGGTATGGTCTAGATAACTAAAAAGTTGCAATTTGCCAGTATAAGGCAAATATGTGTTTATGTCCCTTCTAAAGGGGTAAATAGTCATGGACTAGTGCCCTCAAGATGTACCGGTATGGTCTAGATAACTAAAAAGTTGCAATTTGCCAGTATAAGGCAAATATGTGTTTATGTCCCTTCTAAAGGGGTAAATAGTCATGGACTAGTGCCCTCAAGATGTACCGGTATGGTCTAGATAACTAAAAACTTGTAATTTGCCAGTTGATGAAAAGTACATGTACAATGTACATGGAGGTTATGGAGTGATTGGACCTATATTATTAGGCCAAGAAAAAATGTTTGTAGTTTCCTGTTTGACCTTTTTGAAAAAAAATAAAGATGAATGTTTTTTTTCCCAAGATGGTAGATTTTCCAAGATGGCAGAGGTGGAGTTTTCAATTTTCTCCATATTTTTTGCAATACAAAATTGTGTCCACAGGAGCCATATCTTTTTCTATTGGAAACAAATCTAAAGACAATATATTGACAATATTCCAATGTATGCACAAAATATTGCAAACGTATGAATTTAAAAGAAAAAAAATGTAGCGACCGGGAACAAAGGATGTGGGCGTGGACGAGAAACTGATTTTTTTTTTACTTGGCCTTATTAAAACGCACTGAAATGAATAAGGTTCCCTAATACATCACTGCAGGCTTTCAAGTACTATGTGACCTTTGACCTAGGGTCGCATTGTCTATAATGTGAAACAAACAATTTGCATTGATAACATATAAACCTGAACAGAATCCATTTTGCATTAATTAGTCCAACATTTTAAGACAGTTAGATTTTAAAATATTGATTTGTTATTCCAGCAAAAATATTATTTCAATTGATAAGGTACATGAATTTTTTTTTTTTTTTTTTAATTGGTGATTCTTACAAAGATTTACCCAACACTTCTACTCCTCTTTTTCTCGCTCGATTCGAGCCTTTACCTTTTCCCGGAAAACAAGGGCAACGATGCAGTTTGCGATCACAAGTAGAATGAAGTAGCCCCAGACAATCATGGGCGTCGGGGTGAAGAGATTGGAGTAAATGCTTCGCCGATCGATGTAATCTCGGTAGACTGCCTCCACTTCCATGTAGGACGTAAACGCCATGAATATGTGGAACAGCTGATGGCCGTGGCCCACGATGTCGAAGTTGCCCGGCGAGAACTTCTGGGGGAAGGGAGCGGCGAAGAAAAAGGAGCCGGCCAAGAAGGAAGCCACCGTCAGTACTTGATAGAAGAGGGCTAGATCGTGGAAAATGGAAAGCCCTTGGAATAGAATGCGCATGGTGATGGGGAACATGGCCGTGATGTAACCTGCACTGACTGAAGACATCTGCCAGACTTTGCGGGCGAAGGGGTACGGTCGTTTGTAGCGATACTTGGAGTAGCTGCAACAGAAGCAGACCAGGAAGGACAGAAACCAGTGTAGAGGGAGGTAGAAGCTCTCCACGGCTCTATAGACCCAGGGTAAGGAGCAGAAGTGGATCTGCGCCATACCAGCTGCGAAGCTATAAATGCTGACGCCCATGTAATCAATGAAGAAACAGGTGTGATGAGCCACCTCGTTAATTGATTGGAACAGGTGGGCACATGTGCTCAGGAACAGGTAGATCATGCTGCTTAGGATGAACATCTTGAACATGGGAGCGTAAGGATCATGCTCCATATCCAAGGTAGCACAGAGGCGAATGCCCTGGAACATTGTGGCCACGCAGGCGATCGCGTGGGTCCAGACGTTCAGGGTTTCGTTGTGGATCTGGAAGAAACTCTTCAGGTAGAAGGTGAAGGGTTGGTAGGGCTTGCGGTATCCGATCTCCACGTAGGGCTCTCGGAACTGCAGCGGTACCTCCTCGGCCCTGAGGCCTGGAGGCTGGTTGTTCTCATAGCCGATTGAGATTTTCATCTTTGGCCGACTTCCAAAACCAAGGTCAACTGACAATATCCTGGAGAAATATATAAAACAAAATGGGATGCTTGAATTTCATGTTTGTTTGATTCACACTACATTTAATTCTCATACTTGTGTTTCTTTCTTTTTTTATATGCAAGGATCATGAAGTAAATGCCGACAGGAAATTTAACAACAATCATGACAATCACACTAATATATTGCTAATATATGGTCGATGGTCGAGTGGTAAGACATCTGCACTAGAAAGCAGGAGGTCGTGGGTTGGAGTCCCACCCGACTTATTTTTTCAACTTTCACTCGGGATGTAACACACTGAGTATCATGACACTTGACAGTGTTTAAACGTCGGCGAAGGGCACAACCTAATTTGATTTACTAAATAGTCTAAAAAGTAAATATTATCAAAAATGCAATCAAAGCATTAAGTACAACCACTGGACTGGACCTAAAACTAGGTAATGAGCCAACAACGTTAAAATCGTAAAGACATGAGAAACGAAAACTTTGCATCTGAACATACACGAACCGAACCAACATGTATTCGAAACCCATGTATCAAACAAACGACGACCCCGCCCAAAAATGGCCCAATCTACGATTCTCCAGCCGGCCATTAGAAACTTATGGGTCGGAAAATATCTCGTTTTTTCACCATAAAATACACAATCAACAGTTGCATTACTTACTTTGAACTGCACACCACAACCCCCTCGGACCGTTACCATAACTTTTGAGAAATTATTGTGGATTTGTTTGTCTATTTTTCGCAGTTCGTTGAGCGGGATGCGGCGCGACATTGACCTGCTGCTGTCCGAGCAACTGGTTAATCCATCAATGGCATACAAATAGCGCCCTCAAGTGACTTCAATTTATGGGCGGGTCCTGGTCGGTCACGTCGTCACGTACGTCGCGATCCACCTCCACGATTTTTTCTTGGGGGGGGGAGGCGGAAGTGCTGGCGTTATCGCAGCCATACTGTTTCAGCAGTTGTTCAAACAATTTCAGTTGCGCATCGAAATTGAGGGTCAGATAGCGGTTTTTTCCATGCCAACATAATTTCGGAGCCGGGAGGGGGAATCATCATTTGACAAATACATTTTATGTACAATTTCGTTTTCTTGAAGATGAGGCACCCGGGTATAACTTGAGTTAAGAGTACGCCTAAGCTTCCCTGGCTACTTGTCCTTCACTGGAACATAAGGAAATTTGTCGGCTCCATCAGAAAGCGCCATCTATAGAAAGCTAGGCCCTATACCCCGCCAGGTCGCCAAGTTTTTTTTAAATAAAAGTTTGCATCGATTGTGCCCTTTCCCTTTTACCCCCGGTCCCTCGCATAACTGTTCCCTTCCATCCCTTCTACTTCCCCTTTTCACCCTAATCCTTTAAAATTCGCATTCAAGTGATGAGGGGTTCGTATAAAGATTTGTTCACACGGGGGAGGGGGAGCTAAACTTTCTGTCCTAACTCGAACACATAATAATGATTCCTGCACAAATAAAAGCAAAAAAACAAAATTCATTCATTCATATTTTAATCAGCAACACACCGATGCATAATATAATGCTACTTGTAACCAATCAGATTTTAACCTTACAAAAACCAACTTTCTTTGAAACTCTGAAGGCACTTTTAAAAATGAGTTACCATCTTTATAAAGATGGTCTTGGCTTAAAAGAATTCGATATTTACTATTTAATTATCTTCCATTTTTAAATCGAGATTCGATTGCCAAAAAAAATCATTTCTGGGCCTGACTTTGTGGTGGCATCGATATCTGTTCAGCCGGGAGAAAAAATGGTCAGTGTTCCGATTCTGGCCGTTTTATTCCCTCTGTACATGTATTATTCCCGGCGTGCCCGCAGTCGTGCCATCCCATCTCTAAGACTGACTCTGTTATCATAGTTGCCTTAAGTTTTCTGATTAACATGCATGTTCGTTTCTACAGCATATTTTTGCGGCCAAAGTTACTATTAATGGCAAGTTCCCCTCTAAATTGTTTAAAAGTGGCCCCATTTTCTTGTAGGATCGTCTTGACAGCATTTATTTTTAAATCAGTCCTCACCAGAATGAGTATTTAAAGTTTCCTAGGAGAGCCAAGTTGGTGCAGTGATTACTTTCCGCGACTTTATATGGCCCAGGTTTGATTCCTGGCCTGGTCCACATTTGGATTTGGTTTTCAGTCCCTATTCCTGATTCCGTGAGTTTTTCCTCCCACCTCTGAAACTGTATTTCCTCTATTGTCTCCTCTCTACAGGTTCTTCAGACTTTCGAGCTACATTGCCTAGGGTACTTTTGAGGAATCATTGGATTCATTACTAGAAATCAATAAAAATAAATACCCCCCCCCCCATTCTATCCAGCCCCCATCCTCATCCCGCGAAGCCATTGAAATTTCAATCCATATCCTTGATGCTGAGCCCTGCTTGTTCGATGTTGTCGCCAGTACGATCGTGGATGAAACTACAGCCTAAAAGAGCCTTGCACGTGTCACGGAACGCTTCCACCTAGACTGTGGAGAAGAAAAATTAAATGAGTTTGCAGTTTTTAAATTGAATTTGTGACTATTATAGTCTATATATTAGACCAGTGCCCGATTTTTTTCTTTGAAATGACCAAATGCTCTCATTTTTTTACTGCAATTAAAGACAAACATTTTTTTAAATGGTAAAAAATCGTTGTGAACATTATTTACAACCTTAATGTTACGTTCATTTACCAGATGAGAATGGATGCATGTATCGTCATCATCGTCATCCCCATGTACAGTCGTAGTCTCGGTGCTCCTCTAGCAGTCCAAACTATAGCGCCCTCATACGGTGCCCAGCGGAGTAAAAGGACGTCAGCGAAGCGGAACCGAAGCCACAGCAGAACGTCTCAGAGAGACAGACGATGGCAACGTGTCCAGCACATCATCTAAGTGCGCCATGGAGATGGAATTAAAAAGTAAGGGAAAAAAAGCTTCCCGGCCGTTATTATTCATTTTACATTCTGGAAGCCGAACTTACTTTTCCATTCCGTCAGGTTGAGTGAAGTATGCGTGCTTGCAAGTGTCAGTTCAGTTGTCAGTCTGTCTTGGATGCACCGAGTTTTCCTTCCGTTAGGCACTTCCATTTGAGTTGCCTTTCCTCCCTCAGTAAGAACAGCTCCGTTACCTAAAAACCTGCGGTCTGAACATTCATGGTTACAGCACAACCGGCAAAATCGCGACATTTCCGGTCTTACAATATCGCAAGTACGCGCTTTCCAATTCCGCAAGAGCACCGTGTTGTTGATTCTGACGGACAGACAGACAGCACGACAGACCAACGGACGGACTGACCAAAATAGTATTATTCTTACGGGGACCTAGGGCGCCCGCTGGTGAGGTTAAATTTGGTGGAGTGGCGTCAGGATCTGTGGATGCATGGGTTGATTGTACTGTGGATGCATGGGTTGATTGCGCTGTGGTGCTGATTGTTGACATCTGTGGATCTTGTGTGGACTCAAGGGTAGTACTTGGCGTTGCTATGGACGGAGAAAGCAAACACAATGATATTAATTGGAGAAACTAAGAACGGAAAACGTCCCTAAAAGGAGAGCTGTAACTTTGTAGCTGAACTATCCTCTTTAACGAAAAGGAGCAGTGTTATAGACTACATGTATGTATTTATGCCTTGTCACTTAATGAAATGAGATGTGGTAAAAATAATAAAGAATGAATGAATGAATGAATAGACGAGTGCATCACAAGTCACAAGTCCTCCCAAGTCCATAACAATTATCCTCCAGTCCCAAGTCAATACATAAGGTATTCAAATCAACTGTCACAAAGGTATTTCTTTTTTTGTCGTAAACCTTCCGTTTCTTGTGACTGGCCTTGTGATGTACTTGTGACCGGACCGGGATGGATTTATAACGGACTACAATCCCGGCCAAAATGGTTGGGACACTTGGAAATAACCTTAGCCTCCAACGGTCACCAACTCCCCCGCTCCCCCGGTCAATGTTGTTCTCTTCAGCGAATGGAGCACACACCGCGCAATGAGAGACAACATTGAGCGGGGGCTGGGGGGTTGCGGGCCCAGCGAGATTTGGCCAGGATTGTAGCTCGACAACAACACGGAATACGAACGAACCAAATTTGAGATTACCTTGAGATGGTGGAACGACGGTACACATGATGCTCTTCAATTCGCCACAGTTGTCCGTATACCAGTCCCCAGTGACGGCGTCGATATAAGCACAGTCTATCTCAAGCAAAATCACGCCCGAACCCGTAGCATGCCAATTGTCGTAGGAGAGGTCTGGTCCGTAGATACTGCGGAGATCGTCATCGATGTATTCGTCCGTGATGCCGAGCCAAAAATCCGTTTGGCTGTGAAATTGTTCGAGAGAAGAAAACATGTCACCATGGTCACTGCAAAGTTGCGGTGTGTTTGTTTTTGCAAAGTTGCGGCCTTGCATGCAGTGTATGAAATCAAGTGTTTTAACCCTAAAAGGCCCCCCCCCCCCCAACTCAAGTTTTTCCGCGATAGCGTTGCAAAAACAAATTCGCGATCCAGGCTGTTATGACTTTTTAGCCTCGAGCGTTGCGCATCTTTTGGTACCCAAAACATAAAAATCGGACCACGGGTTGCCGCGTAGCGAAAATTTTCGGCGCTACGCGCCGTGAAAACTTAATTTTCCCATATAGTATTACGTCATGTGCACAGAGCAGAATTGCCATTCGTACACATGAATAATTAATTAGCCATAATTCCACAACCCTTTGACCTATAGTCAGGACATTTCTTGGGTATGTTCATGTACCGAGTTTCAAATATTTTCGTCACTCGATTCCCGAGATCTTAGGGGGGGGGGGGGGGGCGGAATCCTTGAAGTTTTTTTACACGCATCAGTTGTGGTCTACAATGTACCTGATTTTACCCCATTCATTGGCGTTGTTAGGTAATCATATACGATATCACTGCCCGGTTCACAAGTGACAATCAGTCAGTGAATCAGTCAGTCGGTGAGATAGGTTCAGAAAGGAACCCTAGGCTGGCCCTCTGGGACCAGCACAAATATATCCTAGCCATGTCATTGTACTAACCCCGTTAGCATAGCGTACAGGTGAACAAAATCCGCTTCCGTTTGGCCGTTGGGTACGACCATTCGACCCGAAGGGTGAGCTTCGCAGGCCTGGCGTGCATGGCTGAAATTCCCGATCCCCAACAGTCGGAAATCGTAGCAGAGACCACCGAATGGAACCATTGTAGGTCGGCACCCTGTCAAAACATTTAGGGAGAAACACACTTTCGACTTATTCAATCTTTTATTCAAATGGTATCGGTTTGTGAACAGAGATTTTATGGAATTAAAATCAACTTTTCTATTGAAGAATGCCATCATTATACACTTAGTCTTGATCAAAGACTTGATTCAGCCGGTCAAAATCCCTTGGAAGCGCGGTCAAGCCGCTGGGACAGTAGAGGGCGCTATCGACAAGCTCAGTCACATGATCCAGTCTTGGGAATGTTGGCACTGGGACCCAAGAAATTCTGAGCATGCCTCTCACGCAGGCGCAGAAACATGTAGCTGTTTATAAAGTATGCAAATCACCTGTGTTAGGGTCAATGGATGATGGGGGAATCGGGGTAAGCATTCGGCAGAGGACGCCCCGCATTTTGGACCCCGTACACGCCTCGTCTCTCCAGCGACTGTTGGATGAAACCACGGTGCCGCAGTTCTTGTTCGCGTCGTTTTTGGGCCGCCCGCCGTCCCATTTCTCGAAGGTTATATCTGACCCATCATACAGGGACTTGAAAGCATTCTCGGACAAGTGGTCGTAGATTCCGAACCAGAACGAAGTTGAGCTGTGTTGAATGAAAAAAAAGTGAAGGAAATTAAAAGTGAAGGCTGTCATGGTTTAAACAACGAGGAATTATATACATGTACTTAGCGATAGAATGGATTGATTTGTGACATATTGTAGTAAAAGTGTCATTGGTTCACTGAAAAAAATCTGAACAAACAGCTGAAAATAACTCATAATTTTCAGCGAGAACCATGCATAAAAAATGATGTTCTTTGTGCGTGAGACTGTTCTTTATGTTCTTCTATTAAACACACCGTTTCCTTAAACTGCATGGCTGCATTTCTAGGCTCTGTGTGTGCAGCCAAAGTAGGCCAAAAATCCGTCCGCCTAGCTCATGAATAATTCGAATTATTCTATATTAGAGATTTCTGAGAGCCATGGAATTGGGGGATTGAAGATATGGCACCTGCAGCACTGCACTTCTGGCCGCGCCTGGACTCGGGGCTTCCAATTCTGAGCATTTTGGCTGCAATTGGGTCACAGTGAAGTGGCGCTATTTAGCCATGTTGTGGAGGCATCCTTTTTCAAAATACAAAATGTACAATGTAGCTACTTTTCCAATTTGGGAAATATTATTCATTTAGAGGTAGTCTTCTTTGGTTGAGAATTTCTCCAAAACGTCAGCCTGAACACCTGTAAGAATGTTGAAGTAAGGGCATTTCTCACTGGTGTATATGGGAATGTATTTACTTGGTTGCCCCCTAGCCCTGGGCGCCAAAGTTACCGAGCCGCTGGACCAAGACTACGAGATCCATAAAATGATTCAAGGGAAATTAAACATCGAGTTCCTGAAGTCGAGATCCGTGATTGTTGAAAATTCTGATCCCCAATATATATATTTTTTTCTGATTAAAATTTACAAAAGGCACGGACTTCAATTTCTTACGCTGCTTGCGAGTTTGTCAGAAGATTCTCCACGGTGGTGACGTCACTGGGTGCGGTTATCTCCGCCAGGTCGGCGTACTCCGAGTGAATGCGGCATTTCGCCCGCGCGTCGTACCAAGAGTTGGTCTCATCTGCGAGGCTCTCGAACACGATGAAGGTGAACCCCGTGGCTGGGTTGTGCTGAGTGTAGGCGCCAAGCCCTCCTGAGATTAGGAGCGAAGAATAAATTAAATTAAAGGACTTATCTTGAATCACCCCGTAGATTTCGGATTTTCGAGGGACAATTAAATGTATAGCCACTAACCCACAAAATATTAAGAGGATGAAGTTGTCAAAAGTCTTGGAAAAGTATATACACTGCACCTTTCTTCTGGATTTAGTGAGATTGAGTAATTGAAAACGTTTTCAAAATGTACGCGTTTTATTATGTTGATATAAACTTGATAACAATATTTTTTTATGCAACCGCGCCAACGAAAACGCTCGTCGTAAACAGTGTTCTCTTCTCGTGCGAATTTTGGTTGAATTGTGACTTAAACAAAATTTCATTCTATTGAACAGAGGCGAGGAGCGGCCTCTAGTAAAATGGATGATACAATAGATGATACAAATAGCCTAGGACTAAATGTGGTCCAAAACCGTGAATCTAAACAGGACAAAAAGTAAAATTGATGATTCTTTGGGAAACACAACAATTCCTAACATTTTTTTTTTTTACCTGGTAGGAGTCCTGATGCAAAACAAATTAAAAACATTAACATCACCACCCGTTCATTCATCTTGCCAAGTTGATGCGATCCCCGCTGACCAAAGAAATGAGGAACTCCGCAGAATGTCCTCCTTAAGTACGACCGATTTTTAATTAAAGGTTTATACTACAGGTGTCATCTTCACACGCGCGTTTATTGGAAATGACTATGACGCAAAATTATTGTCTCGTCTCATTGGCGACATGATGGGGACTATTAGTTCATCACGAAGTCGTGTGGTGACGACAAGATTAAGTTAACTGTCCATTTTAAAGTGGGCGTCGAGAGGGGGGGGCGCATGTGCCCCCCTCCCCTCCCACTGGAAAAGGGGAAAAAATGAACAAAAAAATATTTCCAAAAAAAGGAAAAAGAGATGCAAAGCCATATTGCTGTTAATTTGAAGAGGGGTAGGGCAAAATGTGCTCCTGCCTACGCTCGGAAAAATGATAAATTGTGAATATGTTGAAAAAGACAAGAAATTTTGGGGGAAACGTGCTTCGCCCCCCCCCCCCCGGAAAAATCTTGGCAACGCACATGGCCGACTCACCGTGCTTTGTTCTAATTTAGAAAAAAAGAATTTATACTCTACCCTTTTTTGAAATACTAATGATGAAATTTGGAAGCAAGTTATATTTTTGTGAGATTTCTCATCGAGACGCCAGCCTCCAACCCTCCCCCCCCCCCGGGCGCGGTTAAGTTCTACGGGGGGGGGGCTAGGGGGGGCTGTAGCCCCCCCCCCCAAAAAAAAATTCCTTAAAAAAAAAAATTACATTAGCAAAAAGAAGGATTGTGATGTACATGCGAACGGTCTCCCCCTAAAGAAGAAATAGCTGTGACAAGGGTGCATTAGTTAATATAGTGTATTTATTTATAGTAGGACTTTATTAGCGCTCCCCATTGAAAATATTAATTTTCGGAGGTCTGGAAAAAATAACCGGTCAACATTTCAGCACGCCTCCCTGAAAAAATTCTGGCTCCACCGTGCTAGCCCCCCAAAATATTGGTTCTAGAACTGCGCCCCCCCCCCCCCCCCCCCCCCCCCGTCCAAAAAAAAAAATAAACAGCACGCTTTGAAGCAAACAATTGGAATGTGTCGAAGACTACGCGGAGAGCAAATTATGCACATGTATGTATGTCATGTATGTTAAAAGATTTGAACATGTTGTGAACCTAAAAAGAAAGAGAACTTTATTTTTAATTGATGGTTATTAGTAATGAAGTCAAGGAGAGATACGCGTTTTGATAAACATCATCACTCTTCAAATACAAAATAATAAAAAAAATACAGCACATGAATTCTAATCTCTTTTGTGAATTTGTGGTGGCTCTGAAAAGAGCCGGTTGGGTTTTTAAAAGCTGCTGGTCAGCTGCTTATTTCTTGGCTGTCTTCTTGGCAGCCTTCTTAGCGGGCTTCTTCGCTGCTTTCTTGGCGGGCTTCGCGGCCTTCTTCGCTGGCTTGGGTTTCTTGGTGGCCGGCTTCTTAGCAGCAGGCTTCTTGGCAGCTGGCTTCTTGGCAGCTGGTTTCTTGGCGGCTGGCTTCTTGGCAGCTGGTTTCTTGGCGGCCGGCTTCTTGGCTTTGGCAGCTGGCTTCTTGGCGGCCTTCTTCTTCTTGGCAGCAGCCTTCTTGGCGGCAGTCTTAGCGGCAGCCTTGGCCTTCTTCGCAGCTCTCTTCTCCTTCTTCTTCTCCAACGCTGCCTTCTTCTTGGCGGCGGTAGCGGCCTTCTTCTTCTTGGCAGCTTCTGAGACGGTGGCCTTCTTCACGTTGATCTTGTAGGATCCGTTGTACCCCTTGCCGGTCACCTGGAGGATGGCACCGTTGGCCGTCAGTTTCTTGGCGGCCCTTCGGAGGTTGCCGTCCACTTTGTCGGTCACTTTGTAGTTCGCCTTGACGTACTTGGTGATGGCCTGGGCAGAGACAGCCTTACGGGGCTGGCTCAGGTCCTTGAGGGCCGCAAGGATCATGTCGGCAGCGCTGGGGCCTGACGGCTTCCTCGGCTTGGAGGGAGTCTTCTTGGCGGGCTTGGCTGGCTTGGCAGCGGTTTGCTGGGTTTCGGCCATGATGATTGGTTTAGATACTTCAATTCCTCGACACAGAGTACACCTGTTGATCAAATTGATTGAATGAAATGGCTGTACGGCGCACCCCAAATTATATACTCATTGCGGACGTGTGATAAACCACAACCTATGTACACTATTAGGCCCGATCATCGAGCGCGCCTTTCAAAGCACGGTGACATTATGGCAACATTCTGTGTTAGTACCCAGTTTTTAAAGCCAAATTTCGGGATATTTACAAACGAAACTACAATGTTTTATGCATGTATGGATAGAAAACGAACTGAAGTTTCTCGTCATACCACCCAATATTGTCGCTATCGGCAAAAATCACGACAAAAAACGGCGAAAATAAAAAAGTAAAAAATGTTTTACAAAATCGTAAAAATATACCCATTTTTCACGAAAATATCCGTCAACAAAAATTGTTTCCGATGTATATACTAAAAATATATATCGTCATCTGTATTGTTTTAAAAGTTTACGGCGATTTTGTCTTGTCTTCGAATGTTTTCGAGACTCCAAATTTGTCGGTCAAAGAAACAAATTTTGGGCGGCGGCCATATTTTTCCCCCTCCTGTTGAGTCGCGATTCTCTTTCCTGAAGAGATTCCCTTTCCCCATATTAGTTTTCCAACCTTTTTTTCATGAGACTTGTATTTTGGATTCAGTCTATTGGCAATATTAATTTCAAAATTTCCTTTGATTTTTTTTAGAGAGTGTCGATTATATCAGGAGAGTGTCTGATGGAGAAAACTTTTGCCGTAGCGTACGTGCATCGGTCACTGTTGTGTAAAAATCGGTCCGTTCGTTCGTCAAGCGCTCAATCTACAGAGCACAATCGGAGTGAAACATTTCCGAATTAGTTCCATGAATTCTGCATTTGTCACAGTAAATTCTGTTTCTCAATACAATTTATATTCATACAATTTTTCTTCTTAAAATAGTGAACTGACTTAATTGATTTGCCATGATTAGGAACAATCGAACTCGGATCAGCCTGTTATTTCGAGAGCCTTTCGGCCATCTTGGATTTAAGTCACAATTATTGTTCCAGTGACAAGTAGTTTAACGATTTCTTGTCTTCTATAGCCTTCAAGAAAATTGGTATTTTTTTCCGTATCCATTCATCTTCTGCTTTGGAAGGTAGAAATGAATAAGAAAAGTTTTTTATTATGTTTATAAATATATACATTCTTGTACAGTTAGTTTTTGGCTAATTTATAACTGAGTACATAATGTAGGTAGCGACGGGGTTGTAGACGCAAAAAGCCTGGTGACAGCTATATTGTAAACCCAAAATAAATTTATATTTTTAATCGTAAACTAATGATTCTTAATTTCTAATATGTTCTTCCAATATGACATAATAAATCGATAGGAAAGTGCTAGATTAGCATTTTACTTAACAATATTTTAATAGAGAATATGAATTGAAATCATCAGTAGGCCTACATTATATATTGAACCCAATTTGAAAACCTATCCTTTTAAATTTTCATCAATTAAGTTTGTATGCGATTCCAAGTGACTTTATTTGCTCATTTGATTTTGATTGGATTCTTAAGGGAACAAGTTATTTTAATTGTCATTTTTGAATCATTGATTAACTTTTATCATGTTTATTGTCCTACTCATTCGCTTTTAATTAAGGTTGGCTATCAAATTAATTAGCAAAATACTCATCCCAATCAACAATGTAAAGTGAAACATTTTACTGGACAAGTACAAGTTTGTTATCCGGTAATAAATGCAAAACACGACCATCCAAATTTCAAGTTTGGTTCAGTTTGCGTCTATATGCGAAAACAAACTTTGTTGACCCCAAACATCATTATTATTCATGACCTCTGGCCTCGCGTGTTGCGGTCCGTTTGATTGGTCACTGGTCAGTCCGGTGCGTCACTGAGACGACATGATCGGGTCGACATTGCTGTTGAAGTTCTGTGTTCCATTCAAGTCGTTTTTCTTCACTTTCGGAATTACTGCACTGCTTATTCTCCGTGATTTTTGTTATATAGAATAATTATGTCTGTCACTGCATAAAACTGCTGTCCGAAACAGATGTTTTAAGGGTTGTATATAGCTCTCAAAAATAACGCCAGTATGGTAAAAACTGAGAAGAAGAAGAAAATCGCTGACGAAATGTATATGCTGACATGAAATGTTGATAATGGATTTAATCGCAAATGAATGGAGTATTATCCGAAATGTTTATTCTTCGATAATATCAAGTTTAAACTGAGATTCGGGAACGCAATTTGGTGAAATAATGACTGAAAAATGAGGATGCTAAAACGCTGTGGATGCCTGTGCACCGATATTCATCTGCACAACTATAAAAAAAAAATGAGTTGTGCACACCCATACACGCCGCATGAAGCTACAATCACAGAAGACTATTTTCATCTATAAGACGTTAGGATAAGTGCTGCAAATCGCATGCCCCCCTCCCGAATCTATTTTACAGTGATACGTAGCCCACTCCCCTTACTGGCCTCTAAAATGAACTCTTAACTATGAATTAGAAACTATTTCTCCTCAGCTTCGTTGCTCGCGAATTCGGCCACACTCCATGGAGACGTATCCTTCGAAATATCGCCTCCCTGTACTTGTCCTCTCAACTCCGGACGTGCTTGTCTGAAGCACACTTAACCTTGATGTGACTTCAAAGAAGTTCGTTTGAAAAACTCTCAAGATTAATTTTTTTTCGATATATTTGAGTGAGAATGTCAGCCCGGGGAAGGATCTGTTTTACAAAAAAAACTCCTCAACTTCCCCACAAAGCTTGCCGCATAGCCCAATGTCCTGGTTGCCGAACAGACACAAACTAAAGCTTACGGAGAGAAGAGGTAACCAGCTAAAATCGTGCCGTGTTTGAAATTGATTTTGATTGGCGCAAGTATGATGTTCATAATAGTTAATGCTTCATTCATGACAAAATGTGCGACCAATGTCAGTAGAGCAGGAGAGGTCCCCGGTATAACGATCTTCAATGAGTGACAGCTCATGGGAACCAGCGAGGGAAGAGCTCCCACTTCTCTAAACTGGCAAACGTCCTCCTTCCTTTGTCTTGGATAATGATAATGGAGGGACTGAAACCAGCCCATTTATCTCGCTGGTACGCGTGCACTTTTTTTCAAAAATGAAAATGGCCTGATGAGGTAAACGTCAATCGATCATTTCTCATAATAGCAGCACCTTCTCATCAACAAGTCCGAAGCAGCTCTATATGTGACATTGTCCTCGAGCTCGTCTATACAATTTTTGCAAGTCTATCCATCTCATAATAGCCTGCTTATAATTGTTTTGCTGGAAATCACCTTGAAGACACGAGGATGTGACTGTCGTTAGCCGTAGTTTATTGACTTATCAGATCAATAACTGGCGGGTATATTATTATCCTGTCAAGGTGGTGGTTGATTACATTTCCTGTCATTGATTTCATAATTTTTCAGAAAGCAAGCCACAAGGCAAAAGGCTCCATCCAAAAAATTGAAGCGATGTTAACGGTGTTGTCCAGATAAAAACTCAACAAATGAAAACAGTGACAAATATAGCCATGATTTCTGAAAGGCTTTATTCAAGTTCAGAACATAACAATGAAAATATTCTTGCATTTTTTTCCCCCTTTTTCGTTTATTGTAACCTTTTGAACGACATCCACGTTGTGGCGGTCGTATAGGATTTCAGTGAAATGTGGGAGGTTTTCTATTGGTTTTTTTTTAAATGAGGAAAATCAAACATGCTCCAATTCCTTAACATTTTGGTTCACAATAGAGACGTTTTTGTTGTGGTATTTTTTTGAAGATGGGAAAGACAGCCCGTGTTTTATTAATTAACTTCAATATTCAATGTGCTGATGAATGATCTTGAAGATGTGGTCGTGGTAGTTCTGTAGCTTCAGATTGATGCGATGATAACACTCACGATCCGGCAAGCAGAGTCATCCCTGAGATTGGATTTTCAAGAAGAAAGAGGAGACGACAAAATAACTTACTCGATTTCGGTGAAGCTTATAGAGTTAGAAATGCTGAAAACTGTTGAAATTTGTTTTCATAACAAAACACCGGTGTGGCCGAGTTTTTGAAATCACGCCACTTTGTCTTTCATGGCTGTCATGTTACGTCTTTTTTTCCGGACGTTTGCAAACGTCTTAAATATACGGGGGGGGGGGGGGGGGTGGATGGGAATTTAAATATCAAAGGGAGGTATTTACCTGTGGTATGGTACCTGCACTCCTCATTCCTCTACTGCAAGGAAGTCCGTAGACATGTCCTCCAAGCCTTCTGTCATATACTTCATGTCCTTCAAATCTCGTCTATCACCAGTCTACAGACCTATGCTGTTAAAATACTTTTAAAAAGACAACTGTTTACGCGCGCAGCAGCAAGACCAGCTGATTGGTTAGAAGCTGACACGCATGCGCTGTCAGTGCAATGATGCTTGCGTCTTACGTCTGCAAAACCAACAGTCACGAAAACACAACAGACATTACTAAACAAAAACATACAAAAACGTTTCCTCTGTTTTAAGGAAAATACCTGGTTCTAACTGACACACAATTCCTCCTTCGGGGGTTGCGCAGTCTCGAATCTCATAAGTACCAGTGTCAGCGAGCATGACAACGCACCCAACATTCCCCAGGTCTTCATTTGGTTCGTTACTTTCCCAATTAAAATAGGGTGTTGCTCCCCCGTACAGCCCTCTGTAGACTTCATCCGTGTCGTTATCCCATATACCTAGCCAGACAGCGTCGAGCCTGCAAGAGAATTCAATATGAAATCTGGCTATCTACATACTTCAGCAATTAGCAAAATATTTTCTGTGTTATTAAACACTTAGTCGAAGTGTCGTATAAACGACTTACCCCGACAGCTGTGCGTGCAACTGAAGAAATCTTGTCTCATCCAGCGAGTACGGCACAACCAATCGCCCGTGTCCAACCGCCTCGCACTCTTGTCTCGCCTCGACAAAATCGGCTACTCGGAGAGGATGAAAGTCGTAGCAGAGACCGTCGTACGGGACACTTTGGGAAGGACAACCTGCAAGACCAAGATTGGATCGTAGTTTAGAGATGGTTGATCCTAGAAACTATTGTGATAATTGTGATAACGAAACTTAACCCAACGCCTATTTTAGACTGGCGTTTCAGATTATAGGCCTTCTTGCGACGAACATAATTACGAAGATTAACAAAGTTCTTGCAAAGTTTTTACAATTACAAGTCTACTTGCAGAGTTCCACGTTTGAAACAGTTAGAAGTGATGTTGTCAAAAGATCGACTGTTGCAGTCGTTCGGAACGACTCCAGAGTCTCATTAAAGGAAAAAAATAATACGAAAGAGTTTGCCGGTTTGAAAAAAAAATCGATTTCGGTCGACCAGCCACTCCTTATACTTGTATTTTATTTGTTCGGCACGTCTCTGCAACCCAAGCGGTACGGTTGTTCACAGGAGAAAAGTCGCCGTGGTGTGGTTGAGAGAAACAGCAGCAAAATTATAACAGGGGCACTTGGGGCCTCATTTTAGAGGGGCACCGTGACATGGTCACAATTTAAATTAGTGAAGAGCTCTTTTCTCCCTTTACAAATTCTGACCAGAGGCAAAAAAAAACAAACCACCGTATATATAATATACGTACCGCTTTCTTGGCTTTGTTCGTGCAGGATGCTACACAGAGCTCCCCGGTCTGTGCCCCCATCGCACTTCTCCTCGTCCCAAGTTTCACGCCCTTCTTCCAGCATCGCGCAGTTCTTAGAATCATCGTGGGTGGGTTTGTTCTCCTTCCAGGCACTGTAGACCACGGGCTGCCCGGTGCGTAGAGAGTGAAACACGGTCTCGGTCTGGATGTCGTGTATTCCTAGCCAGTGGGAGTGCCTAAAAGGAGCACAGACCAGTGTATAAATCGGGAAAATACAACCATCTGAGGTGTTCAAGTTTTGATTTACCTTCTTTCATTTTCTGATCGATTTTTCAAGGTTTGACTAATGACTGGGTGATGTTTTCCATGAAAAGTTCACCCGTAAAAGTAGTCCTGAAGCCCATCGCCATTTTGAAAAATGATCCCTCCACTCCGATCGCAATTTCATCCAACATTTCTAAGAAATACAAACTCAGAGTCCGATTCACTGCTTTAAATAAACCTAATATTACATGGTCAAGTTTGATAGATCATGAAATCTGCATGAAATGTGTTACTCATTTATACGCCCTTGCGTTTGTTCACCTTTTCTGCGTCCTAAGACATGCGGATATGAAAACAGAGTCCGTTTTTCGTAGAATCAAAAAAAAGTATGGGAGCAGCATCAGAAACGATATTCCTGGGGCAACTTGAGGTTTTCTGAACCTTTGTTGTGTGGTTGTTGTTGTTTTTACTTCGGGAAGACGATAACGCCTCATCCGAAAATAAACTTCAAAATACCTTAAAAAAAACCACATATTATTCAAATTCTTACTTGGCGTCTGCATTCACCATAAGTTGCTGCACAATGGCACTGTCACTTGCAATAGCCATATCGGCCAAATCTGCCATCTTGTTAATCTGCCGACAAATGGCGCGAGCCTCGGCAAACGATTTGACGTCATCGGAAGAGTCAGAGGGTACGAGGAAGACGGTTTTCGTCTCTGGGTTGGTCAGGTTATACACGGGCCCGAGGCCGATAACGCCTGTAATGAGACAGGGAACTAGTTAGCCTTACAGGTGTCATCGTTCGGAGTTTTCAAACCTCTAGTTCGTCTGCAGTTCGGCTTCATATTCATCATCATTTAGACCACTTCAATCAAAAATAACAGCGGCGTGCAATGAAACTGCCGCAACTGCAACTCTCTGTTTGCAGCGTGATAAGCAATGGCGACACTGCAGCAGCAATTTGTCTAGCATTTTTATCAAATGAGATTTTACCCCTGAATTTTATCCAAAACTTACCCGTCGCCATCAAAATGCACTCCAACAAAATTTGCGTCAAGAGCATTAACAATGGAGAATTTTTCCTCTTCATTTTGAAACTTGGGGGATAGGCAAAACAAATCAGTTCATTTCATCACAGACTCCTCGTCTGAACGGCACGTCGTCGAGAAAATGAAAGGTAGAGATTGGGTTCGCTACTTTTTTTCTGATTTTTTTTAGTTTAAATACTCAGAGCCACGGCGGTTCCGGAAGCATCCATCTTGGTTGGGGTGTGTAGGGTTTATCTTTCAAATATCCCGGGTTAAAAATGAGTGATGGGACAGAGACAAAGTTGAAGCAACGCTAGGAAGGCTTTACAGCGAGAAAGAGATGAGCAAAATGTTCAAAGACTTTGGAGTGAGACAATGAAACATGTCCACTTCTGAACGTATGTCCCCCTGCCTTGAAAATGGACGTTTCCGTGCCTAAGACGGCCGTGCTTTTTTCCAAAGGCAAGGAGGAACGGGATGGATGATGAAATTGATTGAATTGTTCTTAAGACCCCGGAGCAGAACAAGAATAACCTTCGATATTTATGACAACAAAAGACAAATCACACCAACAAAGGCAATCCAGCTTTCCATGGTACATTGATTTCAGATGCGAAGGGGGAGGAGGGGGCGAGGCTGACCTTTATTGGAAGAATAACGGTCCTTGCTTTATTTCTTTCGTTCAATCAAAAAGTATTTGGAGTGAAAGGATCGATACCGTGATGATTAAAATAATATCGTCTTTTCTTGCATACCGAGAAATCGATACGGCATTTCAGTTGAGGAGGAATCGAATTTATTGCGAGGTCGAGACGCTGGTCCGAATTGCTGCGTCGAGTAAAGGCGGGTCCTTGCTTTGAACAAAGTAATTTCGGACGTTAAGTATGATTAATCAACAAAGGTTAAAATCGAAACATCAAGGCAAATGGTCGGTAGAAGACATTGGATTCAATTTAAAAATATTGATTTTTTTAGAGGACTTCTGGTATAGTGATCACTTGAGGCTTCACGGCTGAAGATACAAATACATGTACAGTCGAGTCTCGTTATAACAAACTCGTTCGGACCCAGCCAAATTGTTTGTTATATCAGAATTGTGTATTAAGAGGAACATCAGTCCCATTCATTGTGCACATAACTGCACAGTACAGTAGTGACCAAGGCTTTATGTTTGTTATAACCAGAATTTTGTATTAACAGAGTTTGTACTAACGAGAGTCGACTGTACACATAAAAAGTCAGTAAACGAAAAAAATTGAACTTAACATACATTCATTTCTCAACCTTCACATCCCCCAAACGTAAAACTAAAAAGTCTGATAATTTTCATAAACAAACTTAACAATTTCTCAGGTTTTGAAATCCGGGTAACCACAAAAACATGTCATGTTAATGAGTTTGCTCATAAAAACCAAAGGGTGAAATTCAATGTCATCTTGAAACCCTATGCAAAGGAAATGGTAGACTTGAAATCAAGTCGGTAATTGATCGGGTTTAGTTCGCCCACCGTGCACCGGCGTGGGCAGATACAGCCGACAGACAAAACACGAATGTCTAGCGACTTGTACTCAAGTCTAAGGACATGGACAATAGGCAACAAAGTACATCTGACAATATACAATCAACTTTTTAATCATAAAAGTTACATCTTCAAAATTCAGTAAACAAGTCCAATTTTTTTCTCTTAATGAAATACCTAAGAGTATGTTAATGATTAGTATTCTGCTTAATACCAATCAAGTACTGCTGATAATACAATTATAAATTGTCAATTTAATAATTAATAATATTTTATTTTTTGAGTTATTTTCATGATTCATTTCTTACATTAAAATATGTACAGCACAAGATAGTTCCTAATTAACAACATCTGATTCAGGGTGTGGCCAGGGTGCGGCTAGGGTGTGACCAGGATGCGGCTGGGGTGTGGCCAGGGTGCGGCTGGGCTGGAGAAGATACTTTTAAAATGCTTAGTGTCAAAATTAATATTGCAATCCTAACAGAAATGACTAAAAGCATTTACTGCGTAAATTTTAACTGACAAAAAAAAACCTCTCTGGTCGTGAAAACACAACCACAACGCCAACAAGTCTGGCAACCAGACCACTCTCAATAAACAACCAATTACAGATTGACTTCAGACTGGTGGGTTTACACTTGGCTGAAATCCACAGCCACTTACTAACATTGGACAACTCTGGCTATGGCTTTCCTTTGACACACAAATGATGACTATCCTTATCCATAGCCATATAAAAATTTGAATACAGCTGCCAACACTGGTGCCTTATAAACATGTACAATATATTGTAAACTGGAGGCCTCACCTTATTGAATAAGGACAACCAAATTAACATTTACACTGGCCAAATTTAGTATCACAGTACGCAATATGTTGGCTTGTAACCCACTGAAGCCCATATTGGAGACCCAATCACAAAAGAGGACAGGTAACAGCCACACAGCTTCTGATATGACAATGCTTGTTCAAGTTCAAGTAATCTTTATTGCTATGGGCCATGACAATTCTCCTTTCCCCGTCATCTGATTGGCCGGGCGTCGAAATCAGTGCAAACGATCATATCAAGAGTCAAGGGTCACAGTTCAAAAGCTGAGCCCAAGCGCTGCTAATCCAGTGAAGATGAGAACAATGAGAAGAAAGGCTCCGACAAACATCAACCAAGCTGGAAACTCCACTAAAATGATAAAAAAAGGACAGAAATATTAATAAAAAGATGCATTCAGAAATGTGAATTAGAATCAAATCATTACACAATTTTTGTAGTTTTTTCTCCTCAGAATAAGTTGGACATTACTAAGATCCAGATAGAATACTTACTTGGTTGTTCCACGGCAACGATTGACACTTTCTTGTCGGCTGATATACTCAGCACAGCTGTCTCAAGATCTCCTAAAAGTGCACGAGTTGTTCTTGTCATCGGGACAAAACACAGTCCTGTCACGAAGATACCGTGCACGTCTTTCACCACACGCAATTTCTGGACGTCAACAAGATAAAAAAAATAAACACAAGTGATTTTAAAAGTATCTTGGTTTCTAAATGTACAACAGATCTTGACCTCTGACCCTAGGACAATGACCCAATCTTAGAGACACAGTGGTATGATTGGGGTCAAATTGGAAGGGGGCACTTTGGGAGGGGGAGGGGCATCATTTTCTCGAGAGAGGCACTCAATGGGTTAACAATGCATTACATTTTTGTCATCTTAATTCTGACGGGAGGGGGGGGGGGGGGTTCAGGCCTTAAGGGGATTGGCCACAGGCACCCCTGCCCTTAATTATCCTGTTGGGGCAGACTGGAAAACGTACAAAAGGAGAAAAACAATGCAGCTGCTGTGTTTGAAAAAAATGGGATAAACAAATTGCAGGCTTACCTGCAAACTAAAGGAGACATAGATGCCAATGGATCCTGACATTGTGCCTACGCCTACCAGGTTGCCACTGTGGCTGTAAAGACAAAAGTGAGAGGGGTAAATACGTTATCAGGTAGTTTGGTAAAATGATAATGTTGCCTTTTGTGTAAAACTGCTACAAGTAAAGGGCAATCGCGTAGTCTGGTAGGATTCTCATTACTGTGCACATGCCAGATGTAACATGCCTGTGAAGTTGTGAAGAAGCTAGAATTCCAATACAGCACAAAATTTCCTTCTCATTATTACATCAAAATGTTGAAATAATTGTTGGTTGAACAAGAATTCAAACCAGGATTCTCTAGCTGAACTAACTCAATTGACTCACTCCAACACTCACCTGATATTCAAAGCCGACAGCACGTCAGTCCCCGTGCACACTGTCTTCTCTGCGGTGAACTTGATGGAATTCCATCGAGTGAGATAGGAGGATTTTGTCTTGCCCTGGATGCGCGGGATGTGGATGGTGTACATGCTGGACTTGCTGGGGTCACTGTCGGTGAAGCCGAACCTGAGAAAAGGAGGCGAGCAAAACGTTAAAATATTTCAAATCTCTTCTTGAAATTAAATCTTTGGGAGGGGGCTTAACCCTCTAAAACTGAACATTAGTTTAATCTGTAAAATTGAATACCTCCTTCATTATTGTGAATTTGAGTCATTTTGTGAAATTTGTTACTAAAAATGTAGGTGAAATTACAACATTTATGACAATCAGATCCTCAAAAAGCTATCTTCTAGACGAAGGAATTTAGCCCTAATATACCAAATTCTTCAATTTTGTTGGTTTGGTTGGATTAGTCTGTGACAACAAATAATGACAATTTCAATGACAGTGGCATCAAATGACAGTGACATATAGCCATCAACAGGTACAAGAACTCCGGAGTACAAGTTTCAGCTGGTTTTTTGATATCACAACCTACCTACAGCATCTGACTCTATAGCCGCTGGCCTGGTCGGCTGGTACCCCGTTCCATTTCAGGTCACACACTTTGCTGCCGTCCACGGTTCTCCATACGATAGCTGTTGAGTCTCTGGACGCAGACACCAACTAAGAACGGCACAGGAAAAAAATTCATCAGAAAGAAATTGTGTGACAATTTTAGTAAGAGTATTGTTATAGAAAATGGATTTTTGGTAAGATTTTCAGCAAATGTAAAGCAACGAGTACGAACAATCTGGTATGAAACTTTTGAAGGTAAAAAAGAGATGCCAACTATTTTGGGATATTAATTACGATGTTCGATGTTCGATACTCACCCTGTTTCCTAGTGGGTTAATGATGACATCATCGACTTCTTTTGAGTGAGCCTCTATCTCGTACTGCTTCTCAAATGAAGGATACTGGAAAGAAAACACATAAGCAAAGGAACTTGTCATTTTCAAATTATTCTGTTGTTTTTTAAAGGAAACCATGAAGGCATAATGGAACTTTTATTCTCTTAACCTCTACCATCTGGGTTCCAGTCAAAATTAATGAATCATGCTGATAAATTGGCTTTGTCTCTAACTGGAATTATACAGAGCAAATATTTTTATAACTAAAAAAATGACGCTTTGTTTCTTTTCCCCTTATAGCAAGATTTCCTTGATTCCATACTAGAATCCTTTTTTTAAAATCCAAGACCGGAAAAAATGTTGCAACCTGACACCCCTTTTTTCTTTATATATCATCTCAATGAAGGTCAGTCGTTGCAAAAATGATGATAAGACATGAATCCAGGACTGAGAAACATTTCCAATTTTGTTAGGAAATACTTAGAAAATTTCCTTGACTCTCCATAGACTTTGTATATACCCGCTGAAGTGGCGTCAGGTTGCAACATTTTTTCCCCAAGACCTTCTATCACAGTTTTATTACAAACCCACTAAACATTTCAAACAATTTCAATAAATTTTAAAATATTTGTCCAAGATTACTCACAGACCACATTCTGACGTGTCCGTCAGCTCCACCGGTGGCAAAGAACAATCCGTTGGGTGAAAAGCACACAGCTTTCTGATACTTGTCTCCGGTTGTGAAGTCCGTCTGGACTGACCCTAATCTCTCCAGGTCAAATTTGGTGACAAGAGCGGTGGGTTCCTGCGAGTTTGTGGAGGCATTTTTCTCGGACTTTGTAGTACTTTCTTTGGAGTTTTTGTCATCTGAGGTCTGTTTGGAATCTTTTCCTTTCTTCCGTTTCCTTGTGCCATCTAGAATCACATCATGAACAGTAAAAAACATAGTTATTAAGCCTACTGATGGCAACATTCAAGGTGTGTTTATTAACTTTATTAACACACTGGCACAACGTTTCTTGGCACAGAAGTCAAGATTTCCTTTGACAATGACCAAATGATGACCAAAGTTTGAAATCTATATTCATGGGATAACATACAATGAGTAATTACCCGTGTCTTTTCCATTGTTTGGTGCCTGGTTAGGCTTGGGCTCCTCTTCATCCTCTTTCACTGCTTCTTTGGTTTTAACAAATCTGTAAAATTGGCAGTTCTCGTCTTTTCCTGCTGCTAAAAGGTACTCTTTGCCATCAAAACTGCAATCCAAATGAAAGATCATGAAAGAATTACAATGTAGTATAGTATTGGACAATCATGCCAGGTTTTGTATCAATACCTGTGCATATATGGAGAGTTCATGTAATTGCTGAGAAACTATGCAATCTGTAGCTTACCGTAGGGCAGCATTCATAATGGCAGCCCTATCGTCTCCAACATCAGTGTCACATTGCAATTTGCTGTCCGCAAATAAGCGGTGCCCTCTCCTCTGCACTTCAAAGATCTCCTGGGGACACACAAAATGGGCAAAGTCCAGGATAAGGTTTTTCGTCAAAGTGGTGAGTTTTAGGGATAATCTTGGCCTATTCTCAATTCCATGTTTTGCAAACACTGCAAACTAGGAAATACACTGGAAAAAGGGATCATTAATTGACAAAATGAATTAAGAATTTATAATTAAAAGATGCATGTTGACAATGTTGACAGGTTCAATGTTACATTCTATTGTCAATGTAAATGAACATTGACAAAAGGATGGGGAAGAGTGGGCCTGGTGGGTAGGTGTGGGGTTGGGGGATGGTTGGGGTGTTTGGGGGGGGGGGGCGGGGCGAGGGAGGGCAACATTAAATTTTAATACCAATTTTAAATCAAACTTTGTTGGGAAAACTTTTGATGATGATTCAACAAAGAGTATGTGCACGCCCAACATTTTGCAGCTAGATACTGTAATTATCAATTCATCCAGGAACTAGTTATGACAATGCGTTGAGTTGACGTAGTCTAGTTGAAGTTTCTGCAGCATAAACGCTGCAGTCAAAACCGATAGTGTCGAAATTAGAAGCGTTTGGATCCACATCAATGACACGTTGTAATACTATCAAAACAATACAAAGTACATTCTCCTTTTCAGTACGTCCAAATTTTCAGAGCTAGTAACTTACTATTGCATTTGGAACTCCCGTTTTTGCTTGTCCGCCTCCTCCTGCAACAAGAAAGTGAGTTTCGTCGACGCATTTTATGACATACGGCGGAAAATCTAAATCGGCCAAGTGGGTCGCCATCTTGTTCGCCACGATAGCAGTTTTGGTACCCCGCTTTCTTACTGTTTTACTGTACAATCAACGAAGGTTACCAGCTTTTTCAAACACATCCTCTTTCAGAATGTTAATATTCATATCGATTGAATTTGAAGATTTTTTTACAAACTGTCGATTATCATCAATCAGGGGAGGGGAGCTAATAGTTAATAAATAATTTATTTAGAGGATACCTATTACTTTCTCAGTATTTAATCGATCTTAAAGAAAAATGACCATTTCCGTAGCAACGTTGACATAAGTCACGTGATAGTTTACTACCAAAACAGCTGGTAGTCTGCATTTACATTGCGTATTTCAATCACACTGAATGGTAAGCAGTGAAGTTTACATGGGTCCGATGAATGTTGTGAAGTAGTCTGCAAGTGCATCATCATACATCGCCACCGGTGGTGAGTTAATTATTTCGTCTTTCTTGGTTATGTGTCACTTGTACCTGGGCCTCGTTGTCCAATGTGACAATTAAATACGATTGTCTGTGTGACTGTGAGTGATCTGAATACCGCATTTGGCCGGACGGAAATTTCAAGGAAAAAACTGAATTCGGGGGGAGGCGTTGATTTGCAAAATGGGGGGGGGGGGGGGGGGGGGGGGGGAGATGGGGATGGGGATGTCTAGTCTCAGTATCACCTGTTGTCCAATGGGGCCCTCTCACTCTCCGTGGCGTAACCAACGTCTGATAATGTGAGCAATGCACATTTTATGTGACCCCGCACACCAGCTAGCCAGTCGGAGTTGAAATTTAAAAATTGAGACGACTGATGTCATTCAATCAGAAAACAGCTGCTAGGGCCTAACTTGACTCACATTTTTGCACCTTTTTCTGCAATTACGGCCTCATTCTGGGGTGGAAATTAACTTTCGTCCGTGTGGACCCCAGGCATTGCCAGGTAAATGTATTCGTTTGTATGCTAAATCATTTAAATGACATTGGCCTTTGTGGGTTTTTTTGTTTTTTCAGTCTTGAAAATGCATACCTAAAGCTGATGGAGAAAGTTACACATAGTGATGTTACCGAGACAAAGAGGTTGTAACAATGAGCAGAAGACTTCAAGCGACGAAGGACATCTGTCTGTTTATTTCTTCACTTGGATTAATTAAGTAAATAAAACGACCTGCCACTGATCACCTAGTGAGCCAATGAGAATGCCCGGTTCATCAAGTTGAAATCCGACTCAAGAAGTTTCAACCAGTTTGAAGCTGCATCGTGACAGCATGGTGAAGCTAACATTGGACTTGATTGCTCGGACATCGAGCAGTACAAGAAAAAAGCGAGAAGAAAACCTGCAGCAGTATCTGAAGAGATTAACACACTTATCGTTTGCTGAGAAGAACATAGATGAAATAGTAAGTATGGCTATGGCTATGGCTAGAAATAACACACAGGTCTATGGGAAGTGGCTGCAGCGGCTTCCATAGGCGTGTGTGTAATTTCTAGCCGTAGCCAAGTAATTTGGACATGGCTGATCTTAGGCTTAGGAGATCTCAACAATTTTGGAATTTTTGGAAACATTTCTTTTTGGAATTGATTCCATGCAACCAAACAAAACATATAAACACAAATAGGGAAAATTCCCCATAATATCACAAACAAATTTTAGTATCAAATCACTAATTGCAAGTTCATTTACTTCATAAAAAAATTATTTGAAGTGTATGGAATCTATTTGAGAGAAACTGTAATTTAAAAAAGTGGAGTAACAATCCGATTCCAAGTTAGGAATCAATTTTTATTTGATTCTTACCTGGAGTCGCCCAAACCTAATAAATGTGTTCTTTGTCAATTTTGAATAAAAAACTTGACTAACTAGACTTACAAATAATAAGAAAAAAGAAAACTTAAGATGGTGAGGTAGTCAAATCTGCAAATGACATCTTTTGACTATTTGAAGCCAACATTTGCAGTGTTTGAATTAAAGATCTGAAGTTTTCAGGGGGAGCTTGGAATGTTTACACATCTTTACAACTTGTGTTTAGAAATCTGAATCTTGATACAAAGCAACGTTAAAGCACAGCAAACACTGTGTCAGTCTACACTTTGGCTGTTTTTCTTTTTCGTGGTGTCCAGTTGTTCTTAAAACGTCTCCCAATCTCGGCAGCTTTTATTACAACTTCACTGTAAAGGTTTCAATGTAAACGGTAACAGGCTGTACAAATATTTACACTTTGTGTTCTGTGGGTGTTTGTTGCTTCGCTTTATCGTCCTCAATGCAATAAAAAGGTCATAGTGATTTGGAATAACGCTGGTGGGCGCTCGGTTCCCGGGTAACGTAAGAAATAAATGGGCAAAGTAACAGATTTGAAATGTAGTTGTAGATTAGGGTGGCTATTTTCAAAAAAAAGTTTGGAATGTTGGATGATTGGAGTGGTTATAGCACCTCAAATTAAATTGTTGAGATTTGATGGTTTATTTTACGAGTAGAACTCAGATGGTTTGTTTGAATTTTAAAAGGATGAACGTTTAAAGTTATAACATTCACATGGATTGAATATATACAAATTTTCAATTTGTTTTTAGTTCCATAAGTTTTTTTTTCAATATCAGTGCTCTTTTCTCTGTCTTTTAAACGAAAACATGAAAATATGCAGTGGTCTGATAAAATAATTTTGATCTTCCAATGAGCTTTTAAGAAATTTCTTAGTGCCTTTTCATTTATTTTTTGCCATGTTTGGTTTCTTTTGGGATATAATTTTCATTTTTTTTTAAAGTGGAGTATGTTACTAAATTTGCCGCTTGTTGGCAAATCATTGCTTTGTTGCTTGTAACATTTTTTTTCTTCTAATTTGTGTTAACAGGATGATCTGTCGCAATGTCGGAATCTGTCCGTTCTCTATCTCTATGACAACAGTATACCACAGATCCCCAATCTTGGCTTTGCTGCCAACCTGACCCATCTGTATCTACAAAACAACCAGATCGGGCAGATTGAGAGGTTATCACCGCTACAAAAACTTTCAAAGCTGTAAGTTAATATTTTAAATTTTTGATATTCTCTTGCTGTCAGAAGAACTTCTACAATCGATCATGCATTTACTAGTGAGAAGTGTTTCCATCATTCAATTGACATTTATTTGTTGTTCACTTTGTCTATAATTTATACTTTAAATTTTGCTGATTATTTTATAACGTATGTTTTTCTGTAATTTGTGTATTTTCTTTCTGTGTATGTTTAATAGAACTTTGTATTATTTCAAGTAATTAATTTACTATTTTGTATGTGTAGTTTTAAAGAATTTAAATATGATAAGCTCATTTGAACATATTTTATGATGGAATTTGCGCTATGCAAATGAATACATTATTAAATTGTTATTATTATTATTATCTGTTGTTGTCAAACTAAACATTTTTATGATGGCTGTGATTGCTTGTATTTCTTTAGTTTACTGTGATGAAAAGTATAAGCAAATTTCCGAGGGTTTTAGCCAAGACATACAGAAAGCAGCTTGTCAAGAATTGCTTTAAAGTCAAAAGAAGGCTGCATGAAAAAGAAATAGGGCATTTAAAAATGAGTGTCCAAAACAGGATTACCAAAAGACACCCAGACTCTCTGTTAAAACAAAGACTACACATTTTGACGTAATTTTCTTCTTTTTGACTTTTTAAAAAACTTTTTTTGAACAGGTATCTAGGAGGCAACTGCATAACAGTTCTGGAAGGTTTCGAGAAACTGGAACAGTTGAAGGAACTGCACATGGAGCACCAGAGACTACCGAGGGGGGAAAAGCTGCTGTTTGACCCCCGATCACTTGCCTCTCTCTCGGTAAGATTACAAAACTCATAGTTTAAGAGATTTCGGACCTTTCAGAAAATTTATTTTGGTGAAAAAGGCTTCCGAAGAAGGAAAATGTTAAATAAGTACAGTTGGCTCCTGTTTGTACAAACTTGGTTAAAACAAAATTCTGGTTAAAGTTAACATTAACAGTTTATTTGCACTCACCTTATTAAGAATATAACCAATATTTTGCCTAGATCTGGCTGAGTTTTTATAAATGGGAGTGGACATGTATCACTTAAGGAGGATCAATTTGCATTTACACTATGACCAAATTTCTGTACACTAATAAAACCCTTACAGTAAGGTAATGTCGTTGTTGCAGAGAAGTTACCATGTTTTTGTTTGTTGGTTGGTTATTTTCTTTTCAACAAAAAACACTTTAACACAAAATCAAAACCACTAAGTATGGGCTGCAAACTAGATTTAAGAACAAAAACAAATGAAAACACTACAATGAATTCTGTATGCTAACTGATTACTATCCAGGTGTGTCTACAAGTCCTGAATGTCTCCGGTAACAATCTCGATGAAATCACGGACCTGCGTCTCCTCCAGAAACTCACCCAGTTCATCTGCAGCGACAACAAACTCCGAGATCTCAAGACCGTGGCCAACGTGATAGCCTGGTGGCCTTACTTATGGAGGCTAGATCTGTCGGGCAATCCACTCAGCCACAGAGCCAAGTACAGAGACAGGGTCATCGTTATGAATGAAAAACTGGGTGGGTGGAAAATATGAGATGTGTTCTGTCAAAAAGTTGATGTTTTTCAAAAATCTTTTTTACTTGGCAAAATTATGACCTTTGGAAATTCCTGATATCACAAGGGCGACAGCAGAGAAATGGCTTGTTTAATTTTTGGATCATTCATTTTTTGAACTGATACACATTTGAAAAAAAAGTCATCCCAGAAAACACTTTCAGACTCTATTTTAGTCTGAAACTTTTACAATACTCTACAAAAATATGAAGGATCAGAAAAAAAACTTAAAATGAAAAAACATTTGTTTTGGTCGTTATCTCCATTTCGAGTGCTGCCCAGAAGACGTATCTCATTAGTGTTATACTCTTAATCTACAACATATTGTCCAATGACGACTCTTTAAAAAGCAAGCAATATTGGCAAAAAATGGAAATAATTTGAACATTTTCACCAATACTCTGTACCTTGTTTCAGTTGTCTTAGATGGGAAGGAGATTAACCAGACGGAGAAAATGTTCCTGATGAGTTGGAAGGAAGCGAAAGAAGCAAAGAGAAAACAGAGAGAAGAGGCTGAACAGATGAGGCCAGAGCTAGACGGGTTTGCCCCACCGTTACCCATTGCTGGAACAGGTAGGCCAGACTAAATTACACCCAATCATTTCCTAGTTTTTGTTTTGTTTCTCAAAATCTTAATTTATGTCCAATTCATGATAAGTACGATAACTATACATGTTCCTGTTTCAACTTCGGAATTTTTGAGGTGCAGTTGATGTCAACTTAAAATAACCAAACAAACTTTCCTGTTAAAAATTCAAAGCAAGCTGTTCATTTATTCTGAATTTTATTGATCTGAATTAACAAACTTGTGAAGAACAAGTTGCATTTTAAAATGGAGAATACTTAAATTAGAACCAGCGATATTCTGGTTAAATAAATTGCCCTTTTACATTTGCAACAATCCTTAAAAAGTTTTAATTTAAGTCTCACCTATGAAAAAAAAAATTATCTTGTGCAGTACCGTGCAAAATATGTAAAATATATGCAGTGCGGTGCATTGCAGTTGATGTCAAATTGAAATGATGACATAAACTTTTCTGTTACAAAATCAAAACAAGCAGTTCATATATTCTGACATCACAACATTTGTGAAAAATCAACTTCAGTTTTGAACTTTAAAATATTTGCACATTCTTCTCAACTTTGTTTCTCAATTTTCTTTAAAATACAGGTCGGGAGTTACCCCCAGTCATGCCGCCCAAAAGCTCCAAATCGAAGCAAGGCGGTCTGAAGAACATCTACATCATGCCGAGCATGGTGGGAGGCAAGAAGAGATTTGAGGCCGTCTTGGCCAAGTCTCAGAGTCTGCCAAACTCCGCCTCTAAGCTCAAGGCTGACAGGACGGTACCGGTCAGGCAGATAGTAGCTCCTGGAGTGCTGAAGAAGAGTCACAGTGACTTGGAACGCTCAGCGAGGTAACAAAACCTGAAGAAGAAAATAATCCTCCAACATATTTTAGAGAGGACAAAGATGTGCTGCCTGAGCTATTTCAAGTTTCATCCTAAAAAGAAGTTTTGTTTTAAATATCTAATTTCCATTCACTTTTGAATTAGTTGGACCGAAAGAATCGATCAAGGTTTAATTATTTTACAAATTTTGCATTCATTTTCAATTCTGGCAAGGTGGGCTGGATCCGGCCATCAGAATCAATAATGTAGGAACCGGGAACCAGTCTATTTGCGCCGCAGCACAGATCTGTTAACAGGAGAAAGTGCAGCAACCCAAAATAAAAAGCCCTTTTCTACAGTGGGTTGCAGAGGCCAGCAAAAATTAAAGTAAACATAAAAAACACACAAAATGAAAAGTTAAATTTGAAAATTTGTAGGAGACAAAAAACCTGAATATGTTTGATATGCATGAAAAGTACATATTTGAGCAAAAAAAAATTACATTTACGCTTAGTAAAAACAAGCTGTTAACCAGTCGTAAGCAGTTAACATTAATGACGTTTGGTTGGTAACCCTGTTTTTTCTTTTCTGCAGAGCGATGATGATGCACGAGTCAAGGCATACCAGCTACCCAGACGCATCAGGTTTTGGTGCGGCAAGCGGCAAAATGCATCCAATGATGAATGGAAATCACATTGTGCCTTCAAGCATCTTGCTTTGAATAGGAGCATCCTAAATTCATCATTTTGGAAAGGTGGATAGTGCCAACATGTGCCTACTAGTCTCATGACTGACTGTGTTCAGTTTTGGCGTCTTGTCAAGTTGAATTCTACACTCCAAAATCGTGGAAACTGAATGGAAGAAACGATTCCTAGAACCATACGAACTGAGTGATATTTTTCAGTCCTATGAGGATTGTTCAGGAGAACTGTTCAATGTTGATGGATTTCTGTTTGTGGGAATTTAAATGGCATTTTATATACCAAATTCACGTTGGATGCTTGATTTAAATTTGAATTTTACAAACCAGCTTTTTTTTTTAATTACGGGAAGTGGTCAGTGGTGTTACGAGAATTTGCCTTCCCGCAACAAAATATCTTCAAGTATGCGTGTACCTGAATTTGGCTGTTGTGTTGTTTTTTTCAGTGGAATTAATTAAAACTGGCTATTCTATATTTATATTGCAAGTGCATACACGTGTAAAAGGGCATTTAAAAAATTTGATCGATGTTCTGCCCAAATCCGTCCAAGTTTGAGTTTTAATATCATGTGCTTTTGCAGGGTGTTGTATTCAGAGATGTGCTTGATGAAGCTAAAGTATATATGAAATAATTCTTAAAATAAGTGCATTGTGTTTTTAATGTCTTATAAAATGAAGCTTTCTGCATGTCAGATCTTACTGTGTGCCTTGCTTGGAGAGATTTTGTAACAAGTCTTAAAATGTTTTTTTATTTTATGTATATCTTTGTAACATTAAAAGTTTTTGTTACGCTGTAATGAATACTCGATGGGCTGCAAGTATGCATATTCACTTTTATAATTTTGAAGCAAATTTTTTTTTAATTTCAGATTTTGTACTTTTTTTGTGAATTTTGAACTTTTAAAGTTGACCATTTTATTTTCTCTCAAGGTGACTTTGATTGATTTCTATGCTTTTGTAAGTTGATGTAATAGCCGAATTCACAGGACATTACTGAAACCAATCAACTATTTCATGACTTTCAAATGCTACCATGATTTTGCATGTAAAAATGTGCCAATAATTAAATGCATGTGCCATCTTAATGTGAAACATGACAATGTCGTTGCAAAAAAGGAACACCAGTTGGTAGAATAAAACTGAAAAGATTTAATGTGGTTATTTGTTATCAGAATACAAAATTCATCCAAATTCAACAAGGTTTCATAATGAAGTACAGTGCATAAGTACTTGTCCAATTGCCCTGCAATAAATACAATTCCATAATTTTTAATCACACATTTAATTTTGTTCAAGTATAAAAGGAATTTGAATTCTATTGGTAAATTTATAGGGAAATTCACCGAAAATGGTGGGTTTGAACCAGCGGGAAAAAAACATCAAATACTTCATTATAACTGGCTTCTGTCATGAACAAATATCTTGTGAGAACTTTTTGAAATAATTTGTGTATTAAATAAGTGCATGACAACGGTTCTAATTATTCGTCGAATGAAATAGAAAGCCTGTTCTGCGTGTACTACGCAAGAAACAAAGCACTCAGAATGATTTTGGCAAATTCTGGAGAAAAACCTAAATGGATCCTCAATGCACCAACAGAATAACAAGTTATGATAATTTGGATCAATAAAATTGCTTGCTCAAGAAAGAGTTGTCATTTGAATTCAGATGTGGAATTTACCAACAGCTGGAACTTTCACTTGTGGAAAAAAAAGTTACAAGTGTAAATTATTTTGCCAAAATAGAAAATACACTCACTAGCCTAGCAATTTTGAGCTTGAGTAACACAATTTTAAAAAGTACATGTACAACAGTCAAGGTGCATAAAACAGTGGGCAATATTATAACAGACTTTGAAAAATTTCTACAATTTCATAAAATTCCAACCCTGTTTGAAGCGGACGGATATTGTCGTTAAAAAAGTACTGCATGCAATTTTTAATAGCACACTGCAGTGGGCATTTCAACAAAACATTTATATACAGATTTGTTCATTGTTTATACATGTACATGTATAATAAAATGTTAGACTGAAAACACACAAAATGTTCTGTTGATCCTTGTCTGAAATGTTATTTGAATTTTTTATTAAGCACAATTGTACAGAGCTTTTATGCATTCGTAGAAGGCCAACTTGCTGTTAAACATATTTTGCAGGCTCCATTTAGGCTGAGAAGTCATTAGACAACATTAACCCTAACGTCTTTGGGGGTCAAGGACCAAATGCCACAGAATACTACATGTGTTGTGCACACTTGTATGGAAATAAATACATACTACACGTTACTCCTCAGTAGTATTTTGTAGCTTTAGGTGAGGTTGGGTTAAAGGATTTGACACAGCAAATACAATGGTGTCTAGCTATCAACAAACGATAAATACAATTTACACTTCCTTCTTCAAGAAAAACTTTGTACAGTTTATTCACAAACAATTTACAACTCCTTTCTCTCAGCATTTCAGAAATTCACACAGTTTAACCCAGTTCCTGTACTGCTTCAAACTGACCCAGCACAGACTGTTTGATTTGAGGGAAAGTAATGAATACAAAGTACAATGGAATACAATGTAATACAATGTAATACAATGCCATACAATGTAATACAATGTAACACAATGTAATACAAGTGCTAATAGGTTAACCTTCAGATACCACATACTTTAAAGTATACATAACTCAGGATATCTCAGGTACAGGACAAGAAGTGGTGAGGGTTGTTCTATGAGCATGCACCAAAAACGCAAGTCAATTTGGAAGCATTCTAGACTGTTCTCTCGGTATGGTTCGTCTTCTGTTTCCTCTTGCCACCTTTCTTCTCGCTCGGTGTCCTAGGTTCTAACTCCTCCACGGACCCATCTCTTGATGTGGTCTTAGTCCGTTGTGGTGTCCTAGTCCTAGAACTCCCACCAAGGTCACCGTTGGTCATAGCAGCATCCTCTGCCGTCTTTGAACGCTTTTTGCGAGGTTTTGGCGTCCTCGGCTCAACGTCCTCAGACCCGCTCAGAAGCTGCTCTTTTGATATCGTCTTGGCCAACCGAGGCTTTGTCCTTGAACTGCTCGAGATGTCCTCATTTGATAACACGGTGTTGTCTGCAGTCTTGGAGCGTTTCTTACGAGGCGTCCTCGGTTTTATGTCCTCGGATCCAGCCAGAATGTCCTCCTGCGACATCGTTTTGCTGAGCCGCGGGGTCCTCAAACTCCCAGCTATGTCCTCGTTTGATAACGCTGTTTCATCTACCGTCTTGGAGCGTTTCTTCTGAGGTCTTGGCGGGATGCCAACATCCACAGCGTCAAAGGAAGACGTAAGACGTCTCTGAGCACTTTGTGACCTCGTCCTGGTTCGCTGCCTGCGGGGTGTCTTGTCCGCATCTGATATGTCATTTCCATTCTGGCTAAGATCTACAGCCAGTTCACGGGAAAGAGTTTTCTTTTTCCGTCTTCTTTGGCTGTTAATGAAAATTTTGAGAAACAGTTGAAAAAACATCATCCCACCAGACATATGCATAATAATAGCATTGATACTCAGTATTTTCTGAGAAGAAATGAGCAACAATTTAATATTGTTGATTAAGTCTTGAGATGTTTTACCTGGTGGCTGGTGTGATGTCTATGTCACTGTCCTCTGCAGCCGACAAAATCTTCAGCTCGCCGCTTTTAGAGACGACAGCCGTCATCTGAAGAAAAGAAAAAAAGTGAAATGTCTGGAAAAAGTGTCTCTGTCACAGAAAGCTGTTTTTGATACTAATGTAATTTTGAGTCAAGAAAGCAGTGGCTTTACATTTTAATTCTTGGACAAAGCGATGTCTAAACTGGCCTCAAGATGTTTTATTTTCTATCTTTGTTCTTACTTTAGTCCCGCCCTTTTTGGCCTTTCCTTTGCCCCTTCTGCGTGGGGTAGTACTAGCTGAATCAGTCTCCTCCGCTCCTGTGCTGCCAGGGATTTCACCAAGGTACTCCGCTGCTTCTTCCTGGACTAAAGGTTCCTCCTGAAGATCTGTTAAGTGAGAAAGACATTAAATTAGGAGTGTTGCTTGGGGATGGGGGTGGGAGGGTGTAAACCCACCCCCCCCCCCTACCTGTCGTCCAATTTTCCTATCTACAGAATTTATGCCAATACAGCCACCTATTGTTTGCTAATGTCCAGTCCTGTCCGCTTTGACCGTGCAACCATTGGTCAGATGGCAGCCAGCTAACCGATTCATCCAATTTCCCCACCCTATTCCCCACCCCTTCTCCCACCCCATCCTTACACTCATCTGTCACATAGCAGAGAAGTAGACTACTCTACCAATCCCCCCCCCCAATCCCCACCCTTCTCCAACCCCATCCTTACCCTCATCTGTCACATAGTTAGCAGGGAAGTAGCCCTGTTGTCCATTATCCAGCTAACCAATTCCCTCCACCGCAATCCCCACCAATCCCCCCCACCCTAATCCCCACCCCTTCTCCCACCCCGTCCTTACACTCATCCGTCACATAGTTAGCAGGGAAGTAGCCCTGTTGTCCGTTATCCAGCTGTCCCATCCACCAATTCTCATTGTCCTCGTGAAGCACGGAGATCCAGTCTCCCTGTCGCAGGCTCAGCTCATCCGAGCGTTGCGCGGTGTAGTCGTAGAGCGCCACCACGCGTCGTAGGTTCGCCCGATTCTTCTGCGAGGAGGGGGAATTGAAGGTGAAAGTAGCTGTGCCTCCCTTCGTCTGTGGAGCATCAAAATAGATTCAGGACAAATTTCAATTCGAGAATTGTACAATTTTTGACCAACCACAATTTGCCTGACCACAGGCCACTGAACGTTGTGACTACAAAAACAGAATGAAACATACAATAAGGGAGAAAGGAAGCTTCTGACATTTCACTGGAACCGAGATTAATTTTTAAAAATATAGACGTGGGAGAGCAGAATTTTGAAAAGGAATTCCGCAGTGAGGCGGCACGAGTGAAGAAACTTGAGGAGCACCTCCTCGTGCCAGCACTTCCAACATGAATGGTGTACAGATGCTGGAAGCAGTCAATTCAGGGTTCTCACAGAAAACTAAAATGTGAAATTCCATAACTTTCCATGCCTAGCTTTAAACTCCAGGATTTTCCAGGATGTTTTTCCATGACTATGGGAACCCTGGAATTGTAGCCAACATTTCTCATGGAAGTACAATGCTGTGAGATTAGCAATATCCAACAGTGTACACGAAAATGACACAGTAAATACGTGGAACCTGGCATTAATTCGTCGTGTGCCCGGCAGAAGGGCATATGCCCTTTTGCAATAGCGCTTAATGACCAAAATGTTCCCAGCAAAAGCGCATTTGCAGCAAACTGCCTCTATTTGAATGAAATTTAAACATTTTTGTCAGAAATTACTACCAGATGTTCCAAAATTATCATTCAAATTCGTATGATTTATATAACATGTGGGGGAACATTGGATTCATGGTACACGCTGGGGAACAATGGGACCTTTCAATGCAATTTTCTTGTAAATGATTTTTGCATCAGAACGCTCATATGCCCTTCTGCTGGGCACCCGACGAATTTAAGTAAACATTCAACTCAACGTTAATAATAATAATAATAATAATTAAATTTATAATGCGCCTTTTGCATACAAATGATGAAAAGCGCATTACAGAATCAACAATAAATGTAACTACTTCATAATTAATAGAAAGATAGAAGAATTACGGTAATATATATATAAAGTCATGTCACCGCGCCAGTGCCCAAACCGCAGTATGGGAATACGTCTGTCTTGCCAACAGGGAGAATATATTACTTAAGCCTAACCCTGCTGACATCGGTGATGTCTCAATCTTTCCCGGAGACAGACGCCTCTAACCCTACCTATGAATTAATTAAGCATCTAGCTACCCGGCATAGTGATGCTAGAAATAAGGACTAAGAAGCATTAAAACCCTTAGAAATGTTCAAGATATTGAGAGGATACTCACTGCCTGCAATGCAATACTGGGCGTGGACGCTCGTGGGAAATAAGCTCTCGGGGGAGTCCAGCCTGTCCCGCCCATACTCATGCCTAGACTACGAACTGCACGCGATGACTGATTCGCAAGAAATGAACTCTGAAAATTGAAAAGGGAGATACAATCCAGAGTCATCTAGAATAACGATTTAAAACGTTGTTACGGTTCATACACTACTGTCATTCACACAGTAGTTAATATTGCTTAGCAAAAAGTAGGTGTTTAGCACAAATCCAGCCGAGTACCAGTTACATGCAATATAAACCACACAGCGTTCTGGATGGTAACCTTTTTATGGTGAGACAAACTTTGTTTTAGCATCTCCCCAAGTTTTGCCCGAGTTAGCATATCCAAGCTGAACAAGACGAGTAATTTGACAAACTTTTTTTTAATCTGAAAATGTGTTCTCTTTAACTAGAAAATTAAAGCATCCTGCATGAAACTACATTCTACCCTGGACGGCTGGGCATATTCATTTCAGAACGGTTGCCATTTTTGATTGCCTTTGAAGAAAGTCAACCCCCACTCTTGAAGCTTTCAAACACACAACCAAATTAATGAGTCATAACTTTGTTATGCCAAAACTGCATCGCTGTGTACAGTAACCAAAGCCAGCACAGTCGGAAGGAGTTTGAAAAAACCTTTTAAAAAAAATCACATCTAAACATGGCTGGGATTCGAACCAGGGCCCAGAAATAGAACAAAAACACACGGAAAATAAGTGACGAAGTCTTGAACATCTTGAGTGGTGCATTTTATGAATGAGATTAGTCAAACAAAGCCAAAACAGCAAAAGAACACGAGTCCACCAATCGCTGAATGTTAGTAGGAGTAAAATAAGTATCACACAGAAAATCTGGAGACAGTATCATGCCTAGAATTTTTTTTTTTGCCGTTACCAAAAAAACTGGTTACGGGGGTTACAGATTGGAAATAGAATGCAAACAAATATTTGGTTTTCTCTAGATGCGTGTATCTTGTTTTCCCAATTCACAAAGCAATAATAGTCATAAGTGTGAAAGCGGTGTGCAAGACGAGTACCAATAGAATACGTAATTGACATAAGATGAGGAACCACACTTAGGGGAAATGTAAACAAAATCCTGTAAACAGAAAATATTCAATCGTAAAATAAAAATGAAAACAGATAAAAGAAAAGTCAGTAAAACAAAACCAGATTATCGCAAGGAATGTTTGCTAGAAGTCTCCCTGAATCCTCCAAAATCCTCCTCATGCAAACTCATTGGACATCAGGTCCTATGCAGGACCAGCTGGCTTCGTCCTTCCGAAATCCTACTAAAATATCCTTCAAAGCCTTCCTGGTTGGATTTTGAAGGATCTAGGAGTGTTACGGTTAAGTGCTGCTCCAAACGTTAGTTTACTCAACGGGTGCAAGTTACGGTATTTTGCGGAACGCTGACGTGTTTGGATACATACCACACCGGGCGATTCTAGCTGGGCCGGGGTCGGAGTGGGCATCTGTGGGCCCATTGGTCGATTCTGATATGACATAGTCAGCTAAATATAACACACATACACGCCAGCAAGCGACATTGCATTAGCATTGCACCGAGGAACTGACAGACTTTCAACAACTATCTGTTAATTTTCGTCTAAAACATTTCATTTATCACAAACTTTTAATACACAAGCAATACAAATTTGAAATTAAAAAATAAAGATCATTCTTCAATGAATATCAAGCACAAAATGCTCTATTCACTACGCATTTTCGTTCTCTGCAAGACTTTAAAATATAGTTACTCACTTCATGCATTAACTTGTTTGAATTAGTTTAAGTGTTCCAATGTCATACTCATAATAATTAAGTGTCATTATCTAACTGTTTTCACCCATTCTTAACTTTCTAACACACTGCTCACATTTCAACGGCTACATTTTTTTGCTAAACCATTCTATTATCAGATGAAAACTATTTCTAAAACAGTTAAACTTTCATCAACTCAAGATGCTTTAATCAGGGCAAAGTCCACACAAAATGCAACTAATATATGCAAATTATCTGAATGACTTACATAATCAATTCACAATAGCAAGCTCACTTATACATGTATATGACAGGAAAAAAAGCAATTTCTCCCACTGGCAAAGTAACAGCCAGGGACAACTTACCTGTGGTTTAAACATGGTGGTATCAAAGTCGGAACCCCAGGTGCTCAGTGTTGGCTGCATAGGGGTGGCACCCCCGGGTGGGTACACAAAGGAATTACCCATCATGCTTTGCTGCAACTGCTGTTCCTGGGAGCTCTCTTGATTGGCCTAAAAATGAGATCAATTTGCATATCATCGTTCAAAATTAAATGGAATTGTCACCGAGTAAAAGTCACTTTCAGTAGGCAAACTGTGAATTTCAGGCCTAAGTTTCAGCAAAACAAGAATGAAATAGCGAATTTGGGTAGAATTCTGTTTGTTTTATTTTAACCAGTTATATATAATTCAATAAATCAAGTAAGGCTCCCATGACGACACATAGGGCACAGATTCAATCAAAAATTAAAAAAAAATAATAATAATAAAATTGTTCCAAAATACCTCTTTCACCCAACTCCATTTGAACTATTTGAAGTTGTTTCTCACTACATCAAAATCAAGTTTTGTAAGATTCTGGGCATATTTTGACAAGGAATTAATCATTCAAAGTCAAATGACTAAGGAGGATTTCAGGGTCAATTTTGCATGGTGCATGTTTTTAAAAAGCTTCCGTTTCATGAAGTCGATTTGTGATTTTGAAAATGAAATGAATAGTACACAGATTTTTACCTTCGCCTGTTTCTTGAAAGCCTAAAATCCAGGCCACAAATGAACGAAAAAATCACACGGGATGACACATGTCCAATCAATGCAGGAAAGATGCGACCAGCAACCAAAGAAAAAACATGCAAAGAAAAGGCAAATTGCAAAGTAATATATGACAAACATAACAGCGTGAAAATGTCTTGCAATAACAAACAAAAAAACAAAGCCCCTAATCTACAGCAAAAAAAATGCAAAAGGCAGCAACTAATGTCTAACAGGGATTGTGCAAACTATGAAAACAAATTTACATTCTATAAGGTACTTTATCACACTTTGTTTCAACATTGGCTATATCCTATTACTTGAAGCCATTAAAATGAATAAGGCTAGGGCTACAGAAGGTCTGGATTCCTGTTGGTGGCTTGAATGTATGTATGGTAGCAAAGCAGGGAACCTGACTGAGCCACAGCCTGAATTCATGCACCCATGATCTCTGAAAATGCTAAATGTGAATAAACCCAATCAATTCTTCAAGCTAATGCAAATAAAAATGTCAAGTTATCAAATTTTTGGAGGCAAACTCATCATTGGCATAATCGCAAGTTCCAGAAATCCCTCTTTATTTGCATTTTGCAAGAAGAATGGACAACCTTGTTAACAGGCATGCAACTGGGAAGTCACACAAAAAAGAGGATATTCACATTTTTCCAAGACTTTGTACAGTGTTTTTCTATTTTCAATGGCACACATTGGAAGTGAAAAAAGAGGAAATCAGCTGATCCGAGGAAAAGTTGCATGCCTGTGTTAAGCAGCTAATAATCTAACAAAAAAGCACAAATAATTTAACAAAAAAGCAAAAAATAGCGGTGAAAAAGAACTATGATTCATGTAATTTGACATACGCATCAAAGTTGATCTACTTGACAATGGTTGCATGAATGAGTATCTTTACGGAACCAGGCTACCACGATTGTGAAAACACTGGTTACTGGTTACCGACAGATGTTTGTATAACAATATACAGCGGGGAACCAGGACTGGGACAATGACATCTTCAAATATTTCACATGCCAACCACTGTTAGCTGATGATTCTTGAATGAACTTGCTCTTCAGTGTAGCATACGGCGAAACTAAAAATACAAGCTTGACCCAAAATATTGCTTTGCATTGACGAAATAAACAAAAATTGTACCATGACGGTGGCAAGTTTGGCTTTGACTCGCTCCATTCGCAGCGTCTTCGTCGTATCCAACTCATCCTTGAGGTCTCGCTTGGCCTCAAACAGACTCACGAGGGCGTCCTCCGCCTTAGCAACACCGGGCCCTACTTCCGTCTGCTCTTTGTCACCAGAGGCTGACTTAAGACCCAAGTCCAACCGGGCAACTAGGATTTCCCATCAGAAAAAAAAAGTATTCTTACAAATTTCATTATAATTTCATTAAATTGCGACAAAATTAAATTGGTTTCAAAGAAATTCCTTATAATAAAAACCAGGGATAGTTGATGAAACAGCTCCAAATTCCTAATTACACAACCCAAAATTGGCAAATCTGGGTACAGTAAAAGAAAATTTTTAAAAATCCCAAAATTTAGAGAAAACATTGGAAAATGAGTATTCAACATTTCTCTCTTTTCATGAAAAAAATTGTCGTATCTCTGCACATTTCAGACATTTTGTTGATATTTCAGTCTGTTGGTTTTTGAATAAAAAGCAACATTTATTATTTATTGACCGACCTTTGGCATCATAAATGTAGACCAGGACCGGATGTCCCTCCCCCCTGGAACAGAATGCTACCATGTGTTCACAGGGATGGTACGTGACGGCCATTACTGGGTACTTGTAACCTAGGCTGGAGTACACAGCGATTTGGTCTCCTGCACCAACAAAAAAAAACACAAAGTCAGAATGAAATTAGTCTACATTTCTGAATCTCGTTATGATGTAAGTTTAAGATATATTGTCTATACTATCTTTTGAGTTTCGTACTGAAAAATATAATATTTTTGCTTCATCTGAAATTTTTCCAACGACACAAATTCGGCGCACGATAAATAAATGGAATAATAACTTTACAAAATTTCTAATCATTTGCGGCCCAACATATCAATAATGGAGGGACTTGAACCAGTCTATTTGAAGGGCAAATCAGACCCCAAAAGCAACAAAAATTAATGCTAATTTTTCCCAAGGGTTGCAGAAGCCTCAGCTAGAATATAAAGTTGGTAGTTCGTAAAAATAAATCAAAACAAATGAGAACTTTGTTAAGAGAATTTGTTTTGTTTTTTAAGAGTACAGAAAATGCGAACTTCGAGACTTACAAAATCCTACGAAACAAGCCTAACGAATTGTGTAGACAGACTAACTTGAGCCTGCACTGACCTGTGTCTGTGTTCCAGACATAAGCCTGTCGGTCCTCACTCCCTGAGATGACAAACGATCCACATTCAGTCATCGTGCTCCGGACATGCTCACGGAAATTCAAAGCACCAAGATATCGCTGCATGACGGTGAACCTAAACAGATACAAAAACCAAAAATGAACTGAAATAGTAGAACAAACGAAATTTGACCAGTTAATATTAGTTGCGAGTACCCTTATAAGCCCACAGCAAGACAATCCCTGGTTTAAAGACAAAAATAACTCATCTTTTACTTTTGAAGTTATAAATACTTTCGAAAAAGAAACCATTTTACAGGATAGAAGAGCAAAATCGAACATTTTGACACAGTGACTGAGTTTTTTGCAATTTGTGGGCATTATTTCAATATTATTTCATTATTTCAATGCAACTCCAACAATAGCCTAATGCAATGTACTTAAATCAAATATCTAATTTTGATCAAATTTCTTGTGACCCCAACTTACAATCTTAGGTCCATCATGCGTAGGTTGTTGTCTCGTCCATGGATGAGCAGTCGACGGCCGCTTGGGTGGACCTCAAGACTGTTGATGGTGACTCCTTCCAGCTCCTTCTCATTGATGACTTTCTCTACTGACCACCTGTCCGGAGAACCTGCCAAAGATTGCAATAAAAATGTCAGCACTATGTCCTAGACATAAAGAAAATATCCACAAGCATTCAGTGTGCATGTATTATGTATTGAAATAGCAGAACTACGTACAGACATTCCCCTGTACAGAATAGACTCTTCCTATTCAGAAACCATCTTGGAGGTTCATGTAATTCAGTTATAAAAATATTTTAATTATTTAAAACTTTAAGGAAAGGGCAGAACACTGCATGGCACAGCACCATTCTTTGGACAAAAACACACAAACTCAGGCACACTACAAAAATGGCGCTGCGGTATGTTTTTATATTTCCATCAAGGCAACGATATGTACAAATCACACAGTGTAGGCCTACACATTTTTCACATTGCAAAGTCTGTACAAAATGCAAGAAAACTTTTTAAATTTTGTGAAACTTTTGATGCATGGGGTGACTTCATGATAACATTTATACAGCTGTATGGATGAATCTCATTTTTAAAAGGTCATGACGTCATGCACAACAATTTGCCAAAATATTTGAAGTACATGGCAGTAAATCTAGCAGCAACATGTACATCTATAATTACCAACACAATTTTGTACCTTCAGCCAAGTAAAAACACTACAATGCCATAACCTTATTTCATTGGTTGAAAAAAAAAAACCTAAATAATTTTATTGAATTTGTGCATAAGCTAAAGAGGGCACTGTTTTCCTAACAATTAGGGGCTTCAAATTCACAGCCAAGTTCAGGCGAGGGCAATTAGTCGACTAGTGGTTGGGTTTGTGACGTATATTACGCCTGCGCACAAATAGCAACGTAGCAACTTAATAGCAACTTAGTCCAATCATTCTACATTCGAGCGAACCTAGTCGAACAATGGTGAACTATCCGCTCCGTTCACAAGTACCCCCTCACCGGCAAAGAAAGTACAGTTAGGGGTGACCAAACGACGCTATCTTGCCTGACTGCAACATTTTGCTACGTAGCGCGGCCGCACAGCGTGTACATAGTACAAATCCCCTGGTGTACATGCGTCACACACAAGGAAAGGTGCGCGCGCGTCAAACAGCGAAATGTTTGTGTCCCGCCCATGGGACGTCGTTGATAGGTAAAAGGAGCCCTCTTTTGTTGGCACACGGAGCCCATAGTTCACGCCCAAACTTGCTCAACAGAGAATTTATGCACAGATTCAATTGATGGCAGTAAGAACACCAGCGTGCTTTGCATGAGAAGAATGAAAAACAATGATTTATACATGATAGTGTAAACAGAAATCCTAGTCTACAATTCTTTTTCAACAGTCACAAAACAGTGCACAGCAATTTGCGACTTTTAATAAATTCAACAAGTTTCTGGATGAATTGCTTGAAAAATATGTTTGTTTTTTTTCATTTTTGAAATTCCTACGCAGGTGATGACAAGAAACAAGTCTACAATGCGTCATGGCTCTTCTACATGTTGACAAAATCACTTTGGCAGATTTTCGGCCAAGCAGAAAACATGACATGTTATCTGTACCTGTCTCCTTTAAAATCCCACTGGGTTTTTGTTCGAGTTGCTTTGGTCTTGCCCCTGTGTTCCCCACCGATTCGCTGGTCGATCCAAATTTCACTTGCCGGTCTAAGTAACAACACGGCTAGAACTGTCAAGCTTAGGTTTTGTACCCAGACACACATCAAGAAATTATCACTCAAGTTTCTTCTTTGGTACTTACCCACAACCTCACAAATATTTTGCCAAATTCTTGGTTTGATTAAAGCGAATAATGACATTGGTCTTAATAATAAAGACGTCAGGCCCATCAATATTCAAAAGCTTCTTTACATCATACAAGTTCAACTGTTTCAACAGAGTAACTTCTACTAGGTTCGTTAGGGGTAATTAGCTTAAGTAATCTTTTGTATCATAGAACAAAGGGGTTTATACAAATAAAGGATAGTTAAATCACTGAGGTCATGTTAAGGTCAAAGGTCATTACCAACCTGAGGTTGCAGCTTTGGCCATAACAGCTGCATTCCACTTGATGATGACTCCGACGCTGTCGCCCGAGAACATGGTCTTGCCGTCCCGCGAGAAACAGAGGCAGTTGACGAAGCCTTTGTGTCCCTCCAACTCTTGAAGCAGCTGTGCATGTACAATTAAATGAATATAAAAAATGAAACACTTGTGAAGACTTGGGGGACTTGCGAGGACTTGTGCTGACTTGTGAGGACTTGTCCAGACTTGTGATTACTTTTGAAGGAAATGTGAGGACTATTGAGGATGTATGGGGGATTGTCAGGACTTGTGGGGACTTGTGAGGCTTGTGGGGACTAGTGAGGTATTATGAGAGCTTGTAAAGACTTGCGAGGACACGATGTGATTTGTGAGGACTTGTGGGGACTTGTGATGACTTTTGAGAACTTGTGAAGATTAGTGAGAACTTGTGAGGGCTTGTAAAGACCCTTTGAGGACTTGATAAAACTTGTGAGGACTTGTGGAGACTATGGGGATTTGTGTGAACTTGTGATGACTTTGGAGGACTTGTGAGCATTTGTGAGGACCTCTGGTACTTGTGAGGTCTTCTGGGGACTTATGAGGACCTCTGGTCCACACTGCAACTCACCTCTCCAGTCTGCGAGTCGTTCTTCAAGTTCCAGACTCTAACCACATGATCATATCCACCGCTGACCACCAGATGATCAGCCTGGGGATGGAACTTGGCCGTATAGACAAACGCTGGATGAGGAAAGACCTTCTCAGCAGCACTGTCGGGAGTCTCGAGGTTCCAGATACGTGCTGTGCCGTCTGACGACGCCGTCAAGATCTGAATGTCGTTGGCTGCCCAACAGATGTCGTAGATTAAGCTGTAGTGGCCGGGAAACTGGCACTTGAATCGTCCGGAGGGGATCTGTTCATAGTCAAAACGGTTCCAATTTTGGAATGTGTTATCCAGCTTCTTTTGTTCAAAGAAAAGCATGAATTCTGAGTGAAAAAGTATTTTTAAAATGAAGACTTACCTCAAAGACCAGTATTGGGTAGCCTTCTCTGTCTTTGCATCCACAGGCCAAAAACCTGGAATAGGAATTGTGAAGTAATAATCAAAATAAGGTGACAATTAATAATCCATCGGAATCTATTTAATAGCTGTTAAAGATTTTTTAAAATAATTTTAAGAATATTTAGGACAGTTGTTTGAGCTCATAGGTGATCAGTCTTCTGCGACATCTGCAAAATGCATTTGTTATTGTCAACAATATCAGAGATTCTTTAATTTTATTCTTTTTTGGGGGCCGATATAAGCAAGAGTTGAATAAAACAATATTTTTTTTACACCAACGTTGTTCTCCCATTGGAATATAAATAAAATCTTGGCAGTATAACAAAGGGGATTAAGCCTAGCTACAGCAACCAAAAACAATGCAAACAACGATTCATACTACCTCCCACTGGGTGAAAACTTCAGCACAAAGCATCCTTTCTTGTCTCCGGCCAAAGTCAGACTGAGTTTGTTTGGGATGCGACACATCTGACCAGGAAGGCGTGTCCAGTTGGTGGGGGCTTTCGTGTCTTTACTAAAAAAAAAAAAAAGCAGCACACACAAAAAAAAGCTTACAGACTTTTCTTGCCATCAAATTCTGTAAAAAGAAAAAAAAAAATCCACTAGATTTTATTTACCTGCCTCCCTATTTGATAGGATTTTCTTTCTTGACAATAAGCTAAGAACTACAAAAAAAATCAATACATGTTATTAAAATCCTAGTTTACTAAGCTAAATATTTTGGCTTATGCAATTTACTTGCTAAGTAAGAACCAACGGAGAACCACTACATACTTAATATTCACTCTATGACATCTTGGCAGGTAACCTATTTTTAAGCAAACTTGTTTTCTCCATCCAATATAGACAATAAAGAAATGCCTGTAGGCAGACAGAATACTCACTTTAATTTAGTTCCCCAGTTGATGGATTTCTTCAGTTCACTGTACGTCATCTTTCCTTGCTCCTTTTCAGATAAAACAGAGAAATTGTCTTATGATACTAGATTATGTAGCTCTTAAAACAATTAAGAATTCATAACAAAATTTTGTGAACAATTACAAAGAAAGTGTCTACTCCATTACGACACAGAAGAAAAAGATTTGCCCTCCGCGAGGGCGCTCTGTGCAAAGTGTCTATTGAATACATGCTAAGCTACATGCTAAGCTATTCTATTTCTTACTTTCTGTGTGGCAAAGAGGGACCTGACTGCGGGCTCAACCTTGTCTGGTGTCTTGACTGCTTTAACTGTTGCATACAAGGTAGAGGGGTAGGGCTGCCGACTAATGTTCAGCCACCACTGGTACACCTGTTACCAACAACAAAAAATTGTTTGGAATACAACTTTTTTTACAACTAACATTTTCTGATATTTTCTTTTGTCAACAAAACATACTATGCTTTTTAAATGACTTGGTTCAAACGCTTTGGCACCATGAATTGCACAAAAAATGGCCTGAGTTCTTACATCAAGTTGTCCTGGTTTTGCCTTGAAGCTGAATGGAGGGTGGAACAGCTGAAGGCGAACTTTCTTGTCAGTGTTTGGAACACTGTTGGCACCAACAACCTGAAGAAAAAAACACAGTAAACTAAGAATGTTGAAGATTAGACAAGAAATAAGTACATATTACACAGACCTCATTTTACAATTTAAAAAAGTAAACCTAAACGTAACTTAACAAATTCTGGTAAAATTGTTAAAATAACCCAGAACTATTTTTAGAATGGCCTGACCTTGAGAAACGCCCAGGCTATCCTGTGCCATCCTCCATCTCCTTTCAACATCTTGGTTTTGGTAGCGGCGACGTTCATGCTGACAAAATCAAGGATCTATCTCACACACAAAAATACAACAGTAATCAAAAAACAAGAATTATTTCAGTGCATTCTAAACTATACCTTCCCTTCTCATCCCAATTCAAAACCAGGGCCTAATTTCATGGCGCTGCTTAACAGTTAGCAGGAAAGATGTGCTTACAATAGCAGAAAATCGTTCTAACCTTAAGTACTATTTCACGGCGTGGATGTGCTGACGGTTGCGCGCGCATATGAAATTTCTATTCTACGTCACTGATTTAAGCAACATTTTCCTCTGGGGTTAAGCGTGCTTTTGCTGTGCTTATGCTTACGGTCTCCATGAAATAGACAGAGGCTTAGTTAGCAGAAAATCGTGTGCTTAGCAGCACCATTAAATTGGGCCCAGGGGCCAATGCGCTGCCAAACAGAAACTATTGCTTAGTAAATTTCTATGCTAAGCAGAAATCAGCTGAGTACCAGTCACAAGCAGTATGAATCCCGTGACATTTTGGCTGGTAACCTGCTTTTGCTAAGCAGATATTTTCTGCGCTTAGCGACATTTCTGTGCTTATCAGTTTCAGTAAATTAAGGCTGTGTCCCAAATTACTTGGCTACGGCTGGAATTACACATGTGCCTATGGAAGCGGCTACATCCACTACCCATAGACCTGTGTGTGGTTTTCGTAAATTTGGTAAGCAATATTTTGCCGGTTAGAAAGCTCATGACATTGGGCCAATTATATCAGGATTAGATGAGAAATGGATAAGTTAATATATTGCGTACCTCAAAAAAGATGATAGCCTTAGGTGCCGTTTCTTCAGACTGGATGAGGTAGTTATAACTCTCGTTGAAGATGAGTTGTTCATCCCAGCAAGGTATTATAGACCTGTTGGAAGAAAGGATTATAATTATGAACATTAATTTTCTTTCAAATCAATTTACTATTGGTAATTAAAATTCTTATTAATAACATTTGCTCAGAGGTAAATTTTCAATTTCAATACTTTGGTATTAAAGCTGCATTCTCCGTGCTATTTTCGAGCTTCCTCCCAAAATATAGATTCCTTTTCCAAATTGCCATTTTTTTTAGCAATACAAGTTATTCACTTTTGCATGAGACATAATTATATGGAAAAAGTTGGCCCATGTTTAGTTGTTGAATTCTTTAATTTTTTGTCAAGTGCCGTAATTCAAAATGTCAACAAAACCAGGAATTCAGGTAGAAAAGTGGGAAGCAGACCGCCTATTATTCAACATTGTGGGTCAACCTCTAGTTGGATGGGAGCTCTTGGAATTGTTCTTCATCAATATCTTCTCGACTTACTTTCTTTTCTTGAAGTCGTAGGGTTGGGTAAGTACTGGCAAGATGTAGTCCACTTTGTCGTTTTGGTTCTCATAGTATGACGTCACAGCACGATCACTACACAATGAACAAAAAATCATCATCTTGACTTCAAATAGCAATACCCTAAAACTTACTTGATTAAATAAAATAAATTTTATTAAATTTCGTTTTTCAAATTCAGTCCAAGTTTTCAAATTCTAGTGTCAAAAAAGAGAAAAACGATCAAAATGACTTCAATAATATAAAGATACGAAAATTAATTCTTGAACTGATTCAGTAACAAAATTCTACAACCAAATTAATTAATGTTAACACAAAATTCTCATGTCAATATTCTCTCTCGACAATCTTCATCGTTTTACTGTCGCATAGTATGAAATTGGAACGTACAGTTTTGATTTCTTGAAGTAAGCCCCGGTGTCCATATCAATGATGTGCACCCTGACCAGCGGGTGGGCGATGTAAAGGTCAGTCTTGAGCCGATCACTACGGTGGACGGTCACTCCAAACACTCGGCCGTCGTCCTTGGGTTGTTTCTTGCGTTTCTTCTTCTTCGTGCTTTTGCTGCCTTCAGCTTCTTCATTTTCGTTGGTGTCGGGTTTGTCGTCTTCAGATGCTGTGAATAAATAATCAATCACTAATGTTAAAACAAATTACATTGTAAATATTTTTGGTTCCAGAGAGCCAGCCAAGTGTCATCTTTGTACCTATCTGACTCAACATCTCACCGACGGACTGGCACTTGTGAGCCGGGCAGTGCTATCATATAGGATTACCCTGTAATGAGTGGGCTAAATCAGACCCAGTCAATAGCCATTCTGAATCAATTACATAGAACTTTCTTCGTTCTGGGACCAGATTAATTAAGCTGGCATTATAATGTTATAATATATGCTTAGTTTTTCTCAAAGAAACTAGTTTAATCGCAGTGATTTTTGTAATGGTTGAAAGAAATTCTGGGAATAAATTCTGCAAACATTTGTCTATCAAGATTATTCCTTGCAAGCTTAAGAATGCAAGTCCTAGGAAGCGAATGAAAACCACGACAAATCTTTGAGTTATGACCATGCATCTTGTTAAGTATACAAGTTTTAAACAGAAATGTAAAGAATATGCACCAAAGATGGATCCATCCCTTCCAGGCCATACTTATAAATACTTGGCCAAACATTTTCTTAAAACAAATTTTCTCCAAACTTTTCAAAGTTCTACTCAGAAACGTTGGTAGGCCTTTCACTTTACTTCTAGAAAATAACAAAAAAGTGGGAATTAACCTGTCTTCTTTTTCTTCTTCTTCTTTCTGGCAACTTTCGTGTTTTCCTCGTTTCCTTCCTCAGTGATCTCCTTCACCGGTTCCCCGCTATCCGCCTCATCATCTTCTGTTGGACTCCACACAGCTTCCTCATTCTCTTTGTCCTCCTCCTGCTGGGTTACCGACTTCTTTTTCCTGCGTACTTTTTTGGGTGTGTCCTCCAGTTCTTGCATTGTTAAAGGGCCACTGCAACAAATACAACAAAACTTTGTTTAATTCATTCATATAATTATATTTACAGGCTTGCTTTTGTATTTTTGAAGGGAGAAACCACTTTAAAATTGCACATTGCACTTGTTCTTGCAAGATTTTAAAATTATAAAAACAAACATTGAAAGCCTCACCTGTCCATAATGTCACTTGACTCAGCCTTTTTCTTCTTCTTTTTCAACTTCTTAGGGCTCTCAGCCTGGGTGTCTTTTTCCTCATCGTCCACGAATCCTTTGTTCTCCACCCCCTTTTTGGGCGGGGGCTTCCGTCCCTTCTCATTGGTCAGGTTCTTGTGGAAGCGGGGACTGTCGCTTCCGTCGTAGGTGTTGGCCAAGATGGAGGGATCTTCAGATGGGTCGGTGTCCTTGCGGAGATCGGCACCTTGCTTCAACGACTCCAACTGCAAAAGAGAAACAACACAAAACTGATTCACAAGGAATGGTAACGATTACGAATACGTCTTAGTATAATCAACTGAAGTGTCTAAAATTGAGTTACTTGTGTTTAAAGACAGATTTCATCAAATAAATAGGTGAATTCAAGAGATTGATAGGTGAAGGGTAAACTTACCACAGAATCTGTTGTCTGGGATTTGCCTTTCTTCCCTTTCTTCTTTCCTGACTTTCTTTTCTCACTGAAAAGAAGTGTTACAAAACAAAAACCTCTCTAACATAGACCATGACAAACTGGCCCCCCCCCAAACAAAAAATCAAGTTGCAGCAATAAAATGAAGTTGTTAATGTAGGTAGATTGTACAGATTTAAAAAACTTTTTAGAGGGATGGGGATGAGGGGGTAACTGCGTTTCACCTGTTGTCCCTCGTCTTGATCAACGTCTGATATATGTGAACAATGAAAATGTTATTGAAATCGGAGACGATTTTAGAAATTGTGACATCATTTCGATCAGAAATGTGGACTAAGTTTCTGAAGAACTACCAGAAGGCACCCGCTGAATGGTCAGAATCTCGAGGTCAAGACACAGTCTTGTTTTGCATATTAATCACCGAGTCTGCTTGCATATCATACACCCTTCAAGTGCAAGAAGATATTCTAGACTCCGGGGGGGGGGGGGGGGGGGGGGGTGGATAGCATAAGGAACATTTCTTACTCTGTCGTCTGCTGCATGGCTGCCTGCAAAAGCTTGTCAAAGCTGGTTTCATTTGTTGCATTCTGATCAGACTGAGGAGCTAGAAACGTGAAAAAAAAAATTAATCCAATAAAATTAATCTATTCAAATGAAAGAATTTCCCAAATACTATGACTCTGTGTGAATTTATACTTCATTCTAGAAGCTGTATCAGATAACTCCTTTCAATTGTAAATAAATCTAAATAAGAATTAAGAACAAAAATTTAATCTGGAGGTTGTCATGCACTTACACAGAGGTCTTTCATCATCATCTTCAGTCTTGGGCAGCCTTCTTGATTTCTTCTTCACTTTTCCTGAATATATCACATCATCGTGAGTTATAAAATGTTAGATTAAGTTACATCTTGAAACATTTTGTAATATTTTAGTTCATAACCATGTAAAAATTTTTTTTTAAAGAAATCAGTTTCTCATCCCTGCCCGCTATCATTTTCCTGCCCTTTTTTTATTCATACATTTGCAAAAGGGCCTATACTACTGCCTTTTTTTTCTTCAAAATATTGTGTCAAGATGTTGATTTATTTGTTTCCAACAAAATCGTAGCATGTAGAATGAGAGCCTGGGCGATGTATCGTGAGTACGCACAGCTCGCTGAATCGCAAGGCACAAACTGCGCAAACTTGATTTCTACCCCAAGAAACAATTCAAAATTGCAAAACGGGTGTTATTAGAAAGAATTGAGAAAAGTCTGCTTTTATTGTAAAGGTGATTTTTGAGCAATAAAAAACATTTTGGACTCTAATTTGATCAAAATAAAACAGGGGCCCTACACTACACAATTGCCCTAAAAAAAAGAGTAAAAATCCGGAACTAGGGTTAGGAAAAACGACTGAACATGCTGTATTTAAACATATTAGGCCTACTGTTAAACATTTAAAAAAAAAATTAACAATACAATGCTTAAAAATAATCAGATATGCTTAGTATTATAATCAGATCAGCAGACAGGCCTATGCTAGCGCTAGGAATGCCATAATGCTGTCACGCCCCAACTATCGCATCGGTCCCAACTATAGTTGGGACTGTCCCAACTATAGTGCGGCAGTTGGGTCGGCCCAACTATAGTTGGGACGGGAGTTGCGCCGGATGCTTCATGCTTGATAGATCTTGTTGGATTAAATGTTCCGCGGCGCTGGCACCGTGTATTCGTCGTGCATGCATGCCGCGCCGCAAGGCTGGCCGGTCACGTGGTACTGCCTAGTTGGACGAGTTGTCCAGCTGCTGGGTTTTATTATCCAGCAACATTTTGCAAAATTCAAAGATTGCCATGGCCAGCCAACTATAGATGGGCCCCACCCATAGCTAATGTCAAAGGTCCCAAGTCGGACATGTAAGCAGAGCTGTAGGGAATGTTTTATAATCGTACATCAATGTAAACTATAGTTGGGACTGCCAAATAAAAATATTGCGGTGGCCCAACTACAGATGGTCCCCACCCATAGATCATTTCATTGGTCCCCAGTAAAGTCAGATGTGTATTAGAGTTAATTGTAGGGAATGTTTTATAATCGTACAACAATGTACACTATAGTTGGGACCGCAACATAAAAAGATTGGGGTGGCCCAACTATAGATTCGCCCTAGTCCGAAAATTTGGGACTCTCAATACTGTGTATGAGAGTCCCAAAACTTAAGGTATCCATATCGTGCAAAACTTTGTGCTGCATGATAAAACCAGTGTGAATCAAATTTGCAAGCTTCTTACTCACTACAGTTTCTTCAATAATTCCCGAAACTTCTGCCTAGCAAAGTTGCTGTTGTGAGCATTGCATCACCAAAAATTCAGCTTTTAATTCTAATTTTGCAGAGAGTTATCAAAATGCATACGTGAAACATCACGTTGATGTGTACTGCAATGCATTGTGCAAAAAGACTCCTCAGCTATAACATTTTCATCGTGTAGATAAAACAGCGCCCTCTTGTTGATCTGAGTGAATGCAAAATGTTTCATTTTTTAGCAGAGGGCGCTATGTTCATTTGGCCATTGATTAAAAAACAAGTAAGCTGCAAGGCTCTTCCTACACCTACCCAGAATACATTGGGAATCACACATATATTTCCAGAGCATGGAGAATGACGTGGGAGGTTTTTGAACTGCCAAAACCTTGCCTTAAAATTGGATTTAAGGTCTCAAATTTTGCAGGTGACATGCTTGCAACTATAGCATTTTGATGTATGTGTTGTGTGGGCATTAATTAGCCAAATGGTGAGTAAAAAAACGTCAGTAGTAATTTTGCACGTTTTTATGCACTCACGGTCCCAGTCTGGATTCGCCCCATCAATAGCTAATTTCAGTGGTCCCCAGTAAAGTCAGACGTGTATCAGAGCTGTAGGGAACGTTGTACATCAATGTAAACTATAGTTGGGACACCGCAAAATAAAAAGATCGGAGTGGCCCAACTATAGATGGGCCAGCCCAACAATGGAACTTACAGTTGGGACCGTCCCAACTATAGTTGGGACAGGCCCAACTATAGTTGGGCCAACCCAACTGTGGAACTACAGTTGGGACAGGCCCAACTATAGTTGGGACAGGCCCAACTATAGTTGGGACCGATGCGATAGTTGGGGCGTGACAATTGTCTATTGATATTTTGCGCAGCTGATGCGCGAATAATAAAACGAACGGTAAGTTTACCTTTGGTATCCATCATTTACCCTCAACAGAAACGACGATCCATACGTCCGCAGAGGTATCAATCAAAATAAGACAACTGAAACGCAATCAGTTACAAAGAGGAATAACCAACGTCAACGATCGTTGTTTAACGACAGGAATGAGACAGGAATGTTTACAATCAGCGGCCATGTTTAAATTCATTTGTTAGCGCAATGGTAACCGAAATATATAGATCCAATGTTTTGATTGGTTACAATTTAACCAGAAAAATCAAAGTGATTTTATTATTTTACCAATAAAGGTAAGAAATAGAATGTATTTCTTCCCGAATACACATATGATGATTCAACAAATTCCATTAAATAAAATCAATCTTTTATTAAAGTATTCAAATGGGAAAAATCTAATGTTTCTGTTGAATTCAAACAGCCAATCATATCTTGAAGAATTCCTGATATAAAGAGAGGTTGACACAAGTTATAGAGGGCGCTGTTGACTTTACCTTGTGGAAGCTGTGCATCCGTACGTACGTGCGGACTAGACTCCGAATTATCTTTTATTTACAGAAGATGCAGAAGATGTTAAACTTAAAGCGCAGGGTACACAATGTCTAGATTTGCTATCGACGTAAGTATCATTCTCAGAATGTAAACTAAATCCCAAAACTAGTCTCATCTGCTTAGGAGCAACTATAGAATGGAATGTCGGACACTTCGCCCCATTTCCACGTCGCCCCATGTCACGTCGCCCCTAACCACTTCGCCCCATCCCCACTTCGCCCCATTCCCACATCGCCCCATCCCCACTTCGCCCCATTCCCACTTCGCCCCATTCCCACTTCGCCCCATCCCCACTTCGCCCCATCCCCACTTCGCCCCAGCCGTTACATGCAAAAAAAAAATCTCATCTTTTTTTTTGGCTTAAAAAACAATTTCAACAGATTCACTAATTGCTAACCAACGGAAAGAAAGAATTAGCCCATCACCAAATGAACAATTCATAACCAACCTCTCAAGCTATAGGCTCTCCCCTACCGAGAAAAAAGCTTTAAGTAAAAGATCAAACTTTGTTCCCAACCCGGCTATACCAACCCGTCTCCCACTTATCTGGGGTGCGTTTTGGCGGTCATAACCAAGAATTGGTTCGGTGGTTTCTTGTCAGTGAATTTCTTCGGCAATTTTAATTGGGTTAGAATTACGCATGATCATGTAGTACTCAAATCCCCAAAACAATTAACCAAAGAGAAACCACCGAACCAATTCTTGGTTATGACCGCCAAAACGCACCCCTGAGAACGACAATACCTTTGACATCCTAATTTCACTGTTGGAGGAACCAATCTCATCTAAATGATGATATCAGACAAATTTTGACGGAACATTTTCCTCAAGGCAGTGAGTTCCTTTTAACTCACTGACCCATACCTACGGATTCTTTTGAATCCAGCGGCTGATGATTTTATTCACAAGCCAATAGGAGAGGCGTCTCTGAATGGGATAGAGCCATCATTTCTCTCATCTGTGTCTCGAGCACCTCATCAAAGAATTTGTTTTTTTCCTAAGTTTCTAGAATTGGGAGCATTTATTATCTGGGGTCTTTGGCAGTTTATTTGGTCTGCACCCCTAGCCTTCACCTTTTTTATACTACATGGGGCGAAGTGGGGATGGGGCGAAGTGGGGATGGGGCGAAGCGGGGATGGGGCGAAGTGGGGATGGGGCGAAGCGGAGATGGGGCGATGTGGGGATGGGGCGAAGTGGGGATGGGGCGAAGTGGTTAGGGGCGAAGAGACATGGGGCGACGTGGAAATGGGGCGAAGCGTCCGACACCCATAGAATGCAGGGCCACGCCGAAGCAAGGTTTTTTATTTTGCCTGGAGGCGTGGATGGAATAGGAGTAATAGATATGCAAACCTGCAAAAAAGTGCTAAGTACAGCGAAGGAATGCACTGCACTTGTCTTCAAAGCTTCTCATGAAGGATCGGAAGGGAGGACGTGCTTGTAAATGTGTTGGGGGCACTGTCTGGAGCGGCGGAGGCGCGGAGTCTTGGAGTCGCAGAATCGCGGAGACGCGGGGCACTGGAGTGGCCGCAGTGGCGGAGGCGCGGAGTCGCGGAGTCGCAGAGACGCGCACCGATAGAGGGCGCAATTCTCGGCGGAATCTTTTTGAGAACGAAGCATCCATATCCATTTTAAATGGGCGGGCCAATTAGGAAGGGAGGAGGGCGACAGGGCACTGTCTGGAGTCGTGGAGGCGCGGAGTCGGGGAGTCGCAGAGTCACTTTAATTGGGCGGGCCAATTAGGAAGGGGGGGGGAGGGCGACGGGGCACTGTCTGGAGTCGCGGAGTCGGGGAGTCGCAGAGTCACTTTAATTGGGCGGGCCAATTAGGAAGGGGGGGGGAGGGCGACGGGGCACTGTCTGGAGTCGCGGAGGCGCGGAGTCGGGGAGTCGCAGAGTCACTTTAATTGGGCGGGCCAATTAGGAAGGGGGGGGGGGAGGGCGACGGGGCACTGTCTGGAGTCGCGGAGGCGCGGAGTCGGGGAGTCGCAGAGTCACTTTAATTGGGCGGGCCAATTAGGAAGGGGGGAGGGCGACGGGGCACTGTCTGGAGTCGCGGAGTCGGGGAGTCGGGGAGTCGCAGAGTCACTTTAATTGGGCGGGCCAATTAGGAAGGGGGGGGAGGGCGACGGGGCACTGTCTGGAGTCGCGGAGGCGCGGAGTCGCGGAGTCGCAGAGTCGCTTTAATTGGGCGCGCAAATTAGGAAGGGGGGGGAGGGCGACGGGGCACTGTCTCTCAGTGGTGGAGGCGCGGAGTCGCAGAGACGCGCACCGATAGAGGGCGCAATTCTCTGCGGCTCCACGACTCCACGATCGATTTTCGGAGGTAGGTCGACTGCGGTTCCACGCCTCCACGCAGCCGTACGGAGGCGCGGATGTAGAGTAAAGTGGCCCTGCATTCTATAGTTGTACCTCTGCTTATATCATTCATTTCATTTTCAACTCAGTTTATTCAAGTTGAAAAATTTCATTTCTTATGTTATGAAGTTCCGAAAACATATTATTACACACCTTTCCAGTCCACGCCCCCCAAAAAGTACCCCACCCCGAATGGGCTGCCCAAAATTTCAGGGATTGGGATTGTTAGTAATGTTACATCATTACACCAATGATCTAGCGCATTGTGTAGTTGACCATTCCCGATCCCCCCCCCCCCCCCCCCCCCCCCCGGCACAACCTAAAAAAGTGAGATTTTTAGTTACAAAATTGAACTGTTGTCTTGTTGATCTTTTTTTCGAGGGAAAGTGATCCAGTTTTTGATGATGTTTCTATTTACTCTTGTGATCTATGGAGGTAGAATTCTACCTCCATGCTCGTTTCCAGGAGTTTAGCAAATTCTAAAAGTGTGATTACACATTTTTTTTGGTATACCACAGCCAGGCTCTGTTTCATCCTCTTAAGGAAGACAAGGCCATCACAGTAGCGTAATGCGTGGAAAACAGCTGAAGTCCGTCACAGGCCCATCGGCCAAATCGTACGCGACCTATAAGAACTGCAGTCCCCGTGTGGCGGACATACTGTGGGTCAACTGGGAAGGGGCTCGAGTGAACTACACAAAGAATGGACTGAAGCAGGGCTACAAGATGCACATGAACACTTATGAGGGACATCCCTGGATATTTCGAGATCATCATAGCGGGGACAAGCTTGTCTTTACCGCCGGAACGGACAGGCAGAGTCAAGAGGTGTTCTTTCCAATTCCAGTCGATGATCAACATCCACATGCCACCCAGGTCAACATACAGATACCAGGTGGAAAATGATAGCATTCATATTGATTGAGTTCAGGACCCATAGACGTTTTCACAGACACCGCCACATTAATTACCACATCACCACAAAGACGGCAATACCCATAAACCATTCCTTGTAAAGTTTTGTCTTTGGACTCATGGAAAATCATTTTGAGGAAATTACGGAAAGATTTCCATATACGAAGTTCACTCAACACTCTGTGTACAAACCCTATGAGAGTGGACTGAAAAATTCTAAGTGTTTTCTAAGAAAATGCTTGTATTTTCTCACTGCTCAAATTGACTTTGATGACATGAAATTGCTATCTGGGGGCTTGTTAGTCAATACAGAGGAAAATTAGTGAACTTCGCATATGGTAATCTTGCCGAAATGACTTCTGATCAAGCTATTTCGATCCCCCAAAATAAACCAGACTTAATGGACTACCCACCAAAAAAGTTAGATTTGCAGAACATTAGTTAATTATTATCTAGTGATTCATTTTTTTTCCTCTCCTTTTCTTTTAATTCCAGTGTACACATTACGGGAGAGATCGCTCCAAGTTGTCAGAAACTTTATCAAGGACAAATCAGATTTTGACAAATTGGAGATTCCTCTCGAGTTGAAGTCCCAGCTTGCCAACCCAGAAGACACTGTCGAATGGTGAACTACCTAACGATGCTTGCCAATGTGGCGATAACCTTCCACAAGTTTTCCTGTGGGTTCTTTTGGTGTCATCGGTTGAGACAAGTTGATGATGAAGTTACACTGAGGAATTCCTAGAAGCGGCGGAGTTGTGCCCAGCATCATCACCAAAGTCCGATAATTGTAGCCTGAAACGTTGTGTGTATGTTGGTACATAGGGGAACTGGTATACATCGAATGGAATAGAAAAAGGGGTAGGCCTGTATGTGAACTATTTATACACCAGTTTTACACCCCCCCCCCCCCAAAAAAAAACCCACAATTTTTTGGGGGGGCGTAATGATCATGCCAGTTTTTGTGAGTTATGCATCTTGCTGTCATTGCAAAATTGATCCAACCCTCAGAAACAGATTCTTTCAGAAAACAACTTCAGATGCAAATTGTTTCAGTGAAAATTGTTCAAATATCAATGTGTTCATCTGCAACTAATCCAGTAAATGGAAGTTAATAATATGTTATCTGCATTCCTAGGGCGTGTGACCTTGACCATTGTCAAGTTACCCATGGGGATATGGAAGAGTCCATTGTTTGCTATGTCCATGACTGTGAATCTGTTAGGGGACTGTGGCAAGTCTATTCTTTGTTTTATTGCTTTTCAAGGTAGGAATAGGTCAGCCGGAAAACAGACATCCCTGTAGTGCACTTCCTTAATGTCTATGTACATTATCCTTTGTACTTGACTTTCTGCATGAATAGGACACCTTTAAAGGGAATGTACATCATTGGCTTTTGCTGTAATTTTCAGAAATGAACTATTTGAGGGGTTAGTATAATAGCTCAAATATTGTTTAACTGACATGTTTGAAGTTTTGGGTTCGAAAATGCTTGAAAAACCAAGAAAAACAAAAATGTTTAAGTAGTCTGGTTCCTTGACTCCACTAAATATAAAATGGATCAATTTATAGATGTCGGAAAATTGTAAGGTAAGGGAACCAGTCTAGCTGGCCTGCACCCGTTCATGAACATGTAACCAATAGCAAACAAAATTTGGACTGACAAAATTGTAAATTTGGAGCAGAAGTTGAAAAATAGTTAGGTTTTTCCAACGGTGGTCGGCCGACCACCGTTGGAAATGTATAAACAAATACCATTTTCTTGAAAATGAATGGACACCAGGTGCCATAATTTTACAGGATGCTTTAGACTGTCATTTACCAACATTCTAGTAAGGTATTTCGTAAAAACTTGGTAGTTTTATTTTTCGATGTTTGCAAATGTTGTATTTTCCCTTTAAAGAATACAGAGTAAAAAATGCAAATGTAGACGTCATTTTTTTGCATTCAAATTGCCATATTGTATTTTACATGAGACTCACTGATACAGTAAGCTTAACACACAACTATTTTTTTTTAAATTTCACAAACCCAACAATGCAGAAAAATATATATTTAACTTTAAACTCTTGTTAAAACCAGTACAGATTCAGCCAATACACAGGGTGGCTGCTTTTTTTTGCTAGATGTCTAGTTTGCATGTTACAGGTACATGTACATGTTTGTATAGATCTATATAAATATAATATTGTGGATTAAAAATGCGAGAACTAATTGTATGCATTTATTGCCTGTAGGTGATAAACATATTTGAAAGTAGCCTTTCAATTAGTGACAAATTCCCGTGTTGTAAGTTTGTTTTGACCGTCAATCCTTGAAGATTTTTGAGACCCATTCTCATCTTGTCAGCCACCCTAACACACACATTTATATATCTCCCTTTGAAATGGCCATCCAAAAACAGCCCAAATTTACACACAGTACTAAAATACATTACCATATAATACAACCATCAATAAATATAAGTCTTGACGAAATTCTTCCACCAGATATCTTTTAAAAACGTTCAACTGTCATATAAACTCTTGTATTCATTACTAAAATTTAAATATATTGTACACACATAACATTACTCTTAAAAATAAATCCTGGGTAGTTTGGCTAGAAACATGTAAGGTGCCACTATGTTATTTACAATTTGAAAAAAAACTAAACTCCGGTGATTGCAGGACTTGCATCCTTCCAGTAAAAATGACAAGGCATTCATCTAATTCCTTCAAAAATGCAAAACCAAGTTTTGGATTTAAAAAACATTTCAGGGTAATTTGGGTTAGTATTTTCACACACAACAAAAACACTTCAGCCAATTTTAAAATAAACAAGAAATAACACAAGACATTTAAATTATACACAGACTATCAGGTTGAAAAAAAAATCAACCAACTCTATTATACACAATAAAATGTGTTTTAACATTGCAGTGTTTGGGGCAAAACCACTGGGCATTGCTGGGTGCATGGAGTACTGGCTGATTTTGAAGTCTGTTTTAGATCTGTGTTTGACAGGATCAAATCGACAGCTTCTATAACATCCTGAACCACAAGATGACCATCGGCTTCCAGGGCTTTTCTTGGAGCTATACCAGTCAGCACGCCTGAAGAAAAAAAGAAGAAGTGGAATTTGAAATTAATATATAGCACTGTAACGCATTAGCACCTTGACTGCATCGGATTACATTTTTTTATTTCCTGTAGAAGCCAGAAAACTATAGTGGTCCGGCAGTTTCAAATTCCAGCGGTACAGGGAGTAACGCAGCAAAACAATTTTCCTTGTGTTTTGTTAAAACCTTTTACAGTCGAATCCTGATAAGAAGAGCACTGTTAATACAACATCCTGCTTACATTTTATAACAAGGACAATTTAAGGTTTTCCATTCCTGTTAATACAAGGTACCTGTTATAACAAGGTAAATTGTAAAGTCCCAAGGACCTTGTTATAAAGGTGTTCCACTGTAGCAACTCAACTACATTGTATTTGTGTTATATAGTCATTCCCTGGCGAGTCCATAAAACCAAAAGTACAGGGGCAATTTAGGGCGGTATTGGGGGTAACAGGCAGGGTGATTTTGGGCAGTAAAGGAACTAAAGGTGGAATTACAGACAAGATTTCTCACCTATTGCACAGCCAAGTTTTGCATTAGTTCCGAGCTGAACATCACATGGCGAGTCCCCAATCATGACAGCGTTCTTGGGCTGCACACCGAGTCCAGCGCAGATGGTGAAAGCCGACACCGGATGGGGTTTGACAATCATCCAATCATCGTCCCCGCATACCACAGCGTCGACGAGTTGCGAGACACCGAGCAGGTGCAGAGTTCTCAGCGTGACCTCACGGCTGTCTGACGTGTTGATGGCAATTTGATAGCCTCTTCGTTTGAGTCTGCGGAAAAGTTCACCCACGTCTCCAATTGGTTGGATCACTCCGGACTTGAGGGAGCTACATTCCTCCAGGCATGCGTCAACGACCTGGTCGGCCTCGCTGCGAGAAATAGCGCCCTCTTTCTGTAGTATAGAGGACAGGCAGTCTTTAATCATCTCCATGGTTCCCTCGCCAAGGATACCAGGCAGGACTTTCCCGGTTTCATCGTCAAAGGACAGTTCCGAGAAAGCTTGGGTAGAGATGGTCAAATCTGTCTTGGCTTCAATGCTGCACAGAGAGGAAGTAAAAAGAAATTATTAACATCTCAATACAAAGAATAGTTTGAAAAAGTTTTTTTTTATAAGGCGTAGATAGGATTTTTTCTAAGCGCCTACCTTGCTACAACATTCCTGATCCATGGTGCCCATTGCGTGTGGATGTTAATGAGTGTGCCATCTTTGTCAAATATAACCACCCTCTTAACTTCGCCCCTCCTCCAACAATCCACCTTCCGTCTCACCGCTGAGGACACAGACGTTGACAGTTTGGCGAAACGGGTCGATATTGAGGGCATGATGGAATTGGATTGTGATGGTAGTATTTTCTGATGAACAAAAATTCCTGGAAGATGGGGAAAAATTATTAACAGATCATTAGAATAATAAGGCTTTTAGTTTTAATAAGGAACTTCCCCTTGTCTGAGAGTGTGTTGCTTGTGCCCAACCAAAAATGACACCTAACTGTAACGTTGACACTATTTCATGTCGGGGTGCAAATCTAATTTCTAAGTCATCAGTGGTCATGACTATTTTACATTGGGCACGAACACATGTCAGACCATTTATTATTCTGGGTCCAAATTCTGATCTTGGAATGTGTTTTAATTCTGGTGTTCCCAAGTTGGAACACAAGTGAGCTGGCAAAGACCTAACGTTAGGACGCCCTCCAATTTCCAAAAGGTGCTTTCTAGTCTTAACCGTAACGTTAAATATTAGAGGTAGGAAGTTGAAGAACTAGACCTACATGACCTACCTAGTTTTCTTTCAATCTTTGCAGCTTTTTAGCGGGTTAATCCTGGAGACCATCCAGCTCAAGAGAGACTAAGACCACTGATAATGATTCTTCACTGGGTCCACTCATTTTAATGCCTCTGGTAACTGTGGAGGAAAGAACAAAAATTGCAACCCTCATTTTTGGAAGTGACAATCAGAAAAAACCACAAAGGATTTAAAATCCCGGAAAAAATGTAGGCCTGGTATCCAGGCTACGCCACTTCAAGTTCTTTGGCTGAATACAAAGTCTATGGAGAGTTGAGTCAATTTTCAGGATTTTCTAACAAAATCGGAAATGTTTCTCAGTCCCATGATTCATGTCTGTTCAACATTTTTGCAATGATGACTGACTTTCACTTAGATTTTGGGGTTTTTTAATGATGAAAAAAGTGGCGTCAGGATGCAAAATTCTTTCCAAAATAACTGCCCTACATCATACATGTACATTTAATACTAGTCACCCTTCAGCAGCATTGAGCAGCTCAATTTAAACATATCAAAATTGTTAGAAATATTCTAGGGCCTAGACCATATCCCATATGTAGGCTTGACAAACATGACCCCCAAAAAAGAACAAACACAATTTCTTATAGGTTGCTCTACCAACTTGTTTACTTGTACTTGTAGGCAGCAGGCAGCCTATTAAAATTTTGCGAAACGTGTTCTCACTCACCTTAAAATGCATAAGTTTATGCAATACAGAAGCAGACGTAGAACTAGAATTATATACAGATATAATCTTCACGTTGAATGCAATTAACGCCAGACGTCCTCACATGTTGAGCTCTGAAATCGATCTGACAAAATAAGGCGCGGCTGGCCATTCAAGCGCACCCGGCCGGCTTTCAATTCAGTTTCACTATAAAAACACGACAAGCCCATGAGTGCGCACGTCATGGCCAGCAATTTTTGCAAGATGGTCGGGTATTCTGTTTACAGACTCGGCCAGTCAATTTGCACCAGTGTGCTACAGGTTTTCAGACTTCAGTCAGCTGTGCATGTGACAATCATGCATGAGGCGCGTACCGGGTTAGAATTTGTTCAAGCATGGAGGAAGCCGGGGTTCAAGTCGTCTTTTGTTTTCTTTCCCAAGGGAAACCGGACTTCCAATTTTAATACTTCACGATAGATTTTATGATAAAAAACAACCAAAGAGGATTTTTCTCTCCTAACTATCAAAATGCTTGTGCGATATCTTACCCTCATTTGCACAATTACATACATCATGGAGGAAGGAATTACAATTCCTTCCTCCATGCATACATGAAGATGCAAGCCCCGCCCCCGGCCTTGCCCCCCCCCCCCCCGCAACCATGTATTGCCAGTGGGCCATCAGTTTTGTATTGAAAGAAAACCTTGACTGAGTTTTTGTGTCCCTACGATTAATTTGAAGTGGAATGATGAGCTATAATTTATACAGGCAACAGAAAAATAAATAACCTAAGGCACTGCCACTAACAGACAATATTTGCCCTCTTCGGTGCAATATTATGTCGACCTTGGCAGTGACCCCCGGCGGTACGGTAGCTTCATAAAACGAAAACTGAAAAACAAAACAGTTATTTTCAAGACGGTTTAAGACGGTTTAGACGTCGATTCAGGTGGTTCCTGTTTATTTCTTGAGGGGGAGGGCGCTGCTTTAAATATCCTAATAGATCATTTTTTGAGATTTCAACTTTAACACCAGTCACTCTTCCAACACCAATATTCCCAGATATTTACACTTTCCATATTTACAAAGCTAATTAGCTTTGAATTGGATTTCTGAAGCTTTAATTAATTTAAATTTGAATTACTGTTCATGATATTGATAAAAGGCTAATAATAAGGCCACTATTAGTTTCTCCTTCATTGCAGACACACTCTCGGAAAAAAATGGTCCGGATATAACATTGTTAACTTATTTCTTATGATGGGACTGCGGTTTGGCAGAAGTCAATTGAGCGTGGTCGGCTGACTGATAAGGTTTACGTACAAAACCCCGAGCCAACGAGGTTTTTGTATAGAAAGCTGCCGGACCACATTTTGCGAGAGTGTGTCCGTAATGTTTTGGCGTGTATACATGTATTTTGCATTCCTATACCGCATGGTTTCTCAACTAAATTGCCCCCATTACTCCCCACATTAATGGTACCCGATCATGATTGGGTAAATGAGCTTGTATACACAAACTTTGAATGTATTACAAAATTCTCAGACCCATAAAATTGGGGAACTTATGGCAATGACTGACTCTGGCCCGGCCTTGGGGCTTCCAATTCTGAGCATTTTGGATGTAATTGAGTTCGAAAGTGACGCTAAATTTGCCATGTTGTGGAGGGATCAGGCGCGGTTCTACGGGGGGGGGGGGGGGGGGGGGGGGCTAGGGGGGGCTGAAGCCCCCCAAATTTTGTCCAGCCCCCCCCCCCCCCCCCAAAATAAATTCTGTAAAAAAAAAAATTCCGTGACAAGGGTGCATTAGTTAATATAGTGTGAATGATTTTAGGATTTTATTGGCGCTCCCCATTGAAAATATGGCATGAGCCCCCCCCCCCCCCCCCAGGGCGGATCCAGGGGGGGGGGGGCCAAAGGGGGCCATGCCCCCCCCCCAAAAAAAAACGAAACCAATTTTTTTTTTGTGTATGTGACATCGCAATTAAGCCAGGCAATGAGTACACCACCATCTTTTCCTCAAAAAAACATTGGTTAAAGTGGTCAGAAATTGCCTCAGATCCCACCACAGAGCATCTAGAATCCAAACAATTTTCGGGGCCCTTAAGCGGGCCCCGAACCCCACGCCGTAATTTTTTGGGCCCCCCAAAAAATTTTGTTCTGGATCCGCCCTTGCCCCCGCCCCCACTCTTGATTTTCGGAGGCCTAAGTGTCTGGAAAAAATAACCGATCCACATTTCAGCACGCCTCCCTGAAAATTGTTTGGATCCACCGTGCTAGCCCCCCAAAAAATATTGGTTCTAGAACCGCGCCTGGGAGGGATCGTTCAAGTTTTCAAGATGGCTACTTTTCCGCTTTGGGAATGAAAAATAAGGGTCGTCTTCTTTGGGTGAGACTTTAATTCTCGAAAAGTCAATGGTCAACACACCAAAAAATTAAAAGAAAATGAACGATGATAAATTATGTTGATCATTATTTTTTCTGTGCAGCTTAAATACCTGTGAGACTGAGTTCCGAGTATTCAAGTTTAAAAAATAATTTTGAAGTGAGGAGATTTTGTTCAGGGTTTGGTGTCTATTGGAATTTTAACACAGGGTGCGCATCCTCACCGGGTGGGCCAAGTTTAGATGCATGGATCGAGCACATGATCGAGTAGAGAGTTAGTAGCACAGTGCAGTTTCGAATAGAACATATAATATTCGGGATCAACATGCACATATTTTTTATAGGTCCGTCTGTTAATAGAGTTCGTTCTTATGATTTGAGGATGGATGAACTGATAAAACACGGTTAGATGTGTTTTATTTCTCCATGGTTAGAGCATCGGGAACAGATCCCCGAACGGTCTGTTTCCTCCATAATTCACAGTCTAGGTGGAGACATTCCCCTTCCCCCTTGAAGCCTATATTCCCCTAACCCCCCCCCCCCCCCCCCCCCTCCCACACGCTCATCCTTCCCTCGTTCAGAATGGACCGATCCAGTAAGCACCGCCCCGGCCCCATGGTGTTCTGACCAATCACGGCCGTAATTTATGTCCGACGCGCGTGCACAAAAGTCCGACATGCGTGCACGTACGCGCGTATGATGCGCGCGGTAGGAAAATGCAGTGTGGCATTGGAGAGGAGCACGTGTTAATTTGCCCAGTGCGCAGTGGGCGGGGCTTACTGGATCGGTCCATTGGAGGAAGGCGGAGCTTTTTCATGTGACCATAATAGATCTGTGATGTGACTAATCTAGCTTTCGGAACATTTGCAAAATGGCCCAATAACGCGTGCGTGCACCAACACCATTTGATATAGTAATAGCGAGCGTCCTTGATTATCGATTGTGCATACAAGTGTATATGGCTGTTACGTAACCAAATCACGTGTACGTGTATATGACATGCATGTACATGTACGTGTCCTTGCACATGCATGACATGTCCTTGCTCTATTATGGTTTAGAACGGGAAACACTAGCCACATAAGGCCTTTTCATGATCCGATCCGTGTCGAAATCTACACGGTTCCAGACTCGAAATTTCAACACGGTTCAATTTCGCTGCGAAACCCAGCGTTTTTGCCACACGTGTAATGTTTCGACCCTGCGCGATCGTTTCACACTACACATACGGCTGTCCACCCTACACGTGTTTTGTAGCCCCTTCGATGGTCAGCCCATGGAGGAATAATTCCTCCATGGTCAGCCCAACCACGGACCCGCACTTCATGTCAGTCTTTCTGATTTCGGGCCCATTTTACGTCGGAGGATAAAATATTCTGTGACTTGAACTTCTAGCACCATCGAAAGAATATGCGAAGAACGCAAAATCAAGCGTGGTCGGCCGCTTAATTCTACTCTAGTGAATAGGAAAAAGCAAGCGCGGTCGGCAGGTGTATCAGGTGTTATGAAATACGGACTCATGCATAGATAATTAGGAGAGGGACCGGTCACGTGAAATGGTTTAACCAATAAAAGGGAAAAGGAGTCAGATTTTCACACGAGTCCGATTTCCATATCACAGGTGGCGCGACAGGGCAGTAGGTCAAAGATTATTTGTATATTCGATGCTAAAAAGTTACACACGCACTCTCGTTCTCCGGCTGGTCCGAGTCCGATGAGTCGATATGCGGTTGTACACGGGTCGAACTTAACCCAGCAGTGCTCGTATTGTGAAAAGGCCTATAGATAGTTTGGATGCTCGACAAGACTTTCCTCGCTCCTCCAGTTCCAACCCCGAGAAACAAGATGGCATCCGAAGGCGGCGAGGGGTTATTGAGCATTACTACAAGTAATGCCACCGCCCAAGACATCATCAATAAACTGCAGCTACTGCCTCATCCCGAAGGGGGGTTCTACAGGGAAACATATCGGTCCGAGTCCAAAAACAGCGATGGCGAGTCTCACGGTACGGCCATCTATTACATCATGAGTAAAAGCGATGGACTGGTGTGGCACAGGATCCGTGGGAAAAACGAACTGTGGCATTTCTACGCGGGAGATCCGGCCGAGGTACTGACGGCGGCTCCAGACGGAGTTCTCCAGAAGAAGACCATCTTTGGCCCGGATATTTTCCAAGATCAGGAGCCTCAGTTTCTGATTCGTGCCGATTACTGGCAGATGGCTAGGTGTCTGGGAGAGTGGACGCTGTTCGGTTGCACCGTCAGTCCCGGATTCGAGTTTGCAGACTTCGAGATGGCGCCGAAAGGTTGGCAACCGACTGAGCAAAATAAGTAAGTATAAAATGTGTCAACCGATCCCGTTAGCTCGGTGGTCGAGTATAATAAGACGTCTGCACTAGAAAGCAGGAGGTCGTGTGTTCGAGTCCCACCCGAGTGTATTTTCCAACTTTCACTCGGGAGTTAACACATGAGTATACGTCGGTGAAGGGCATAACCTACCATTGATGTGCGTTTTTAAAATCAATGGTTGATGCCACTGCTCTAGGCATCGTTGAGAAACTAAATCTCACGCCTCATCTCGAAGGGAGTTGTATAAGGAAACGTGTCGGTCTGACTTATCGAGTCCGCGTCAAAGATGGAGTGTTGCACTTTTACGCGGGAGATCCAGTCGAAGTGAAGGTGGACTTTTGTGCCACCCCGATCGTTCCTGATCGGCATTGACCATTTATTGGACCCATTTGTAAATCAACAATTGTTACGTGTGGTTTGATTTACAATTGTTACGTGTGGTCAAGCAAACATGATTGTTCACCTATGGCTGATTGTTCACAATTGTTATGTGTGGTTGATTTACAAATGGGTATTAGTCAAAGTCCAATAAATGGACAATGCCATGGTTGGTTTGTTTTCTCTTGTTTGCTTGACAACAACTGATGACTGGTCTTTCATAATAGATACCAAGTAGAATTTTTGAAAAGCACACTTGACAAAAATCGACATTTTAAAATTGGTGTTTTGAGTCCCCAGCGCAGTTGGCAAATGGAGGCGAGTTCACGTTTAAGCATTTCTGTCCCTAGTGGATTGATAGTATGAGCCAATGTTTTTGGTAGATAACAACCAATACACATAGCACTCTTACCATGCATAATAAGAAAATTTATGCATTCAGGTTTGCTTGAATTTGTAAAAAAAAAAAAGGAGAGTGGAGCATTTTCTTTGGGACACCCTGTATGGACAGATACACACAGCATACCGTCCCAAAATAAACGTGTAGCGTGCGGTATTGCACTAACTTGCGGGGACGCTTTGTGCATCCTTGAGCCTATATAGCGCCTCGGCCCAACATTGTGTGTAGGTCCATACCAATTACCGACTTCAATAATCTGCCATGGGCTTTCTTCACATGGCTTGCCGTTTTTTGTATTCCATCATAACTATTTTCTTATTCGAAAAACAATAATTTGACAATATATTTTCTATGCGCGCACCACTGATTACTAATACTAGCGCCCAATAATAAATTGTTCAAGGCCAGAAAAACTTCAACACGATAAATAGCGACATGCTTTATCCTAGTCGATATGGGGGGCGGGAGGCAACAAAACACGACTGTCTATATATAGCGACTTGTCCTCAAGTCCGACTGGGTATGCCCTCCCAAGCGCCCCGTCTCCTGTGTCACAACAAAGCAACGGGTTAAAGTATTGTGATCCTCAACCTTTTAGCCTCCAGTTGTACCGGCTGAGCTCCGTTATGGGCGGCTCAGTGGCCGTTTCCAAAAGCACACAGTCATGATCGCGTATATTTTACTCGGTTTGCATACGTACAAAGTATGGTGTATATACTTGTCGCACTCGGGGCCACGCGCATATCATCAAGCGGTGAAATCAACCACAGTCGGCTACCGACTGTCAAGCTTCCTTGTACTTTTGAGCCTGTTCTACATGACTTTTGCGATCATGGCGACACACAACAACGGTAAAATCAGTGCAGATGACATCATCCAAGAACTTAACCTCTCACCGCACCCAGAAGGTGGATTCTACAGGAGAACCTACCGCTCAGAATTGAAAACTGAAGCAGGTCTTCCCCAAGGTTCAGCCATTTACTATCTGGTGACGGCGGAGAGAGGGTCTGCTTGGCACAGGATCCACGGCAGCGATGAACTGTGGCACTTTTACGCGGGGGATCCCGTGGAGGTCCGGACTGCGTCTCCAGACGGTATCCTGCGGGACACTAGGGTGCTTGGTCCCGGTGTTTTACAGGGCCAACGCCCTCAGTTGTTGATTCCTTCCAACCACTGGCAGTATGGCAGGTGTTTGGGGGAATGGACACTGTTTGGATGCTCTGTCTGTCCAGGCTTTGACATTGACAGTCTTGAATTGGCGCCAAAAGGATGGCAACCAAAAGTGGAGTGAGTCCGGCCGTTTTAGACTAGACAGGAGCTTTTGTCTTGCCGACAGACTGTTCGTAATATGCATGGGCGTGGCCCCCCCCCGAAAAGCCAAAAAAAAAAGGAAGAAAAAAAAGAAAAAATAAGAAAAGAAAAAGAGGCGCGAAGACAAAGTGGTGTAAATTTAATGAGTCTGGGGGGGGGGCAAAATGTCCCTGCCCCCCTCTAAAACTGATAAATCGAGAATGTATTGAGAAATACAAGCATTTTTTTGGCAAATTTTTTTTTGCCCCCTCTAGAAAAAAATCCTGGCGACGCCCATGGTAATATGGGAATCTTTTTATTAGTGCCACTTGCTCTTATCTATCTCCTTTTTTGCTCTTTTTGTTTTATCACAGGTAATGCCTATACTCAAGATGTTCACATTTGACGGAGGCGTATCATCACCATATTTACCTGACACTTCGCAAACTTCTTCAGACACTGCACACTGCACAGCATCGTGCTGCAAGAAATCATCAGCGGGGCGCTTTGCATCACAGGGCGTAGACTAGTTCCCAGTCCCTCCATCATTTACTCTTATTTAAATTCCAGTCAACTATGCATGCCCAGCTAGCTGCAGCAAATTTTTAATGAGTATTGAATGTACTTGTCTGGTCTTTTTCTTCATTTAATTTTTAAGATAATTAAATTTTAGTGAATTTGTACCTCTTGTTCTTTTTAACTTCATCGTTTTGTTGTGACTAATTTTTTATTCATGAATTTTAAACTTGAGATTTACTGCCAAGTTGAAAAGGATTTTAAAATTTACTAATGGCCCGGCCTTAAAACAAAATTAGTTTTAAGGCATAATTTATGTAATATTTGAGGGTTTGGGAGATCGAGGAATTAAACAGCACGTCAATATCCTTGGAAATAATGATCCTGTTCTATTTTGTAACCAGCGGTGTTTTTTTTATATGAAAGAGGCCTCTAAAATCAAAGCATATTAAATATACACTGTACTTGCCGCAAAGAAATCATCACAGATTAAAGACAAGTAAACGAGCTTAATCTGTCAATAAACGGAAACCAGCCGAAGATTGACGATCGTCGTTTGTGTTCGTTACCTTTTGAACTAGCCCAGCGTCCAAAAGTTGGTACTCTTTAAATTTGTCATTCTTGTACATATAATTACGTCTTTTTTTAAAATAAAGTAATTTTAATTACAATTTTTAAAGCTTGTCATACATGGTAATTGAAGGGGAAAAAAAACATGCGTAGTAAAAGTTGTTCGTTTGTTTGATTTGATTTTGGTGTGATTTTGTTGTTCCCAACCTTTTGACGGGCGGCTGATGTATCTTTTGAATATAAGCATAAGTTGCTTCATTGAGGACAAGAGACATTTTTAGTTTTCCAAAAATGGAGGGCCGGGCACGGAGGAAAATCGAATTAGTTTGCCCTTCGAGTTGATGTCCAATTTTTTAGGCATCGAATGTCCTTGGGCGTCCCTCAACCCATGCTCAACCTAATGACTCGAAGCTCTCTCTCCCCCCCCCCCCGAAAAAAGTAACAACATTTAAAAGCAAAATTTTAAGAATCCTGTCTCTTGTTTTGAACATAAACAACACTATAAGCTGAGGAAAGCTTTTCTTGAACCCGAAGAGGACTCGATCCGGAATGAATTTAACACTCTTTTGCTTTCAATTTTGGTCAATATTTTGGGCCTGGCTTGGGCAACATAAAATAACACTCACGAGAGGGCGCTATTTATAGCTACTGTACGTACGTACGTGCGATCGAGATCAAGATCCTACCACTACCACTACCAGCACTTGTGTAAAGTGTTCGCGTTTTGCAGCCTATAAACATTCCTGTCCAAAATGACGGATATCATTGGGTTTGGATATGCAGCCTTTGTTGCTTTGGGAGGCGTTATCGGCTTTGTTAAGGCTGGTAAGTAATTCAGTATTCAGTAATGTCAATGTTGGTGTCAACTTGGTGGTGCCTTTCCTTGGGAAAGTCGGTACAAACTACAAGTACAATGCAGCTAGCTTTGCCTACTTGATTTTGTAAACATGAAATGAATGGGATTGGAAGGGCGGGGCAAGGGTCGATGGTATGGTTTGTGATCATGTGTCAGCACTTTCTATATTGGATCATTCTCAGGTAATGGTGAAGTTCAGGACCTCCCCTGGCCCTTTTTACTTGTTCTGTTCAAAAATGACTTTGGCAAATGACAGTCACTGACAGTCAAATTTTCCAAAGACAAATGTCAAAATGACGGTAATCCTTACTTTTAGGACACCTCTATTTTGTACGAGTTCTGTTCAAAACTGACTTTTGCAGATGACTGTCCAGTACCAAAGTGACTTTTGCAGGCTAAAGAAGTCTTTTTTCTTCAGACAAACTCATGTTAGTTATAATTTTGAAAGCACTTTCGAAGAAAATGTGACTTTCCTACCTTTTTTTGCAGTTCGCCATCTTGCTTTTTAAATTTATTTTCTGTTTGTCATCGTCGTCTTTAACCCCTCATAAATCAAAACCCTGCCCTCTTTCTACAAAATCAAACCTGCTGATATTCAAGAGGTGTCATTGCCAAATGTTCAAATGTGTCAATAAATATCAGAATGTCACTTTTGAGTGTCATAATCAGCTGTTTTGGTGAGTCTTTTAACCTTATATAGGAAAGGGGTCCTAAAAGTAAGGATTACCAAAATGACATTTGCAGCCACATCACTCAGCAGTCTATTAAGTATTTTATCATCTAGGTTTTTGTATGGAAAGAGTTCCATACCTGGACATAACTTGACACCTTTTGCACAAACCCTATGAGTACTGGTCTGAAAATTTGTGTTTTCTCACTTTTCTCAGTAAAAAAAAGTGCCAACCTGACTCCCCTAACATAATTTTTTTTCCTGCTGGTAACTGATCTGGTGAATCCCAAAACATTAAAACTAAAAGTGTCTTTTCGTTCTACATGGAACAGGGTCCTAAACTTCATGATTCACCCATTCTCATAGTAGAGAGCTTGCACAGAGCCCTCATTGTAGATGGATTAAATTAATATTTAAATTCAGTGACAATTTTGTCTACTCTCACCGATGGTGTTTCATGTCCCATCCAGGTAGCACCATATCGTTGCTGATGGGCCTCACCATGGGTGGAATGGCAGCTTACGGTGCCTCCTTGACATCCAGAAATGCTAACAACTGCCTTGTACTCTTTGGTAAGTTGTTTATAGACAGCTTCAAGTCGGTCGGGTATATAATTGATTGCCTCTCTGAAAAAGTCACTGGAAGTCTGAGGCACTTCCCCTCTCATAAGCCTTTTTGCATTTTTGTCTATTATGGCCATATTAAATTAAATTAAATTATTTTTTTAATGTTTTTTCCCCAATATTTCACACTCATTGTCCCTGTCATTTACATTCTCGTATTGTCTATGTTTATACAGAGTCCCTTTTTGTTGTTATTATTTACCTTGTTAATTGTGCTATCGTTTTTGTTGTTCAGGGGACTCGCACTCAACAAGCTTGCTTGTTGTGGGTCCCCTGCATCTCTTGGTATTAATACTAGTATATTATTTCTATCTTATTGTTTTAACATACCTAATTTATTTTAAAGAATTATATTTATATTTTTGCATTGTACCATGAGGTGGAATAAAGTAAAGTAAGCACTTTCATTGAATCGCGCTAAAAATCGATGCTTCAATTTTCTATTTCTTATTGCGTCAATTTTTTTAATTTCATATATATGAGTTCTTATGATTATAACTGATAATTGTATTTTCAGGTGCCTCAGCCATTCTACTGGTTGTCATGGGGATGCGTTTTATGAACAGTGGAAAATTTATGCCTGCTGGCTTGCTGTCTGCAATCAGGTATAAAACAAGAATATTCTCATTCTATATTCAGTACAGTATGTGAAAAACCTGCTCGTTGAAACGATATTTCTTTTAAGAAAAACCTGAATTTGTGTATATTTTTACATCTTTTGTTTTCAGTTTGTTCATGGTGTTGCGTTACGGCATCAGACTGCTGTAGCCTCCATTGGCAGCTAGTCTTCACCTCAAGAACCACCTTGGCACTAGTCTCCATCTCAAGGAGCACCTTGTTCTGTTTGATGGCATCCAAGAACTGTGATTCAGAACTCACATTCATGTAGAATGGACATTTTTTGTACTGACATTTGCAATTAATTGAAGAATTACTGAAATTAAATTTCATAAATTGCTTTCTTTGCTTTGTCATAAGGCATATATTTACACAGCTGCTAGTATGTTTCAAGTTTTAACAAAGTTAATACTTTTTAATGTGTTTCTCACGTCATTTGTTGGGGTTTCTATCTACAGATGATAACAGGAATCATAAGTGGCTCTTGCTAGATGGTTAATTTGAGGGACGATCACTGCCTACATGTATGGTGTTGTAGACAGTAGTAGAACAAGAGGGGGGAGGGGCAACCCCCGTTCAGCCACTGACTAATGTTATAATCCTAGTAAACTGGAGCCAGAATAATAAATGGAATGCAAAAGTTACTAACTTTATTCTTAAATTGCCGCATCATAAAATTCAAAATTTTTCGGAGGGAAAGCCCCTGGACCCCATAGCCTTTGACACGCCTTCAAGTTCAACCCCCCCCCCCTTCCAGTTCCTGAAAGTTTGCTTCGACCCTGGTAGATAAACTTCAAATCCAATATCACACTAATAACTAGGGAAAATGTGAACACGTAACAATGTATTGAAGATTTTAGAAGTACTGTTGTAGTACTTTTGATAAAAGTTTCGTTCAAGCCAGACTGAAATCGTGGTTTCCTTACTCTTACATTGAGAGATTAAGTTTTAATTCAATGACTGGTCATTATCTGAAGATGTAAATATTCAAGGGTCAACCATTCAAATCAGCTTGCTTAAAATTAAAAAAATATAATTAAAACTTTGTATTTGAAGAAAAGCGGTCTGTACCTTGTCTTCTGTTTTGTTTGTTTTTAAATCTTGGCAATGTTTATGCTATACGTTTTTTTCATAGGTCAGTGACTACACTTGCACAAAAGAAAAGATAATAACTTTTGTGAGCCAGTTCCAAACTTTTCTCTATTCACATTTTGTTTTTAACAAAGTAAAATCTTATAAAGCAGTGAACAAATATTACAATAGGTATAAAGAACAAATTTAATATGCCAATCTAAGGACATAATCCAACCTTTTTTTTAATACAAGTGTAGAACTGATTTTGAAAAGGAATGATAAATTTGATATTCCTTCAGAATAAAGGACCTAGATATATGTTTACATGTAATGGAACGGCTTATGTCGTAGCATTTTCCACTTCATTTCTCTTGGATTTCAAAGATGTCTACACAATAAGACAGTTAGGTATTTCACTGTGCATGTGTGTGCACAATGACATTAGTCACGGGTCATGCGGGATAATCGAACGTTTCAAAAGCGCATGAACCTGGGCGCACAACGCTTGCGTGTAATTACCAGCATCACAGGCGTGCGCGTAACATCGCGTCAGGGATGTTATCCCGAACGACCTCGGGTCATTGTGAAATACTGGCTTATTGAGAGCTGTAGCCTAATCGTATGAGTTTGATTCACAGTCGATCTTTCCTCTTCCGTCCTGTCGTCGCCGAATTTGCTGTATCCTTATTACTTGCGCTGTTGGTGGCTACACAAACAAATAAAGTAAAAAAGAAATTCATAGTCGTCAAATTCAAAAAGGTATGTTCTGTTTTACAAAAATCAAATTTTTGCTAGGGCAGTAATGAAGATTGAAAAAAAATAATTCTAGAGCCAGATGTACTTTCAGTTTGGAGGGGAGTTTTTGGACATGTCCCCTTTCAATATTTCACACATTTTCTCCCCCTCCCCAAAGAAAACATCAGATGGACCCTTCCTGCCTGTCAATCAAATAGTGCAAAGCAAATTGACCAATTAGATCACAACTTTTTGTCATGTGACCACAATGGTTTTACCAACCGTTCATAAAAACTGGGAGAAATGTAAATGTAGATTTGTGGGTGGGGCTTATGGCCAAATCTGAAATAGATTTGCATACCTCTGTCATCTGAGGGAATCTCAAATTCCCAAACGTCCTTGCATCCAGGACATCGACAGTCGTCTTTCCCCCGGAAGAGACGAGCAGCGCAGAAAATATGCAGTTTGAGCCCACACGGGCACCACTGACCCTGAAAATGATTACATTTGAAATGTTTATGTTGACAAACAGTGTTTTTCAATGAAATATTCTTTGGGAGGTAAGGTTGGAAGATGGCAGTTGTTCGTGGGTATGGTGTGGGAGATCGGGGGTGGGTGATGGGGGGGGGGGGTTGTGGGGTTGTGGGGGTGGGAGATGGGGTGTGATGGGAAGGGGTGACGGGGGGTGATGGGGGGGGTTGTGGGGGGGGGGTTGTGGGGGGGGTTGTGGGGGGGGGTTGTGGGGGGGGGGGGTTGTGGGGGGGGGGGTTGTGGGGGGGGGTTGTGGGGGGGGGTTGTGGGGGGGGTTGTGGGGGGGGGGTTGTGGGGGGGGGGGTTGTGGGGGGGGGTTGTGGGGGGGGGTTGTGGGGGGGGGTTGTGGGGGGGTGATGGGGGGTGTGGGGGTGGGTGATGGGGGGGTTGTGGGGGTGGGAGATGGGGGGGGGGGGGGTTTGGTGGGTGTTGGGGTGGGATCCGTGGGTTGTTGTGGTTGTGGGAGATGGGGTTGTTGGGGAGGTTGGTGGTGGGAGGGGGTGGCAGTTTGGGTCCGCTTTGTTAAGGATGTGGGTTCAGTTGTGAGTACAGACTATCTGCCAATAACTCCTCACCAAAAGAGACCTTTAATATTCAGTAGCAATATTTGAGGCATTTTTGTCTTTTCAATAGTCCCTTTGCACAGAGCGCCCTCACTGGGGACAGGTCTTTTTTTCTCTGTGATAAGCATGTGTAGACATTTTGTGCTTTCATTATCACTGAATTTGAAAAACAAAACCCATCTTCAAAAAATGATCCGGGGCCAATTCGCCCTTTTCACACTTTTGCCATGGGCATGCAGAGCCTCGATCTGGCAACTTTACACAATAAACATAGGCAGTTCAGTGATTCCTGTGTCTGGGTTCAGATCACTGAACCGGCTATTTTTTATTGTGTAAAGTTGCCAGATGGAGGCTGTGCATGCCCAGGGGCGGAGTGTGAAAAGAGCGAATTCAGTAACTACGAATGCACGAGAGGTCGTCTTGTGCCTATCCCTCCGGCACAAAAGCTGTACCTCAATGATGGCCGCAATGCAATGGGTCTATATCAATCGATCTTCAGTAAGCATTACCTTGATAGCTATTTCCTTGCACAGGTGGCAATGTCTGATGTCTTCCTCATAGACATCAGTCAGGTAGTGTTCCAGTTCCATTATCGCTCTAGGGGCTAACGATATCTCACCCTGACTCTAAAAAAACGAAGACAGTAAAGTGGAAATTAAACAAAAAATGGATCAGTGATCACTGGATATTTAAAACAAAACCAGGTGATTAACCAGGTTAGAAGATTCCGTTGCCAATATCAAGTGAAAAAATAAAGTTTAGATTTCAAAAATCGGGACAACAACCTTTCATGAAATTTAGCATCCACTGCTGTATGGCTCTGTTACGGAGGAAAATCAGTAGTTGAGACAAATTTATTGGGCAAGGTTAACAAGGTTATCTTCACTCAAACACACAAAGTTGACCAGAGGTGGACTAGTCTAGTGGGCTGTTCGGGACCAGCCTAGTGAGGCTGGTTGAATCACTGGTTACCGACAGCCACATGTATCATAATGCAAAGCGGAGAGCCAGGACCACGAATTCTCAGGATGATGTTCTGACCATCACCTGAGGAGAGACAAGTGCAAGATGCTAAGAGCTCCGTGCACAAGTACCCCTACAACGGCCAGAAAAGGACAGTTGGGGGAGACCTAGACTGGTTCCTGGTCCATCCACTACGTATCTCGATTGATCCGAAGTTATTGGGAGCCGGGACTAGTCTGGGAGACCATGGCAAGTTAAATTTGAACGAATTGTCGCGCCCACGACACTCACGCACGAAGACGCTATGGCAATAGCTTTGTGCACATTCAGGATAAAAAACTTGTGGGTACTTCGCGCGCGCGAACCATAGATATTCTTCTGATATCTATGGCGCGAGCCAGTACAGTACGCACATGCGGTGTCCCGTCCAAGGGACTCTCAAAACTGGTAAAAACGCGCCCTCTTTTGTTGGCGCACCGAGCCCATTATTGGTCCAGTGTATATAATGCCACATCGTCCACTGGAGCTCCTCGACTGTACTTGCTTTATGATGACAATTTGAAGTTTACCTCTGTCAGCCAGTTCTCTTTGATAAGTCTGCTCAGGATGTTCTGTGCGTCTTGCTTTGACATCTTCTCTTTGAGGTGACTGGCCAGGTTCAGGACATCGGTGGAGGACACACAGCCGGACTCCGCCTCAACAATCAGATCCAACTGAAAAAAAAAACCCAAGAAATGTTCACTTTTTTAACCCTTACCCTACTTGACCCTCCAACGCATGCCAATTGTGCCTCAAGAAAATCTCCTATGTTTTTTGCATGGCCCTCCAATATCTGCCATGTCATTTCAAGGGTAACTGGACAGGCACTCCAATACATGCCACAGAGAACAATGAGAGTCCTCTGATAACAAAGTGAGTGCCCCCAGCTGGTCAGTATCAGGCACCCTCCAGGGCCTCCAACTCCTGCCAATTGGAGCCTTCACTGCTACATCATAGTATCCTCCAATAAACTGCAGCTGGAGGGCATTGGCATAACCAACTGACATGCAGTAAACTACCCTCAGAGAGTAAGGGTTAATGCAACTCTGCATGTCAATTGTTGGAAAATTTTTAAATCCCATGTGTGGATGTACATTTATCTATGGATGAAATGGCACAATTGGGGGTGGGGGTGGGTGTGTTCAGATTAACTTATTGGCAGCTACTTAACTGTCAAGATTCTTTGTCTTTAATAGATGCACTGTTTTTGAGCTCGTATTAGCTGGCATGTTATAAAATACTGCAGCTTGAACAAATTTGTCAATTCAATTTTAAATGGTAATGCTTGACAAAATGATTGCACTCACAATTTTTTTGAAGAGCTCCAGATCGTTCTTCTGATAATCGGAGGACAGTCTCCCGAGTTGAGACTCATTCGTCATGACGAGAGCAAACATGAGCTTGCCGGTCTCTTCATCTTTCTTGGATCTGATCTCCATGCCAACACTGCTGATGTTCTCATTGATCTTCTCCAGGAAATTCCGGAGGCATTCCATGGTGTTTTCAAAGTTCACTGTCGTACAAAAGTTGATAAATGTTGACATTTATTTTTCTGTGTAACCGATTTTTAAATAAGACTCAAGGGTGTGCATGGTGGACATAATCGATGAATGGGAGGTTTGCGGTAACACCATGTGCATGATATCTCTTCAGTGATTTGTTATTGATACACTGATTACTTACAATTGCTCCTAGACCAAATGTTCAGTTTACGGCAATATTACATTAAGTTTCATTTTAATATAGCATACGTTTATGTGAAGATATACAGTTAAATCATTGTAAGATTTAACATTGTTTAGTCAGTGAAAACCTAGAACTGTTTTTATGAAACAATGATTTAAGAAGTATGTGTTGAAGTGAACAGTCAGTCAAATTCTTTTAAAGTCTAATTAGAGAATCTCGGTGTTTTTGGCTTAAATGATTGAACGTTACATTTAACAATGACAGACATTTACAGCCACAGGATGTGAGGGCAACAGTCTGATAAAATGTGTGACTATCACAAGACCAGGAGAGATTCCCATATCTGGTCATTACTGATTTTTCCCTTCAGTAACCTGTTACTTTTATTAGACATCAGAAAGTGATAATATGTCCTAAAAAGTCCAATTCAGCGGGGAAAACATTGAAGTACTATTTACTGAGAAAACACTTAGAAATTTTCAGACCAGTCTCATACAGTTTGTGCAGAAGGTGATAAGTGATGGCCAGATATGGGAATCTTTCCAATGACCCTGTGAAAAAAATCTATGTCTTAAGTTATACAAATGTATTCTTTAATAACATATCATACCATTGAACGTCTGGCAAGCTTTCTTATGAAGTTCCTTGACCTCAGAGGTGGACATGACACCGCGGGAGAGGAAGGACTGGAGGGCCAGTCTATGTGCGTCAGTGGTTGCCATTCTAGATGAGGCTGATGAAAGCGGTTTGGTGCATCTGGAGCTGTGTTGAGGAATATACTTAATTATCTGCGCTTGGTCAGTCAAACTCTAAGCTAAATTGCCCCGTTATAGCTACATCATTAGCATTGGTTGAAGACCAAGTTCAACAGAAAAAGAAAAGAATAAAAGAACGGAATACAGACGTAAGGCTGGGTGCGCACGCATTCTCTGTTTCCCCCCTCCTGCCCCCCCCCCCCCCAGAGGGAGTGGGGGGGGGGGGGGCAGAGAGGGCACTTTAAGGTTAAAAAGTGCTGACATCATTGCCCCCCAAAAAACCACTAAAACCGTTATAAATTCAATGCGCTGTGAAAATGGGTATTATAATTTGCATTTGTCATAATGGTCAGTTTTGGAAATTGAAGAGCGCCTCCATTTGGAAGGCCTACCCCCCCCCCCCCCCCCCCGCCGCTTTTTTATTTTACGGAGGCAAAGTGTTCCAAGAAAAAAAAATATATGTCTACATTTCGACGCGGATGTGGATCAGCGGTTGCCCCCCTGACATCAAATGCTGGATACCGGCCCGCCTATGTCATGTATGTGATCCCTACGAGTAGTAGTACGAGTTAATTTGCATGGTTTGGAAATTGGAAAACATTTGCCTTAACAGGCATATCAAATGCCAATAAGGCGACGGAAGTTAGCACTGTACATACACTTGCAAAAGATATGTGACTGGTTGACTGCAATGCTTGTTAAGCCTTTTTTTCGGGATAAAAATAATAACATTGCTTACCAAACAGAGCAAGCGTGTTTTTCGTTCGCAGTTCGCGGGAGATGACAGGCGAAAAACGTCCTGACTCATCAAGGGCGCGAGACATGCAATTCACACTTCAAGACCATGGGTATCAGTCTATTTGCTTTTCTTACTGATCTAAATATAGATTTAGAATAGTTCATTATTTTCAGGAGGGGGTATGATCACCAAAAAAACTTTGAACGGGGAGAAAAGTCACTAAAGCCAGTTTGCAGTGGCAGTTCCGATTGAATTATTTTGATTATTTGTCTCAGTCAATGTTATTGCCCTTCTTAGACTTTATACTTTCACTTGTCAAAAATACTTGAGCTCTTTTGGGCTTGTTTTTTAATTTTCACAATTTACATTTCTTGCTGGTACCCATCGTGGCCATGCATTTCAATCGGGTTGAGGTATTTGTTACCATTGAAAACTTCTAAACATCTTTTTGCCTGACATCTTAATTCGGCGAACACACAGCAATTTCGTGATTTGGCTGTATGCTTGGGATGGAGAAAGGGACTGTTTTTTGGGGTTTTTATTCAGGTGAGTCACGATATGTTTGTCATTTCTGGTTCATTTATGATTAAGCTCATAGTGAGTCATACTGGTTTCTCCCGTTTGTGCAGAAAATGGAAGAATATGACGAGGCATGCTCAGACCATGGAGAAATAAAACACATGCTCAGACATGTCACTTGTCAGATGCATTGGCAAAAAATGAAAATACCTCACTAGCTTGAGTAACTCCAGCTTAACAAGCTCATCAGAAATTCACATGTTTTCCAGCTTAACATGAGCTTGTTAAGCATGCTAAGCTGGAGTTACTAAAGCTTACTTGTAGAACTATGAGGCTAAAGCTAACTCAGCCCTATATTTTATCATTGGGTTGTTGGGGCCGTATCATAAAGTCCGATGCCTCATAATAGGTCCGACGCCTCATAAGTCCAGACCTAGGCCTATGATGTATGTTAATGAGGTGTTGAACTAATATGAGGTATAAATTCCGCCGCATTAGGTCCGACGCCTCATAACTCCGATGCCTCATGTAAAGTCCAACATACAAATTACAATGGACAAACGCTCGGACTTATGAGGGGTCGGAGCTATGAGCATGAGGCGTCTGACTTATGGCATATGCAGCGTGAGCTATGAGGCAGAATAAATAAATTGTATGCCTCATAAGTCCGACGCCTCATTAGTCCGACGCCTCATTAGTCCGAAATTTTGGACTTATGAGGCGTCGGACCTATGACTGCGTCGGACTAATGAGCGGACCCCGATTCATCATATACTAGGGCTGGAAGGAATCGTCAAGGAAAGATTCCCATATCTGGCCATCACAAGCTTTGGAACATTCGGGAAGTCGTGCGAACTTTGCGCGCGTACGCGCATGCTGGGTTTTATTATATGTCTATGGTCCATAGAGCTCTCAAAAGTTGTAAAAACGTGCCCTCTTTTGTTGGCTGATGGAGCCCATAGTCAGAAGCCACAAAGCCATGTGCCATGTAGCCAGGGATCAAGCCCAAAGTCACGATGCTACATGTAGCAAAATAACTACAACACGATGCTACATGTAGCAAGATGTAGCAAAATAATTTTCTATTAAAAGTCCACAGTGCAACTTCATCTTGGACTAAAGTACACCTTTGTGACTTGCCCAAACTCCCCAGCTATGACGAGTGGGTTTTGTGCACGCTCTGTTAGCCGCTCTGTCAACAGATACCCTGCTGATAGTGACATGCATGCCATTGGATTTTTTCCAAAGTCACTGTTAGTTGGGACTCGCGGGAGCTCGGGTCAGGAAGTCGAAGCTCATGCCTATTCCTGGTGGAGACTCATCAATATGATACCATGATCATTCATTTTCCTTCACCCAAAAACTCCTGTTTGTCAGAATTGTCTTTTTCAGCAGATTTTCCATTTTTTCAAAAGTATTTCATGTTGCTTCTGTTCTCTTCCTATCAAGATGGTAGCTCTTCGATGTATCTGTTTGAATTTTTGTTTTTAACCAAAGCTGTCAATTCGTAAGTGGGTCCAAAATACCTAACTGTTGCTGTGCCCAATATTTTCATTTCTTACGAATGATTGATTTTAATACTTTTTGCTTTCATTTCAGATGGGGTTGACCAACTTGAAAGAATGAAACGCTGTTGGCAGAAAGGTAAACATTATACAGTTTTTGAATTTAACCCATTAGCATGTGCACTGCATTTTGTTACATTGTATTAATTCCCTCCTGTAAAACTTCCCACGAAAACCTAGAAGGGCCTGGGTGGTATGGAGCGGTATACAGCGAGTAACAGTCAGGGTGGTCTTGGGCCGAACAGGGACGAATGGGTTAAATAATCAACAGTGTATGAATGAACAATTAATTAAGCCTAACCCTCCCAAATCCTCCAAAATCTTCCAGGAAGTTTTGGAGGAGTTTGGACGATTGAGGCTGAATGGCAAAAAAAGTGTAGGTTGATTTTGGAGGATGCATTGTGTCGAGTTCATAGGCTGTACCCAGCATTGTTAATGTTCAGTCATGCATAAATGAGCCCTACATTATGCTCGATAAAATCCAGACTGCTTCTGAAGGTCATCGGCTTTGCCTGTTAACAGTAATTATTTTTTGAAGGATTGAGGCAATGGTCACCGCTCCACTGAACAAATTCAAGAAATAACGGATGATTTTGGAGGATTGAGGCTGATTGCAATTTCTACATGGTGGCAATTGGAGGATGTTGCAGGGTTGAGGAGGGTTCCTAGCCAAAAGGGCCCAGGGGGTTAAGGTTAAAGAATCTGCTCCACGCCATAGCGTGTTTGTGTAAAACACAAACAATGTTGAAATAGAGGAAATTTTCGGGTAACACCATGTGGAGAGAAATCTCTTCTTGGAAGAAGTGTGGTTCTGAAAAGAACCGGTTGGTTGAGTGTAGAACTCTTTCCACATGGTGTTACCCGAAAATTTCCTCAATTTTATCTCATCCGCCATGCAAAGCTTCAAGTCGTATATCCAGACAGTGTTGTCAAATCAGTCACGTTTCCGTCACAGGTCCGGTCGAAAGTTGAATAATCACAAGTCAATTCACGATTCCACTCACAAGTAACAGGCTGATGAACAATATCAAGTGTATGTCTCTGTCACAGTTTCATTTGAGTGTAGCCTGTGCATTGACGGGGGACAAGATGACTTGTGATGGACTCGTGATGGACTTGTGATGGCTTCCCAGACCTGTGATGGACTTGAGTACATGTACAATACTGATGAAGACAGACATGGTGTACTTTAGAGTTCATCATTTTTCTTGCAAACCTGCTTAGGCCAAAAAAAAGAGTCTCGGTTTCTGGTATGGAGCTTGCCCATAAAGTGGTGCGGCGACGCGGTTTTATTATTTTTTTTACCGTTTTTTTTTCCTTCAAATGTCGGCTGATGACTGCAAATGGTGCCCAACTAAAGTGCAGAGAGGCCACATAAAGCTTATTCTCGATCGTAACCCCTTTGTTAAAATTGTGCAGCAGCAGGAATCCAGTCAAACCAGTGAGTTTGGCGGTTTTGAGGCATTATCTTTCATTGAAAATTAAACCTTTTTCATTTTGCCGACGCGCACGGCTACTGCGACGCGCGCATACCAGAAACCGGAGACTTTTTTTTTGGCCTTATGTTAGTGCATGTATTTTTATCCATATTGTATCTTGGGGAACATTGTAGTTGATTGTACCGGTAGGTCACTGAATCCACACAGGAACTGCTGTACCGGTACACTATTCAAATCAAAGAGCTTAACTTCATTGTGTTACTGCTCAGTTCCTTTTTTTTGGTGGTGTTTTCAATAACTGGATTTTCCCGTTAATCCTGAAGGGATTAAGTGCACTCACGAACCGTAAACGATGTTGACAGTAATACACATCCATCGCACAGTACGTCTTCACTATACCATCAGTCACAATTTGTTGGATACCTCACCTGTCGTCGGTGATTGACGTTTTGATCTTAATCATCCCAGTGACCCTGCTCACGGAGTCAACGACCTGGCGACACAGGCCTACACTTGTCTAGATCTGCTCTCATTATTGGGTCTAAAGGGGTTACAAAATCTTTGCTTTGTCTCTCAGTCTTGGCTTCAGATCCCAGCTTCATGGCTTTAGTCCCTTGACTTGTGACGGACTCAAGAACGATATCGATCCATTTTCTGCTATAGAGTACCGAAGTGAATACGTCACGCGCACAAAATGTGTGTAAAAGACATTAGCGCGTGATTCAGCCGGTGATTTCCGTGAACCAACACCAGCACGTGCTCCATTCGTTTGCACTCCACTTTCTGGTTCTAAATGACGTCACACTTCTGTACTCTATAGATTCTGTGCACGAACACTAGAGGGCGTTTTGTTTACCACTTTCAAGAGCCCAGTGAACGGGACACTGCGTGCTCGTACCGGTACTGGCTCTTGCGCATAATTGTAGCATGAAGTATGCACGACTAATTTATTGTCTGAAGCCATAACGTCTTCGCAGGAGTGGCAGGTGTCGTCAGCAGTGTGTTTGAATGTCCCTCCCAGTGGTCTATCCAAACTCCCTGTTTGTAACTCTTGAGGGGGTACGTGTGCAGGAAGTCCATAAGTAGCAGGGACTCCAAATGTTGTCACACAACGCCAGTGGTAGGTGTACTGTCATTGGGTTAGTTAGGCTAGAGTTGAAATGATGCTGGAAATGACGACAGGGTTTTCTACGTACTTTCCTGCAAGTACACAACAAGCTACCTGCTCTGGTCCTATCCAATACGCTTTCATTTAATGTACGACAACATTGACAGAAGAGAAGCATCATTATTTCTAAACCACACTTAGTTCTTATTCACTAGATACAGTAAATTTCACAGTGATATGGCAGTAGCAACCCAAATAATGATTTTTCACCGATCCAACATCAGTGTTTCTCAGGCCTTTGTGTTCACCAGACATCTCTGTCATCGGACAAGATAACAGACGGCAGATGCATCGTCGTATTATTTTATTATAATTTCGAGGGGATTTCGTTAAATGAGAATCGCTGTCGAGAAAGTAGTTGAAGGACCCGTTGGGACGCTTGCTGGGAGGAAACCCCAATTTGCCGAGTTTCTCCCGGTTGAAAGGTTCAATTTCAGCTGCTTCAACTGATTTCCTGTCATCTTTTACGTCTTGTCTTCCTGACGGTGGGACAGTATCGGGGGGGGGGGTAGGGGGCTTGCTGTCAAAATGTCTTGGTCCATGCCTGCTTATTTCACAGGTCTGTCCGGGAAGTGGTTGAGTCACTGACTGTGGTTTTTTTTTTTTTTTTTTTTTAGTCGTGTGTTGGTGCCTGGGTGACTTGGGAAGACTCATCTTCATATCTCTGTGTTTACAGTAGATGATGTGTGTGTAGTCACTGTGGCTGATCTGACAGACATGACAGAGTGTTGACAAGTTCTCCGACATTTGGGTTTCAACTTTTGAAGCAGTGATTCGGCTCAGAACGTCACACCGACCCGGCATTGCCTGCATGCAGCTTGCTGAGTTTAGGATATTTCTCTATCAATTTGTTCTGGCTTCACTGAGGAGGAGTTTGGTATGTTAGATGAGTAACCTGAATGATCGTGAGAGCTTTACATTTCCATGAAGTGTCATTTCCACAATCTTGCCGGTTGTCTGGATAGAGATTAACATGAGGTGAGATATTTTAAACCACTTTCCTTCTTTTTTTTTTTAAACGGTCATGTATCATACGGTTATGTGCTTAGTCTGTAGGAGAGTGTTATATTACAGGGACAAATGGAAACACAAAGCATTGCCCTCGAGAGTATTGTAAAACAAGTCTGCATGTGCTAGATTGAGACCAGCTTGTTCCAGTTTGGAACATCCCACTCCGACACATGGCCATGTTCTGAGATGCTGCCTTACCTGTATATACATGTACATGTACATGTGTCACAATGTAGGCTAGGACACTTGCCAGTTTGTCAAAACTCTTGTGAAGGTCAAAAGTACGGCTGATACAAATTATCATCCTTCCCTGCCTCCCACATGAACTGTCCCCAGAGCATCTTGCAACCTTTAGCGTTTGGATGATAATAATTACAAAGTGCAAGATAAGGCCGAAATTAGAAGAGGAAAATCATCGTCGGGGAAACAAACATGACTGGTGCCAGGCCAGATGTGGCCGAGACGTCTTGTTTACCATTACCCGTTCAAAAGAAAAAAAGGTCCCTAAAATAGGTCGTCAGAAGAAGAACCGTGTCAAAATATTTGCCGCAGAAAACACGCCGCCACGTGTGGGTTTCTTCAGTTAGTTTCAATTTCCCATCAGTCAAAACATCCTAATGGATTTGGTGTGGTTTGGAGGACGCAGCTACTATGTTCATCTGGAGACTCAGAGAAGAACAAATAGAAGGCCTGCACATATCCGTTTGATGGACCGCTTAGGGTTTTGGAGAATGTCAAGTCTGACATGGCAGTTTCTTATCTGTGGGCTCCGTGTGTGAACTAAACAAAAAATAGAAGTGTTGTTCTGTGTAACATTGTGGTCAAGTTTAGGCATACTTAGCTGAAGCTGTATCAGGCTGGTGTTCTCATGTAACACCAAGCTGAGTTATTCTGAGGATTAGAATAAAAATTGGACCTTTGAAACAATTAGGAGTGACTACTTCGAAAGATGCACTGTTGCAATCATTCAGAATGACTCTGGATTCTAGTTGAAATATTGCAATGTAAAGTACAAATGGTGTGCGGTATTAAAACAGTTGCTCATGCAAATGAGGCTGCTATGGTTGATTGCCCATGGGCCATCCCCCATGTAGCGGAAAAATTAAGTCTTCGGTTTCTGGTATGGAGCTTGCCACAAAAGTGGTGCTGCGACGCATCTTCTTTTTTTTTTACTTTTTTTTTTCTTCAAATGATGATGACTGCAGATGACTGCAAATGGTGCCCGACTAAATTTAGTGCAAAATATATGGGAGCCCAGAAAGGCCACATAAAGCTTATACTTGATCGTAATCCAATCTAAAAACACGTTAACATTGTGCAGCAGCAGGCTTCCCGTCAAACCAGTGAGTTTGGCGGTTGTGAGACATCATCTTACATTGAAGAAAAAACCTTTATAAATTTGCCGACGCGCATGGCTACGGCGATGCGCACACAGACCAGAAACCGGAGACTTTTTTGGGGGGGGGGGACCTAAGTTGGTACTAATACTATTTTGATCAAAATGACTCCAGCCATGCCAGCAAGCCAGTCTGAACTGGATGATAGAATCATTGCATACATGTACGTTGCATTGCATACCAGTACATGTATGTATCAGGAACTCGCCCTGTGTACATAGACAATGATATACTTCACATTTCCTCATTGGGGGGGGGGGGGGGGGGTATCCTATCGATGGATCTCATAGACATCTCTGACCTTTAAGTACGTAAGACTCATCTTGTCAGGTGATGTTATTGTCTTATTTTGACTTCACAAGAGGAAGTCATAATTAAATACAATTTTCTGTGTTTCCATTAATTAAAAGGGCAGAGATATTTCCTGGATGAATTTCAGAAGATGATGAGCTTCATCATGCTTCATGTACATTTTGTTCTAATTTTTTTCTGACAATAGACCAAACAAAAAAAAGAGGAAAAATTGATGTATTTGTACAGAATTTTGAATATCTCCACTGAGGTTAGTTTTCTAAAATTAGCGTAGCAGTGTGTAATAACTATTGGTTGAAATATTCATCACATCATTATTTTGAAAATTACTGTACTGACAATTCACAATTCGAGATAGCCAGTGGATTGTCGGGCGACACACATGCGAGTAAAAAAAAACAACAAAGTGCACAGACCAACAAATTGAATTAGAAATGAGTGGAACCGATTTGATAATGGTTGTCAGTGGGAGGAAATGTAGGGGAACCATTGCAGACAGGAAGGAACAGATAGCATCTTGTTAAGGGGCTTAGAAGATGACACGAGGCACGCTGGGAAGGCCGTCGTGTGCCGTCTTATCAGTTGTCTGTAATATGTGTGACTCCCATTGAGAAAAACTGTACGTAACAATTTAGCCATCACAGCAGTTCAGGGATATTTCTTGTGTGTGGATCTTTCCAAATTGGCGGTCTGCGGGTACATGTAATTCTGCAGTCTAGTGGGTTATGGCGTGTGTGCCCTTGGGCAAGACACTTTGTCACTCATTGCTTCTCCCCACGTCCCCAGGAGTAAATGGGTACCTGTGAGGGCAGAGACGGTAATTGTAGTGGATTTTAGCTGCTTTGTGTTGAAATGGCAGCATCAAGCTAGACTCCTAATTCAGGGAACTGAGATTTGTCTTTGAATTGTAATGCCTTTTTCTCCTAAGAGTGATTACATACTATGTACATGTACACTATACATGTTTAAAACAAACTTCACTGCACATACCGGTACCCAACAAATGAGATAAGTTTGAACTCATTTTTGCTTATGCATGAGCGACAAATTAAAGAGGTTGTGGAATGCTCGAAGACATTTCTGTCATTTTTCGGGTATATGTAGCCTAAGGTGTGATGAAATAAAAACGACTATTGTGTCTGTCATGAAATGAGTAGGCCTACTTTTGAGAGCTGTTTTTCAGGTCCTGTTTCGACCCGAACGTGCAATTTGTGTAAAAGTTGTCGTTGGGGGCAGCAAACAAAACATAGCAAATCGTGACGTAATAAACAGGACTCCCGATGCAGCGTAGTATAAACGAGTCCTGTTTATTAGCAGTTCGTTTTTAATTTGGTGAAGCCGTGAAAGAGTGTGCGCAAACGTTGACACGATGCGTACGCATGCGCAGTTGCTACAATTCCTTGGCTCAGTGCGTGACATCGCGTAGCTGCAATCGGCTGAATAAGAATGTGTCGCAGACGCTGATTTCAGGTGTAATTCAACACATGATGCAGCAACTTTTGAATTGAAATTGAGATCCAAGAAAATTGTTTTCTGGGAATATACGGCGTTCACTGAGCTAAAACTTCATCAGTTTTAATATAGTTGTTAAGCACCCTACTTTACATTTTGAGCACTTAATTTGTTGCTTCAAACAAAAATTGTTACAAATGATGATGTTTGTATTCTACCTAAGTTTAATTGCATGCTGCTTACACAGTGCACATTTGTAGACAGACATACGTGCACGTAGACATACATACATGTACATGTTTCAACATAGCCAATGGTTACATGCAGGCTATACAACTGGTGCACAATATTAGCTATCTCTTTGTTTACAGATATCTGACAGATCTCCGATAGTACAGCACAATCTTATGTGCATCCTTTTCCCTGAAATGACATCACCGTGCACACAGTCTTCATATTGCGCATCCGACAATCATCATACAATACTACACATGCCTTAGATCACACACACACTCATCACCCTGTGTTTATGATGATTCATTCACTTGTACGCATGTACAGGGCATATATTTTTAGGGTTGGTACAATATACTGGGCTGGCCGTGTGATAATTCTCACAGCTGACTGTTGCTGCATGGCGTGCAGATGTAGGATGCCGAATACTTTCTGATTTGTGGTGAGTACATCGTGGCATATTATTTAGTATTCAGGATGAAGCTGTGAGTGATACTGCAGGAGATACAGCAGAGATTGATGAGTTGAATTTTGTTTTGATGACTTTTGTTTTGTTTTGATGTTTCCACTTTGGTCAGTAAGTTGTGAACTGTGCGGAGCTGCATTGAACATCATTGTCTGTAAATTTATTGAGACACATGACATGTACATGAAGGAATAATTGGTCCGTACCGGTATGTGCACATGTACGTTTTCAGTGTTTTAATGCTGTGTTCTGCCGAACTGTACGTTTATTGTCATTCATTCTAAAGGTTTTTTTTTTTTTGGCAGTTGATATTTCTTCAGTGCTGGTTTTCTTTTAGTAAACGTTATCTTACATTTCACGAAGGCTTTGTCTGATTGGCTCATATATAATTACCTCACATTAGCTGCGCCGCCTTTCCTTTTACAGTAAATGTTAGTTTGCCGGAAAACATCAAAGAAGACCTCCGGCAAAGTAACGTTTACTAAAGAAAAAATTGGCGTGGCCGATATTACGTTATTATATTGAGCTAGTCTGAGAAAACATTTGTGAATAAAATTTACTAAAAGAAACCAGGTGTTGGTCAAATATGTAATTTTTTTTTAGAGTTGTGGTAAAATTTTCCTACAATAATGTATACATTCTGCATAGCAATCTAGCTTTACTAGGACAGCACACTGCACAATTAAATTAAGTAATACACTGGCGAAGGTTCAGCTGTTTAACAATTTATATCTATTAAGACCTGCAAGGGGGGGGGGGGGTTAATTATGACTTGTTTTATTTAAATGTCCCAATGTTTTCTTTGTTGACCAACTACTACACATGTCAAGGGCAGTATGAAACCATATTCTTGTTTTGTAAAAAAAAAAAAAAGGCTTGTCTTGAATAATTTTATTGGTGACTCATCTGTAAATTGGCACCATCCTCTAATGACATTTGATCACTCGCCGTACCTTTTTTTCCTCAAAATTGATATTAATAAGCCTTGTCAGTATTTGTACATGTACATGTAACTCTTTATTAAGTTGAACAACATTGACAGTCGGTGGCCGATGGCAATAGCAGTACCATCCTCCCCTGAGGCGGGGCAATTTCCCCCAACCCCCCTTAGGTCACAATTTAGTCGACTGGACATTTTACTCATAAAATCTGGGACAAATCGTTGTTTCTCCCTGTTTCGGGGGGAAAAAACAACAATGTATGATTTTTTTTGGGGGGGGGGGTAAAGCTAGGGTGAGTCTCGGTTCAAGTCTAGATTTGGATTTTTCCCCAAAATAGGGCGGTCTCTGGCAAGTCTGGTCAAGCTGTTTTGAAAGTAGAGGGCACTATCAACAAGATGATAAATCAAACTCAATCTTGGGAACCTTGGCACCTGTATCCATCCGGGAAATACCTACTGGTAGTATGCTGTTATCAGACTAGTGCGGACAATTGATGAGTGCTCAGAATTTCTTGGGTCAGGTGCTTAAGTTTGAAAGATGGGGTTCAACCTCCTCCCAGGCTGTCAAGCAGTATGCTGTCACCACTACCGGTACCTACTCTCTCACCCTGGTATTTGAGCATTTGCATATATCTCTACTGCCTCATCTGCATCAGGGGAGTTCACAAAGAACCAAGACGAGGCTAAGGTGTCTAAAAATGTTGAACATTAATTAAAGTTCAAGAAAAATTAAATCCAAATAAGTTGGCTCAAACTCGCTATGTTTCTGTGGTCAGAAGATGAGCAAATTTATAAACGCCCTGGTCATAAATTAATCCTGTCAAACAAGTGACCTGAAAAATATCATCTCATTCATGTAGCAACAGGAAATTTACTTAGGATGGAGACGGGTCCATGATAGTCAGAGTCTGTGTACTCATACTGCTTATGCCTGTCTAGTTACGGACCCATAGATTCAAGCGGACTTTCATGACCTGAAGTTTTTTTTCAGGATCTCTTTATATTAACATTGAATATACAGTACTTACGGTACATGTATGAAATTTTGTCGTTGAAGAATAATGTCTTATGTTAAAAGTAACATAAATCTCCTTTTTATAAGGGCATTTTGTACATTGCAGAAAGTAGTGAGCTTTAATTCAGAAAATACAGAAAATGTTTAAAACATTAGTAAATATTTAGAAATTGAAAAAAAGTCTGGCCATATAGAGGACTGCAAAATAAAATAGAAAACACTAATTTTTATTACCCCTACAAATTCAAGGAATTTGAATTTGAATGTGGGTCGAGTCATTTAATGATATTGACATCTGGAAAGTATTAGTAATAACCTGTCTTATTTCCTGTACATGGGCAACCTTATTTTCTTGAACCCTGGATTAGTGTTCATTTCTCGGTTTGGATTTTTTTCCACATTGAGTTGAAATTACTTGTTGGCACTTTGTAAAGTAATGCAAGACAGCAGACCTTTTTTCATGCACAGATCAGCTGTCCAGAATGTTTACATTAGTCCAGATGTTCGCATTTAAAATTTGTGTGATGACCGTTACCGTTTTGGAAGTGGATTCATGATACATTCTACGATTGCAATTGTAAAAACTTATCTCCGACAGGAAACAGTCTATCAGTACCTCTGACTGTGATGCGCGCTCAGTACCCTGGGAGCTCCCCCCCCCCACACGCAATGTACACACAGCGATACGAGCCGGGGGTTCGGTTGCGTATCGCGCCCGCAGTGACTAGGCTGATTCTGAACCCCAGAGGGAGCCCTTGTCGGGTATCAATCTTACCCTGTCGACATCTGTCATCCATTAGCGAGACCTCCTGAACTATCCCCCATGAAACGCAGGAAATTGGAGGATATTTGTATTGGGCATTCGGGGGCGGAAAGCAGATCTACCGACTGAAAGGCTCATTTCCCTCCGAAGTTTTGGATTCTGCGGTGGTCCCGCGGGGAGTGTGTGTTGGTTTTGAAGTAATTTGTCGTTTTTTCCTACACATGTGGTTCCATTCAAACTATAGGAACCAGCCCGGCAGGCTGATGTGTTCACACAGTACACGTAAATAGAGTTTACTATGTACATCGGATGTAAATAATGTCTTCATTCTGTTGTTCGGTGTATTTGAGCTGAATACTTCTGTGCATTGTAGTACTGGCTGTAGCAGATATCCAGAGACGAATATGGCATATATTCCTTTGTATAAGGTCTGGATTTTAGGAGTACGGTCAATTTGTGCTGTTCAGTTGCCCTTGTTGTAATACGCAGCACCATTTTTATTTTGTGCTAGGAGTCGGAAAAAAACGCAATTAAAGGCAAGAATCTGTCTTAGAAAGTTTGAGCAGAGCTCTATAATATTAAATACACGAAGGTTATGTGTATAAAGCGCATGTATCCACCAGTATTGGTGCTCAAGGCACTACATCATTATTACCCTGCTCATTGGGCCAATGAAACATTCCAAATACCATCTCAGCTCCCTGGGGAGTATACAGCTCGATACTGCCATTTTGGCGCAAAGCAGCTAAAATCAACCACAATAACCATCTCTGCCCTCACTTGTACCCGTTTACTCCTGGTTGGAGAGAAGCAATGAGTGACAAAGTGCCTTGCCCAAGGGCACACACACCAAAACCGCAGGATGGACTCTAACCCACAACCTGCAGAATTACCCGCAGACCACGAATTCAATGCTTCAGACCACCTAGCCACGACACTCCACGGTTGAGTCTTAGATTGAGTCTTAGATTGACAATTTCCTTGGTTTTCAAGGTTGTAAACCTTGTGGTCTTTATTTCTTTACTTTGCAGGTAACTAGCTCCTGATCAGCTAAGCAATGACCGTTCACTCTGCGTCCATTCCTCTGGTCATCCAACCATCTGTCCTTCCCTTCCCAGCATCCCTCAGTCACCATCCCCATGTCGCAGGCCTACGGTCGCATGTACCACCCCACTCCCCACCACCACACCCACCACCACCCTCCCCACCATCAGGTGCACTCCCAGGGTCCACCCTACCGTCCATCAGGTGAGTCCCCTCCCCACCCTGGGGGCTACCCCCACCGAGGCTATCACCAGAACCACTACGGCAGTCCGCCCCCACGGCCGGGCCCCTCCCACTACAACAACACCGTCTCTGTCTACTCCGTCCCGAAGCCGTCCCGCCCCTATAACAACTACAGCAACCGGCGTGGCCGCAGTGGTGGCAACACAGGGCGTGGTGGTTACCATAACAACCACAACAATCATCACCATAGCAACCACAACGGCCAAGGCTACAACAACCACGCCCATAACAGCTACCGGCCACACCCGCCGGACTTTGACTTAGAGTGGGACCATTACGATTTTAACGCCGAGAAACCGAAAGGCAAGCAAACGTCCCGACAGAGGAACTCTTACTCACAACACGGTGGTGGTCCGACATTGGCTGATGCAGAGTTGGAATGGGATGACTACGATCTAAGACCTAAAGAAGAAGAAGAAGAAGAAACAGTTGAAACGCTGGACTACATTCTGACAGAAGGAGTTTTTCCTTTGGTTAGTATACCTCTGTTGTTACTTTATCAATACTTAAAAATTAAAAATTACCCACTAATTACTCTGTTGTTACTTTATCAATACTTAAAAATTACCCATTTTAGCCTAACAATTCAGGTTTGTGGAATCTAAATAAATTTTCCATTCAACCAACATATGTGAGTAGGTATTGTGTTAGAAAGATTCCTTAACCCTAACCCTCAATCCTCCAAAATCAACCGGGCAGTTTTGGACGACTTTGGAGGATTGAGGCTGAATGGCTAAAAAGTGTCCGTTCATTTTGGAGGATGCATTGTGTCAAGCTGTACCTTGCATTCTTTATGTTCAGCCTTGCATAATTAAGGCCTAAATTATGCTGGATACCATCCGCCCCCCCCCCCCCCTTCTGGTTATCATCCGCACTGCCTCAGTGTATTGACAGTGATTGTTGGATGATTTTGAAGGATTGAGGCAGTGGTCACCCCTCGAATGAAGAAATTCAAGAAATAACTTGAAATAACTTGGATTTTCTAGAATTGAGGCTGCATCTAATTTTAATATGATGGCAATATTTTGCAGGATTTTGCAGGATTTTAGATGTGTTCTTGCCAAAGGCACTGGGCGGTTAGGGTTAACCCTAACTCCCCAGGGGGTGTGCAAAATCATATTGGAATTGGAGGATTCAGGACTGTCCTCCTAAATCCACTGTGCTGGAAACCAATCGTGCATTTTGTCGAACGAAAGATGGGAAATCAAGCAATCAAATAAAGTCTTTCCAAATATGTACTATACATGTACACAATTCTGCAGGATTTACTGTGATTAGAAATAATACCATGTCATCTCCTAGACCTTGACCCACATCATATCTATTTTTGTAGCAAATTGCATTCATCCCCAGCTTACACACGTAGCATTTACTTATTGAATACATGTACTAACAAGTTTCATGGTCAATTTGCCTACACCATGCTGTCATTCTCCATAGGATATGAGGCTAACAGGTAAATTACGATCCATTATATGCATGTTTGTATAGTTGGATAGTACACACTTACATGTATGCTCTTTATATTTTTTAATGTTTTACCAACATTTGTGAATCAGTCTGTGGAGTTACGTGTACATGTACGTGTTCGTGTATCATGCATGAGCTTATCACTGCAAGTGTACATGTAAGTGTTCTTGTCAAGCATCAGAAAATATGTTATCAGAAATATCTCGCAGAACTTTGAAAAACTTTTTTGTGTATTTGTTTCCTGTTGTGTACAGTACATGTACTTGTGATTTTTTAATATTGTATACAGAAGAGATTTCTGCTTTCAAACCAGAATTTATCTGCCAGAAAATGCTTATTGTTTTTATTTGACTCCAAATATTGTAATAATCCAAAGAAGGTTTTCAGTTTAGTTTTAAAGGCACATTTTATGCAATTCACCTTTCATGACAGCTTGCCCTGTGATACCATTACTTAAATTGAAGCAAAATCTAATTTCTTTCAGCTTAATTTTTTTTTTAAAGAAATATCAGATTTTGTTCCCAAGAGAATATATTGTCAGTCTTATATTTCTCTCCCAACTTCCTGTCTGACAGATCGGTGTTGTCACCAAGGCTCCTCTCTCCCGCGGCCATATTCCCCTGGGTGCCATCCAAGTCTGTCGTTTCCCCCAAGGAGGCGCATCCTTTAAGACTCTCGCTTCCTCAGACCACCTCTCCAAATCCCTCCGACTCAACAAAGAACTTTTGGTGCTGACCAGCGAACTGAATGAGGGCGCTCTGTTCTCATCGGGACTAGACAGCCCAAGCGAGAGCAAAGACTTCCTGTTAGCTGACCTGGCATTGACGCGAGACAAGGATTCCTCTTCTAGTGCTACCGACACGCCTTCCAAGGACGGGGAGAGCGAGGGAGCATCAAACGGCATCTCAGAGGAGGATCTCGACGAGGATTTCCTGAACGACACCTACGAGTCTGGGTACCAGGATCGTCTAGGTGATATCGATCTTTACGCCCTCGCCCCGCACGATTTCGACTCGCCCGATTCGACGTTCAGCCGGTCTTTAGCCGACTTGACGGACATCAGTCTATGTGAGTTGTGGAATGCTTTGATCCCATGCCTGAAATTTGCCTGTGCTTTCTTGAGTCTGCTTTACGTTCGTATGTCCTGTGGTTGCTACCTGACTAGTCAGGTCACCATCAAAACTAGTTACTTAATCAACGCATGTTAGCAACTGGGTTAGTAGCAGACTTAACCATTAACTACATAGTAGAAAAATAAACTGGTTAAGAGTAGATCCATCTGCATGATTAACGGCTGGAGCAGAGTCTACCCTTACTGCAAGGGCTTTAACTATCAACTGGTACCTTTGCTCATTAACCACAGACTTTTGATTAATCCAATCACCAACTCTTCTCTAAACTGGTTGAGGCCGGTTAACAACTTTCCTACCTTCTCAAGGAGGAGTGATGAAACTAAACAGCCATTAACTCATTACCAAAACCATTTGATGAACAGAAATTGCGTCACATGTTTAAACCAAGTTATATTAACTATAAACCAAGGCTTCAGTTACCTGGATTATCACTTGGTTAAACCGGTAGACGTCTGTATTAACTTGGATGCAAGCATGGCTAGCAGAGTTAACAAGCAAGCTGCTAAACGCAAGCACGCTAGCAAAGACTCTCAACTTCGCTCACCGCAAGTGGATCCACAAAACAGTGCCGTGGAGGAGACGGCACACATCAAGCATGTCTGGGGTGAGAGTCCCATCGATGAAGATGGATGCTCCATTGTCTTAGACCCTGTCACCTTGACTGCCTCCTTCCATGCCAAGATACGCCGTTGTGCCTCTCCTGGCCCTCCGGGCACCAGTCTGGATACACAAGCCGACGATACTGACACTAACAGCATGCTAACCGAGTCTGAACTCATAACATCTGAGTCGACTGATGAAGCTACGCTAACCTTAACTAATGTGGGTGGCGTGGATATATTTGAAGCGAAGTCGGCTTCCATTAACACGACGTCAACTTGGTGTGCGACTAAACAGTCCGCAGAGTCAGACTCTAGCATGTGCCAGGATTGTCCGCAGCATGTTACTAAATCACCACTAACAACCGAAGGTAAGAGCTGGAGCTATTTTGCATGCTTATAGACAAATCTTGCAACCACATTTCGAAGCCATTACTATGGTGGTACATTGCTTGTGCTCTTGTTCATGTACATGCTGACTCAAACAATAGGATGTCTACCATGCATTGGCACCTCAAATTCATCTTGCAGTATACATAAGACAATCTATGTGTTGTAATATGGGTTGCCGGTGTGTGAATAATATCACAGTTTTTGGAGCTGGTACACGTATATCTTACATGAAGTTTTTTTTTTTAAATATAGAAATCAAGTCATGTCAGCACAAAGGTTTAGGATTTTGAGGATATTTTGTCTGAAATAAGCCAATGAATCAATTATTTTTCCCCGAACAGATGAAGAGCTTGGGATTGACCCGAGTCTGCTGAGACATACTCTCGAAAGGTCAAGGTCACTAGGAGATGCAACGAGAGGTATGTCGACCCAGTCAACTAAACAAACAAAAAAGAGGACAAACCAACTGTTCAGAGATATGTAATACATCGACACAACTGTTCCTTTCAAAATCAAGTTGACAATGTCTGAGTTGAATGCTTATATTTTCAATGTTGCATATGTTGTAAAGGGATATGTGAACAGATCCACTTTTGGGAAGGCAAATTTCTCAGGGACATTTTCTTATTCATGAAGACCATAATCAAAGGACTTTGACGTAAGTTTTCAAGTTGTCTCACTTCAAAAGTACATTTTTACAATCTTTAATTTTTAGATTGAAGTTAAGTCACTACACTGCATCAAACATCTTTCTGCTGTTTGGCATGCTACAGCACTCTCAATTTGTAAACAAAAATAAGGTAGTAAATTATTTTTTTTTCAGCACAAGATGCCTCTAAAGACAGAAGTCTGAAGGGACTGAAAGCTAAGAAGAGGAAGAGGAAAGGAACAGAAAAGGTTGAGGAATCCTCAGCAGCAGCCGGAGATGAAGGCTCAGAGAGGAAGACTAAGAGATTAGCTCCTAACTTCTTTGTGGCTGTTCAGGTCTCTAATCCTCAGGTAGTGCCTTGTTATTAATTTCAAATCTTGACTAACCTCGGATAATGTTCCGTACGTAAGAGCTACACTTCTGATTCATTGTGGCAGTTTAGTCTTCCAGTCTTGGATATTTGTTTATTGATTACGTTTCTTCACCTAGGGTATGCCCAAACAGTTTAAAACTGGTTTCTATTGGGGCCCTGCATACATTACAAATTATTAACTAAAGTTAAGTAAAATAAAATTAAAATTCACAAGGAAAAAATGCAGTGGTAAAACAGACTGCGAACACGAATACTTACAAATACAAGTACTTGATTCTGGCTTTCACTGAACTTCAGCCAAACACCTTTGTTTTTTTGTGAAGATTATCTTTTTTTTGGTATTTCAAAGTTTATATTTTTTCTCTCAAGTTTTTCATTCCTAGAAGTTTGCTATAACTGAAGTGTTGTTGCTGAACTCTACATATGCGTAGAAACTTCCTTTAGTGGGAATTCTTTTATCAGATAGTTCAAACTGGAATCAAAATGGAATTTGTTCTTTCTGTTACTAAAAATTGTAAAACTGTCAAAATTATTCTTGATGTAGATCCATGAAGCCTTGAAAGACGTCCAACAGACAGTGGTGTCTGGAGATGAGAAACTAAAAGATGCCATGGTTCCTATATCAACACTGCATCTTACCATCATGGTGATGCACCTAGCAACCGAGGAGGACGTTGAGAGGTTGGTGCAACTCAAGATAATCCTTGTCTTATCAAATTGGTGCTTATTGATGAAATTTATGTGATGGCACATTGGCCAATCGAGGGCTGTTTCTCAAACACCGGTTGGTCTCTGTCTTTGGCTTCAAGCATGTAATTTGGCAATGGAACCGGAGTTGGAGTTGAAGCCTGGGTTTCAAATCTGCCAAAGTATCCATGTTGTATCAGCTTTGTGCAGGATGATTGAGGGCGCTGCAGTGTCTATACATGGACATATACCACATCATTAGTGCCTTTCCTTTCCCAGGCTGGGTTCCTTCTGTCAATAAAATGTTAACCCTCTTAGTGGGAAGTCAATATTCAGAGCAATATGTGAAACCCTTTAAAACCCTGCAGGTTAGTTTCAGGTGAAAAAAGCAGATATGTAATGTTTAAGTAATTGTGCCACACAGAGAGTCCCTGCGCAAAAAACAGCACTTTGGAGGGCAGTAAAACGTGACTGAATCTGCCTGCTTGTTCTGAGCTTAACCTCGCAAACGAATTGTGCAGAAGTGTTATCCATACTCCACAGAAGATTACCTCCAATGAATTGAAATGTGGGTGCTAACTCATGGGCAAAAGTGGTTTTGCAAAACTTAAAAATGTCCTGAAGTGCAGAAGACTACGAGGGTTAAAAGAATTCACTGAACATTTTTCTTCTATATTTTGTCAGAGCGAAGGTAGCCTTGAATGAGTGCCATCGACTTCTGAGCCCACGCTTCATCAAGGAGAAGCTGAGCATCCTATTCGGAGGACTGGGCCACTTCAATAACCAGGTCATGTTTGCCAAGATCAAGGATCAGGATAATATCTTGGAGAGTTTGTACGAGATAGCAGGTAAGCAAGTGAATGAAGCCGTGTGAATGGCTATGGCTAGAAGTAACACACATGTCTATGGGAAGTTGCCTCAGCCGCTTCCATGTAAGCCGCAGCCAAATATGTGTCTGCTGAGGAAATAATTTCTGCACTTAGCAGCTCAAACATTATGCCAAGACAAGAGTTAGCATGACATAGGAGGCCTTGCAGGGACGTTTTGGGTATCTTGATTGATTGCAGTTAGGAAATGAACTGAAAATGAAAAGCTGTCCTGATATATGCCAGGTGTTGAACTGATGGGTTTGGAGGTGGGTGTCAGTTGGGGGGGGGGGGAGGTGTGTAGGATGGGACATAGGGTTTCATGATTAAGATAACTGAAGTACATTTTCCAGAGATAGGTTGATTGATCACATAGGCTCTGTGATGCAAGCCAAGACACCCTGACTGAACTTTGTGATCCCGGTGGGGCTTGGTGTCACAGGCAAGATGACAGCATACAGGAAATCAAACGGGGAAACAGTGTCACATGAACCGGATAGACTCTTCCTACCCTTATGACCTCCAATGCTTGTAGTCTAAGCTTATGTAAAATTTGGGGGGGGGGGGGGGTGGTTCCAGCCCCCCACCCCCCACCCCTCCCCCCAAATAAAAAAAATATATATATATAACCAGGAGTGAAGACCGGTTTTTACAATGGATGATCTAGTTAACTCAACCCATTTTCATAGGCCACTAGCAAGTTCCCTTTCGAAAAGACAGACTCCTGTCTTCCCACCCCTTCCCCCTCGAAAATTTGGTTCTTGATCAAGCTGGGAAATTGGGTGAGCTTGTTCTTTAAAAATTAGATTACAGAACAGTAATTTCTGATAATAAATATTTAGAATTGTTGAGTTACAGTGAATTAACTTCCCAAAACAAAGGTTTGTGATGGCGAAAAATAATTTTCTCCACTAGGTATAACATTTTGCTATTGCAGTCTGTTTAGTGTGAACTTCAAGCCTGATCACGCCAGTTTTTTGTTTATTTGTTTATTTATTAATATTTTTTTCGTTTTTTTACCTCCCGTTTAATAACCAGACACGGTAGAGAAATGTTTCTCTGAGTACCAGCTGGTCTCAACCGGTGAGCGTGGCTTCAAACCCCACCTGACTGTCATGAAGTTATCCCGGGCGCCCAGCCTGCGTAAGAAAGGTGTACGTAGGATCAAGTCTGAGCTCTACAAGGCCCACAGCTCACAGGTGTTTGGAACCCAGGTGGTGGAAGGGTTACAGCTGTGTTCTATAAATAAACCCAAGACACCTGATGGGTACTACTGCAAGGCTGCCGAAGTCTTCTTTGGAGATCCAAGTAAGTTTTGTTCGACCCGAAGGGGTTGCCTGTTGTTCTCTGACACACTGACTGACTGACCGACTGACCGACCAACCGACTTGTACTTACCGACTGAGGGGCCAACTAACCGATCAGACAGACCTGACCCAGCCAGCCCAACCTGACCAACTTGACCCGACCCAACTTGACCAAACCCGACCCTACCTGACCCAACCCGACCCTACCCGACCAAACTTACACATTTATAAAATATCTTGCACTTGGTTACTTCTCTTTTAGTCTCTTTGCTCACAAATGTTTGTAAATTTATGCTGTCTTTTTTTTCTCTTCAAAGCCTGTAGACCAGACCGTGATATCCACACGATAGCTGAAGGAGAGGAACCGGCCATAGAATCCTTGAATGAAGCATGCTCCTCAGCCACCAATATGTCAGGTGAGAACATAAGCGTCTCCTGGTGTTTCTTCCGAGTTCTGTAAAGTTATTGAAGTTCTGTGCATAAGATGCCAAATGCAGAAGAGTTTTGCATAAAGCAATGACCGGCCAACAAAGTTTCTCATTGGATCAGTTAGATTATGATCTCAGAATTTGTTCAATTTTGAGGAATTTGTAATAAATATTAGCATAATGGAAACTGACTCAATTTTAAGAAGATTGGGGTTTGAACCTGTGACCTCACAAATGCTGTACTTGTGCTCTACCAACTGAACTCTCAAACCTGTGGTGGTAACTTCCAATCCATTATTTTCTCTGACACTTTGATAAAGAAATCGAACAATTTGGAGACCACCAGTATAAAGCAACATAGCTCAGTTGGTAGAGCATCGTTACAGTATCCAAGAAGTCAGGGGTTCATATCCCACTGTTATTAGTTGTCTTTGGTTACTTTATTAAATGCTCAGTTTTGTCAAGACAGATAGTAAACTTTGCATCTGTTGTTTGTGCATTTTACTCTAGAATCAACTGACACAAGATCAAGTCCAAAACGCGTCCTAGAAACAGAAGAAAAAATGGATTGCAATGATGGCGAAGCTAGTGTTAAAACACAGATCAGCGACTCGCCGAAATACGAACATATGTCATCTAATGAAAAACAGAATATAAGTTTGGATGTTAAACATCAGTCATCATCCCGTCCAATATGTGAAAGTGTAGTGAACAATGAGAACTCTGTGTCTAAAGCTGAGGTGCAGAAGGGTGTCTGCCTAGATAGTGACACAACCCAGGACACACCCAGTGGGGCAACCAGTGACACACCCTTTGCATCACTTAGTGACACTGGCCACAACGGACCTAGTGACACTGCTGATAGCACACTGGAGAACATGTCCGGAGGCATAACTAGTGATACCACACCAACTTCTTTGAGCGATGTGTCTGCCATAGAGCCGTCGGCCCTGCTAAACGGTGAGAGAAAATCCACAGAGTCTGCTATGGATTGTGGAACTGTTCAAAGAGGTCCGGGCGATGTCCTCAAAACTGGGCCAACTGAAACATGCTGAGAGCAACGTCCATGTGGTATCCAAGAGATTTTGATTTTACTCCCGAGGTATTTGAGAGATCGTGGAAATTTGTTGATTGAGGGGATTGGAAATGCCAATCTTAATGAAACAAATGGTAAGTGCTTCCACTTTGTGACTTCATTTAATTGCTGTTTTGTGAATGTAAATATCAAAAATAGTGGTATCCTATTAATAGTGCTTTATTGGTAAATTAAGGTTATTGTTGATTTTTTTTTTTACAATGAATAATGTTTTGAAGTATGCTTAATCATTCTTGTTCGAGAGTAAAAGGGGGCTATTTGTGTTTGTCAATGCACCATTGTTTATTTTACAAAATCGGCCACGTTAGGGGTACTGAGTTGGACACAAAAGGCAACATACTAACAAGCCCCATGCAGCTTGTGTACATACATTTATCCAAAAATTTGATGCAGTCACAAGAGGGCGCCAGACTTTATCCAGTGTCATACATTGTCACAAGAGAGTGCCAGGCATCCATCTTGAAAATTATGCCTTTTTCGTAAGCTAGCAGTTGTGCAAAGATGCCAGAAATTGACGAAAGAGGGTGCCAGACATCCGTTTTGCAAAAACAATGCCCTTGTGGTAGCAGTAATTGGGTTACGACATCATACGTTGTCACAGAGGGCACCAGACTTAACCATTTTGTAAGCTAGCAGTTTTGGGTTATGACATCAAACCGTGTCACATGAGGGCGCCAGACTTGACCATTTTTGAAAGTCATGCCATTTTTTTTTATCTAGACGTTGGGTTATACTTTCATCCTTTGCCACAAGAGGGCGCCAGATTGGGAAACATGATATCCACTGTGCACTTGATTTTGAGCAAGCTTACCGATAGACTTGTGCAATACATTTTCCTTGTAATTCCTGAGACAACTGTGTTCAATATTAGGTGGAATGACCTAAGATACGCAGGAAATAATCCCGCATAAATTCTCAGAATAACATTTGGAATTCTTGAGCTACCTAAATGCTCATTAGTCGAGACAACCTTCAAAAGTCATTGCTACTCTTTAATTCTACAAAGCGTACAAAATTAAATTGGTATGATAGACACATGATACCAGTGTTGTGAGGTATATGTACCTGCTCAGGTTTATAATCGGATGTACACGTAAAACACAAACCTTGTGAATTTTGACCTTTTTTATGGGAGGACATTAGCATCTGCCCAACCAAGTTACTTTCCTTTTTTTTTCATTTAAAAATTTTCATTTTTTTTTCGATGGAAAATTTTCCTGTTTGGTTGTGGGAATGGAGCAATAATAATTTAAAAGCAAATTTGTACTGTTAATTGTTAAATTTCTTGGAATTAGTTCGCAAGATTTATTGCTGTTCTGGAAGTAGGACTGACCGTTAGTTTTGTTGCTGAAATTGTCCCTTTTTTCTCATGTGTTTTGCTGTAAAAATGTAGCAAGGCCAATATACATGTATGTCATGCCTCTTAAGACTTGCGGAAATTGAAAATGAAATTAGCCGTGGATTCCTAAGTAAGTTTTGATGGATTCCTGTCATTGAAACAAAAATAATTCCAAGAAATATCTGCCTTGTGAGTGCGAGGCAGTAGCTAGTAGAAGCAACAGAATAAGGCCTAAAAAAAAAGTCTCCGGTTTCTGGTCTGCCCGCGTGTTGCCGTAGCCATGCGCGTCGGCAAAATTAACAAGTTTTTTTTTCAATGAAAGATGATGTCTCAAAACCGCCAAATTCACTGGTTTGACTGGAATCCTGCTGCTACACAAATTTAACGTGTTTTTAGATGGGGTTAGGATCAAGTACAAGGTTTATGTGGCCTCTCTGGACTCTCATATATTTGCAGTAAGTTTAGTCGGGCACCATTTGCAGTCATCAGCCGACACTTGAAGGGAAAAAAAAAAGCCAGGTCGCCACACCACTTTTGGGGCAAGCTCCATACCAGAAACCGGAGACTTTTTTTTGGCCTAATGGCAGCCATAAACTGAAATTGCTAAAATCTATAGATCTAGTCACAGTGTTTATAAATAAACCCCAAATATATCAGATCAGTGAAATATGCAAAGTAGGGTTACGGCTTATTTCCTGGGAAAAAAAAGGTGGTTTACATTTTTGTTTTATATTTGAAATATTTATATCATTTATGGGTGTGCTTATTGGTTTAATTGTTGAAGATTGAAAACAGTAGCTTTCGTTTGCCGAAGAGCAAATGTAAACAAGATTTTCAAAATCTTGGGTAAAGTAACTTTGGTATTAAAAAGCATTAATACTTGTATAGTGTTGCAATATATATTGACTTATTTATCAGATTTGGCTCAAGAGGATTATAAGTGCCTTTAAGTATTTTATTTTGCATTTATATGTACAGGGCTTCTTTTCGATGCCGTATTAAAAATGCCAATATTTGGGATTTAATTTGATATTTACGGTAACTCAAACTGAAAAGAATATGAATTTTTCAAATGCCCTTTTGTATTTTCTTCTTCTTCAAATAAGGTGTCAGAGCATTTAAAGCAATAATGATAAGAAAGGGGCTAGACTTTGGCTTTGATTACTGTAGCTGTGTAACATAAATTAATTATGGTTACGGTTGGCTAAATTCAATCATTTTTGCGCAAAGAAGGTTTCTGTGCGTAATTTGAGTTTTCCGTAAAACTTTAGAAGTATATTTTTGATAGAGTACATGTATTCGTTAAAGAAAAAAATCGTTGTTATGTCATGTTCTAGAAATGTGGACAAATAGAAACAAAAATTTGAAATTAAGACATTTTGTGGTATCCATATTCTTCATTGTATTTACGAAGACGTTAATCAAAACATGAATAATAGAAGGTACTATCATGTCTGACATAATTCTGGTAGGCCAATAATAAAATATCACAACTCAATCTAAACGGTATAAAAACAATAAATAATAATTTTTACATTTTGTTTCAAAACATCTACTGCAAAGTCTACAAATCTAATTAGTCATTGCTGTTTTAAATAATTCTACAAAATTTATATTCTTTTTATGAACACACATAATGTCACATACATGATTTGGTGATAATTAGTTTAAAACTACAGACAGTATCTTTTATACCATATAATCACAAACAATTTCTTATAAAATCACACTGATTACAATTTGTCGTAAACAAAATTATGAAAGGGTTCCGAAAGTCGTGTGCATTTTTCAAATACAAATTGCAGCATTTGGCTTAAAGCACTGATGAAACAGTCACGTCAATTTTGGTTAAAATTTTAAAACCAAAAATATTGGACCATTGATCGTTTTCTGCATCTAAAAAAAATGAACAGCCGAGAATACAGAAGAGGGTGTACATGTACTCGAAGTAATTGAAGTTTTTCAACGAGTATATCATGTAATTTATAGATCATAATTTAAATATAATTTTCAATCTTGTGTAAGATTTTAAAAATCCTGTAAACATCTTCACAATCAGGACTACACAAGCACATAAAAAATGTTATCTGTTTGATGATTGGTAAAATCGCTCTTTGACATCTTCAGGATACACTCTGGTACACTATCACTTTATATAAATAATCTAAAAACTGGACGTAACAAATCTTTGTTTTCTTTGTACAAACAAATATTTAATCAATAAGCAGCTGACCAATCATATTTCAGACTTAGCACCATTTTAAATTTGGCTGCCAGATGCCACATGTGCACAGGGTAAATCTGTAAAATCACTTCTGAATGCAGAAACCTCCGAAATGACACAAAATTCAAGTAAGAATACCCATTTTAAATTTTAGCATTTTGTTTGCAAACTCATGTAAATACTTTTTACACCATTTTACACAGGACCATGTATACATTTGCTTTATAAAATGTGTCGATCAAGGGCGGCAGAAACAGGGGTAAATCCCCTCCCCCCCCCCTCCCGCCAAAAAAAACCTTTCGGATGTCCCGTTACATAGATGTATGTACTGTACCCCTCCAATTCACAAACTTCAATCTTGGTTTTTGCCATTCACCGACGTATTCTATAACACTGTATACTCAGTGTAGTCCTGAGTGATTGTGAGAACAAATTCACAAACTACTTCGGTGGGACTCGAACCCACGACCTCCTGCTTACTAGTGCAGATGTCTTACCACTCGACTTTGCTTGGGTCGGCTGGCTGGTTCGAATCTGATATAGCAGCAGTTACCGCAACCAAACTATTCAATTATTCATGAAATGGAATTTGCGTCGGGATGATTGACTTGGTATTGATTGTTGAAAGCACCGTGAAAGCACCTTAAGAACTCTGGCAGCGTTACCTACAAAAACTGAGTTGACATCTTAGGACTGGTGTCTTGGGAAACTAGGTGAGGGGACACTGATCTGGGATGACGTCAATTGACTCTGAGGCAGACAGGAAGATGTAAGGTCTACCCAGGTTGATACGGAAGTCTTGAATGCATCCATTGAAGGCTGTCTTGATGGTTCCTGAGTGCTGCCACATTGGCTCTGGTAATAATAGAAAAGGGTAGATATTTGAATAGATATTTCTAAACTCAAACCAAATCGTGTACAAGGCTACAGGCAGGTTCATACTTTAAGGAAACTGAAAGCGAGAGAACTTTTACGTCAATAATTGAATGTTCAAGGTTAACCCCTTTCAATCCGAATTTTTATTCAGAAATATCTGATTTTGCCCAATTTTGCTAAAATAGCAAGGCTTACCCCTTACAATTTGATTTTTTTCATAAAAATCTGATTTTGCCCAATTTTGCTAAAATAGCAAGGCTAACCCCTTACAATTTGAATTTTTTCATAAAAATCTGATTGTGCCCAATTTTGCTAAAAAAACAAAGGTTAACCCCTTACAATCTGAAATTTTTCATAAAAATCTGATTTTGCCCAATTTTGCTAAAAAAGCAAGGTTAACCCCTTATAATTTAAGATTTTTCATAAAAATCAGATTTTGCCCAATTTTGCTCAAAAAGCAAGGTTAACCCCTTACAATCTGACTTTTTTCATAAACATCCAATTTTGCCCAATTTTGCTAAAAAAGCAAGGTTAACCCCTTACAATTTTAGATTTTTCATAAAAATCTGATTTTGCCCCATTTTGCTCAAAAAGCAAGGTTAACCCCTTACAATCTGAAATTTTCCAGAAACGTCTGATTTTGCCCAGTTTTAGGTAAAAATGCAAGGTTAACCCCTTACAATTTTAGATTTTTAATAAACATCCAATTTTGCCCAATTTTGCTCAAAATGCAAGGTAAACCCCTTACAATTTAAAATTTTTCATAAAAGTCTAATTTTGCCCAATTTTTGCAAAAAATGCAACCCCTTACCATCTGAAATTTTTCATAAAAATCTGATTTTGCCCAATTTTGCTGAAAAAGCAAGGTTAACCCTTTACAATCTGAAATTTTTCATAAAAATCTGATTTTGCCCAATTTTGCTAAAAAAGCAAGGTTAACCCCTTACAATTTGAAATTTTTCATAAAAATCTGATTTTGCCCAATTTTGCTAAAAAAGCAAGGTTAACCCCTTATAATTTAAGATTTTTCATAAAAATAAGATTTTGCCCAATTTTGCTCAAAAAGCAAGGTTAACCCCTTACAATCTGAAATTTTTCATAAAAATCTGATTTTGCCCAATTTTGCTAAAAAAGCCCTTACAATCTGAAATTTTCCAGAAACGTCTGATTTTGCCCAGTTTTAGCTAAAAATGCAAGGTTAACCCCTTACAATTTTAGATTTTTAATAAATATCCAATTTTGCCATTTTTGCTTAAAATGCAAGGTTAACCCCTTACAATTTTAGATTTTTCATAAAAATCAGATTTTGCCCAATTTTGCTCAAAAAGCAAGGTTAACCCCTTACAATCTGAAATTTTCCAGAAACGTCTGATTTTGCCCAATTTTGCTCAAAATTCAAGGTTAACCCCTGATAATTTTATATTTTTCATAAAAATCTGCTTTTGTCCATTTTTGCTAAAAAAACAAAGGTTAACCCCTTACAATCTGAAATTTTTCATAAAAATCTGATTTTGCCCAATTTTGCTAAAAAAGCGAGGTTAACCCTTTACAATCTGAAATTTTTCATAAAAATCTGATTTTGCCCAATTTTGCTAAAAAAGCAAGGTTAACCCCTTACAATTTGAAATTTTTCATAAAAATCTGATTTTGCCCAATTTTGCTAAAAAAGCAAGGTTAACCCCTTATAATTTAAGATTTTTCATAAAAATCAGATTTTACCCAATTTTGCTCAAAAAGCAAGGTTAACCCCTTACAATCTGAAATTTTCCAGAAACGTCTGATTTTGCCCAGTTTTAGCTAAAAATGCAAGGTTAACCCCTTACAATTTCAGATTTTTAATAAACATCCAATTTTGCCCAATTTTGCTTAAAATGCAAGGTTAACCCCTTACAATTTTAGATTTTTCATAAAAATCAGATTTTGCCCAATTTTGCTCAAAAAGCAAGGTTAACCCCTTACAATCTGAAATTTTCCAGAAACGTCTGATTTTGCCCAGTTTTAGCTAAAAATGCAAGGTTTACCCCTTACAATTTTAGATTTTTAATAAACATACAATTTTGCCCAATTTTGCTTAAAATGCAAGGTTAACCCCTTACAATTTTAGATTTTTCATAATCATCTAATTTTGCCCAATTTTTGCAAAAAATGCAAGGTTAACCCCTTACAATCTGAAATTTTTCATAAAAATCTTATTTTGCCCAATTTTGCTAAAAAAGCAAGGTTAACCCCTTATAATTTAAGATTTTTCATAAAAATCAGATTTTACCCAATTTTGCTCAAAAACCAAGGTTAACCCCTTACAATCTGAAATTTTCCAGAAACGTCTGATTTTGCCCAGTTTTAGCTAAAAATGCAAGGTTAACCCCTTACAATTTCAGATTTTTAATAAACATCCAATTTTGCCCAATTTTGCTCAAAAATGCAAGGTTAACCCCTTACAATTTTAGATTTTTAATAAAAATCTGATTTTGTCCATTTTTGCTAAAAAAGCAAGGTTAACCCCTTACAATCTGAAATTGTTCATAAACATCCGATTTCGCCTTATTTTGTTAAAAAAGCAAGGTTAACCCCTTATAATTTTAGATTTTTCATAAAAATCTGATTTTGTCCATTTTTGCTAAAAAAGCAAGGTTAACCCCTTACAATCTGAAATTTTCCAGAAACGTCTGATTTTGCCCAGTTTTAGCTAAAAATGCAAGGTTTACCCCTTACAATTTTAGATTTTCAATAAACATACAATTTTGCCCAATTTTGCTTAAAATGCAAGGTTAACCCCTTACAATTTTAGATTTTTCATAATCATCTAATTTTGCCCAATTTTTGCAAAAAATGCAAGGTTAACCCCTTACAATTTTAGATTTTTAATAAACATACAATTTTGCCCAATTTTGCTTAAAATGCAAGGTTAACCCCTTACAATTTTAGATTTTTCATAATCATCTAATTTTGCCCAATTTTTGCAAAAAATGCAAGGTTAACCCCTTACAATTTTAGATTTTTCATAAAAATCAGATTTTGCCCAATTTTGCTCAAAAAGCAAGGTTAACCCCTTACAATCTGAAATTTTCCAGAAACGTCTGATTTTGCCCAGTTTTAGCTAAAAATGCAAGGTTTACCCCTTACAATTTTAGATTTTTAATAAACATACAATTTTGCCCAATTTTGCTTAAAATGCAAGGTTAACCCCTTACAATTTTAGATTTTTCATAATCATCTAATTTTGCCCAATTTTTGCAAAAAATGCAAGGTTAACCCCTTACAATCTGAAATTTTTCATAAAAATCTTATTTTGCCCAATTTTGCTAAAAAAGCAAGGTTAACCCCTTATAATTTAAGATTTTTCATAAAAATCAGATTTTACCCAATTTTGCTCAAAAAGCAAGGTTAACCCCTTACAATCTGAAATTTTCCAGAAACGTCTGATTTTGCCCAGTTTTAGCTAAAAATGCAAGGTTAACCCCTTACAATTTCAGATTTTTAATAAACATCCAATTTTGCTCAAAAATGCAAGGTTAACCCCTTACAATTTTAGATTTTTAATAAAAATCTGATTTTGTCCATTTTTGCTAAAAAAGCAAGGTTAACCCCTTACAATCTGAAATTGTTCATAAACATCCGATTTCGCCTTATTTTGTTAAAAAAGCAAGGTTAACCCCTTATAATTTTAGATTTTTCATAAAAATCTGATTTTGTCCATTTTTGCTAAAAAAGCAAGGTTAACCCCTTACAATCTGAAATTTTCCAGAAACGTCTGATTTTGCCCAGTTTTAGCTAAAAATGCAAGGTTTACCCCTTACAATTTTAGATTTTTAATAAACATACAATTTTGCCCAATTTTGCTTAAAATGCAAGGTTAACCCCTTACAATTTTAGATTTTTCATAATCATCTAATTTTGCCCAATTTTTGCAAAAAATGCAAGGTTAACCCCTTACAATCTGAAATTTTTCATAAAAATCTTATTTTGCCCAATTTTGCTAAAAAAGCAAGGTTAACCCCTTACACTCTGAAATTTTTCATAAAAATCTGATTTTGCCCAATTTTGCTAAAAAAGCAAGGTTAACCCCTTACAATCTGAAATTTTTCATAAAAATCTGATTTTGCCCAATTTTGCTCAAAAAGCAAGGTTAACCCCTTACAATCTGAAATTTTCCAGAAACGTCTGATTTTGCCCAGTTTTAGCTAAAAATGCAAGGTTAACCCCTTACAATTTTAGATTTTTAATAAACATCCGATTTTGCCTTATTTTGTTAAAAATGCAAGGTTAACCCCTTACAATTTTAGATTTTTCATAAAAATCTGATTTTGCCCAATTTTGCTCAAAAAGCAAGGTTAACCCCTTATAATTTTAGATTTTTCATAAAAATCTGATTTGTCCATTTTTGCTCAAAAAGCAAGGTTAACCCCTTACAATCTGAAATTTTTCATAAACATCCGATTTTGCCTTATTTTGTTAAAAAAGCAAGGTTAACCCCTTACAATTTTAGATTTTTCATAAAAATCTGATTTTGCCCAATTATGCTAAAAATTCAAGGTTAACCCCTTATAATTTTAGATTTTTCATAAAAATCTGATTTTGTCCATTTTTGCTAAAAAAGCAAGGTTAACCCCTTACAATCTGAAATTTTTCATAAAAATCTGATTTTGCCCAATTTTGCTAAAAAAGCAAGGTTAACCCCTTACAATCTGAATTTTTTCATAAAAATCTGATTTCGCCCAATTTTGCTAAAAAAGCAAGGTTAACCCCTTACAATTTTAGATTTTTCATAAAAATCTGATTTTGCCCAATTTTGCTCAAAAAGCAAGGTTAACCCCTTACAATCTGAAATTTTCCAGAAACGTCTGATTTTGCCCAGTTTTAGCTAAAAATGCAAGGTTAACCCCTTACAATTTTAGATTTTTAATAAAAATCTGATTTTGTCCATTTTTGCTAAAAAAGCAAGGTTAACCCCTTACAATCTGAAATTGTTCATAAACATC